CGAAAACAGCAACAACAACAATGAACACCCCTACCAAAATCTGGTTATTCCTAATGATGCGAGCGCCATCGCGACTTTGGCTCCGGCTCAGTCCGTTCGAGCACCGCCCGCAGGACTCCGACCCAGCGCCTCGGCTGCTGCCTCTGGCTCTGGGCTCGCTTCGCCGCAGAATGCGCGGAGTCTTGCGGACTGGGAAGTGGAAGACTTTGTTCTTTTGGCGACCGTCGATGGAGATCTCTACGCCTCCGACCGCAAGACTGGTCAGAAGCGATGGCATCTCGAAGTGGAGCAGCCGATGATTGAGACAAACCATCATCGCGCAAACACCTCTGCCCTCGATGACGACTTCCACCCCGTCGACCACTATATCTGGGCTGTTGAGCCCAGCAGGGACGGAAACCTGTATATTTGGATTCCGGCTGCTCCGGAACCCACCCTCGTGAAGACGGGCCTCACCATGAAGAAGCTCGTTGAGGAACTAGCCCCGCACGCAATCGAAGACCCTCCCGTCGCCTACCTGGGCGAGAAGAAGACGGCCATGATGACGCTCGATGCCGCTACCGGCCGCGTCCTCAAATGGTTCGGCACCAGCGGCGCTCAGATCAACGACGCCGATAGCTGCTTCCGTCCCAACGCCATTTACGAGCAGGAAGAGTGCAGCTCCATGGGCACCATCACTCTCGGCCGGACCGAGTATACTGTTGGCATCCAGCGCCGAGACGGCCGACCAATTGCGACCCTCAAGTACGCCGAATGGGTCCTCAACACCTACGATCACGATCTCCTCCAGCAGTACAACGTGCCGCTGGACCAGTGGTACCTTACCACGAAACATGACGGTACCGTTTTTGCCTTCTCCAACGACAGGAAGAACGGGCCACTCGGTATCGAGAACGACGGCACTATGAGGCCGCTGCTCAAGAACCAATTTCCTACCCCCGTCGCTCGGGTGTTTGACGTGTGCCGACCACGCGCTTCCGGTCTCGAAGACGCCGACCCGAATCCGGAACTCATCATCTTACCCCAGCCTCCCCCGCCAGCCCACGATGCCAACGCGGTTTACGAACGACGTAACAACGTCTTCCTCAACCGCACCGAAGACGGTGGCTGGTACGCCTTGTCAGGACAGTCGTATCCTCTCATCGTCACTGCTCCGACGGCCAAGATTGAGCGACCTGAGTGGTGGCAGCTTCGGCAGTCCATCGACGGCCTGACCCCTGAACAGTACTCCAGCGCCTTGGTAGGCACTCACCGCCTCGATATGGTGGGCGACGTGGGTGACTCGCCAGGAAAGTATCAGCCGCCGACCCTTCCAGCACCCCCCATAATCGATACGGAGAATGAATCCGTTCTTCCCCAGCTGATAGACGAGCCTGATTTCCCGCCCACCATTGGCTCTAGGGTCAAGACCTTCCGACAAGCCGCCATTGATAAGCTCATGGCCTGGGTGATGAACGAGGTCTGGATCCCCATCTTTGTCATTCTCATTATCGTTTACCAAAAGGAGCTGCGACGGCAATGTCGACGTCTGGCGAGCAAGAGGTACTGGGTCGAGTCGGGCTTCCTCCCTGGGCGAATGGCGGCTCTTGACAACGACTCGGATTCGGAGTCGGAGGATAAGCCGTCGGGCGAAGGTCCCGAGATTGAGGAGCCTAGGGAATCTGAGCAGCTTCAGCAGCCCACACCGCCCGGAACGCCGGAGAATCCTACAGACCCCGTAGGCGATGATGAGAAGCTTCAACCGGGTGGCGAGCCTGCTCCTTCGGACACCGCAGCCCTACCCTCTAACGATGACCCTGTGGCGGTCGAAGAAGTAATACAGGAGCCTGCCAATATCGCGCCTGACCAAGCAGCCCCGGCCGACCCCCCTGCCGTTGCTGTCAAGGCAGACCCCGTCCAGCCAGTTGCCCAACCAGAAACCCAGGAGGCCGACGCTATGGTCGGCGACAAGGAAGGAGAAAAGGAAAAAGAAAAGGAGAAGAAAAAGTCTCACCGTGGTAGGCGTGGAGGTGTCAAGCACCGAAAGAAGGAAAAGAAGAGGGAGGACTCGGAGTCGCGCCAGGATCCTATGACTGCTGTCGAGGACGCAGTCGACAAGGTTATTCGGCTTCGAGAACCCGGTAAGCTGGAACCGGACGTACACACGCTTCCCGATGATATGCAGTCGGTGGCCGGTCCCATCATCCGGATGGGTAACATTGAAGTCGACATGAACGAGCAGTTGGGCACGGGCAGCAACGGGACGCTTGTGTTTTCGGGCAAATTCGACGGTCGCGTTGTCGCCGTCAAGCGCATGTTGATTCAGTTTTACGATATCGCGTCGCAGGAGACCAGGTTGCTCCGGGAGAGCGACGACCATCCCAACGTCATTCGCTACTTCGCGCAGCAAGTCCGAGACGGGTTCCTCTACATCGCCTTGGAGCGGTGCGCCGCATCCCTCGCCGATGTGGTGGAGAAACCTCACATGTATCCAGAACTCGCCCAGGCCGGAAAGAAGGATCTTCCCGGTGTGCTTCTTCAGATCACCAATGGCATCAGCCATCTACACAGCCTCCGGATTGTTCACCGCGACCTCAAGCCCCAAAACATTCTCGTCAACATGGCCAAGGATGGCCGACCAAGGCTCCTCGTGTCCGACTTTGGTCTGTGCAAGAAACTCGAGGGTGGCCAATCGTCCTTCGGAGCCACGACGGGTCGTGCGGCCGGTACATCGGGCTGGCGAGCGCCGGAGCTCCTGATCGATGATGACGGCTCTGTCATAGACGCCAGCACCCACAGCGGTTCCGGTTCCGTCCTTGTTGGCCACGACATGATGCCCAAGAGCCGGGCCACTCGGTCCATCGACATTTTCAGTCTCGGCCTGGTCTTTTTCTACGTGCTCACCAACGGATGCCATCCCTTCGACTGCGGCGATAGGTACATGCGCGAGGTCAACATCCGCAAGGGCAACTACAGTCTCGACGCGCTGGATTCCCTTGGCGACTTCGCTTACGAGGCCAAGGATCTCATCGGCTCCATGCTCCACGCGGATCCCAAGCTGCGACCGACGGCACGCGAGGTCATGGCGCACCCGTTCTTCTGGTCGGCCAAGACTCGACTCCAGTTCCTCTGCGACGTGTCGGACCACTTCGAGAAAGAGCCACGCGACCCACCTAGCGCAGCGCTGCAGGAGCTCGAGGCGCACGCCCCCGACGTCATCACGAACGGCGACTTTCTCCGGAACCTGCCGCGCGACTTCATCGACTCGCTCGGCAAGCAGCGCAAGTACACGGGGTCGAGGATGCTGGACCTCCTGCGGGCGCTGCGCAACAAGAAGAACCACTACGAGGACATGCCGGAGTCGCTCAAGCGGTCGATCGGACCGCTGCCGGACGGATACCTCGCGTTCTGGACTGTGCGGTTCCCCATGTTGTTGCTGGTCTGCTGGAATGTGGTGTATCAGGTTCGGTGGGATTCAGCGGACCGGTTTAAGGAGTATTATGAGCCTGTGAGGGCATGAGTTGATGTAGAAAGAGTTGCAAGTTTTGTTTCTCTGGTACAGCTTGTCTTGGATGTTGAATATGTTGGTTTTGTACGCACTCGTTTTCTTCCTTCCACAGTTCTTTTATATTGTCGAGAATCTACATGGTCAAATTTGGAACTGTATTTTCATTTTCTGGGCTTGTTCGGGTCTTGTTTTGGCTAGTTATATATAAACATATACGCGTCTACTGTCTCACACTTCTATCAAGACATATTTGACTTCAGATACTCTCCCCCGGAGCGAAGGCTCGCCCTTATAGTAACAGTGTCTTGTTTGACAGGAAACGAGCCGAAGACATATGTCCTTCCTACCTCTTTCCCTGGGTCTAGGAAAGGGGCCCCTCAAAACGTGGAGCCTGCAGGAGTTCGGGGACGGTGTGGATGGGCGACCCGAGAGATCCGGAGGGGTTTACCTCACCTTGGGTCTGCCCAGTACGAGTATTGATGTTATTTTTCCGCATACTTCGTATTCTTCGTGTTTGAGCCTTTTCACTCCCATCATTTTACTATTATTATCCCCGTCACGAGAATAGTTTCCGACAAAGATCCATTGCCATTATTTATGGCATCTGGGACATTGGAATTGGACCCTGGGAACTGAATCTGTGCCATTTCCCTAAACGGGACGGGGTCTCGGAGATCACGACAACCCCTCCTTCGCGCTCTCGCCCTCATGTCATTCCACCACTCTCCTCCGTGTGATCTATCCTTTCAAGATGGGAACACACAGGCAGACACAAACCTTGGGAAACGTCAAGCCCTGATCTCGCATCTCCCCTTTTATGTATCCTTCCCTTCTTGTGTTCCTGATCGTTCCCTGTTGGGAAGAGGACGCTCGGTGACACTCACTAAACAAAGCGCGGAAAGCGTCGGGCTGGTTCAGAAACAGAAACAGGAACAGGAACAGAAACCAGACACAAGAACTGAGGGGTATGAAATGACCTCTCACCTCTCACACGACACACACTACCACTCTCTCATCTGTCACATCACATTTCCTTTTCTGCTCCAGATCCTATGTTTTCCTTCTTTTCCCCCACCTTCATCTGTTTTGGCAAGTCATCAGTTTAATTTATTTCTATATCATGAATGGAACCATGTTCGTTTCGTCTCTTCATCTCTCTTCTCTACCAAGTGCGTGAGATCCAAAACAATCGAAATAGAAAAACAAACTGGCAAGACAAGAAACAAACATTGCAAAAAAGAGATGGTCTATCAATTATAAATAGGACTAGATGGATTGGGGGACCTTCCTTTCAATCTCTGTCCCTCTCTTCTCTTCCCTCTCTCTGTGGTCATTTGGTCATGCATTTTCATTCCTCCTTCCAACATTCTAGGCTCCCGGTCAAAATCATTTTCGTTCTATGGAAACCAAAAAAAAGATCTAAGCGGAACAGAAACAAATCAAACCGCTCTCATTCTTTTTTCATTCATTTCCCCATTAAAAATTTCCAACCCGTCATTTCTTCTCCCTCTCTCTATTTGGACTGCTTCATCGTCCTATACTCCTCCGCATTCAACGGCCTAGGCCCAATCCCATTCCTATTCCTAAAGAACAAAATCTTCTTGCCGGCCCCCTTGGCGCCGACGCTGGGCTCGACCCACTGGCACGACCTGGCGGACCTGTACATGGCGCGCAGGAAGCCCCAGGCCCCGTCCTTGGTGTCGGAGCGGTAGTGCTTGCCCATGACCTTCTTGATGGCCTCGGTGGCCTCGTCGGCGTTGTAGAAGGGGATGGTGGAGACGTAGTGGTGGAGAACGTGGGTCTCGATGATGCCGTGGAAGAGCGAGCGGCCGATGAAGCCCATCTCGCGGTCGATGGTGGCGGCGGCGCCGCGGACGAAGTTCCATTCTTCGGAGTGGTAGTGGGGGAGGGAGGGGTCGGTGTGCTGGAGGTAGGTGATGGCGACTGTCAACGAGTTAGCGGATTTTTTCTTCTTCTTTTTCTTTCTTTCTTATTTGTTTCATCCTTTTCTTCTCGAGGAAAACTTACCGAGCCAGTGGTTCACCCAGAGGTAGGGGATAAAGTACCACACAAGCATGTTGGTCCATCCGAAGCGGTTGCCGAGGTAGTACAGGATGGTGCTGGTAATGAGGATACCAATATCGCTCATGATGATACGACCAGCGTGCTTGTTGTCATAAATCGGGCTTCGGGGATCGAAGTGGTTAACACCGCCGAAAAGACCGTTGCTCTTTCCCTTACCCCTACCCTCGCGCTGGCGCTCATGGAAGTTGTGGCCGGTGACGTTGGTGAGGAGGTAGTTGGGCCAGCCGAAGAGCTGCTGAGCGATGAGCATGATGAGGGAGTAGATGGGGGTCTCCTCGGTGAGCTCGCCGAGCTCGTGGGCCATCTTGCCGAGGCGGGTAGCCTGCTGCTCGCGGGTGCGGGGCACGAAGACCATGTCGCGCTCGAGGTTTCCGGTGGCCTTGTGATGGGCCGAGTGGGACAGCTGCCACGAGTAGTAAGGGACGAGGAGGGCCGAGTGGAGGAACCAGCCCGTGACGTTGTTGATGGTCCTGGAGGTGGAGAAGGCCTGGTGACCGCACTCATGGGCGAGGACCCAGATGCCGGTGCCGAAGAAGCCCTGGAGCACGGTGTACAGCGCCCAGAGACCAGCGCGGGCGGGCATCGAGGGGATGTTCTCGGCGGTCACATAGTTGTGGAAGACGTAAAACGTCGTGGCGAGGCAGAGCAAGTCGCGGGCGATGTACAAGTAGCCCTTGAGGGCGGACCGCTCGAAGCAGTGGGCGGGGATGGCGTCGCGGATGTCCTTGATGGTGAAGTCCGGGGGCTCGAAGGGGTTGCCGTAGGTGTCGAGGAGGACGCCGAGGTCCTTGCTCTCGATGACGGCTTCGGAGGCGAGAGAGGAGAGGGAGGTGGAGGAGGCCGAGGGCCTAGGGGAGTCGAGGGGCGATGCGACGGCTGTGGAGGGCGATGAGTATTCGGAGTCGAGGCGGGAGACTCCGCGGCGGGTAGCCGACTGCGAGTCGGCGACGGCGGTGGAGGCCATTTTGAAGGGGGGAAGAGGACCGCGAGCGAAAGAGCTACGGTTCCAATGGGTTAGGGGCTGAGAGGAAAGAAGAGGAAGAGAAAAGGATCTCTTGGTGAAGAGAAGAGAAGGATATAGAGTCTCGGGAGGAGAGGCAGGAAAGAAACAAAGACCGATCCCAATTGGATCCGTCCGGGAGAGGGAAGCAGAGGTGTGGGAGGGAAAGAGGAGGACCTAAGAAATAAAAAAGGGAAGACCGAGGTGGTCGGGGGTGGAGGAGAAGGAGGATAAAAGAGACTGGGGAAATGGGTTTATTTACACTAACCTGTGCAGGGCGGCAAGATTTTTTGTTACTTTTTTGCCTCTGGTGACTTTTTTTCTTTTGGTCCTTCTCAGATCCAGTCAGCCTGCGCCTTCCTTGCTGCGTTTCTTCTTGTGTCCTTTTACCACGTGAAAGAAGAACTTTCGGACTTGAGCGCTTGTTCAGTGGATCCAGCCAAAGAGTTGAGAACTTGAGCGGCGAAGAGGGTAAGAGCAGGGGCAGATGGGCAAATGGGCAAATGGTAATTGTCCTGTCGTTGATTTGTTCTTATTCGGGGGCCCCGTTGCCGGTTTCCTTGGCTGGTCTTCATGAAGGGGTCCTCTTTTTTTTTGGTCTCCTTTTTTTCTTAGTGTTTTAATGCCCTTTCTCCGAACTTTTTTTTTTGTCCTCGTTTTTTTTTTTTTTTCTTGCTCTAGTTTGCGGCAAGTTGTTTTAGGGTCCTCCACAGCGGAGTATTGGATACAAAGTTTTGGCCAAGAGTCAAAGTCTCCGGGCTAGTACTGTCTACCTCGTTGGCGGGGCCATCCGAACAAATATTTCCACTTTCCACTTATATGGTTGGGTTGGGGTTGGGGGAGAGGTGGAGAGCGAGAGACGACGTGCCATACGGGGATCTACACTACGATGAATGGTCAATGGCTCAATGAGACTTGCTTCCCTGGCTGGACTCGGCAACCGAAGGTCGAAGGTGGTCAGAGAATCGGAGAAGATACCTCAACTTTGTATCTGCGCTCGCTGGACTTGGGATGCGAATTTGCATTGAGATGTCGAATTCTCCCCCTGGAAAGGTCAATGTTGGTTCAGTCCAGTGCCCTTTCCACTCTTCCCAGTATTTGATTTCCAGGGGCACAGGTTCCAGCTTCCAATCCAAATCGCCGCATCCAAACTTTGTTGGGGCATGTGGGGGGAGGGGTTGATCTATCATCCAAGTCCACTGTGACTTTACTTCCCGCGAAGTACCCTCACCACTCATCGCTCTCCAAGCAACCTCAATTGCACTTTGGCTCCGGCATCTTCAACTCGGTCTGCGAGCTCGATGAGTACTTACGAAGTAGGAAGTAGGAAGGAAAGTGGCCCGTTGATCGCTTCGGGGCTAGGCTACGCGGTATCGATACTGATACGTCCGGAGACGCTCATCCGCTCTCAGCTCACTTTATCTGGTTCTCGGTCTTCCTGTGTCGCTCCACATGCTTCATTCGAAGTATTGATCATTGATGGATACGAACGATAGCAATAAGTAAGTGCGCAACACTGCCGTATACTACTACGCTGGGCTACAAGTATGTAGTCACAAGTATGTAGTGTATATCTAGGTTGCACGCAGGCCTCCCGCGGAGGTGGCAGTCCAGCATCCTCCCTTCTCAAACATGTCAAAGGTACGCTTAAACCCACTTATTACGGGACTCTGACCCGATTTGGCTTCGGTTCGGCGATAGCTTGGATACCAACTTCCTCGACGCCACGAGAGCACGAGAGATCCCCGATGCCCGGTTCCCTCCCCCCCCAAATCCCCCCAAAATCCAACGTCAATACCGTGATCTCGATGTGGAGATGCGACCTTTTGGAGATCTTCGCGTTAGCTTACTGCCAGAGTTTCCGGATCGTCCCATCTTTCAGTTCAAAGACCAAGACAGGAGACTCGGTTTTCTTACTTCGAAAAATGGGGGATCAAGGCACACTTGCGGTTCATCGATAATCTACCGCCTTTCGAACTCCGAGCGGGTTTAATCCTGTCTTTTCGGGATGACTCGCATCAAACTAATGCCAGCTCAGACCGCAATACTCGCGTACTCTACTTAACTGCAGCGTAAAGCCTGCGTAGAGAACCAACAAGTTCAAACAATCCCATTCACCAATCCAACAATCGGGTTTTTCTTCCTCCCTTGCCCTCCTTGTTCTTACAAGGACTTGCAAGCCATGTTTTGAAGCCATCCCGAGATCTCCTCAAGATCTGCAAGAAAAATCTCACCGCCCTTCAACATCTCGCCATTCCAAACTCAATTGATCCCTTGGATCGTCTTGGACTGCACTTGTGGGACGATTCTCTCGGGAAGAGCAGTGAACTTTTTTCTCTTTACTTCCTCTTCTGCCCTTGTCTAGGCCAGAGCTGTCACGTCACTGTTTGAAAAAATTGGTGAGGTTGAGATTGATACGCGACGATGGGACCAAACAAGGGCCAACCAACTCAGCTATTATAGCCAGAGTGACATTAAAAACAGGGCGGGAAAAGAAAAATAAGAGAACAAAAAGAAAAATGAAGAGAAAAAAAAAGTGAGGGTCTTGGCGGGGGGCGTGTCCCAACAAATTTACATGCGGGGCCCCAACAGAACGTACATGAACCTAAAGGAGGTACCTGCAACAGCACCCGCTCTCCCACTCCCTTCCAGGTACCCGAGAGAAAAAAAAGCTGTGTTCCCCTCTCTCCATAAACATGCCCATCTCCTCTTCCAAACCAAGAAAAGATACCTGTAAATCAAGGGGGAGGCGAAAGAAGGGGGTGGCCGAGGTTTAGAATTCAAGCAAGTGTTTTGACATGTGGACGTGTTGGAAGTCGACCAAAGGTTCAGACATGCCAACCTTCCAATATAAACTCGTCGTGGCGTAACATTCGCCCTTGGCGGACTTATGCTTTTTCTCGGCCGGATCTCGAAAAGGAAAAAAAAACTCACAGCGAGATTCAAACCACCCGCGTCCACAATCTGCCGGGCCGGCATCGGGCCTCCACCAGTGACGGCCGGACACAGGTGTCAACCTGTCACATCTACTTTACTTCACACTTTTCCTTTTTCTTTCATTGTTTTTGTGTTTTTGCGTCGTGGTTCTAACGTTTCGAAGTTTTATAAACTTAGACGCCTACACACCCGCTCTCCTTGGTGCCTGGTGGTGCTGGTGACCGACATCGACGGCCATCACAAGCAAACGACGGACGCCACGTCCTTCTCAGCTCGCCACCAGAAGATGCACAGCAGCCCCCAAAAGGCCCTTCCAAGACATTATAGTTGCGGGGTGTCCGGCGGGGCTGGCCTTGCAAAACAAATTCTTGGATGTTTCTGAGTGGCTGAGGCAAACCACCCCCCTCTCGCTTGGTGATGCATTTCGTGATGAATTCTGCAGTGATCGCCGAGGAATAAGTCGTAGATATGCACGGCGGGACATGGCTGAAAAAAGAGCCACAGGCTTACAGCTGAAGATCGAACCTTGACGAAGACCCTACGGAGGGAGAAAGAGAGAATCGAACTCTCGCCGTGGAAAGAAACAATAGCACTTTCGCCATAGAGGGAAAACTACTCGCATCATGCAAACCTCTGTATGGGGAGTTTCCATTTCCACTCTAACGCCTACCCTATCATATATCATCGGTTTTTGTTCGATAGACCAGCCTCCTCCCCCCTCCTCCTTCATTTTGTTTGTCGGACGCGCATAAACTTAGAGAAGAAAAAAAAAGTGATCATGTATAAACACAAGTGGAAAATGACCAAACCAAGACCTCAACCTCGACCTCCCCAAAATTAGCTGATGATCTCTTCGCTCTCCTCCAACACCTCCTCCACAATCTCCTCCACCAACGTCTCCTCTTGAGGGCCCTCCAAAGACGCCGCCTTGGCCTTCAGAAGCTCCGCCACAGGATCCTGAGGCAGGCCGTAGGCCTCGCGCTCCTCCTTGACCTCGGCCTCGATCTGCTCGCGCCAGGCGTGCCACTCGTCCAGGAGACGGCGGCGCGCCTCGACGACGGCGAGGTCGGCCGACGCGCCGCGGTCGGCGTCTTCTTGCTCGAACACGCGGCTGTACTCGCGGAGGTTCTTGCGGATCTGCTTCTGCTCTTCTTTAGTGAGGAGCGTGGGGGGGCGGGGGCGCCAGGCGAATTGCTTGAACTTTTCGAGACCTTCTTCGCGGAGTTGCTCGCCCTTGAAGTCGTAGATGTGGTATCCGTTTTCCATCTGTAGAGAAAGGAATTAGTTACCAAATTAGAAGTAGCTACGGAAAAAAATGGCCTGGTGAAAGAAAAACTTACCGCATGCTTCCAGGCCGACGCCCAGGTGGCGACGAAGCGGCCCGAGGGATCCCACTCGACGTCCGTGACACCGTAGTGATCGGCAGTGTTCATGAGTTGCAGGTTAGCCGTGAGGTCCTTCTCCGCCTCGGGCTTCTCACCCTCGAAATCAAGGTCGAAGAAGTCAAGGTCGGAGCTCTGCTGGTTGTGCACCGTGGCAATGACCACAAACCGACCCTTGGGCGACCAGTAGATGGCGTTGCTGTTCTTCTTGTCCAGCGTCCTGAGGTGCTTAAAGTTGCCCGCCGTGGGACCCTTGTTCTTCTCGGGGCAGAAGAAGGCGACCGAAGTCTTGGGGGGCACCGCTGTGGGGCCGGGGGGTTCCGTCGTCGTGATGATGACGAACCTGTCACCCTTGGGCTCCCAGGCGAAGTTGATGACGGTGTCCTTGATGGTGTCGACGACCTCGACGGGGACGCCCTTCTCCTTGACGCGGAAGATCTCGAGCGTGGTGTTCTGCGACTTCTTGGACTTGGAGTGACGGTCTACCTTGACGCAGAGGTAGGTGGCGTCCGATTGCCAGTGCAGCTTCACATCGGAGACGTTGAAGAGGTTGAGGGTGCGCACAATCTCCTTGGAGGGGATGCTCATGAGACCGACCTTGGCGGGGTTGCTGCCGATTTCGGGCGTCCAGTAGCAGAAGAGCTGCTCGTACTGCTTGACGCCGTCGCGGCGAGGGGTGGAGGGCGCCCAGTCAAAGTCCATGACACCGTCGATCTTGATCGTCGTCCTATCCAGGAGGTTCATGCGCGGGAGTTCGTAGACGGAGATGGACGAGCCCTGGTTGAGACGGGCCACGTACTTGTCGTCGGCCGACCACTTGAAGGCAGGCCAGGGGAATTTCCTCTGCTTGGCAGCGCCGTGGTCGTCGCCGCCCGCGGTGTCGAGGTTGGCGAACGAACGGAGGGGCTTTCCAGTGACGACGTCCCAGATCACGTAGTTCTTGCCATCATCGTCGAGGCTGAGGACGGGATGGCCCTCGTCGGGGACGGAGATGGGGCGGGCGGACCAGGTGACAATGTAGTTCTCGTTGGGTGAGAAGGCAACGAGGTTGACGAAGGGATGGGGGAGTTTTTGGAGACTCTTCCAGGACGGGCCGCCCCAGAGCTGGACACCTTGCTGGTGGACCGAAGTAAGATAGGTGCCCATGGGAGACCACTGCACGAAGGTCTCCGTCCAGTGGTTCCTGTCCACGACGTTCTCTGGCGTGTCCTTCTCGTTGTTCCAGAAGACGCCAACATTATCGCCCCTGTACATGACGAACTGGTCACGACCGCGGCCGCTAGGGTCCTTGAGGAAGGATTTGAGGTGCTCCTTGGGAGTGAACTCCTCGATCTCGGGGGGAACGAAGTTATCGTCTATCCTGCCCTCACGTCCGTACCGCTCGATATCGGTAAGCTTGTTGACTCGGAGGGTGTGCTTCTTGTCGAGAGGCGCTTGGTCGAGTTGCCTAACGGCGGCGGCGGCTTCACTGGCAGTGGAAAATTCGACAAAGGCAAATCTGGAGAGAACAGAAAGTTAGGTACACAGCTCTCGACAACCACCTTTCCCTTTTGATCCCAAAACATCCTCCACTTCCCTCGCGGCTCAACTTATGATCAACTTACCTTAGAGACTTTCCATCATCTCCAAAAGGCATAAAAATGGAATCCTCCCTCGCCGTCCCCACTGCGTTGAACTTCTTCATCAGGAACTTGATAAGCCTAGGCTTCTGCTCCTCGGTGACTGCCGGCAGGCCGTCGATGACGACGAAGGTGTCGTAGCCCTGCTCGAGTTGAACCTCATATCGTTCGCGAAGGTCGGAAATATCAATCTCATCCTCATCAAATTCCTCCTCGTCGAGGTCGGCCTCACGAAGGTGATCGAAAGAAGGAGCCATGCTGGGCGATTCTTCTCGGGTTGGTGATTTGTTATGGCGGTTTTGGTTACTTGGCGGGGAAGTGGGCTTTTCTCTCTGATTTTTTTTATTTGGCTGGCGGGGTGGCTAGGGTAGGTCTCGCAGCGCAAAACCCCCTGGACGAAGGTTGGGTGGCTCGAACTGTTGCGGGTGTCAAATATACGCAAGTCCGGCAATGTAATAGCTTAAAGGAAATCGAGTCCTATTATTGTTCGCTATTCTAGCGATACTGGTGAAGAAGCCGTTCGCCGAGTCGAGACAAATCCGTCTTCTAGAGGCAGGTCGGGCAATAGAATGGGAGATTTTCAAGATTGTGTGGTTTGACGTAGTGGGGCCTGCTCGGGTGAAGTTTGGCAAATTCTCCATTTTTTGACGGTTGCCTGCCATTTGCAGTTGTGGGCGGTGGGAGGTCAATTGGTGTCTCTCAGCACGTGTCTGCCCTCTAAACTCGTTTCTCCAGTGCGGCACCTGGCAGAGGGTGACAGTGGGACCGAGACAAGATTATGTCAGCTGGGGGGACGACAGAACCTCAAGGAAAGAGTGGCGGCAAATCCTTGGTTGATGTTGCTAGCTTGGAAGGCACTGTTCTGCTGTGGCGGGATGCAAGCTTCCCCTCCAACCAGGCTCCCAAGAAGAAAAAAAATCAGGAGTTTGATTCGAATAGAACTAGTTTACCCCACGTAGCTTCTGAACCTCACCGAACGACCACACGCATCGAGACTCCCCCGAGACACGCAGCCATTCCCCTTACCCTTTCGTATCGTATACAGTTCTAGCAGCGGTTCAAATGGTTTGGCTCCTCCACCGTCAGAGTTATACCCGTATATCATGTATACTCGCCACTAACCCGTCGCTGCAATAGGCATCCTTCAGTCCCACCCAGATCTTCGAGGAGGGCACCACGCAAGAAAAGGGCGAGAATGCCCGTCTCGCCGCCTTCGTCGGTGCTATTGCCGTCGGTGACCTAGTCAAGAGCACTCTAGGTCCCAAAGGCATGGATAAGATTCTACAGTCTGCGTATGTCCACCGCCTCGTTCTCCCTTTATCCCCCCCGCGCATCGCCGCAAACCCCTGAATGCCTGATTAACAATCCACTTTGCAAAGTTCCACCGGCGAGATCATGGTAACAAACGACGGTGCCACCATCCTCAAAGCCATTGCCCTCGACAACGCCGCCGCGAAGGTGCTTGTCAACATCTCCAAAGTACAAGACGACGAAGTCGGCGACGGCACGACGTCCGTAGCGGTGCTGGCCGCCGAGCTCCTGCGCGAGGCCGAGAAGCTCGTCGACAAGAAGATCCACCCCCAGACCATCATCGAAGGATACCGGATAGCGTCCAAGGCCGCGCTGCAGGCGCTGGAACAGTCCGCCGTCGACCACAGCCGCAACCCCGAAGCCTTCCGGAATGACCTGCTCTCCATCGCGAGGACAACCCTCAGCTCCAAGGTCCTCGCCCAGGACCGGGCGCACTTTGCCGAACTTGCCGTCGATGCCGTTCTCAGGCTCGGAGCCCAGACCGATTTGAGCCATATCCAAATCATCAAGAAGGCTGGTGGGAAGCTGAGCGACTCGTACCTCGACGAGGGCTTCATCCTCGACAAGAAGATTGGCGTCAACCAGCCCAAGCGCCTGGAGAATGCGAAGATCCTCGTCGCCAACACGTCGATGGATACGGACAAGGTCAAGATTTTCGGCGCCCGCGTCAAGGTGTCGTCGACGGGCAAGCTCGCCGAGCTCGAGAGGGCCGAGAGGGAAAAGATGAAGGCCAAGGTGGACAAGATCAAGGCGCACGGTATCAACTGCTTCATCAACAGGCAACTCATCTACAACTGGCCCGAGCAGCTCTTCTCCGACGCCGGCATAATGTCCATCGAGCACGCCGACTTCGACGGCATCGAGCGTCTTGCCCTGGTTACCGGTGGCGAGATCGCCTCGACCTTTGACCACCCGGATCAGGTCAAGTTGGGCCACTGCGATCTGATCGAGGAGGTTATTATCGGAGAGGATACCCTGATCAAGTTCTCTGGTGTGGCTGCGGGGCAGGCTTGCACGATTGTTCTCCGAGGTGCCACCGACCAGCTTCTTGACGAGGCCGAAAGGAGTCTGCATGACGCTCTTGCCGTCCTCTCCCAGACGGTGAAGGAGCCTCGTACCACTCTCGGAGGAGGGTGTGCTGAGATGCTCATGGCCAAGGCCGTGGAGGGTGCGGGAACACGCGTCGAGGGAAAGAAGCAGTTGGCCGTGGCCAGCTTTGCCGTTGCGTTGAGGCAACTACCCACCATCTTGGCTGACAACGCCGGTCTCGACTCTGGTGACCTCGTGGCTCGTCTACGAAAGGCCATTTACGATGGCCTAACGACGTACGGTTTGGATCTTATGACGCCGGGTGGTGGTATTGCGGATATGAGGGATCTTGGTGTTGTTGAGAGCTTCAAGTTGAAGAAGGCGGTTGTGTCTTCTGCCAGCGAGGCGGCAGAGGTGAGTTCTTTTCGAGGTATCCTTCAATTCTGGTGTATATGGTGTGGACTAATATGATTGTGCTTCTAGCTTCTTCTCCGAGTTGACGATATTATCCGTGCTGCTCCAAGGAGGAGAGAAAGGCACTAAGCGGCGGGCGCTGGTGGGTTTAAAAAAAAAAGGGAAAACTATGGGTACGAGAAACGTAGATACCATACCATTGATAGACTCGATGTGAAGACAAAAAGTTAATGCCTCTGGTACTTGTACTCATCGGTTTCTATGGTTCTTGGATCCTATCTGTGACACATGGCTGAACATGACTGAAAACAAGCTGTCCGGAACTGTGGCCACGCTCTTTTTCCAAGAATGTTTGGTCTCCTTATTCCATTTGATTTCCAAGTCCGCCAGAGACGAAGATGCTCGTATGTACACAACCCCCCCTTTCGAAAAGAACTAAATCAACGGGTTCGGTGACAAGCGCCAACCCCCATCCTCAATTATATCTGCCCTCTGCCCACCGAGAAGTATAATTAAGGAGAAGAAGAAGAAGAAGAAAAGAGAACGCCTACCAAAAGAATTATTTTTGCTTCCATCTCTAATCGCTTCCAATGTTCACATGATAACTTTCGTAGACAAAAAAAAAAGAAAGAAAACTCCCAAGCAGCCCTAGAGCATCAAAGAATCGAATAATCGAAGGACAATATCCAACGTCTACGCCTTACCCGCCTCCCGGACAGCCTGCATCCAGCGATCCTCAGCCCCCACCTCCCCCAACACCTTCTTCTGCCTCGTACTCGCCCCGCCCCCACCAAGCACGGCCCTAACATCCTCCACGGACGCCGCGCCCAGCAGCGGGCCCTCCTCCCACACGATCAGCGCAACAGCGGCGCGAATAAGCACCGCATCCCCCTCGAAGACATACACGTCCCAGAGCCTGGCCGCCTCGTCGACGGCGAGCGAGGCTGTGAAGAGCGTCGTGAAGATGCCGGAGAGGTAGGCGTCTGGCTCCGGGTCGGGGATTTTAGAGGTGATGTGCTGGTGGAGGGCGGGGGATTTATCCTTGAGGGTTTGGACGACGAGGTTGTAGGCGGAGGACTTGGCGCCGGGGTCGCCGGCGTAGAAGCTGAGGGGGATGGGGCGGTTGAGGACGTTGGCGAGGGCGATGAAGGTGTCTGTTGCGTTGGGGAGGTTGAGGAGGAGGAGGGCGGCGATGGACTAGGACTTAAGTGTTAGCATAGTGTTTTTTTCGGGTTGTTGGAAAACTGAGAAACAAAAAAAAAAAAAAAAAAAAAAAAAAAAAAACCTTACATTGCAGCCGGAGACGTATCCGATGTCCCCGCGGTACATCGCGTACGCCGAGAGAACGTCAGTCAGACTCTCATGCAACGGCCCTCCCTCCTGGAATATACGCAGATCAGGCCAAGTCTTCTCCGCCACATCCTTCCGTATCGCCTCGAACCACGCAGCGCGACGCGTATCTTCCGGATCCCCCTTATCAGCCTTGATGCGCTCCTCAGCATCCTGCGCCCGCTTCAGGGCAGCGGTATAAGAAAGCTCCGAGAGACCCAACTCATTGCCGATGGCCTTGGACCACACGACGCCTCTGCTCCGCGGGGGGATACCCTTCCACCATAGTTCCCGGGTGCGAGGTTCTCGCGTGGCGTGTCCCCATCGGGGTATCACCTCTTCCTCCCATATCCGCATCAGATTATCGGCCGCGTTGTCACGGTGCGTCTTTATCGCGCTGCGGGTAGCTTCCTTCCGACGATCGGCCTCAGCGCTCTGTGCCATCATCTGCTTGTACTGCCGTAGATGCCTCTTCTCCTCGGCCGGATCCTTGGGCGGGAGCCACGACGGTCTCGTACGGCTCAACACCGCCTCCTTCTCCTTTGAAATAGGTAACGGGTCGATCATGACGTTGTTCCTCCGCAGGGGCGGTAATTCCGGCAGCTGCGAGTGTTTCCGGAGCTTCGGCTTCCAGTTGACGGGATCGAACGCCTGCCTCGACACGTCCCACGTCGCGGGCCTCTTCTCGTGGCTTGACCGCGTCTTCTCGTCCAGCTCGTCCGAGTGCTCCTCGAGCTTCTCCGTCAGCGCCTTCATCTCGGGGCTCAAGCTCGCCATGGCGATGTTCCAGCTCTTGGCCCGGCCTTTGGCCTGTCCGTTGAACTGGGACGGGAAGTTGTGCTCGGTGCCGTTGCAGTCGGCGAGGGCCGTGTCGGATTTCCACGTCGGAGAGCGGAGGCTGCCCTGGGCCGTGGCCACAGCGGGAGTGCCGTTCCCTACGCTTCGACGGTCCTTGGAGGACAGGGACAAGCCGTGGGGTAATAATAAGGGGGATTGGGGCTGGCTTTTCGGTCGTTCGCTCGTCGGCCGCGGGGAGATGGGTACGTTGTCGAGGATGAGGCCGTCGGGGATATCATCGTCGTCGTCTTCGTCGTCATCGAATTCCCTCTCGAGCTCTAATATCGTCTTTCGTTCCCTGTTCGATTGCCAGCTGCTTCTCCTAGGACGCAAAATCTGGTTCGGATCCTTGGGCCCCAGCAGGAAGTTGGGACTAGGACTCCTCTGCCGCGGGAGCAGATTCGGGGCCGTCAAGGACGGCTGTATGGGTAACCTCCTAAAGGAAGGGCTCCGGGGTGGAGGATCGAGGGAGCCATGGGCGCTAACGCTTCGACCATTGGATAACCGGCCGGGACTCTGGGGGCTCGGAGGATCCTGTCTCGCTCGATTGGCTAGCCCAGAGCTAGTGTCACGTTGGGGGAGGAATTTCTGCGACACGTCTCTCGTTCGCGTCAGGGTACGTGTCGTCGAGAGGTTTCTCTGGCCCGCGTGGGCGCCGTGGCCGTCGGACTGGTACACGGGAGATGCATGGGGCTGCTTCGGGATGGTGACTTTCAGGTGATTGTCCCGGGTGAGAGGGCGGCGGGCCGAGACGGACGGGTTGTTGTGGACGGGCGCGGCGGTCGCGGCTGCATCGTCGAGGGAAATGTCCTCGAAGTTGCGGACGTCTGAGAGCACGCCGTCGTCGTCGAGGTGGGACTTGTGAGACGAGGATCGAGAGGTGGTCATTCCGCCGCGAGAGACGGGTGTAGCTTGTGGGGGGGCGGGAGAGGGAGAGAGGAGAGGAGAGGAGAGGGGAGAGAGAGAAACAAACGGGCTGAGGGGAGAATTGAAGGTGGGTGTGATTTAGGGGGGGTGTGAGACTTGTGAGTGATGTCGCAGATTGGAAGACGGGAAGCGTGAGACTGTGTAACTATGCAGTTATGCCATATTGAATCGAAAACACTCCGATACAGAAATATCTTTAATTTTGAGCGACCAGGGGTGATTTTTCAGGGGAGATAACGAATCATGAGCTAATATCTCGTTAGGTGGTCCACTCAGGCGCTGAGGGGAGGAAAAATGAAAAAGGGGGTAATAATTGGGGAGGTGTTGAATTTTACCTTTTTCCGTGCCGGTGTTTTTTTGGGGATAATTACAGCTAGATTCTTCATGGCGAAGGAAAGAAGGAAAGCGCCTCGTCTGGTGCTTCGTTTGTTCAAGGACGGAGAAGGAAGACCAAAAATGGCAACATGTTACTACTGACGACAGACGACTGCTACTTTTCCTGTCTGGGCTCCCTCCCCGCCCTCCGTACCTGGCAAATGGCAAATAGCCAAAACTTGCTTTTGCTCTTTACAAGATCATCAGGCAAACAAGAACGACCCAAACACGAGCAGAGCCGCTGTACTTTGTGCATGATGAAATCAGGAATAACGTCATTGAACTATTGAACATTAAACCCTCTTCAAAACATCTTGTACCCAATCTATTTTCCCGCCTTTTCCCGCCTGGTCTCGGATCATCATATTCTTAGGAGGGCTGGCCTCTTTAGGCAATCAGCCACGACCTGTAGAGAGATACCAAGTTCGATATCAATTCCAACCCCTGCTGCGTTCCGCTCATTTATCTAATGTCTGCTTGGTGCTTCGGCCACCCTCTTCAATCTTTCCCAAGTTTTGATCAGCCAAGACACGAAATTCTAAGTTTAGTGGATCTTCTTGGCGTTTGATCTGATCAGCCAAGGACACGAGCCGTCCGTTGATCTGTGATATCAATTCTCTAAAACAAATTAAATGGCATCTCCCGCAAACGCTATTTTCGACAAATTGAAGCCCAAGCATTTATTTTCAGCCTCATGAACCGAATTGATGTCGGATGTGTCTTAACACTAACAAACCAGCACCATGACTCCTACATATTGAAAGTCTACTTTCTGTTCCTTCACTTAGCCAGCACACGTGGCTAAGCTCTCGTCTTCCTCCACAGATACATCGTTGAAGTTATTAACTCAATGCAATCTTCAATGGTAATACTGATAAGAAAAGACCCTTGAGATGAGAAGCACGCCTTTGCTAGTCAAGGATGAAGTCTGCCAAAAACCCAACGTAAGACCAACATTTCTCAAAGCTTATCCACGATTTAGTCGAATTCGGCTTCGCTTGATCTCTATACACCTCCCACGGACGCGGTATTAACCAGGGAGGTTAATAAAAGGTCGGGTTCTCTATCGGAAGGAGCCGATCCAACGGAATGGCCGGGAAAGTTGGTCCCGATGCTCGCGCTCTATCGACGGCTTTAAAGCCTTCCTCGACATCAGCATGAATACAAACACATTCCCTAGTATTAGATGGTGGTCAACTTACATGGACCGCAGAATCCCTGCTGATTCGTGAATTGGACGACAGCCGGGGGCTCGTGGCATTCTTAGCATGAATCTGATACTTTTTATAAACTTCGTCAAGCCATCGCCCCACCCGGTCATCCGAAAGAACGTTTCTTCGGGGATGCTATCATAACTCTCTAAAAGACGATGGCAGAACAGAAACGCACGCGAACAGTGCGCACACCAAAGTCCATCCCCGGATTCAAAGCTGAGCTCTGGTATCCCAGGGGCTGAGCAGTGTAAAAGGGACCACTTTTGGGGTAACACGGGAACCCAAAACAAGGCCAAGGCACAGTGACTCAGTTTTGACCACTCTAGCAACTGTGACCAATTTCGCTAGCATGAAAAAAAGCTGACCGGGAATACTCTTGCGGGCCCAGTTTTGGGCACATGGAACTACGTGTAACGGTCCAGGGAGTGTCTTTGCAACTAGCTAGGGGAGTTATGCCAACTCGTTAAGCTTAGAGAAAGAAAGAACTAAATAAAAGAAAACAAGAGGGTTTGTGATGGAATCGTGGATTCCATTCCCAACCCAATGCCTACTTTTCAGAACATGCCTGTCGTGTCATGGACCGACCAATCAAATTCTATTCCGCAAGGCAAGATTTCGGATACAACCAATGAGCTCTTGCTTGGCTCCTCTTCCCTGTCTTGATTGCTGTGGTTGAGCTCCACGGCGGCGGGTGCTCATTCAAAATTACGGCCATCCCCCTGCACACCTTTCTTTACGCCTTAGCTTTCCTTCCCGCATCTTCATTTCTACCCCGAACGACGTTCTCAGACATGTCTGATTCTCTTTGCGTGGTGGGCCATGACGATTGGTTCCGGTGGGAGCTCGTACGGCCACTTATCAGGCGTACATTTCTCGAGGAAGGCAAATCTGGTGAGGAGCTCGTGAGCGAGATGGCTTCTAAGTACAGCTTTTACGCTACGTGAGATCAACCATTATTTTGATTGCCAGTGTCAAGTCTCACACGGAACTAGAAAAGGTCAATACGACAGACGTCGAAAATTTTGGAAAATGCGCAAAGGCTTGCCTGAACATATATGGAAGTGGGTCGCCCAAGAGATTAAGGACATTCAGCAACTCGGTGGCCGCTATGAGGTTATACTGAGCGGCATCCAATTGTCTTCGCCTAAAATCGACAGGGCCATTTCGAGACACTGTTTCGAGTCGACACTCGACAGGCTGCAAGGAAGTATGTTCAAATTTACTGCGTCTGGGCGTGTCTTGCAACGATCTCCTGGGTCCGTCATGGCCTCTGACGTGCGATAGTAGCATTCTCAAGCCATATCCCTGGGCTTCCACGCGATGTGTCGGTCTTAGTCCGATGTCCTAGAAGGAGAGTGCACTATGAATCTGACCAACTGCCATGGTTTTCATTGAGAAACCAGCTCTACGAGGGTAATGTGACTAGGTCATTTTTAGTGGCATCAGAGACACACTAACAATAGCCAGCTTTGGCATCCTGCGCTGCTGGTGGCAAGGTCGGATATTCTAGATGCGAAGAAGTGCTCTCGAATGCCTTCCAAAACGGTTTCTGGACACTGCAACTTCCTGCGAACACTACATCCCGGGCTCAAGTCCAACAGCATCTGACCCAATTTCTTGATCTATACATCCCAGAAATCCGTACTGGAGAGAACTGCGCGCGTGCAGACTACCTACAAATGCCCCGAACCATCGTCGAAAAACTTGAAATTTTTTTCTTCGTGCTCTGCAATGGTCTCTCACAGGGACTCGATCCCACTCGCTACGACGACTGGGATCGAGTCGTGGTTGAGGTAACGAAACAACTCAAGGTGCTTCTGAATAACGGTTGGCTACAAAAGATTGTAGCTTCGCACCATGAATACCGCAAAGTCATCGCTGAAGCTATATTTGCCAGTGCTGTCAGGGTTGGGGACCTAGATCTCGTCTCATGGCTCATTCCTGAAGGGATTGACCTGGAGCTGCCCATAAAGATGGGCGCCTCTCGATCTGGGGTCTGTGTCTGGTGGATCCTGACATACGACACTTGTTCCATGACACCAATAGAGGTGGCCTTTTGCAATAGTGACGTTGATCTTGCTTCACTACTTATTGCAAAAGGTGTCATGGCCAGCAGAAGGCTTAGCTCTATGTCTTCGGCTGAGCTTGTTGTCGCTGACATTGGCAACAGTCGCTCAGCGCAGTTAAGGCTACTTGAACTCGTACTGCAGGAGGACAAGACGTTGTCTGTGGCGCAGTGCTTGAAGGCCTTGAGTCTGGCGACCTGCTATTATTCCTTCGACTGCGCTCGACTGCTTCTTGAGGAGATCAGGCTTAGAGATCACAAATCAGCTTGCACTACGGAGCTGCTACGGATTGCGGTCATAATCGGCCATGACACCATTGTCGATGCCCTGCTGGATGAAGGGGTGAATGTCAACGGCAATTACACTGACATTGATCCTTTAGAGGGGCGTTTCGCGAGGTCGCCAATCGCTGCGGCATTGCTCGGAGGAAGAAGTAGTATATTCCGTGTCCTGTTAAATCGAGGAGCATCGCCCGACGGCCACTTTCTAGAGCCAACTCCACTACAGTGCGCAGCATACATGGACGATCCAGAGGCTATTAGGCTCCTTCATGAGTTCCATGCAAACATCAATCAGGTCACAGAGAGATCCTCCATTCTGTTCCACCATCACGTGTTTGAACGCACTGCTCTGCAGGTCGCAATACAAGCGGGCAACAGAAAAGCTACTTACGCTCTACTGGAAAATGGCGCGGAACTTCTGGGGGGCGAATTATCTATGGCGATTAAGAGCAACTTCAGCGCAATCTACAATACGCTTCTGGATCTCGGAGCCTCAGTCAATGACACGGTGGTAGGATCAGGCGACTCGGCTCTGGAACATGCCATCCTTCAGCGGAACGAGTTGATTGTTCATCGGTTACTTTCGTCGGACAAATACACATACTGCGCCGGGGCTCTTTGCGCCTCAGTAAGTATAGGTGGGATCGGCAATCTGTCCCAACATGCAATGGTTAATGCTATCATGCGAAATCGAAAGCCACAAATGTGCGAAAAGTTGTTACTGGAGGGTACGGCCTTAGCCATAGCCATGAACAGAGGAGAGGCCTCACTAGTATCTCTGCTTCTTTCAAAGGGCGTCAGATCTGAGCACTGTTTTAATCGTGGCAGCTGGAGCGGAAGCAGAGATGATGAGGATCTATTCCGAGAGGGGCATTCCAATTGGTGGCGTCGTAGTCCCATTTCGACATCTGTTCTTGCATCTTCTGTGCAAGCAAACCCTGAAATAGTTGCTCTGCTGTTGCAGAACGGATATACTGTCGATGAGGTCGTTTTCTGCGCGGCTGCACAGTACTCTCGTCGCCCAGTCTTCGAGATGGTGCTAGGCAAAGCAGTGGGGACAAACCACGATCTCTTCCTCCATGCTAAACGAGCACCACTACAGTGCGCAATCTCGAGTGGGAATATAGAAACTATCGAACTACTACTCCAGCATGGTGTCGCTCTGGATTTGGCAGCACCAGGATTCGATGAAATTGCGTTTCAATATGTGGCAGAGTCAACGAGGCTGGAGTTGATCAAGCTCTTGCTTGGTGCTGGTATTGATATCAGAGCTCAGAGGTCATCATTCTTTCAAAATGCTCTGGAATTATCAATACGCAGACGTGAGATAGAGTCTGTTAGGTTTCTTCTGGATGCAGGCGTAGATGTGAACGCAAGCTTGGGTCCTGGGTGTCGATCGATGTTGCAAGCGGCCGTTGACGCCGGCGCACCTGAGGTAGTGGAGATGATTCTTGACTGCGGTGGAAAAGTTGACTACTGCAGCCTGGAAATTGCTGTACGAAAAGGGTGTTTTGGGCTTGTTGAGGCCCTGCTTGCGGCGTGTGTTCATGGCCACGAATTCGAAGATTCGGAACATCCACAGGCATTGGAGGAATTGGCATCTCTATCGCAGAAAATCGGCCACCTGGACATGCAGCAGCTTTTTCTCCAGGTTTCGATATCAATGGCTAGTGCTAGTCAGCCCAGGACCCTAGGAGACTCTCGACTGCTATCGCAAGCTGGATGTTCGACCACTGCAGAGCCACAGCAGAGCAATAAACCGGGGCAAAGGCCCTCAATGCCTTTTCCAGGATGGACCTCGAACTTAAGCGAGGAATATCAATTTTCTCAATTTAGGGACAGCGGCCGCAGAGATCTGACCGAGATCGTTGAGCAGGAGCCACAGCTCGGAGCAACGAAGGAACCTGCATTTGCTAACTGCTTGGTAAACATGCGGGAAAGTTGCCAAGTACTGGAGAGAGAACCCTATGATTCCCCTGAAGATTTGTTCGACATGTTCATTCAAATTCCCGATTAAACCGATAAATAATACTGTTGGTGTTGTCGAGAATTCAATGTTCCTCTACGAGGCGTGCAGTTGTAAACGGTGTGGATTGTATTACATTCCGACGCGAGGTCTAGACAACTAACGCAGCGCAGCCTTATCGATGCTCTGCAACGGAGGTGAGAAGTGCATCGCCAGCCAAGCATTCCCGAAGAGTTTAAGGTTGGCCGGAAGGCATCTCGGGAACGGATGGTGACGGTATACTGCGAGAAATGGAAGGAATAATATGACGAACATCACGACGGTAGGTCCATAGAATGGTATAGAAGGGTTGAGGAACAGCAATATAATAGAAGAATACAGTCCCCATAATCGTGTAAGCCTCCTTGCCCATCTCTACCAACGTAAGATATACGCCCTTTCTCTTCCAGCACACGCCATTCGTTCCCTCACCAAATCATAGTGTAAGAACGTCTACTGTGGGGCAGGAACACCTGCTGGACAGAACAAAGTCGCATAGATGCAAAGGGTGCAGCAGGTGGCGTAATAATGTGGAAAAAGTTAGGAATTAATTCAACATTTCCGTTTCCCCGATCCATGGGTGATAAACGCCGATAGCACACCATTCAAGTTGACGGCAAATCTTCGGCACCCATATGGACCCCGTGAGATCGAAGGCTGCCATACATGGCTGGCTCCCAAATCCTTCAAATTTTGGAAGCTTCTGATCAGAACTACATAAATCAAATAGAAATTCCTGGATGAGGCGATTGGGGGCATGTATATACTGTCGTAGCCAGCACCTGCCACAGCCTCAACACAGCAGGTGATACCACCAGTCAGTGACCCAGAGCCGCACCGAGTTAGAGACCCCTATCTCGACAGCCTCATCCGCAGAACAGCATAACAAGCCAGAAGCCTCCCTGAATTCTTGGTGAGGCCTGTTGTAAAGAGCGTTGCTATTATTGAGAAAGTGAAACATGGTGAAAGCGAGCGTCTTTCCCGCTGTTCATCCCTCGTTCAGCCTTCGTCACCCAATCGCCCCAAGCTCCTCTCAGGTTCCGGAATACCCGTATCCTTGAGCGCTTTCAACAACGTCTCATGGCTGGGCAAGCCTTGCTTTATCTTATCCGGATGGTCAAGATCAACCTCTTTAGTCCCAGCACCTTACTCAAACTAGAGTTCAGAAACTGGACAAATCGGAAAGGTAAGAATTTCTCAAGCGTCGTGATGATGGGGAAAAACATGAAATAAGGGGAGATTAGAAATCAAGCTATTCCTAATATCATTCTTGAAATCGTCATCTTCCAGGTATCGAAGCCTTTTGTCCATATCCATACTCGGAAATAATGTCTGCCTTCGGAGCTGAGAATGCCGAGTCCATCTGATGGGGTTGCCTTGATGATGAGCCTTTTCGAATCTTTTGAAATAATATTGACCTTTTCCAAGATCAGTGGCTCGATTTTCTCAATCGACCTCTTGAATGACACGGGAGTATGACTCGTGGGCAGACACTTGTAGCTGTTGCAAGGTTGGACCAGGAAACTTGGATAGAGGGTGGAACCAGAGCCGGTAAATAACTTTAAGGAAGAGAGGTAAGCAGGCAGAAAGAAGAAGGTTGCGGATACTATATTGGAGCTATGAAAGAGAGATGAACTGTTGAATTGAGAGAGAATGTCTGTGAGCATGATGGCGCATGGTGTCCTGCTCCTTTAAAGTGTGTTCTTTACACACTTTGAGCAAAGAAGGAGTGGTTAGCTATTAAATTGAATGACAACACTTTTGCATCCTGTCTAAGAGCTCGACATTATTTACTTTCCGTTCCAATCTCCTTCATTTGCAAATGATGCATTTTTGTGCCACATAGGGATATATCTACCTCGGTGATTAACGCAATTTTGAGCTAGGATGTGTGGGAGATGCATACACTAGATGCGGCCCCCGTTGGAGCAAGGCCAAGGGTCTTGGTATGGGGCGGGACCGGCCAAGTAATCTAATACTCATACTTCGTACCTCGTATTGTGTAACAATCTGATCCCGCGCCTTTGAGAACCCACACGTCAATGAGCTGGTCCCGCGGCAGTTCGAGGCTCCTAAATCAATGTCGGCCCGCTGGCCCTTGTGCGTCGTCAGCAGATCACCAAACACCATACTACCACGCATATTCTTCATTCACTCGTTCAAATGGTGTAGGGGCACAATCCACTTTGGTCGCGCCACTTCGCAAATGTGATGAACATGGGAGCATCTTGAACATTTTGGCGACCATCGGTTTCCTTTGCAGCTCATTTTCCGAAATCCCGTTCTACCATTAACTGAAGAGAATCGCCAACTTTTTATTCGTAACGGGATGCCTCCCACACGACCCACGCAAGAACCCTTCACCCAAAGCCTGCTCTCGCTGCATAATCAATCCCTCTCTCATCATGCCTTCTAAATTCATTTCTGCAAGCGTCGCCTCGGCACCTTATAGCTTCTGCATGACGGTAATGTCAGAGGACTGAACGTAGTCCTCGAGCTCCTGGATCTCGTCCTGAAGGTCGATCAGAGAGATCTTGTCGTCCTCGACGACCAAGTTGATCGTGAGCTTGCGGATACCGAACCCGACAGGAACCAGCTGGGAGGCACCCCAGGTCAGGCCATCCTTCTCAATAGCACGGACCGCAGCCTCGAGGCCAGCCATATCGGTCTCATCATCTGTAAAGGACTCATGTTAGCGCTATCTGTGCATATGAAATCAGCAATCGAGAGCCATACCACTTACCCCAAGGCTTGATATCTATGGTCACAAAAGACTTGGCAGCGGCCTTAGGTTTGGCTTCCTTCTTCTTGCGGTAAGCCTCAAGGCGCTCCTCGCGGATCCTGGCAGCTTCAGGATCCTCCTCCTCGTCGCTGTCGAACAGGTCGACATCTTCATGATTGTCGCCAGTCTTCTCCGGGGCCTTGGCGGGGTTTGTGGTGAGCACTGAGTCAAGTGGTCAGTGTCTGGTGCCGCGAAGAACAGCAAATCAGCTGCAGCGGCGATAAGGCATACTAGTAGCTCCAGCATCAGTACGAAGATCGGCGAAGCCCATTTTTATTTTGGGGGCCTGTAGGAGATTAGGAAGGTCAATGACGACTATAGAAAGGGGTATCGAGAACGTGTAGCGTACGCGGTTTGGAAAGAAGTAGTAGGAAGAAAGGGTGAGCGGTTCAATTATTATTTTGTCGATGGTTGGTTATAAGTGAGGATTCAGGGCTTTGTCCCAAATTTGCGCTGGCTGAGCGCTGCCGACAAACCTCGGGCTACTTAAGAGATTTAAGATTGGTTAATAGCTGCCAATGCCTTGATACAAGCTGTTGAGTCATTGCGAGCCGTGTTGATTTTGCTGTAAAGGTAGCTTGCATCACTGAGCTGCATCAACCTGTCGGAACTTGGGGCTGCCAAGTTCCAGCAGAGGACGTAGAGAGGCTAAGGTGGGGAAGTCTAGAATCAAAAGGTCAAAGACATCAGAATGAGATCCTGGTGCCATTCCTTACCTTCTTTCCCCTTATCGGTCCGATGCGATGAGGCCTTTTGCGGAGGGGCACAAACTCGAAAGCTGCTCCCTCCGTCCATCTCCCAGCACAGCCCACCTCCTCGCGTCTTCGTTCGGGTCTTCCATGGTCAGGCAGATGGTTTCCCGGCTTGGCAACTCAGCTCTGGATGGACTGTGAGATTGAGAAACCAACAGCACAAAGCCACCCATTCCCGTTTGATCATCTGCCTAGTACCTGCATCGAGCCTGCCTCTCGCCAAGTTAGTCTTGCTCGCCGATTGACTCATTCATCCCGTGCAGCCCAGAAGTTTCTGACTCACTTACCACAGCCCCAACGGCGGCACGACTAACTGCATGACCTATCGCGGTCCTTTCCACACCTGTCGGAAATTAAAAGCAGGACCTTGTAGGATCTAAGGCAGCATCGGAGCCCTCCATTTTTGACTATATATGCCCTTGAAGGGGCCGGCTGGGCGTTCTCGCAAACTTCACTACACCGTCCAGAACCCGAAGCGAAGAAGAGCTCTAGCATCTAGCTATAGCTCCTCTACAACCCCCCCTTTCTACCGAGGAATATCTACGGCACCTCGCAATCTCACAATGGCTGTTACAACCACCTCCACTACCGCGGCCGTCAAGGCGCCCTTTATCCCACAAGGTCTCGGAAGGGGCCACAATGGTCAGGGGCCGAGACGCCGGCAGGAAGCCCAGCGGCGGCAGCAAGAAAGATTGCAGGGTTAAGAGAAACGCATTTGACGTTTTCAACTCCCCTGACGGAATTCAGGTGGACTCGTAGAAGTTTGCTAATTGGGACTACAAGCATCGGGACCTCCCTCAAGCTCCTATACCTGCAGCCTCCTAGCTAACAAGGCACTACTATGATGAGCCTTAGATTGCTGTGCGAATCTCTGCCAAGTTTTTCAATAGTACTAAAGTCCATAAGATCAAGTCGAAGAATATTGTATAACAGACCAAGGGACCCGGCGATGAATCTTTGCCCCGCTGCCACCCCTGTGTCTAACTAACCAGGCTGCCGGGATGGAAATATTGGGCCAGTTCGTGTTCGTACGGTACATCGGTCCTACTCGCGGTATTGTGGCGCAGATCTTGATCCCTCAGCTCCGGCATCCCTTGGCGCCACGCAGCCTGGTGAGCTCGACGCAAATAATGCCGCCGGTTCTACTTAAGATGTCCCCTTCGGCGAAGTTGAGAACTTGATCGTTTCATCTCGTCAAGATAACCCCGTTCTTTCAGATCTAGGACCTTTCCAATTCCTTCTCTTTTTATTGGTTAAAAAATCTTATTCAATCTTGATTAAGCATGAAGTCTCCGAAAGAGAGCAGCAAGCCGCAGGTAGTGTGGATGTGGCTCAACTCCCATGCATTCCCTTTACTCTACATACTCTGCTGCACTGCTTTTGCTCTCACCCTCCATTTTTATCTTGATGGCAAACCGTTCCGCATTGTCAGTCGGCCCCTAGGTACCTTAAATATACCTAGCCCATTGTACCAGACGGACGTGTCATTCCTGCCGGCCAGAGCAGCAACCCTCATACGCTTTATCTACACGTGCTGGTGCGGAACCATCTCCTGGCGCATCATATACACCGTCCTGGCAGAGCGAGGCATGACTCTCAAGGAGCTCTGCCACGTTGCCAAGGACTGGCCGCCTTACATCAGGCCAGGTGACTACGCAAGGAGGCATCGCGTCCCGTCCTACACATTCGTTGCGGTGGTCTGGCTGGCCCTGCCGGCGCAATACCTATCCAAGCCGCTGATGTCCGCTTCCATGGGTTGGACTTCAGTCACACGTCAAAGTCCAACGGCGAGTCGAGTTTCTTTCTCTGTCTCTGGAGAATCCGATGCTTGGGATAGGTTCAATGCTGCCGAAGATGAGCGAAAGGACTTAGTTCTTCGAAGTGCGGCCTTAGCGTCCGCTGCTTGGTCGACTTTCTTTAATAAAACCAGTCTGGTAATGCGGAGAGCGTACCCGGCGTCTATGGGCATTCCGGTAAACTCAACCCTCGGCGGATATTCTGGTCCCTTTTCTCGCCGTCGATGATCTCCACTGGCTCGAGGACGACAACTAAACCTTGCCCGACAAGTTGATCTCAGCCATCACGAGTAAGACTACTGGTCTCCTAAATATTAGCAGCGTGGAAGGCACCATCACCAAGCCTGTTCCCGGTAACGCTGCCCTTATCAAAATGGAGCCGTGGGAGGCGGCCCCTATCGAAGAGAAAACCGCGCAGTACCCACGACGCATGTTTCCCCAACCGGTGGCTTTTCCGACCAAATTTACGTCGCTGTTCTTGTGGACCGTTTTGAAAGAATACATCCAGATGACACGTGTCACAAAATATCGCGCTACTTTGGACAACCACCTGCGACAAGACTCATTCCCAATAAATGGATGATGAAGGGCGAGCCGTATGCACTTGATTGCTACATTGTCGCCAACGTAACTCTCACAGCGGGTAGTTGGAATTGCACGAGCTGCCCCGTCGTGGCAGAGGGCGTTGCCGAAGCCGACCTAGCATTGCAGCCTGACCCGGAACCAGAGAAACACTCCCTCGCTACGACTAGCTTCGACGCAATGCCAGAGGTCATGACGAATATAGCCATCATGAATGCGACGAATGCTACGCTCTGGAATAATATTGACGGCTAGGCCCCTGGCATGGTTATGCTCTCGTATCAGACGACCTGGAACGCCATGGCAGAAACCTTCCGTACGGGGGTGCGTAAAGAGACCGACGCATTTCCGCCTCAATATTTTATTGTACGTCCCGAGTCTTTGCTACTCGACAAGTCTCTCGGAGGAGGATGAGAGGACTACACCGAGGTTTAGGAAGGGCCCAGAAGTAGGGGGACACAGTCACAAGGAAACCGATTGGGGTCGATATCGCACATTGGAGAAGGTTTTGTCGGATATTACAGATGATGCCGGGGACAGTGATGAGACTGTGCGAGGTGTATAAATGGCGACTGAGCTATTCAGTGTCGCACCTCCCCGAGTTGCAGCTATCCTAGACCCAGGTAGGGCTCGTTATGGTACTTCTATCTATCGCCCACTTGAGTACATTTATTTTTATCTGTTTGGCTATTTTGATGTCCCGTGGTATATATATATATATATATATATGATAAAAGCTCGTCGGGAGAAGCCTCGTACCGCAACATCTGGCGTAATCAGCAGTCACCTAGCACGCTCGCCCCATTTACATCCGCGGATGTGGAAATTCATGCGGAGTGAGTGCTAGTATGCGGTTAATTTAGCAACCCCCCGAGTAGAAAAGTCTCAAGGGTAGTTCATGATATGACGATCCTATGCGCCGCTACTGTCCCGCGTGTGATGAAGCCTGACTTTCCCGAGGATGAGCCGCAGCGGCTGGCTTTCAGGAACATCGTAAGATGATACGTGCCTAACAGGGTCGGGCAGAAACCAGACGGGCCTGAAATTAGCTCATTCAAAATCAAGAATCTCTCGTCTATGTAAGATAAGGTTCTTTATACGAGAATGGATTTCCTCGGAAGGCTGAAGGAACGTGACAAAATCAAGAAAGTGAGCATCAAGAATACCGGCGAGGACGAGCATACAAAAGCCGCCACAGCTTCAGCGAGCAAGGAGCGGTCCGGCCTCTTCACCTTGCACAGCTTGCCTTCTGAGGCATCAAATACAACACTTGAGTAATAGAGCCACATGCAACCGCCGCCATTGAGGTTGGTCTAACAAAAATACCAGCGTGATTGCAGTTCACGGCCTCGGCGGAAATTGGCAGAATACGTGGACGGCATCAAACGGGAAACTATGGCTTCGCGATTTCTTACCACTACAGTTGCAACACATAGGCCTTGCAGCGCGTGTACTGTCGTTCGGATATGACTCTGAGTCGTTCTTTAGCAAGTCGACATCGGACATCGACGACGTCGCTCGCGTGTTTGTGGATTTTTTGGATGCCATGCGCCAGAGCGAAGATGAGAAGGCTAGACCCATCATCATCCTTGCGCATTCCCTCGGCGGCGTCGTAATAAAACGGGCAGGTTTTATGAATTATGAGACTGGAAGACACCTAGTATCCGGCTAATGGTGCGGCAGGCTTTAAATCTCTGCCATGAACGTCAAAACCTCTACGGCCACCTCCTACCGAACATCAAAGCTGTCATGTTCTTTGCAGTGCCGCATCGTGGGGCCGATATTGCCTACTGGGGCCTGTTCGCCCAGCGGCTGCTCCATTATGGGCAGTTGACTATCCGCGGGAATGATGAATTCCTCAAGGCACTGCAGAGAAACTCGGAGGTTTTTGCAAAAATATCCCAACAGTTCGTCGAGCGCGCTCAGGCCCTGCGTATTGTCACGTTCCTGGAATCGGAGCGGCTCGGTGGCCAGCTCGTAAGTCTTCGGTGACGAATCTTCACGGTTACGCCTTGGGCGTATTTCTGACTCCTTGGATTTGGCCAAGATCGTCGAACGGAACTCTGCCGAACTTCTCTTACCGAACGAGAAGGTTGTCACCGTCCCCGCAGCTAATCACCGAACCATTTGTAAGTTCTCCGCCACATCTGATCAGAATTATTTCCTTGTCTCGGCCAATATCCTCGCCGTTGCGCGAGACCTAGTGCAGGAAGGCATGGCCTCCGGTAAGTATTAGAATCACTAACCTGACCATGATCTAGAACCGCTCTCTAACATGTAATAGATAATCTGGCGGCGAAAACTGAGAATGCCATCACCTCGTTGCCCACGATTAATTCAGATGGTAAATGGCCCAGGTCTAGTTAGAAATAGTTGTGGCGTACTAACTAGCTTCCCGGCAGACGAGTCAGAGAAGCTGCTACAACTCCTTTTCCTGACCGATCCGAAAGATGATGTTGCCGCCATTTCGAGAGAAAGAGGAGACAGGCATCCTGGCACGTGTGAATGGCTTGGCGATAGAGAAGAATACAAGTCATGGTTTAACTCCGCTGACCCGTCCTATTTGGCAATCACGGGCCTGCCCGGGATCGGAAAGACGACTTTGGCGCGCTTCATCCTGGAGAAACTAGCAGCACACGTCAAAGGCTCGCCGAACCACATGCTGCTATACTACTTTTTTGACAACAAGATCGAAGACAGGAGGACCGCCTTGACGTTGGTTAGATCGCTAGTCTGGCAGGCGGTCTCCCAACATGACGAGCTCTGGAAGATTATGGGGAACGACCTCAGGTTGAAAGGCGACGGGATTCTAACTTTTGACACTCTTTGGATGCACCTCCAGAGCATGCTTCAGCCCGCCAGTTTCTCAACAGTCTATATACTCATTGATGCTCTCGATGAGTGTGACGACGCATCTCGGAGTACAGTACTATGGGCATTGTCAAGAATTGCTGCAGACGCCGCGAAGCAGGCAGGGCTGCCGATCAAAATCGTCGTGACTGCGAGACCTGAGGCTGAAATTGAAGAGGCCCTGGGCCAAGATTGGCTGCGACTTCGAATAGACTCCGCGCTAATTAACATCGATCTGATGAATTTTATAAATTCAAAAGTCAAGGATATGGCAGCCGCTAAACACATTCCGGAAACAATGGCCGGTGAGATCAAAGACGCTCTGACGAAGCACGCTAGTGGAACCTTCCTCTGGGCGTCATTTGTCGTTCAAGAACTTTCCCGGACTCCGCTACATAAGATCCGACGAGCCCTGAAGGAACTTCCAAGAGGCCTGGACGAGGTGTACTGCCGTATTCTTCGGCGCATAGACAAAGAGAACAGAGAAGATGTTAAAGTTATCCTGACGTGGATTACCACCACCGCCAGGCCGCTCACTACAACGGAGCTTGCACTGGCTTTTGGAACTGAAACCAAGCACTGGGCGGATCCTACCTCGCCAACCTCTGAAGAAGTCTCCGAGTGCTCTGCAATCTACTTATGTTGTCAGGCGCTCGTGTACAAGGACTCTGAGACAGATGAGATTCGTCTCGTTCACCAGAGTGTAAAGGACTTTCTCACGGGACCTCGCCTCGAGGTCGAGTCAGATATTTCCGACTTCCGCATTTTCCCAGAAAGTGCCAACAATGCAGTGTTTCGCGTTTGTTGGACGTATCTGAGTTGGCCAGAATTCAAGTCATATTTTGACGTCTCAAAACGGGTTGATTCGAAGATCGAAAAGATACAAGGGGAGAGCATCGCTGACAGCACCCAGGCTCCTCAAAACTGTCTTATACGGTACGCAATGGAGAATTGCCTCACACACGCGGATGCCGCCTATACGGCCGAAGGATTCGACTGGAGCGTTCTCAGCATGCTACCGAACCTGAGGGACCAGTGGTTACTAAAGGCTATCCAGTCAGACGAAGGAGATCTCGCACGTAGCCTTTTGGATAATGGTGCCGATGCCAATGCACGGGGTCCTGATGGAGATGGTGCATTGCATTATGTCGCACAAACCGGGAACCTGGCGGTAGCGAGGGCGATTATCCAATCGGGGACTAACCTAGACCTGAAAAACGATTTGGGAATAACGCCAGTGTACGAGGCCGCTCACGCAAAAAACTCGGATGTGTTCTTCTTATTCCTGGCTTACGGTGCAAAGGCCGAGTTGTACACAGCCGAGAGGGTCTGCACAGGTAATCTATTTCCCTCTTTTGTGATTGCATTCTTCCGCAATAAGCGTACTAACAACTACCAGGGGTTCCGAACAAGGCTAGATGTTTCCCAACTGAGAGTGATATTTACCTTGAGGGCGAGGGTGGTGTTCCTAACACCGACTTTCTGAAAGCCCATTTCTATAGGGAGGGGAGGCTTACTGGCTCGCAAGCTATTCAGCTCTTGTCCCGAGCAAGGGAACTCCTACGAACGGAGCCTAACCTCCTCCACCTAGAATACCCCGTCGTTATAGCTGGAATGCTACACGGCCAATATTACGACCTTCTAAAACTCCTCACGGTCGGAGGCGACCCCAGCGATACCCAATACTTATTCCTCGGGAATTACGTGAATCGAGGCTACTTCAGCGCCGAGACAATGTTCTTGCTCTTAGCCCTCAAAATCCGGTATCCCACGACGTTTTGGCTGCTTCGCGGCCAGCATGAATGCCGTCTCCTCACCGATTATTTTACTTTCAAAATAGAATGCTTGAACAAGTACTCGGAGGAAGTATGGGAGGCGTTCATAGAGACGTTTTCTGCGCTCCCACTCGCCGCCATTGTTGGGAAACAGGTGTTCTGTGCCTCCGGCGGGCTCAGCCCCCACATGATCAAAGCTGAGGAGATCGACGAAGTATAATGATAACCCCAGCCTATGTCGGAAGCCCTAGCCTATTGAACGTCGCAGGCTAACATTCTCACTAAACGCAGATAGATCGATTCCAGGAAATACCGCAGAGCGGTTTGTTCTGTGACCTCATGTGGAGTCAATACGACGAAGAGTATGACAGCAAACAGGGCGACGATGATCTGCTGTTCGTCCACAACCACGTAAAAGGAATCTCATATTTCTACACCTATGAAGTGGTCTCCCGGTTCCTCCAAGCTAACAATTTCCTGGCCCTTGTTACATCCACTTTCAAACAAGACTCTGGGTATAGACTTCTCCGCAAGAGTAGTACTGGGTTTCCCTCGATTGTGGATGTTTGCAGTGTCCCGAACTATCTCGACGTCTACGGCAACAAGGGCGCTGTTATCCACCTCACGGATAGTACGTGGGACATTCGGCAGTTTAACGCAGGGCCTCATCCTTATATTCTTCCCAACTTGATGGACGCTTTTACGTGGTCGCTCCCGTTTGTGGTCGAGAAAATATCGGACATGTATTTGGAAATATTAAGAAGTACATCAGGGTGGTGTGATTCGGGCAAACTGATAGGCAGTCCGAGGAAGGAGGAACCAACGGCCGATCCAGCATCCAAAATAGCCGTGGAGAAGAAGAGCCGAGATACTAGCTCTGCAAGCTGCGAGAATCAACCTCAGACGGAGCCCGACCCTACCGTGGACGAGGCCTATTTTCTAGAGCAGCTCCAACGAGAATTCCCAGGAGGGCTTAGGCTTCCGCCTGTATGGGATCTTACTCATCTGTTGATTGCTCTATCGGCGGCGGAAAAAGATCGAGCTTAAGCAGTGGCCCTGCACCTTACACTGTCTTGCTTAATGCGATGGGTCATGGATCTAGTCCGGTGAAGAGTTAATTGTCCAAGCAGAGATGGATATGAAATTGTCAGGGCGCGGTAAAATACTATCTGCTCCACTGATTTTGTTGTGTGCGACAGCCGCCGGGATATCATATTCCGCCAAGCAGCTCTCTATCTAGTTATTACTGTATTATCCTTTCCTGCAGTTTGAAGCCACTCCTTTATAGCAAATATGCACATTCGTGCTTGGCTCCCCATCTCCTGTTTGCGTGACTTGGGTAAGGATGGAGCAAGAGATGAAAATTGTGAACCAGATAGCACTGTAAAGTTGAATGCTGCTGCATCGTCCTATTTTGGTTAAAACATCCTGGTTTGTGCGATCCACTTGCAAATTGGGACGGCGGTCTCGCCTAACGCAAGCAGAATGCCTCGAGACATACAAGTTTCTTGATCTCCTTCTACCAGTGCCGCGTTATCCTTTTCAGGTCGACGATCGAAACCATAGATTATTAGGAACAAGCCAAATAACTTTCCAACTTCGATCGCTCGCCGATCGTGATCTGAAAGGTATCCAAGGGGCTTATAGAAAATCTTCCAGAACTGAAGCCGGAGGTAGTTATGGCCAGGATGGAAGAGCCAGCATGATGATGAGGTCTGGATCCCAAGTATTGTTTCGAGGCCACCAGGCGAGGTGCCGAAAGGGCCAATTTTAGCATGAGCCCAATCTACGATGCCGGTAATGCGACCAGTGTCCTCGTCTACGTTAATATTCATCTCCAAAAGGTCATCGTGGTTAAGTAGCATTGGGTAGTTGGACCGAAAGAGTAGCAGGAGCCCTTGGCGTACTTCGCGTAGCTTTATCTGGAAACGTTCAGGCAGACCGTGGGAGAGTTGGTCCAGGATTTCGGAGTAATGGGCGAACAATTCGCTAGCTGAGTCAGGTAACCGCTTCAAAACTGGCCTATTAATCTACGCTGAAGCGAAAAATCTAGCCATTCCATCAATCAAGGCTCGATATAGTGATGATACCATGGCAACAAACCTTTCAAAGTCCTCCACGGGTTCGACGCAGACGCTGTTCCATTCCCGGGGCGAGGAGTTGACATCGGGCCCGCGAGAAAGCGAATCCCGGGGCAAAGTCCATCTCGTAAACGTAAGTCTACATGCCGCAGGACTTGCAGTTGGGAACAAAGTCTCCGTAATTTTGTCGTGCTCGGTTCATGAGTTTGATATCTAACGACTCTCGGCCGCTGGTTTTTGTGGGTTGCCACAATGTAGCTGGCCTCGCCCTGTACACGCGTAGGAGAGATAGGACCACCAGTAATGTCCGCAGCCATGAGATTGCAATTATCCCTCGTAACGGATTTGTGGCGGCAAAAATTCTGGATTGGATGGATTGAAATATAAAGAACCACCGAGGCTACGATTCCGAAATCGTGCTACCTGTGGAAATCCTATCCTCTGCGATCCCAAGCTGGCCATTCTTTCCAATGTAAGATTATATCTTAAGTAGTCAACTTCGCTATGACCATACTGAAAGCGCTCTTATGAAAAGGTTCATCTCAATCGAGAGATAACGGTCAGCCGGCCTCAACACGAAATGGAAATTATATTGAAACGGAGTAGTGCAGCCTGCCCGGCCACCACAAGAATGAAACGAAAGAAACAGATGGTCAAATGGTCTAGAATGGTTCCTGCAAGAAGCTGCTGCAATTCTCCCTGCAGGAATGGTAACGGGACGTCGGAACTGTTGATCAATGGAAATAGAGCCAGATCATGAAGAAAGGAGACTTCCAAATAGGGGGAAGTCAAGAAACGTATAAGTGTCAAATCAGGACACTTGGACACACAAAACAATAGAAGAACTGTCCGGAGTCACCACGCAAGATGATCCATGAGGAATTGATAAAAGGAAGTCAATTAAAGGAAAGACTAATGACTGAATACTTGAAGAACTTATTGTTGTTGTTGAAGAAACTTGAAGTTCCTCCTCGGAGAGGAAAGAAAAGAAAAGAAACAGCTATCCCCCTGGCCCATAGTAAGGAACAATATTTCTCCGCCCCCATCTTTTAAGGTCCCATGAGAACTGCACCATTTCCACTGCTGTCACCTTTTCCCCCATCACAAGATGAAATTTTCTTCCAGCCAAGTCAGATCCTTGCGACCCTTTCCAGTGCTATAACTAGATAACAGCATCAAGGCCCTGCGGACCGGAAAAAATTATGTGGACGTGCCCACAAACACTACCAAAACAGCCGTATATGCTGCAGTTGTCCCAACCAGAGCAAAGGGAGGTGCATCAGGTCCCCGATAACTTGCCATAACCAACGCAAACAAGAAGGTAGCTACGGAGGTCGTCACCAACTGTGCAGTTTGGTTGTTGAAGAAAACCATTAGAAGCATTGGAGCAATCAGAGCAAGCCCCCCCATCAATCCAAACGTGAGACGTGTGAGGAACAATCGTATCCTTTCCGCGTCTTTCGCTGATCCACGAGCATCCCCAAACAGTCTCGGCTTGGAGACATCATCTGGATATGGGCTAGGTTTCCCCAAACGGCGGCCTGTGGCACAATTGAAGAGGTCGATACTATCCATAATTACTCGATCTCTCCACCGAGAACTCACGAGTTTAAAAGGATCTTGGCTGAGATCATTAGAGTGCTTTTCCTTCATATAGTCGTAGTCCCTAAGTGCATCACCTACGGGTCGTTAGCGCATACACAATAATGGATAGGTACGAAATCTGAACATCAATAGCAATAGTCCAACGTACAATATTTGTGCATCAGAGTCATGATATGCATAGCTTGCCTCTCTGACAAAGCCTTTTGCTCCGATATGCCGAGGGCGCTCTGAGCAAGTCTTGTTCTTATAGCCTGGAGGCTCAGCCGCTGTAACCCCGTCAAGTTCATCACATATTCGGCCGGATATTTGGTCGGGTCTTCCGGTAGTCTATAGATGAGTTCTTTGATGATACCATCCTCCAACCTTCCCGAGAGATTAAGAATGGCAGAGGTTCTTGCTATATCGTCCAGATAGTCCAGAACCTGAAGACGAGAGCAAGCGGGGTCTTCCGCTTCATCGAACCCATATTCCAGCCCGCAACAGCCTAGCAACTGCTCGACTCCGTCTTGTAGTACCTGCCATCGCCGACGTTCTTTTCCGGGACTATTGTTAGAAGCTCCCCCCGCCCGTTCGGTCTGTGTTGGCGGTGACATCGCACCCATTTTTGGTGGTCCCTGTCCTGACGATGATGCCATCTCTGCTACATCTGACTTCCGAGATTGAATTCTGTCAGTCAGGGCTGTTGGGTTTGCTGGTGCTGCGATTGCGATCCTGTTGGCGGCGGTTTCCTCTCCCTACGGAGGCGTTTCTTCTTCTGATGTTTTCCCCCTGTTGTCTGCGTCTCGCTGGGTCCGTTAGAGGAGCTTTCTGCCGCGGTCCTGCGCTCCTGGATGGCTTCTTCTAATCTGGCTTTTTCTGACTCGGCTTGTTCTTTAACTGTGGGGACTCGCGCTGTGTTCCACAGTTAGTGGTTATATCAGAATTGGTCCATTCAGAAAACCTATGGGTCATACCATTGGCTTCGCTGTCGGGTTCTTCGTTTCCGGCGTTCTCTGATATCGCTGGCGGTATATTTTGGTCCTTGGCTCGCCGGCGAGACTGGTGGTTGGCTCCGTCTCTCTTTGAGCTTGATGTTCTTCTTGAGAAAAATGATAAGGAAATTGTCATAGTGCCCCCTACTAAACAGGATTCAGTTGTGATTGTTGTCGGGGAAGGACCTTGGGGTAGGTTTACATCTATCTCGATAGCAGTTAGTTGCCTCATATGTGAGCCAATCTGTCGCGTTGATGTTAGGCATATGAGCATATGCATGTCTGCCCAACCCTGTCGGGCGCAAATCCGATAATGCCGCTTCCGCCTTGCTGCTGACGTCTTCCTGCTAACTTTTCCCGGTCTCCGGTTTCGGTTTTCGAGAAAACAAATATCCATCCAGACATAAAGTCACCGTGAAGTATTAAACACGTTAGAGTTCTAGACAGAGGAAATCAGTCTCGCTCCTCGCTTCTAGTGCACTGGATGCATTTGATAGGCTTAATGTGAAGCTTGAACCTTAAAGGAATACTTAAAGGATGCTTGAAGCTTGCTTTCGAAAAGAACGAAAAGAAGGAAATAAAACTTGATATCCCCTGCCTCCAGAAGAAGCTTTTTCCAGTTCCACAGTTCCAGAGGAGCCCAAAAAGCGCGCCTGTCACTAAAAGCTGTTCCTGCACCGTCTCACTAGCAACAGACCCGGGTTTCAAAGGAATTTCTGCGTGTCCGCCCCACTAAACAAGCATCAATAGAGGTGCGGGCCTAGAAATTCACGATCGAGACATACTTTGGTTCCTGGTTCTTTCCGCGCGAGCCCTGGCCTCCCTTTTTCGTCGTCTGCGAGACAATGGCGCCGCCCTCTTGAGAAGCTCTCGCCAAGAGCCTGCATCCGTGACCCTTTGTGTCTCGGTCCTGTCACGATTGGACCATATCGTCGCATATTGTTTGTATCGAGTAGGGCTATTGTCATCTGTCGGCTTTCGGGGAAATAAGTTGAGCCGAGCTGCAGTTCTGGTTACCAGGCTGCGGAGTGCTCGACATCCACGGGGGCGTGATTTTCGCTCTTTTGCGGATCTCCGTTTGGCGTGGCTGCCAACGCCACTCACACGATCTACGCACACGGTTAGAAGTGGCTTGCAGCGATTTTGTTAGAAGATCAATTGCTTCTATTAGAGACTCTCTATATAGCTAATATTACGTACAGCTAAGATTGGAGTCCGCTCTCCGGCGATGCCTAGCACCTGCCAAGGCAAACCCTCATCATACCATTATATATAACATCAATGTATTCACGTCGCCGTCCCACCCTCTATTTCGATACCCAAGTTATTTAGACAGGCACCTTATTCCAGGTTCCCGGAGCATGTAGCTTCTCCTCGCTTTCATTCCTCCCAACCGATGTCACTTCGACTTGGAATCTACCCCCCGAGGGACTCAGCTTGCTGTTGCTATGAGTCGAATTCCCATCACCTGCCGGATTAGCAACTCCGTCGCGGCTAATAGAAGAAAGACTGTAGACGCCGTGACCCCTGGAAAAGTAGCCGTCGGGATTGGATCTAGGCTGGCGCCGCGACGAGTGCCTATGGTCGGAAGGCTGTAGGGACACCGATCCGGCAGTAAGGCCGAGCTTAAACGCTACCAGCTGAATCAATGGCCGCAATGTTGCGAGACTACCTGCTGTGACTGCTAGGCCTTGTTCAACGTTCGACCAGATTGCGACGTCGACCGTATTCCCTAATAACTCTACGTTAGGAGCTATTCATAAGTAGCGAAGGCGGCCGGTCTCGCTTACAGAGGAAGTCGGGCTCCTTTAGTTTCGGAAGATAGGGGAATCGAGCAACCACTGCCGAGCTCGCACTGAAGACCATTGTCAGCAAGAAGAGCCCATTCGCCGGGTCGAGTATTACACGTACACGCATCCCATAGCAAGGAGAGGGATCAACAAGAGTTTCGTCTTCTTATTAAGCTGTAATTTCCAAATTATAACACCTGGGAGAAGAGCGAAGATAAAGTCTGAAATGACAGCCGTTACGCTGTACACGGTAGCGATTGTGACGACGACATCGGCGCTAATACATTTCCCCGGTGGTTGTCTAGTCCAAAAGAATGAGATCGGGCTGCATTGGAAGAGGGTGACGAAGAATAACATGGCGCAGGAGAAGGCTGTCGTGCCCATGGCGAAGTAGATGATCCATTTGTGGACTTTGCTGACGATGACGCGGAGGAGGAACCAGCCGATCGACAGTTTCGACGATATCATAGCTAGACAGTACCAAAGGTAACAATACCACCAATACTAGACACGCATATATTAGAATCGCGTCGATTGGCGATCGTGAGAGTCTTACCATCATGGCAGTCGAGATGTTTGTTAGCTCAAGATCGGCATGGTGGCGTCCAGTTCCGTATATGACGCCTACATTGGAGAAGGTTGCGTTTAAGGTAAAGAAGATCTGGGGGGATTCTCGGTTAAGCATGATTCAAAGCGATAGAAAGTAATACTAGAAGGGCACCCCTTACGGCTGCAGCGACCATCAGCCAATCGTCAATGCCGAATGCTTTGACCATGAAAGTGCGAACGTAAATTCGCAAAAGTATGGCGATGAGGGAGGCGGTCAAGAAGGTGCTGTTGACGGCCACGAGCTGTGGCCCTCGGTTCTCAATTTCTGAAGCCATGGTGAACGAGGATGGGGACGAGGATGGAGACAAGGCCGTCCGTCTCACAGTCAGGGAAGAGGATCGATTACCCTTGCGGTCCACGGTCCATCAGTTGTTTTAATACATGCAAGAGATGGTTTAAAGTAAGGACCCTAGCCGGGGCGAGTTGTATTCTATGCATGCAAATGGGGGCCTCACGCAACTGCCGAGGTTCCCCAGTCCGATTCGATAAGCTCGATGATGCGCCGAAGCGTGGAGAGATCTACTAAGGTGAGCGAATCTGGAATATACCCCGAGGGCACTACAGTCAAAAGGGCAAAGTGGACGAGCTAGTCCCATCAGCTCGGCATCGAGACCCTTGAGGGAGCATGCAAAACGCATGGACGTCAATGGCATGTTGTATCTGGGTTTCAAACACTGCCAGTGGCGGATGCTAGTTGTTGTCGAATGAGGAATCGAAATGCCAACCCCGTGGAGTCGGGTTGAGGGGGTCAAGAGACTCGAGATAAAGAATGACAGCGCCATGTCCTATCTAGTTTAGGGAAAACGCCCGTCCGGTCTAAAACGTGGTTGGCTTGCTGAACTCTGTGGGGATTGTGATTCAAGGTTTGTTAAACCACGGAACATTGCCGTTTCCATCTTTAGCCAAAGCCATACATACTATTGAGTCTCAAGTTAGATTCAACGATGCCGCACGGCCAGAAAGACCAGCAAACTTCTCGCGCAGTTCGGATCGCTTGCTGCTAGACATGTATCTTGCCTAACCAGGGATTCCTCCTCTAGCATACTGACCTCAATTAAAGAAGACGCCAGCCCGGTTGTCCATTGTCCACTCTTGTTGATATTGAGAGATCTTGTACTCATTCGGATAGTTTAGCCATGAGCTGAGGTCAGGCCGGGAAGAGAAATCGGCCGGTGGTATGCAAGGTACAATTTGTGGATCAGATCGGCGTATTCATGATACTACCCTAATTGGCGATCCAGCAACCAGAAATTAAGGTATGATTTGGGACAAAACAGGGCCTTTGGAACCGTCGTTCGCCCAGATGCATCAATTGATCAATTTAGGGCGGGTTAGCAACAAACTATAATACGCTAAGTATTAGTTTTAGCCCACTTGCTGTAACATCTCGCGTTTTCGAATCGGACAAACGTCCACTAGGGGCCATGTTCCTAATGCCAATCGAGTACGACCCATAGATTCGACCTTTTTAGTAGAATAAACCGGCTTTTTAACGGTGCTAAGGAAATAGGGGCCCCATGCGGACGGGGCTGCTAGTTGGTAAAGGGTATGCCGAATCCACTTTCGTGGACGAGAGCGGAATTTGAACCACATTATTGGCATAGATTCTCCGAGAAAAAAATAGATTCTCCGAGCGGACACGGACACGAAATTGTCGAGACATAAAGGGCGCGATATACACACGTGCATAGTGTGTGAGTGTCCGTGTTGCGGGAGCATGGCATAATAATTTAGTTATGTTGCAGCTTTGCTCTCGGGCCGTGAACACGACCTTCACGACGTTACTTACTTGTATGAGAGTAGGTGGTTTGGCTGGTTTCACAGAATCTCCTCTTGGAAGTGAGGTAATACCAACTCTAATCGAGAGCTCACCGCCACTAGACCGAGAAAATGACGGACTGGGCGTGAACAATTGGGCCGACATTCGCCAGATACAATGCGGAATATAGAGGAAGATCGACGCCATCGAGGTCACTTCGGTGTAGCAGTTTTGCTTTCTTGCTGGTGTGAAACCTATCGAATCTAGTCATGAGGCAAATGTCTCTGGCGCTGTTAGTCAACAGGTAAGAAGTTTGAGAAACAACATCTCGCTTGCCAATCATCCTTCTAGATATCCGGGGCGTTATAGAGCGTGGTTAACGCGATACTAGAGGGTAGCTAGGGCTTGTGAGGGACTCAAGGTCACATCCACGAACTTTTCATGAAGGGAAGGTGGGAAGAGGCAATCAGATCCGAGGATAGAAATAGTAATCTTTAATGACTAGGTTGGGGACGTGAAGAGGATGCTAGAAGATACTACTAGTTTGGGTTCATTGGGCCGCTTCATAGCTATCTCATGAAATGGATCCATAGTTTGGCAGAAGACGTTAATATTAAAAGGGAACCGGATCCTGCCTGATAGCGTTCTAATAGGTCGAGCAATTATGGCGGGCACGAACCTCTCCCGAACCGAAGCCACAGGGTCGGGCTTTACGCGAGTGCATGCATGCGAGCCCCTTGTCAGGAGGGCCTACGAGCCCACGACGTATTGTGTGCTTCTTCACTGAGCTCCCAAGACTCGGTATAACCGTACGAACTTGACACACAAATGCGGAGAGAAGAATAAGCCAAAGCCAGGCCTCGGTGTTTTCTAGAGTCCGCGCCAATGACGCTCCGCATTAGAGTTTCACATTTCACATTTCCCTTCATGAAACATACAAGGTCAGCCACATTTCGTGGCGTTGATTTTGGATAATTCCTGTTGGTCCCCAACCGCGACTGCGCCCTTTTAACCGCCCTTTTTAACCGACCAGGAGGATGCCTTGGCCTCGAGTATGGCCCTTCATGTCTGCGACCACCATCCAAGGCCGCTTCCCTACATTATCGACAGTTGGTTTGGTGCCAGTAGAGGAAAGCTTGTGAGGAGCAGTATGACAGTTCCTTGAGCCAATCTATACCAACCTCCTCTTCACCTCACCCGTATTCAACCTTCAAAATGCCTTCAGTATCTGCCGAGACCTTGGAGCAATTGGAAAGACTGTGCAAGCTTTACAAGATCGAATTCATTGATAACCTACCTCATTCTCAATGGCCAACTCGCCTCCAAGGCATCCAATCGGCCGTGGCTGATCTGGGAACTCGGAAATTCGACGAATACGCAACAAGAGCGACTGAGGAATGGAAGCTTAAGGCTAAAGCCGTCGCTGAGCACCTCGTTTCCGAAGTCCGGCGGCAACGGCAACGAAACGAGAGTACCTGGAGACACGCCTGTGAGCCCATTGTCTTCGCTCGGATGAAGTTGGAAGTGGCATGGTAAATCATCCTCTGCCATCGAGCTATGAATGTATGTGCGTCCTGACGTCTCTTCAGTAAAACTTGTCGCAAGCGCGTATGGAGATCCGAAATTGAGGCTTGCCATGGGAGAGTTTCTTCCAAGGCAGCCAGGGCTCTGAGAGATAGACAGAGGGCCCGAGAGCCTTGTCGCTGCGCGAGGGTCGCGAGACAGCACGACTTGTGAGCCAAATCCCCAGGACACACGGTTGAGTAATGGTTCTGTATGGGTTAACACTGATTATCATTATTTAGCCTTGAACCTGTCGGCCTGAACAACATCTTCGGTCGCAGGGAAGACGAAGAGGTACGATTAGAACCAGCTGTGGCCAAAATTCTGAGCAAGAAGTTCCAGAAGCCGGACGCGGTATTCGGGCTTCGCCAAACTAGGAACATTGAAAACCTTCTGAACGACAACGAAAAACCAGGTCTCGAGCTACACGATGAAGAGGCGCTGGAAGGACGGCAAGTGCATGAGATACTGGATCTCGTTACAATGGTACAGCCTCTCAACCAGAGAGGTGACGAGCTGCTTTTTCCGTTTCTGGTTCTCGAGGCCAAGTCAGGCAGTTCCGACAGCGACTGGAATGCTATTCAGATGCAGACTGCCTTTCCCATTAAAACGTTTCTTGACGCTCAAAATAGGTTGAAAGTAGCGACAGGGCAGCAGTCAAAATGGGAGTCGGGTCCTCTTGTGTGGTTTTTTGCCAACCGGGGTAGAGATTGGAGAGTATCCATTGCCTACATCGAGTACGAGCAATCAAAGAAGAGGAAGAGAGATGGCCCAAATAGTATCGCATATGTGAGTATTGGCATTGTCCCAAGTTTCCTTTATACGCGTCTGAATTCGGATGATCTAACGGCGCTTATTTTACATGCAGAAAGTGGTTGATATTTGGAGTGGCTCAATCCAAACCTATGATGGAGCACTGCAACTGTTACTGCTGGTGGACTATGTATTCGACTGGGCTCGGGACTCTTACCGACCAGACATTTTGCAAGAGCTTAGAATTATTGCATCCGGAGATAATGACGCAGCGAGTAGCGTATATTATTCGGATCCGGACGTTGCCTCTACGCGTCTAGTCGAAGCTTTACCCGGCGATACCTCGATCGATGAAGGAGAAGAGTACCATCGGTACACTACACTCCAAAATGCCTTTACCTCTTTTGACAAAGAGGAGGGGGCTATTCGGCATGCGGCATTTGTCGAATACCGGTACTGCTGCTTGTTCGTCACCAAGGACAACGTAAAAACTCTCGTGCAGTCCACCAACCAGCAGCACGCGCAAAAGCTGTATCGCGGCATCTTGGACCAGATGGATGATTGCAACTTGATTGAGATGTCGACTCTCTCTGCATTAGAGAAGCAGTGGACCGGGACCTCGCGGTTTGTGCCTGCTAGCCCGCCTTCAGAGCAGACGTTCTACACCGTCATATCTCATACAACTTACTTTTCGGGCCAGTGGAATCAAGTTCGGGAGCTCTACGTTGTTGCTATCTCTCCAAGCGCATGGGATGACGTGGTTGGAGCATCGGAGCTGCAAAGGCGTCGGAAGAGTAAAATGAGGAAAATGCAACCACGTACCTTGGGACTCACGGATCACGACTCATTGGTAACAGTTATCGAAAACCTACGGTCGGGGACGCCACGGAGCATGCTTCTCGACGCGATCAAGCGCGTTTCGGTCAAAGTTCGGGCGGGCACATCTAGGATTTCCGATGATAAGCCCACCTTACCAGCCCACCTTTCACAAAATGATGGCATATTTCGCCATATGATACACTATGTGTACAAGTGGTTTAAGAAGGGAAACATAGAGCCGCAAGAGCCGTTCATGAGAGTATCAAAGCGATTCGTGCAACAAACCGAGGTTCAGCCTGAGGTTGAGACCGCATGCGGGGAATCTGCAGAGCCAACATTATCCGTGTCTCCCGACGGCTATGTTTTGATCCGGGCCGAGGATTACGATCGTGATAGAGAGAGATCCAAGTCCGAGATATGTGTCTATATCGTCGACGGGGACCCTGTGATGCCCGAGAAGCAGGATCTTTACAAGAAAATCAAGCGCGCCATTGCGACGGCAAACATCTGTCATACCACACGCGACAATGGGTATTCAAGTCTTGCTAGCGGTGAAGGAGTTCAATGGAACAGAAACCAAGACGAAGTTTACCCGGGATATCATGCACCCTTCGACTTTGTCAGTTTACTTTTTCAGGTCGACAACCCCAGAAGGCATATGGAGACCCGCGTTGCGCCGGGCTCTCCGCGATGGTGCAAATCTCCAAATTCCCGCTTGAATGTCGAGAAGGTTTGCTTGCCTGGGCCACATCGCGCCATTGGTGTCCTGACACCCCTCTCGATCGCCAACCTCCGCCCGACCGCGGCACGACACATGTTTTTAATATACAAGGTTGTGTCTGACGAGATAAATTACTGGAAAGGGCTGGCCGAAGCCACCATGGCCAAAGGGACTTTCTGCTGCACCGTATGTGCCGACACTATTAGCGAGGATGCGGGTTTGGGGGGGCTCCGATGCGCAGCCTGCGATTGGGCGCTGCGCCTCAAACCGGAGTTTCCGTGGGTCGGCAGAATGTTGAAGGGAAAGGCACCATTTGATGGTAGTGCGCGCACCGGTCGCTGGACCGGTCTCTGGACCGGAGCTCTGAAAGATTATCCTAAACTGGATGAACCGCTTACGACTCTCGAGCAACTTCACAACCAGTACGTGGAGTTTTACGAGTGGTATAGAGGACGAGGACTCAACAAGTAATTAGAAAAGTATGCAAAGCAATGCCATGTCTACTTCGTGCCTCTTGTCGATCGCTTCTCTTAGTGAGGCACGTCAGCGACAAGAGAGCCCGACTACGTGCTCTGCTTCTGGTGTCCCGGGCTTGGATGGGATGGCGCCAAGGCAATTAGTGCTTCTGATTTGCGGTCGAAAGTATTGTTCAGCTTCAATAATAATAATTTCTTTCACGCCCTGCTTGCTTCTGCGGGTGAATATGTACGATCCACATACCAAGACCTCAGTACATACGCCCAGCGAAACAGTAGGGGCCACTATAAAGTGTTATCTCCTTTCCTTTCTCGAGGGACAAGAGTTTGGGGGATTAAGTCCCTTTACGATACTTTGGCAGCCTGTGTTGTTCGTGCGAGGACCGGATAGCCTCTCGTGGGCTGAGCGGTGATTCCGAATTATGCCCTCCCGTACGCCAGTCTTACTTGTGAGTTGGTTTAATACACTACCTCAGTACTTTCTAACCTATTAAGGCTCCATAACTACCCTAAGGTGATTCCTACTGACGACTGACTGCGCGATGAATGAGGACCCTATTATGACGAATATTGTTGAACCTGTAGATTGACTATCCGCGATTCTTCATTGCCTCGTGATTGCCCAATTTATTTTAACCCTCAACACTAGGTTGGGGCTATATTGAGTGAGAGCTAAGCAGTGTCTGTATAGTCTTAGCTGGGAATTGCCAAGGGGCAAGTTTAGATTGGAGTGAAATAGTAAGAGTAATTATATAGTCGTGGCCTCAATTTGAATCATGAGTTGATACTTGTAATTGCCTCCATCTCTACCATAGATAGTGTAGAATCCCTCAGGGACTTATGAGCTTTCTTTATAGTGGAGAACGTAATTAGTTGCAATTCTCGAGGCAGACCGTTACAAAGGTGTGGTGGCGGCCTGGCTTTTCCAACCCAACTAGATTGCACCTAGAGCTTGTACTTTGTTTATCATTCCTTTCTAGGGCTCACATGCTTTCCAATCTATCCCAAGATTCATCTTAAACGCCATCTCCGGATCGAAATTGGTCCCATAACTCTCTTCCACATCGGATGTCAACCACACCTTCAACTTGAACTTTAGCGTTTTTACCTCCTCCTCTTTCTCGCACCTCGAGTACAGCGGATCTTCGCTCATCGACGCGGCGGTTATACCGTAAGCGAAATTGCCGGCCGTGTACACGTCGTCTATCGGCCCGACACTGCCCCCCTCGGTGGTCCATTTCGTGCTCGTTCCCCAGTCCCCCTTGGCGTTGAAGGACGAGATGGCAGACATGTGGTACGAGACACCCTCCTCTATCGTATACCCGCTGAACCAGACGATCGACTCCACCGCGAATTGCCAGCCCGATGGCGGTGCGATCTCGAAGAGGAGCGTGCACTCCTTCTCGTTTTTCTCCGGCACGATGTCGGGCCCGATGAAGATGTTGAAGCCGTCGAATGTGATTTCGATCTCACCGTAAGGTGGGTCTTCCGAGAAACGTATCATTTGGGGATTAGGTACCGTCCTCTCTGTAATGGAGACGGTGCCAGTGGGGCAGCCGGTGCCGTTCCAGGTGGCGGAGATGATTTTCAAGTTATCTGGGTCGGGTAGCTTTACATCATCTCCGAGTACAGGGGTTGAGATCAGGAGCAGACTTCCGAGGGAAGTAGCAAGTTGTGGAAGAAACTTCATGGTGAGAGCAGTTGCGATTTCCAACAACGTGCGTGGACGGTGGAGAATTAGCTGAGAGTGGACGGCTCAGTTGTTATGTTGGTGTTGGTAGCAATAGAGGTTTCATGTCTGGGGCAATGTGGTGTCTTTAACAGTGGAGATGGACCAATTCCTGGGAGGAAAAGTCGATTGATTCATTAATTATATTCCCAAATTGGATGAAAATAGGATCTAGCATTTATCGTCAAACGGTCTATTCTTGGAGATGAAAACGCGGTAGCAATTACGAGCCGCGTGCACGAGGCTTACAGGGCATCAGTCTTGTCTACTTATATTGAATCCTCCCACTGCGCCACGGGGTTCTCTGGCAACGATAGGTCTGGAGGCACGCAGCTACGTACGTAAGTAACACAGCAGGATCATATTGATGAATGACCACACGCACAGTCTACTTTAGCCTAGCGGCAAATAACATCCGTTGAGCTGCGTGGTTCTGTTTCCTGCAACACCCACGCGCGCCTCGTTAGATACTCTCGTAGCGTGGGAGATAACAAATGTGTAAATTGGACTGGTGAAACAAATTTGGGGGAGCCACAGAGTGTCTCTAGAATTCTTAACCCTTGGGGGACTTTCCGCCTGGTAAAATATTCCGTGATTGTTATGATCCAGCGCTGAACTCATGTGCAGAGTGTTGCCGTTCGTTGCTCCGAATTATATCTACTGAATGCCTCCAGTACCCTACCTTCTAGTTCACGACTCTTCGTCAGTTCAGCTTGGAGTAAGTACGTCCCCTCCAGATGCTGTTGGGTTTGGATGATTCGTCCAGTTTTCGAGGTAAAGTTTCGAATATCCTGGTAGATTCCCTCAAACGAGTAGGCAACGAGGCCAACAGGGGCTGGGCTAGAGATTAGTTTTACATCGACCTTGGACTTCCGAGAACAAACTCACCAGACAAGACTTTGGTCGTGAATCCGACGACACCTTTTCCTAGCCCCTTGGCAACACCACGGGCGCCATCACGACTACCTCCAGTATACGGTTGTAGAAACAGGTCTGCCACGCCTCCTGATATACCAAGGACAAACTGCTTTCCGCCCGCCATAGCGCCAGACCTAAAGTCAGTGATGACATCCCGCTCAGGCACGTGTTCGCCGTAGAGCTTCGGAACGGCGCGAAGGCCTTCAGCAGCGGACAAGGGAATATCTAGCAGGAAGCCCTTCCACTGCGCTTTGAAGAATCCACCAACTCCTGACACGGAGGCCGCTACGACTTGTCCCGTATCTGCCAGACATGACCGATTCTGGGTATGGTTAAGAGAGTGACTCGAAGATCTGGCTGCTGACCTAGATGTTCCAGGGGTTGGCGGTGGCGTGGTCATGCTGGGTCCCCTCTCTATGTCATCAGATCCCGGAGATGGGGAGTGATTCGCGCTTAGAGATCGATACGTCTTTAAAGGCTTTATGACGATATCCGAAGTTGCGACCAACATTCCTTTGCCGGTGTGAAGGGTTGCTGAAGCTACTCCCGTCATTGGATCCCAGCGACGGTTCCTAATCTCGACAGGATTGACTTCATACCTTTTACCAGAAAATGTTAGGGTATCTGTACAAATACGCCATGTAAAAAAAACACCCTGCACTCACCGTTTGAGATGTTTCCTTTGGATGACGGAAGAGTGCACAAGGATCTCGCCAGCGAGCTTCGACAACTTGATTGACCTTCCGCTCTTCGTCTTATACACCCATGCCGCGGGCCGTGTTGGAAGCAGGTCGCATCGGATGTTATACGACAGGATATGATTATGGAACGATTTGACAGCCTGCTTGATGCCGGTCTCTGCCTTGATGCTTGTCGCTAACCTCTGGGCAGCAGCTGATGCCTCCGGAGTAAGACAGAACCGAATAGCATCTATAAAGTTTTGCACATCCAAGAGCTTATGGGGGATCGGGTTTGGCCCGGCACCCGCCATTGCGACCATCTCCCCCCAGAACGGTTGGCTTTGCTTTCGTGTCAGTAACAATAATGGCTGTAGTGATTCAAAAAAAAAAAGCATGCTCACTCTCCAAAAAATGGCACCACGGTCGTCGGTCGCCCATTCAACAGACCGCACGCCGTAGTCCCCGCTCCACCATGATGCATAACCGCCGAAACGTGTTTAAACAACCACTCATGGGGACAGTCCCCCAGGTAGAAAACGTTGCCATCATCCGTGGGACCGATCGTCTTTCCGCCAAGATTGCTCCACCCCTTGGAAATGATGGCCCTTACCCCTACTGTCCGTACAGCTTCGACGAGGATGGAGTTTAGCTTTTCAGGGTCGTCGAGCACAATGCTTCCGAACCCGATGTATATTGGTGTCGAGCCTTTGCCTAGGAAGCTGGCTAGAGAATCTGGCGGTGTGTAATCAGGTGGTTCTCGGAAGAAGAAGCCGCAGATATCTAGCTTAACAAGTTAACCGTGATTGCCGATGGCACGCGACAGGAGTGGCAAACCTATTGACGAGGGCCAGTCGGCTGGCTTAGGGACGAGTGCGGGTGACCAGCAGTACGTCACGGGCACACCGAGCGTCTCGAGGAGTCTGGGGCCCTCTGATGTAGGTACGGGTTCCAGGTCGACAGTCGTCCTCCATTCGTTAATCACATCTCCGAGCCTGTCGTTCAAGAGTCGTGAGTTGAGTTCATGGGACCTTTTTCAATTGTATCCATCATCTTACCCTTGCCATGTCATCCATTCCACTAACCAGTATGACATATAATTTGCAGTGCCAGGATCGATCTTTCCGTTACCCAATGTCAGATTGGCCAGTGGATGCGAGAATTGCCTCGTGCTCGTCCACGGCATAGTAAACATGATATGTAAAGGTACAGCCAGTGCCTGGGCGCAATGCACATGAGCAAAGCTCGGCGGGTTCGCAATGATCGCATCCGCCACGAACGGCTCGCCGCTATCCGGATCGGCATCTATACACGACCTCCAGCAACCATCGAGCATCGTCCGGACCATGGTCCGCTTCCCTTGCACCTCGCCCGCAAGGAGACTATCCATGCTAGGTATCAAGCCGGGATTCTTGACCATGAACGCCATGAGACCGCTTGGGTCGCCGCCAATGGGGTAGAAATCCAGCCCTGCGCTTTTGACGAAGTCTTTGAAGACGTCGTGCGTTGCAAGCCGGACGCGGTGGCCGGATACACGGAGTTCTGCGCCCAGCGCCACGAAGGGCTGGACGTCGCCTCGGCTTCCGACGACTTGGATGACGATGTTTAAGCTGATGGAGCTTTGGGTAGACGTTTGCGGTCGCGGCAACTCGGTTACTTGGGACTTGAGGGGATCGATGATGGAGTATTGAGGAGGCGGCATCGAAGAAGTAGGGGGATTTGTTCGCGACAAACGGTTGGCATTGATGGTGGGATCATCGCGCATGAGGCGGTTGGCGATTCTGCCCAGGGCAGCGTCGACCACGATGTCGACGCGACCATCATCTGAGCCATCCGACGTTAGTGGTTTGAGGACCCCGGTCAAGGTCTTCAATCATCCATATTATCTGTCTTGATAACTGCTTACCTCTGACATTAGCATTTTCCGCAAATGGGTTCTTCGCAAGGAAGGACGATGCCTTCATAAAGGGGGAAGACTTTTCTCCCGCCATGATGTCTGTTCAGTCGATAGCCGGGTGAAATGGATGGAAGAAATGTTGCGAAATCGGAGAAACGGCCTCGTGAAACGTCAGGACAGAACTCAGGAAAGATGCTGCGTGCTTGTTCTGTTCATGTCCGTTTCCATGATCTATTCAAGCATTCCATCGCGGATGCCCCCTCGATCTATATCGAACGAAACATGCCGACGTAGGCTCTTCGGTCAAATATTTATGTGCTTCGTGGCGCAGCGCCATTCTTCTCCTATTTGAAGAGTTTGAGTCGAGCTTTTTGCAGTGTTTTATCGCCAATAATACCGCTCGTGAATGAAGATACGAGTATTTCGGACGAGACCGCAATGGTGGAGCAATACGCAATACGCGTATCCGGGAACTTAATGCAAGAGACAGGGCTAGCAGCCTGGCCCTATCAGATCCGACAATGTGGAACCAGGATCTCATTCCCGTATTCTAAATCGGGTATAGTTCCGGGGGTCCCTGGATACGCGTATTCCTGCGTCTCCAATTGCACGCTATGAGGAGCTTAATCTTGTTGGCAGATGGATCCGACCCGCCGATAAAAAGAGATGGATGGCAGTGCATGGCACTACGAAGTACGCGTACCTTGCTCGTAAGGTCAAACGATGCAGGGCTTGGTTGCGTTGAGCAAAAGCGGTAGGGCTGGTGGATCGATGTATTTCCGCGTATTTTTATCTGAGGATGGGTCTAACCCTCTTCAGGAGAGGATACCAGAGCTTCGGAGAAAAAGCTCGTCTGCATCGAAGGGTGGATATTTATATCCTCCGACATTCGCAACAATCTGGCCAAAGTCTAGACTCAGGCATTCATTGACCTTTGACGCTTCTCGTAGCTCGCCTTGACATCCTCGAACCTTGATCGACCTCCACTCCTGGTGCTAGCCCTCTCGTGATCAGTCTATCTATCTTCCCCTATATTATCTTCGAACTCTGAAGCAATGGCGGCCGACGATGGAGGAGCCATCGGCTTCGTCTTTTACCGATATCACCCCTCCATGGTGGCTGCCGTCATCTTCATTATCCTCTTCTTCCTCTCCGCGGCCTGGCATGTGAAGCAATTGGTGACCAGCAGGACCTGGTACTTTATACCGTTTGTCGTGGGTTGTTTATGTATGCTCCCCGATGTTCTTTCCCAGAACTCATAACCGAGAGCGGTACTAATAATTCCTCTCATCTCCAGTCGAAGCAATCGGTTACGTCGGTCGCGCCATGTCATCGAAAGAGCATCCCGACTTTACGAAAAACCCCTACATTATCCAATCTCTGCTCCTCCTGCTCGCACCCGCACTTTTCGCGGCTTCTATCTACATGATCCTCGGTCGACTCGTGGTGCGCCTCGGTGCTGACTCCTACTCGATTATCAAGCCCAAGTGGCTCACGAAATTCTTCATCCTGGGCGATGTCCTATCTTTTTTTACACAGGGAGGAGGTGGGACTTGCCAACCACACCCAAGATGCGCCGGAAAGGGCGAAGATTATAAAGAAAACAATGCTAACACTTTCGCCCTATAGGCGGTGGCATTATGGCGACGGCGAAAAGTAGTGAAGATGCGCGCAGAGCCGAAAATATCATTCTTGGTGGTCTCGCCATCCAAATCCTGTTCTTCGGCTTCTTCATTGTCGTTTCCTTCATCTTCCACCTACGAATCAGTCGTCACCCGACTCCACAATCCCACTCCCTGAATACGCCGTGGAAGGGTCTCCTCTATGTCCTCTACGGCTCAAGTATTCTCATCATGATCCGATCGGTCTTCCGAATCATCGAGTATGTTATGGGGTCCGAGGGCGAGTTGCTGTCAAAGGAGGTATATCTGTACATCTTTGACGCAGTGCCTATGTTTATCGTGGTTGTCATGTTTAACTGGTTCCATCCGAGCCGAGTCATTAGCCACGAGGCTAAGGAGCCACTTGCGTCCGTCACAAGCCTCGAGGTCCTTGGGGGAGATCTTGAGAGCGGCCACCAGAAGTCGGCGCAGTGGAGTAGACAAACTCACGAGTACTCAGCAGGGCAATCCCGCAGCTATTCTTAGAGACCCCCCGCTTGAGTGGGATAAAGGCAGACGCAAGTTTCGGGGTGTCTGGATGGTGACGAGGGGTTGAGGGGTAGGATCTATCTATAGCGAAAGTTAGTTCCGAGATGGAGGTTGAGGCGGATAGACTTCTCAAGTTGGATCGGTTGCATTTTAGCCATAGACTGTTCTTGTGTTGACGTTCCCATTTTTTTTTCTTTCTTTTTCTGTTTCTTTCCTTTGTTACTCGTTGCGGTGGGTTCCGCTGTTGTTTTCTAGCATTAATCCTTGCGCTGTTATTTGTTCCTGAAATGTCTTTTTCGAGGACAATTAGAATATCAAGTTGTAATCATTGACATTGGCCACGACAGCCATTGCGACCAATGCGGTCCTAGAAACTGAGAGATAGAGTTTACAATGTATGCCCCCGAGTCCCCAATCTGCCATGTAGACCTCGCCCCATGTAACAAAACAGCATAGTATGCCAGGATAACTAAGGCCTCGGGGTGGTGCTGCTCCAGCAAGTCGAGAAACTCCATAGGCGCCATGATCGACCACATATACACGATTTGGCAAAGGAGGGCTCCCTCATCCTCTGAAGAGCGAAGCTCATCAAATCCCGCCTGGAGAGCGTCTATAGCCTTTCCACACGCCTCCGCGGCATCGACAGGCAAGGACGACTGGGAAATCAGATGGCGAAGGGAGTCGCACTCTGGACCTTCGCCCGGCGACTGCATGAGGCGCGACCCCCACGAGAGAAAGGCCTTGAGATCAGTCTGGAGTAGCAGTGGCCATGAACCCTTCGCAACAGCTCGGAGACCCTGGCGGATGCGGGTATGCTGGGTATATCTGGCCAAGAAATGAGCAAAATCAGGGGTTCGTACGGCAAGGGCGTCGATGAGGAGGTGGCGCCCGAGGATGGAAGAAAAGAGAATCATGGCAACGCAGTTGGATTCATCGACCTGCACTTGACCGACGTTGAAGTGGGAGATGGCCACATTCTGCAGCCTGACGGATTGCGCGAGGTACTCTTGGGATTTCTCGGGCCGCAGAGCAGCCAAATGGCGAGCTGAAAACGCCATGATTTCGTGTAATAGGTAAGGGGCGTCTGCGCTGGCGTCGAGAGCAACCCTCGTGCCTCTCTCGCGCAGCTCGTCATCCATTTCCGGCACGGGGAGGCCTAGGTCGAAACGGATGAGCAGTTCCATATGGACTAGATTCACGGGCGGTTCGCGGTCGCCGTCTTGGACCGCGTCGGTTTGTGTCGCGGCAAGCAGCTCCGGGACTAACTCCGGGATGCTCACAGGGGCCGCAGCCATCGGCTGGGCCGGCGGTGTGCTCGCATTGCTACCGGAACGAAGCTTTTCTGGATATTGGCAAGTCCTCTCAGTAATTGTGCAGTTCACACACTCGGGACGCTTCTCATCACACTATTTTTTGGGGAGGTCCAAGCCGTGAGTTATTGGCGCCATGTCAGATACGCAACATAGCGATTACCGGAGACACGGGCGATGGATGGGCAATACCTTGATGTGTCGCTGCTTGCATCCAATGCAACCATTACGCGACTTCTTGTGGCTTCGGCGGAGCATGCCGCTCCCACGTGGGGTATCCGGGGTCTTTCTAGCCCGCGGAGCCATGGCGTGTGAGCGAATACGCGTTTGCTGGAAGGAAGCTGAGCTGGTTGCCTGGGGAAGAGCTAGTGTGTACTTCGATGTCGGAGCCGGAGCCGGAGAGGGCGCTTAAGATAAGGTCACGGACACAGCCACAGACTCGGGCCACTCTTCAACAATCAATTTCTGGGAGAGAGGCTTTGGGGCACATTAATGGGTGTTTATGGGTGAGATGGTAACAAGGATAATGTGGGTTTTTAGTGGTCAACTCTGAGTTCAACTAGTCTTGGTCTGTGCGGGATCGCTCCTTCCAGGCCCAGCAGCGAGCGTCTCATCTCAGGTGTTTAGCACCAAATGTTGAATTTAAATGGTGGGACTCGGCAATCAGGATGCACCACCAGACCACTTCGCGAGCAGTCCCCACAACGTCATCAGGGGCTTCGTACTTCGTTCCTGAAGGGTCATGGCTTGCGTCACCATCTCTGAGGTTACCATGAACCTAGAATGTGCACAAAGGGGACGGGGCTATTTTCGGAGTTTTTCCTTCTCTTTTTTTTTTTTTTTTTTTTTTTTTTTTTTTGGGGTTCTCGATTTGACCGCACACGTCTCCAAAGCCACCGGCTGGGGCCTGGCGCATGAATTTGCGAAGTCGACAGGGGGTCATGGATCTTCTGCTTATTACTACTATCGGTATTTTAATCGCCTGTCGTTTCGGGAAGTAGAATCAGTAAGCGTTGAAACTTTCATTTCTTCGTTGAGAATTTTACGCCATCAATGAAGATATGATATAGCCCTGACTCCTCATACATTTTCGAGTAAACGAATAAATCACCGTGTCTGACATGCCAGACATAGGCTCTGTGTGTCCGCCACGGTTCGCAGTCTTTGGTCTCAGGACCCCCACCCGTAAATCTGTAGTTCAATGATCCTTGGAACCAAAGAAAGAAGTTACGCAATAATAGCGCAGCGCCCCTCCGGCCGACTCGCTATTGCCTCTTTAATGCAGTGAAAAAGAGAAACACCCCTGTGCCTAATAAAACGCTTTGTATCCGCGGACAGAGGGCTCCCTGCCATTAAGAATCGTAACTGCTCATTTTCTCTCGTCGCGCCGTCACGTAGCAACTAAGGCGGTCAGACCAGCCTCCCACATGACACCACCGAATCCTGTCGAGATAGCCCTTTTTTTTTTTTTTCCACTCCGCGGCCAGCATCTTGAGTTGCTCTAGGCGAGATACTCCTTGGGTAAGATGTCTAGCAAAGGCTATGGCATCTATAGACTGATGCCAGCTGGCTGGGACTCGATTTGGAGGCTGAGCCGGATCATACTGAACCTCAATGTAAGTTCTCAAGTTGATAGATGGGTCACCCAAGACGGTATTGAGACTCCACAGGTGCACTACCCTCGCGGGGATGGAGTTTTGAGAATCTGCCTCGTTCAAGATGCATCGGTCACCATCGTAGAGTCGATCCGTACAACGCGATCAACGTTCATGCGATACCGTACTTGCGAACCACACCGACCCTAATCCCACCCGGATATGAACCAACGTGCGACTCAGAGCATGTCTACCTTCGCCCTACCTACCAAGATCATCATTTACATGCTCGAGTTTTCAGAATGCCGAGAGATTGCTGCACTAGCAAGCACGAATAGATGGCTTCGAAGCCAGGTCGATCATTTCCTATATCAAAAAGATGCTAATCGCAAAAATCCAATCGCTCTTCTCTGGGCGGCACGACATGGGCAAGTAGTTACGCTCTACAAGGCACTTAGAGCTGGCACAGATGTCAATGTCCAGGAAGCCAATACGGGCAAAACTCCTCTATGCTGGCTGCCGAGAGTGGGCATGAGGCAGTTGTGAAGCTGCTCCTTAGTACTGGCAAGTCGATGTTGATTCTAAGAGCAGTACTGGCCGGACGCCGCTGTGGTTGGCTGCCATCAACGGCTATCGTGAAGCTGCTACTCGATACTGGCAAGGTCGAGGCCGATTCAAAGGACAATCGTGGCTGGACGCCGCTTTCATACGCTGGAGGTGGACATGAGGCAGTTGTGAAGCTGCTGCTTGGTACTAGCAAGGTCGACATTGATTCTAAGGACAGTACTAGCCAGACGCCGCTGCTAAAAGTGGATATGAGGCAGTTGTAAAGCTGCTGCTTGGTACTGGCAAGGCCGATGTTGATTTTAAGACCTATTCTGGCCTGACGCCGCTCTCATGGGCTGCCATCAACGGGCATGAGGCAGTTGTGAAGCTGCTGCTTGGTACTGGCAAGGTCGACGTTGATTCTAAGAGCAGAGCAGTACTGGCCGGACGCCGCTGTGGTTGGCTGCCATCAACGGGCATGAGGCTATCGTAAAGCTGCTACTCGATACTGGCAAGGTCAAGGCAGATTCAAAGGACAATGATAGCAAGACGCCACTATCGTGGGCCGCTGAGAAAGGGCATAAGGCTATCGTGAAGTTGCTTGATGCTAGCAAGGTCGCGGCCGATTCAAAAAGACCTTGAGAGAACTTTGACTCTACTATTTCTCATATCTTTATAGAATATGGGGTCTGAGGAGTATGATTTGTATATAGTTTGCATTATTGCCTCCATATATACATATCTAAATGTCAATTTGAAGGATCGTAACATCCAGATGAAGCGCAGGGCCGGCGAAGACACCACAGATAGGCCGTTGCACAAACGGCATCGCCGCCTTGAACAGAACAAGCCGTACGCCGTGTCAGTTGATCTTTCATACACCCGGAAATGTATAATCCTATCTTGAGTATAGGCTGGAAGGATTTGAAGTTTCTGGCCGCGATGGAATCCCTTCACTTGACACGGTCGCCGCCCGCGAGGAGCCCAGCCTTTGCGCTGCATCCCGATGCTTCTATCCACTCCAGTCTCAATAAAGGCGGCCTACCCCGAACCCTCCTATCTTGCCACCTGGATGCACTTCTTTCGCCGTTTTTGGACTCCGCCTAACGCCAATCTCACCCGAATTGACGTCCTTACCGAGGCCCTGGCCGAGATCCCTGCAGAATCCGGGAACCTCTTCTCCACGGAAGAGGTTGTGGCCATCATCCGCGGCGCTGCTACTCAGGACATCCAGGACTCCGTCAAGCAGGCCACGCAGGAGGCACTTGACAGAGGCATCTACTCGCGCGCCCTGGCTCTGGGTCACCAACGACAGGGATGACAGCGAGCCGTTCTTTGGCAGCGACAGATTTGGGCACGTGTTCCGCTTCCTAGGAGTGCCGTTCCGAGACTTCACTATTTTGCCGCCGGGAGCGAAGCTGTAGTTTGGGTAGTGTAAGAAGCAGCACAGGAAGGGGCTATTCCGTCGCTCGCCGCCTCCGTATTGCCCTCGCGCTGATCGCACCCGCCGTGACGGCTTACCCTGCGATGCTAAGCGGAGCCTCGCGATTGAGCACGATAGAACCAACATCAAGAACTACTACTCATCTCCCATTATGTGGCTTGACGAGGATAGACGTAAAGGCGACACGGACGTGGAATGGTAGAAAATATACACCGCAAGTCCATCCGCATGTATCCAGCTTATATAGGGTTGAATTCTGATTTATCTTCGGCTTAGGGCGTTGTCAGAACACGGTATAGACCACTGCTGAGTGAAGGGGTCTCTACTGCTGGAACTACTAGACGTATCGAGGTAACAGCATTGCGCCAGCACTTGGTCGTATATTCTAGATCAAGGAGCTGATCTTTGGCCCATCCATCTGCTGAATGGCTGGGCCGTACCCTTTTAGAGCTGTTGCACCATGTGACCGGGGGATTTTCTTGGTCTCCCTAACAAAATGTGGACTAGATACGGTGCTGTGAATAGCCCGTAAGTCCTGCAGCCTGCCTAAACATACTGAAAATACTCTGTTGATCTGAACATTCCATGTATTGGTATCCCCATTTTGCGGCTAATTCCCGGCCTTCTATCCGATTGAATTAGTTTCATCTTCCACTGAGGAACATACTCTAGTGCCCACCTTCTGGCAATACGGATCTCTCTGGTGTACAATCGCAGGCATTACCCACGATGAGTGAAAGGGTACCGGTCATCAACCCCGCATAACATAGTCTTTCTCGAAGGCCCGGGAGTGCTAGAAAACTCGCCTTGTCCTTTACGGAATAAAACAAGAGGACAGCATCCGAATTGCAAGCAATCTTCTTCACTAGTTCGGGATGCTCCACAACCAAGCTAGTATATACCTCGATATCGAAGAAAACGTTCACCCCATCTATGACGTGAGCAACCCGGAAGTTATCTAGGACTCGTGTCAGAAAGGTACAGTAAAAGGGCCTGTGGTTAAAGATTAACATTACCTTCTATAGTCGGGTCGTCATAATAATCCTCGCCCTCAACGAACCGCTTAACTGGGTCGTAGGAACTGTGCCCTAGTACAAGGAGTTTTCGGTAGGAAGATTTCGCCGGCTTTTTGGCGCTGGCGCTGCGTGTTTTGCCCGGTTTATTCTTTCTTCGCCGGAGGGCGATATTCTTGAAGTGTTGTAGCCAGCTCATGAAGATCAGGGCGGCTTGAGGCCGACTGGAAGACAAGGCGGTGGATCAGGTCCTCGTTCCTGATTGTCGAGCGGAAATCCAACGGTAGTGACCTGGCTCCTCACGACCCTCGATGTTTCAAACGATCAACTCACAGGGTACCTGGTCATCTATCTTGGTAAGACGGAGTGATATGTGGCCCGACGCTATGCTCGTGTATGCACCATGATAAACCCGTTATGGGTCCCGCTACGGCTCATCGTTTTTCTCTTGTCTTCTTCCGATTCGCCGCTGTTGGTTTTGTCGTGTGCCCTTAGCTGCATATTTACTCAGGACCAGTAGTGTGTCGGTGGCATGTCATTGCGAGGCGGATGAATTACTCGCCGACATGACTCCAGGATATGACCACTCTCAACGGTGTCTTATCCCAAAATATATACATCTTTTAAATATCTTATAAGCTTCTTACTAGTTATATTTACTTAATACTGTTAATAGGCTAGTATTAGGATCGTAATATATTATATATAGTAAAGAATATACTTATAAAATATAAGGGATTGTAAATGTCTAGGTGCGGGGCTGGATATTTATCTAGACCAAATAAACGCATTGCGTTATGCATCTACTATCCAGCGCATAGATGCTCGACCGCTACGAAGTACCCGCCATCGAACCAGGCAGCAGCAAATCCTCTGCCTCCTGTGGACGAGCTCGCTCAATCCGCCGTAACACCATGTCGTCTCTTCCAGACTTACCCCCTGAGATCATCCTCTCTATCGCCACTACCCGCCGGACCATTGCAAGAGTAGCGCGCACAAATCGCCGTCTCTATAACGTCCTGAATCCGGCGTTATACGAGCTCAACCTTTCTCAGTCCAGCCCCACAAAGTCGTGTATCCTCTGGGGCGCGCGAAAAGGCTGCTTGGGGACTGTAAAGCTGGGCCATCAGTATGGCGGAGATCTCAACTTGGACATCAAGGATACCAACTGGCCACAGTCTGGAGCTGTCAAGGCGTGGCACGGTGACAGATGGGAGTTCGTTACCGAGTGCGGGACCGCGCTCCAGCTTGCCCTTCGCTATGGCCACCTTGAAATTGTTTCCTACCTCCTCGAGCATGGAGCCAAAATCCATGCGCCATCTCTAGCGTGTTGTCATTGCCATACGCTAGGGCGCCTCTCGTATCCCCTTCACGAGGTTGTTTGTGACGTCCCAAGCGTGCTTAGGGCGTACCGCGATCCCGGGCGGGATAAAGAGGCCGCGTTATTGCTAATACGGCACGGGGCTTACCTCCACGCTCCCGAGCAGCCCGTTCTGCCTTCCTTGGTCGAAAATGGCCGTCTAGACCTTATCATCCCGCTCCTCAAGCAGCCTGGGGTTGATTCCGGAGCCGCAGCATTCATGGGCAAGACACCTCTTCACGTGGCGGCCGAACTCGGCCGCGATGACATCGCTAAGCTCCTACTGGACCGGCCCGAGGTTGACATTGATGCCCTGGATGCTTCTAGGCGCACGGCTGCAGAGAGAGCGGCCGAGCAGGGACACACTGGAACCCTCAGGTTGCTTCTCGAAGGCGCAAAGAGGAAGTCGAGTATGGAGCCAAATTGCTGTGCGCGAGCTCTTCTCGCTGCTGCGGCTTCCGGCCAACTCGATGTGATGAAGCTTCTGCTTGGCGAGTATAAGGTGCGCGCTTTGGAGCGAGATGCACATGGGGATACTGCCCTCCACGTTGCCGTGCGGGGTGGGCACACCGCAACAGTCAAGTTCTTGCTTGGGAGGCCCGACGTCGATGTCAACGTCGTTGGGTGCTCGGATATGACCGCAATCCACTATGCTGCCGGAGAGACACAAGATGTTCCCCTAACACCCCTCATACAGGCGCTCGTTGACGCCGGCGCCGATGTTAATGCATCCGCCTCCTCACCTAATGGGACCAACACACCCCTTCGATATGCCATTGAGAGAAAGAGAACGACCGCCGCGCTGGCACTGCTATCCCACGGCGCAGATCCCTCGCTAGAGCGTGGTCCTAGCCTTCGCACGGGACTGACGCTGTTGCATCACTGCCTGGCGCCCGAGGGCTCACACTTGTCGAAGGAAGAGTTGAGATTGATCAAGCAGCTGATTGAGAAGGGCGCCGACACCGAATCTACCTCGATATCTGATGCCGTGAGACCGCCGTCCCGCACTGATGGCCCACCGCTCTTTTTTGCTGCTGCCTATGCTAAGTCAGACTCGTGCGTCCAGTGGCTACTCGAGGCCGGCGCAAGCGCCGACTTGTCCCTGATCAACGCACGAGCGCCTGCAGCGAGCAACCCGCAGTCCCTCCTCATGGCCCTCTTCTACTACTGGTTCCCCAATGACAACTATCATCGCGCCGACGGCCCGATATCGCCACGGGTTTCTCTGGGCGATGTCCGCCGCGTCCAGGCCTGTATCAAGATGCTCTTGAAACACGGTGCGCGGCTGGATGGCGTGGGGTCGGAGCAGTCTGCGCTGCACTATGCCTGCGAAGTTGCTATGGAAGAATGCTTTGAGCTTCTCTGTGTCCTGCTACGTGGATCGACGCATCGCAACGTCTGTCTAGCCCACGTAGAGGCGCTGAAGACGGAGTACGGCCCGGGAGGATCGGGGAATACAACGCCTAGGGACCGTAGGAAGACCGAGCGTCGAGGAAGAGTTTTTCGACAGTTGTCGGACTTCACTGCGAGGGCGTTCAAGCAAAAGCAAAATAAAGCTAGCGCGAGACCGAAAATAGGTCCAAAGACTCACTGATCGAAGTAAGGGTAAGGAATAGCGTATAAGTCAAACCTACGGGGGCCAGAGCGACAACGGGTGTTACCCCTCATAAAACAGCGCTTCCTCGAAGAGAAACGGGCGGCAGGTGTTCCTCGGGAACCCGAATTCAACTTCACCGTCCGAGCGCCTCTCACAGGCAACGATCCGCACGTATCCGGATCAGTCTCGAAGGCTTTCGCGGGGTACTGTAGTAGCAATTCGGTGGAAATGGCCTTCACACGAGCAACCGAGGATTTCTCAGCTTTGGGTGGGGGCCACAACATCCCGTACGCGTACTGGGACTACGGCGGCACACCCAAAGGTGCTAAAGAGCTGCTTCCGACGAATCACTCTCCCTTCTTCGCACCGGAGATCGAGACCACTTTGACAACTGGTGGAGACGCCATTGCTCTTGCAGCCCTCGTGTTCCCCGTCGAATAGTTTGGAGGTATTAAGAATGTTACGTACGGGTCGTAAGGGGGTCCCCTCTATAAGCTTTTAAGAGACGAACTATGCCCCAACAATCATCATGAATCGCCATGGTTTCCAGTCACATTACCCCGGTGCGTGTAAAAATGATGAAAGGACCTCATGCTATCAACCCCACCCTAAGGGCGCGCACAAGGGATATCAAAATGGACGCGAGGACGACTCGGCCTACGCCAGACATCACAGCCTGCGTGGTCTTGGAACCGCTGGGAGAGCTGGCTGTCTTTGCGGCGTTGCTGTCCCCAGAGGGCATGCTTGACCTACCGCAGGGGAATAAAGTGCAGGGAGCGCAGTTATTCGGCAAGACGCAAAGGGCTATTGTGCCCATGATTTGGTGCCAAGAAGGGGATAGTAGTTCTAGTTGTTTGGTTGCCGAAGTAGACTCGTTTTAATTCTCCCCCAGCCAAGTCCGCAAGGTCTAGCGAGACGCCCCAAAGCCGAACCGGGCCGGCTAGCCCTGCTGAGAGTCACCTATCCTTGTCTGATAACATGCACAAAAAGGGGAGGGGCCAATTTTCTGGGTATTTTATTTCGATTAGATCCATTCCACTAGCCTGGCGGGTTAACTTGCTTTGTTATTTTTTCGATGCAGCATCGTACATTCGTGCTGGAGATTATTAATACACATCCCGCCGCCAACTTTGAAATCATCAATCTTTTGTATGTCAAGGTAACTGATTATACGTTGGCAAGAATGAGTGTGCCGAGGTAATCTCAAATGCCTTTCTTCTCGCTCCGTATGTGCGGGTACAGAGTGAGGCACAGCTCTCATGTGTTGAGTGGCCCAAAGAAAATGTTGAGGATGACGAACCGTAGGATTCTTCGAAATACCCGTGGCTCCCACACCACGAACCTAATGCGGCTCCGTACATCTCTTACCATCCCTCAAACCAGTGTGTCTATGTATAAAAGTAAGCCGATCTGACCACCGAAATCGACAATCATCTCTTCCTCCAAGCAGAAGTGTCCGCATCCTCGCCATACTAGCAACATGAGCCTCACCGATACTCCTGCAGGCTCTGGCCGCATCGAGCGTTTCAAGGTCGACTTGTCCAGAAACGTGCCAAGAATGCTCGATCTGGTGAAGAATACCAAGTTGCCCGGCAAGCCCGTGTATTCCGATCTTGAAGCATCGGCCGGTATCGACCTAGACATCCTGAAGCAACTGCAGAAGGAATGGATTGATGACTTTGACTGGAAAGCGGAGGAAGAAGATATAAACAGGTGAGTGCTAAATGCCACGGCCTTCCAATGGCATATGCCACTTGCTCAAACGGTACGAATATAAGATACAACCATTTCACCACGACCATTGAGGACTTGAAGATCCATTTCATCCACGAACGTTCTGGCGAACCGGATGCGATCCCACTCCTGCTCTTGCACGGCTGGCCAGGCTCCTTCCTGGAGCTTCTACCTGTCATTAAGCCTCTCACGCAGACAGCAAAAACATCCACCGGAAGAGACGTCTCGTTCGACGTCATCGTCCCCTCGCTCCCTGGGCACGTCTTCTCTCAGGCTCCGCCGGCAAATTGGACCACTGACGACACGGCTCGCATCTTCCATACACTCATGACAGACGTATTGGGCTATAAAACCTTCGCTGTCCACGGTACCGATTGGGGCTGCGTGATCGGCTATGCTCTGTACGAGCAGTATACCGCGGCCACTCGGGCAGCACACTTTACTTTGATCCCCTTCTTCCCCATGCTGCCTGAGCAGCTCGCAGCTAATGACATTACGCTCACTCCAGAGGAGCAATTCCAGGAGGATCGTTTCATACAATGGAATACGACGGGAAACGGCTATTTCGTCATCCAGGCCACGAAGGTAATCGACACCAAGAACTGTGTTGTGGTAGACCTCCAGTAGCTAATAGTTTCAACCAAAAACAACAGCCCAACACGATCGGACTGGCATTACAGGACAACCCCATTGGCCAACTGGCGTGGAATGCCCAGCAAGTTATTGACTGTAGGTCATATTGTCCCAAGGATCAACAGTAGCATGGGGTATAAACGGGAACATCCTAATGCTCTTACAGGGTCCGATCCACGAGCGGGAACGGGTTCGTCCGTGCTAACTAACAAAGAGATACTGCGAATCACGTCACTCTACTTCCTGACCGAGTCGTTTCTTTCATCTATTTTCATCTATTTCTCAAATCCTAATGGGTTTAGGCCAGAATACACCAAGGCGCCGACAGACGCTCCCTTGCTTTACAGCAATTTCAAGTATAACAACGCATTTTACCCACGAGCAGTGGTAGAAAAGGTCGGAAACTTGGTGCGTTGGCAAGGTAAGTCCCTTAACTACTTTCCCCTACCCTTAATTTCCACTCCCATGTGAGAACTTTGTGAAGAAATGGAAGCAGTCGGTGGTGGGTATTAATATTCTTTTTTAACTAGATCATGATTTTGGCGGCCACTTCGCAGGTCTCGATAATCCGTCGGCTCTCACTACTGATATTCGAGACATTGGAAACTATTGGCACCAGTGAAGCAACCACTTCTCACCAAGGGACCAATTACGCTGATTTCAAGTACCTGTTCTTTGGGCGGCTGCTTCCCCCCTCCATGTTGTCCAAAGCCGGACGGGAGCCTCTCTGAGGAGGTAAACCGTCCGGCCGCGAATCTCCCAATTTGCTCAACGTCTCATCCCCTTTAGACAACCTTGAGAAAAATCGAAATAGGCGGTTCCCTTGCAGTCTCTTACATAGGGTTAAATAACTTAGGAGATTTATTCAACTGTTAATTATGACATAGCAACTATAGTCCCGCTGACCAAGACCAGTGACCTTCGTCGTTTACGTTGATCACTGCGTCGTCGTCTGACCTGATCATCCTGTCTTGCCTTCTCCCTTATAGACAACCATAGCGAACAGGACCAATATATACGACCATAGCTCGCAGAATATTGAGGGTCCCGTCCGCTCCCCTGTACACAAGCTGCGAAGCGCCGGATTAGTAGTTGGGTCGGTGACGACCAGCGAATCCCCGGTGTTGTATGTTTTCTTTTGCTTTTCCCGTTTTCGTTTTTTTATTGTGGATTTTTTTTTTTTTTTTTCGTCTTTCTTTTGGGTCTTTCTCCACCCTTTTCCCTTTGACAATTTAGGAATTTCAATGTCCCTTCAAGAGAAGACACCCCGTCAGAAAGGACAAGCTGCCATATCGTAGAGTGGCTGCCTTGGCAAAAATTGCCGCGATGATCCGGAGCGGTTCTGGGACGCCCTCATTGATATGATACGCCGCAACCGCGTAGACGACTCCGTAAATGGCACCGGCAAGTGAAGTCCAGTCGCTGGGCTTGGCACCACCTTCAGATCGGTAACTAGAGGCAATCCAGCCGCCCGAGGGTACGAACCAGATCAAATTGATGTAGCCTTCAAGAAGGGGCGATGCCCAAACGCTCCACGAGGGATTCGCTACCTGGACGCATGCCAGATTATCTGCCACCGTCTTTGCGACGGCAATACCCGTTATCACGTCGTTGAACACGGTCATCCAGTCTGGGGCACCATGGAGGGAGTTAGCAATGTTTGGACTTATGAGGACGAGGTAGGCGCCAATGTTGAATGGCGCGAATTTTCCGACGCCTGCTGATTTGGCCATGTCTGTGTCGAGGAGAACCAGGATGGCGGCCCCTATGGGTGCTATAATGTCACAAGTGCCCTGGATCGTGGTCAAAAGGCTCTCGTCAATTCCTTTAACATTTGGGGCAACGACACTTTCCCCACCGGAGTCATTTAGCTCGGACTGTTGCTGGACTCCGTGGTAAGTTTGAAGCCGAGAGCTCTTAGCGCTGAGGGCTTTCCTCAGTTCATCCCAGTCACTTGCGCAAATCAGGGCTTTCGTTGAGTTGTTGTCCGGGAATGGTGCCCTGTTTACGGTGATCTTGTGGATGACGGTTGCCGGGATGGCAGTAACTAGGCAGAATAGGTCCAGCACGCTCAGCTCACTTCCCCGTGTGACCTCGCGATACAGCCTCGAGAGGACCGGGATCTTCAGCGGCACGCTGAGGATATCGATGAAGCCTTTTGCAATAAGCTCGAGAAGATCGACCAAAGTAACGATAACATTCCGCGCAGATTTGAGGATGAGATCGCCCATAATGGCCATAATCTTCTTCATTGCCTGGACTGGCCTCAGCGAGTCGATGTTGTCCAATATCGCGTCCTTGAGCTGCGTTGCTGTGTCCTTGATGTACTTCCCCTCGTTGTCGACCATATCTAGGAGGTCCTTTAGCATCGCCTTGAGATCACCGCTCACACTACTGTCCGGCTCATAGGTTGTCTCAGCTGATTTGAGTCCATTTTTTGTATGGTAAACTCCCCAGTGGGCTTGGGGTAGATTCTGGCCCGGAGCTCCTGCTGCCTCCTTCAGATGCGTCCCGATGGTCTCTCCCGGGTCCGTAATATCTGCCCAGGAATTCAGCTGGTCCTCGAAACCGATGAAGGCCTTCTCGATAGTATTTTCGAGGCTATCGAATTGGTCTACAATGTGTCTGCTGTACTGGATAAACATGTTTTTGAAGACGGAATGCGTGCGCAGGATGTCATTCCAACTGAACACGAAACCAAGCCAGGCAACCACGTCCGCGAAGAAGACCTTGATGTGTCGCAAGACAAACTCTATAGCCCCGGCCACGGCATGGTAGCAGTCCAGAGCCACGGCGTAAGTTTTCTTCGCGATCGTACACACGAAATGCCAAATGCCATCGAGTTTGTGCATGACGGCGGCCTTGACGTCATTAAAGATGCGCTTCGCCCATCTCCAAAACGCACCCGCCTTCGCTCTGATAACGTCACCTATATCGCCAAGTTCAATCGGGGCCTGAGAATTCATGAGCATTCTGTGCGACTCTGGAGAGATGAGGAGTCGCATTGCATCGTCGCCTTTGTGGTACTGGACAGCTCCCTTCTCGAATGTGAGACCCCAGGATTCTGACGGCTCTACAGGCTCCGCCGGTCCAGCTCCCAACCGGGACCGAACTAGCGCCGGCTTCTGCACAGACCCGTCGTCTGGAAGTGAATGTGTGACTTCGGCGAGCTGAGCTATAGCTGTGGCAATTTCGTCTTTCGAATCCAACATGTCTTTAGGAATCAGCGGTTTTGAATCGCCATTTCCCGTTGGGATTTGAACTTTGGCCAAGTCATCCCCGCTTTTGATAGATGACAGGGTCTGGAGTATTTTGGACATGGGCTTGACAGTTTCCTCTAGCGGGGACTCGCCTGGAACGGTGATTGTCAACGGTGCGGCCTCCAGATTCTGGGTTTCTTGGACAACCATGATGGTGCCAAGGTCATCCGTATGAACGACAAGTGGGATATCAGGGCTGAGGATGTGGTAGACGTTGTTCACATAAACAGACACGGAAGTCTTGGCGGTGATCTTAATGGGTGTAGTCGGAATTCCCATGCCATCGTCACCTGCGACCTTGATATGCGTAGTGAATGAGTCAAACTCGACGAAATCATCAGAATCTCCTCGCGGCAGCAAGATGCGGCGCTGTGCCCAGCTGCTGGTTACTTCATCTTCAGATAACTGGGTCAGCTCTTGGCCGGAAATATGGGCAAATAATACAGTGCTTCCCGTAGTTTCTTTGAGGTAGAAGGTGAAACTTTGGACATTATCAAGAATCGGCATCGGTGGCGCCCATGCAGACGGATTCGTCTCACTCCCCGCTGGGCAGTACGTGAAGACGAGGTCGTTTTGGGAATTGAGGGCACAGATCTGGGTCCGGCCGCCAGTAGACGAAGCCGACAAGGTCCGGATTCCAGACAGCAGATAGGATTCTGGGTCCTCCTTCAAAATCAGAGTTGGTGTAGCTTGGTCTCCCTGGTTGTCCGGAGCGAAAACATAAATGCCTTCCTTGGCAGCGAGAAAGAGGTTGCTGCATCCATCTCCGTTCACAGAAGAAGCGATGCTGGTGGCGCCAGTTGGAACAACGAGCCGTGCTGATGTTGGAGCTACCCCTGGTCGGTAGACATTATACAGAGGAGTATAGATGAGCTCCGGCTCGTCGGCGATAACGCCAAAGGTGTAAATGCCCCCAATCCTGTCATGAGATCGATGACCGAGGCAGGTAGAAATGGACCCAGCCTTCAGATCAATGGCCAATTTGTGACGAATCCATGAAGGGGAACCTGGCGTCATTGCCATGTTGATGTAGTATCTATCCAAGAGCTTGAGAGGATCGTTCGGCTGGCGCTCAATGTCGACAATGCATGTTTTAACGACTCCCTGGTCCGCAGGAAGCCTCAGGACAAACACGTTGGAGATTAGGAGCGGGTTTGGGACCGTCGTGTCAGTCGCGTCAAATGCGATCTGAGTCCAAGAAAGCCCCTTGGCTAGACTTTCAGACTTGGCACAGTTGTCTAGCGATAGATACAGATGATCGCTCCCATCTACGGTAGCGACCAATGCCACGTCGAACGCGAGTGTCTGCGCGTCCTGGGAGACCGCAAAGCATTTCGCGCTGACAGGTGCCCCTCCATGGTTTTGGGATAGCGAACTGGTTAGATCCGTTTTGTCCCAGCCGGCATCCGAGGCGCGAACCTCCCTGGTCATGTGGAATGCATGGTTGACGCCGATGGAAAAGTAGATGGCGTCGTTTTCAGGAGTTTGAATGGCGTCAAAAGCAAAGCCAGGCATCAAGATGTCGGCATGCTTTTGGTTGCGCATCAACTCCGACTCCCAGAGAATAGAAGGCATGGTTCGTGAAGGGTGAGTTGATGTTGCGGTCAAGAGAACGAAGATCCAAGAGATGAGTTATAACGCCGGAGCCCTCAGAATCGTTCTTCAGCTTCAGGCGTGGAACGGCTAGAAATATTCCAAGAAAAAAAAACCGGACATCTGGTGAAGGAACCAACCGTCGAATGCTCCCACTCGAGCTCGACGGTCAAACGACTGACACAACTTCGGCCGCATGCGGCACTCGGCCTACCTATGCGCGAAATTCATCATCATGCAATACGTATCCTGCAGATCGTATATGCGTGTCGCCTGCCAGCAAGGGTGGCGATACTCGATATAGAGGCAAAAGAAACTTCATGATCTTCGTGAGAAGTGGATTGATCAATATGGCGCGGGAATTGGCTGTTGCCGAACGCACTCCGCCCAAATGCCATGTCATGACTGCATATCTGCAGGATTGGCCCAAACTCGATAGATATGGAAGCCAATAAAACTCGACGTGTATCATCTAGCCCTGGTCATACGACTTATGATCTATTGCCAGACGGTCGACGGAACACTGCGATAGAAGAAATGGGCGAACGAACATCCCATTGATATCGTGAAAATCAGATTTTCTCCCAAGAGCCGCCAATATTGGTAGTATCTATAAGCTGTGAGGGGTAAAGCGTGTATCTACCGCACCTCTTGTGTATTGGTGGGGATGCCGTTCCAGTATTCTGGGGGAGGATTTAGAGTAATAGAAAAGGCAAACTTCCCTGCCGACGGCGTATGCCTTCTCACTCAACTAGTTCTACCGCTGCCATACCAGGAGTAACTCTTGCCAATATTACGCATCTCTACCAGCTACGCTGACACGACGAATAAACAAAATGGCCGCGTCGTATCTGTCAGATCCCAACTACAACTACGATTTCGTGGTTGCCACGACTCAGGCTAGCATCAACGCTGTATGTGTGCCAACGAGACTACCCTAGTGATGTGCCTATGTTCTGACACCAGACGTAGAATATGATGCGGTTTCTTGACTCGATCGAGCAGCCGCTGGTTGAAGCATGTTACGTGATGGGAAAGAATAACACCTACGAACGGGTCGAGATGAGCAGCTTTTTGGAAATGACTGGTGGCGTCGATCCTTTCGTCATTCCCGGTCAGACGAACGTGGATGATCCACGTATCCAAGCTCTACTCAAGATTAGGTTCGTGGCCGGGTTCAAAGCCCGTCCAGGGCTGCCTCCCTGTGACCTTGCCTCCTTACCAGACATTGTGACTCTTGGTGAGGACATTTCGTCGGTAACCTTCCGTACCATGTGCTCCGAGTTCGTTCTCGTTGCCATCCAAGGTGGTCTGTACACACCTCCCACCTGGACGCGGACGTCGCAAGATCCAAAAAAGCCGTGGATTTTCCGCTCCCAAGTCAACCTCAGTTTGTCCGTTATGGAGGAGCCAGATATCAAGAACCTGCCCATAGACGTCCAGGAAAAGATTGCCGAGATTCGCAACCTCTCAGGTTCCGCCTTTCACATCCAGCAGCTGCTCTTCGATCTCGCTAGCGCAAACCTCTGGGACATGCCGCATATCGAGGGGTTTGATGAGTCTTCGGCCGCCCATGTGCTTCTCCAGACGTACTTCCTGACAGCCTATGTGAACGAGATGAAGAAGGATGGAGATCTCGTGCTAGGATGCAGTGCCGTTGTCACCGAACCTTCTGTGTCGACTCTGACGTTGACAGGCTTCAACTTCAACGTAAACCCCTATATGGGAGCGAACGGCCTGCCAATTCCACAGCAGGGCAAGGATGAGAGTAACTGCGCATCGTTGAATTACCTATGTGCTGCAAACCACAACCCGCTTCCGCCACGCCGACGATTCCCATGGAACTGGGTCAACGTCTCCGAGATGAACCAGCAGGATGGTGTCATATCCATCAATCGCAACTCCTTGGCTAACCATTTGAAAGTCAAGATCGGGCCTCTGGTCCCGGAGTTCTGCGTGCGTCCCTGGGTCAACTGCGATGTCTCCCATAAGTCTGGGGTTGTCTCGTTCGACTCTGAGTTCTACAAGAACCAGTTACCTACCTCGACAACCCTCCCAGGTTCCGGTGCAACCATCCTCACTTTCGCTTACTCAAGCAAGGACCAGGACCAGGCGGGTGTGAATGGGTGTCTTGGTAAAATCGAAGCTACCAGCACCTACAACCTAACAGTAGTCGTCTCCGGAACTTGTGTCACAGTGACACAGGACCAGGTCCTCCACGTGTACCTCAAGAAATTGGCAACCAGCAAATCGGGAAACGTGGTGAAGAGGACAGTAGTGGACATCTACTCGATCGGAGTCGATCCGAATGGCGCTCTGGTCTTAGCTCTGGCAGACTCTAAGAGCGCCGACGACCCGGACAAGATTGCCACCGACAAGTTTCAGGATTTCTGGACCCATTTCAACAGCATCGCCCAAAAATTTACAAACAATGCAATCCAGTCATTCAAAGAATTAACGGACATACCGCTGTCGACACTTCAAAACTACGTCTTTCCAGCCGGGAAGACCTTTGTCTTTCGGGACGCGAGATTTTCGGACCATCAAGACCTAATTGCCAACATTGGGTATGCTGATCCGAAGGCACCTGTTGTCAAGACAGTACCACGTGCATTGAATCTAGTGAAAACAAGTTACTGGAGACAATGATATCCATTATCATAGTGCCGTGCTGGACGGAGGGTGCTATAAGACCTCGAGGAGAGCTGGCTAAGTAGAAATAGATTGCTGATGGGATGGCAGGCCGTTCACAATAAACATTCATAATTTGACCCGAGGAGCAATGCATGTTCTCTGTGCACCTTGAATAATTTGACCCATCTTCCGTAGTGGAGGGTCAAGTTGACCGACCGCTGTCGAGCTTTTTTTAGTAGACCCACCGCAAGGCCGCCCCCTTCGCGTCCGGCCAGGTTTCTGGTCGCGATGATGCGATCGTGAAGTGTGGCTCAGATTTCATCACCTTCCCACGCATGAAGCTGCGCCCCAGCTCCCTAAGCAACATACTAACCGAATTTTATCACCTCAAACACTGAGGAAGGATCAGTCCATGTGTGTGACCTGATGTGTGTGGGTGGGGAAAGGAAGATCTGGAACCAACAGCCTATAAAGCAGCCAATCGTGGGCCAGCTCGTAACGCCCTGTTGGTTCGCATTGCGGACCAAGCCTCGGCCCGGTCTGTCTGGGGAGGGGAGCTGCGATCGAACACGATCGCTGGGGGGGGACCTGGACTCTTCTTTGATTGCTACATAATAAGGGGCGCCTCTGCCCACGTTTTGATATTACCATTCACGGCTGATCAAAGCCGGGCGACACTTCAATCCTGAGAAACCCATTGCATCCATTGCCTCCTTGTATCTTTCCAAGCTTTCCTCTGCAACATTAGTAAAAATGGTGATGAGCGATTTGAATAACCCCATGTCAACGGCGATTATTGCTGACATTTGAACAGCGCATCCGGAGTACGTCTTCCACCACAGCGTCATCGCACCGCCAGTACACTCCAGCCTCGGGGTCAACCTCGTCGAGAGGTATAGACACTCCTTCGGCGGACACTGTTGGACCGGATGATCCGATTCCTTCCATCGAGGAGGGTGACAATGCACCAGAACCAACTCCGACACCCAGCCCCCCTTCTGTGGTCTTCACTCCTCCGACTGTGACCTCAGCTGATGACGCCGTCGAGAATTCTTCGACCGGAGAGAGTATGGCGAACCAGATGCGGAACCTGCGACTCTCAAGCCCACGCTCAAGTGCCGGCGTAGCCCAACTCGGTGTTGCACTGGATCAAGTAGTGCTAAGTGAACCCCAGCGCCCAGAATCGAGGAGTCGCAGGCGACGCTCTCGATCAGCCACTGTCAACGGAGACGAGCCGCGACACCAGGTGCGAGATGAAGAGATGCCGCCGGACAGATTTCACGAACCCGCATTTCAACGGGGATTCGCAGACGCAAGGAGCCTCGTGGGTCAGCTCGCCACTGTATTGTCACAGTCTTCAAGCCACCGAGACCCTGGATCGACAGCAAAGAAGCTTTATGATGCTGCTACGAAGCTGGCCGCCTTTGAGCCTCCCTCCACGAGAACGATCGGATTTGTTGGAGACTCGGGTGTTGGTAAGTGTAGTGGAATTGGCATCGGTTAGCACTTCCATGCTTAAGCTAACGATGGCCAGGGAAAAGTAGCCTTTTGAACTCATTGCTTGATTTTGAGAATTTCGCGAGAACTGTGAGTGCTTTCTGCAACTTTCTCCCACCGTCTCACGGACTAATAAACCGTTGTTTGCTCTAGAGCAATAGCGGAGCAGCATGTACATGTGTTGCTACAGAGTTCCACTACCACGGCACCTCCGATTTCAAGATCACCGTTGATTGGTTCTCCGAGGATGAAGTGAGAGACCAGCTCGAAGATCTGGTGGACTCGTACCAGCACTTCCACCTCCACGAGGATGAGCTTGATTCCGGTGATGAAATCCCCGCAGAGAACGCAGCCAAGCTGGCTATGGACGTGTTCAAAGTCCTATTCACTGGACGCCTCATCAATCCGGAATACCTTCTTGGTCGATCACAAGAACGTATTATCGACAGAATGATGTCCGAAATTCAGACCCAAGGCTACCTTAACGCGATTGAAGAGGCCACGTTTAATAGCAGTGCACAATGCTCCAACGCCTTACTTGGCCTTACCTCGGAGTCTTCTTCAACCGACAGGACCATCCGCTGGCCTCTGATCCGAAAAATTAAGTGAGTGGGATTGAGCAGTGTTTAAAGATTTCAATCTACGTACTAACGCAATACACAGGGTCTATTCCAACGCTATTATTCTGAGCAAGGGACTCGTTCTCGTCGACCTTCCTGGTAAGCCGTATCGTAGCCTCTGTCTCGAAGCCGGCCTGTCTAACCATTACAATATCAGGCCTACGTGACTTAAATGTGGCTCGGCGCAATATAACAGAGCGTTATATCCTTCACTGCGACGAAATATTTGCAGTTTGCAATATCGGGAGGGCGACTACTGATGTCGGTGTTGCAGACGTGATAAACCTCGCGCGTCAGGCACGATTGTCTGGTGTCGGAATCGTTTGCACTAAGTCGGATGTAAGTCCTCAGCTGATAAACACTCTACAAAAAATATCGCTTTAACCTCACTCAAAGGATATCAAACCTGGGGAAGCCAGACAGGACTGGCCTGGACCCAGAGCAATGACCATCCAAGAATTCCAGAACCAAATCGGGCGTGCATCAGCCGAGTACGAGAGATGCACACGAGAGATGGACGAATTTGGACGTGACGAGCTCCATGATCCAGAAACACTCCAGGAATATCTCGAATTGGGGTAAGCTCTTGGATGTACCGTGAAGCGCCGCGGCTGGCTAACGGTACGGATCAATAGCAGAGAAAAGGATGAATATGCCAGACGCAAGCGGGAACAAGAATATCAGTGAGTGACAAGGCGATGCATATTTTACGGATTTCCCGCTAACACTGGCACGAAGGTTGATCCGCTTTCTTATCAACAATCGCAATGAAGAAGTTACGGGAAAGCTTGAGACCCAGTACCGTGCCCAAGTCCCCAGGGCGACCCTGCGCATCTTCTGCGTCAGCAACACAATCTATTGGGAGAATAGGGCTAAACCTAGGGCCGAAGCTCTTCCCTACTTAACTCTGAGCGGCATCATTGCCCTTCGGAGGCACTGCATCTCCATCGTTGGGCAGAGTCAGCGCAGACTCGCGGCAAGATACGTCAATGATGAGATCCCCGCGTTTCTCGGCGATGTAGGCCTGTGGCTTGAGTCCGGTGCCGGAACGATTAGGGCTGAGAGGAAGCGAGCTATTAGGCAGGCCCTGGACGCTCTTGATTCTCGTTTGACGAGGGTACGCGGCCCGCGCTAAGCATCAATTTGTGACTGCTGGATATAGCTGATTCGAACGTGGTAGGAACTCATAGGCGCACAGGCCCCAGCTAGAAGCATAGCACAATCCGCGATCCAGAACCTAGAGCAACAGATGTCACAAGGCAAGTCCTCAGACAAGTCAATAAAAGGAAAGTTGCCTAACAAAATAAGTAGGCCTTGCTCGAACCGACTGGTCTCGAGGAGCTCGGAGGGCTAGCATGGTTTGGAGTGGAGTAAGTTGCATTCTTGTTAATCTCAGAGAAAATGAGCTAATTCGATCGGTTTAGTGGCATCATTGTAAAGACTCACTCACTCCGCGGCCCACAGTGGATATGTTGGTTACTGATTCATCTATAGCTTCTTATGCGGCATTCTGTCGAAATTTTGGCGATTATGAGACGCCCAAAGCTGGGCGGCATAACTGGAACGAAGAGGCAATGGAAACCATGGTTGTTGACATGGAGCAGCCGTGGCTCGATGTTCACTCCGCACTCCAAGCACACCGTTCTAGAACCCGAAACTCTATGAATGAAGCCCTATTGTGGAGTCTCACGCACTTGGGTAAGCTTCTCGAGCACGACTTGCGCTTCTCCAGCCGTTTCTAATCCTCCTGCAGGCAATGAATCGGACTCGAACCCAGACCTACTACCTATTCTCACAGTTCTTATTGACACCATCAGCTCCCGCTATCGGCTGCTACGTGCCGAGACAGAGGATGCCTACGACGATTTCGAATCTAAATTAACGTAAGTAAGATAAACCGGCGGTACAAATAATAAAGCTGATTTGAAAAATGTGCAGGACCTTCCAAACTGACGCGTTTTCTGGTATTCGCACTTCCATATTTGGAGAGCTCTTGGAAGATTCTTACCGAGCTTGTCAGGCGACATATGGTGCGCACAAAATTCTTTCCTTCGTCAATAGGTCAATAGTTTCTAATGGTAGTAGGTACCGGAAGCGACCGCAAAAGGAAGAATATCATCGAAGGGAAAATGGGTGATCGCCGGCTCTTCCAGCAATGGGAAACCAATTTCCGCAGCAAATTCAAGGAATTGGTAGAGACTCTGGAGCAAGAGATCACCCTGATTGCTGCAAGCCACCTAGACGTTATCGATGGAACCTTGGACATTCTTCGAGATGAGAACGCGGAGAGCGAGGCTGACCGGGATCCTGCATTGCGCGAACAGCTCTCCCAGGAAGTGGCAGCTGCTCGAGGTGACTTGAGGCGCATACAACAAGTTGTCAACTAACGAAGCGAGTCTTCACTCACTAACTCTATCCCTCCCACTGCGGAGAGTCACGACAACGGTGTGGGGGCGGTGTGGTGATTTCTTCCTCGTCTCTGACGGCATTGCTGCGCATCTGCCTCGCTGGGTTGATAGAACGCGAAGGAATTGGCTCTTTTCTTTCTTTCTTTCTTTCTTTCTTTTTTTTTTCTTTATCGTTTTTCGGGTGGCGTTCCGGAAGCTCGGAGAGGCGGGTAGGGAAGTGTCAAGCGATCTGAAGTAAACATGATTCACGCAGTTGAATCTCAATATATACCAGCAAGATCAAGTTGTGTATGGGAAAGAAGTTCTTATACGCAGCAAGAACCAGTTTTGCGGATTCCAGTAAGAATCAATGATACAGCATTTGGATGTGCATCCGCTCCTGTATTCAATAGATGCTTTCAAGGAACCATATTGCTTCCACACCCTAGCACTTCGCAAGACGAGTGAGTCTTATAAACACTATAGTACGTTCGGGTGAGTCTGCTTATATTCCGTGAGCGTGAGATTGGGGAGAGAAGTCCTCTCTCTCTTTGTACAGCCAAGCCAATCCATGAGATACGACAGACAGTAGTCGATGAGCAAGTCCATGTACTCATGGAGAATAATAAGGTTTGAATAAGAGCAGCGCGGCAATTATTGCTATTCTGTACTTAGTGTAGCCTCTTCAGCCTCCTATTTTACTAACGCCAATGAATCTTACCCCGCCTGAGCCTGACGAGAACTCAAATCAGGCTCCCTCAGACTCATCCATCCATATTAACTATAGGTAATAGAGTTAGAGTTAGTACTGGTTGACTTTGCGGAGCCCTTCGAACCTGTTATTATTCAATATGGGTAGGAACACTACAGGATCTCGCCCTCTGCTCACCGAAGAAGAGGTGGCGATTCAACGGCCGCGAGGTAATCGACACCATTAGCCTGTAGTTGCTTGGAAAGAACTTCCAGCGAGCGGAAAACATTGTTTCCCTTGCAGTGTTCTGGTTCGGGGCTGTTGGGGATGTTTTCAAATGCATGGCGTCAACGAGGGAGATATTGAATCTTGTAAGCTTCTCGTCTACTACCAATAGGTTCTCGATAAAGATGACGATGTCGACAAAGAGATTAGCATTATGTTGAAAGATAGAAGCCGCTTTGGCATACAAATATTCATCATAAGTATGGATAGGGGAGTTTTGCCCAAAGCAGTCTTCATCTCAGTACACTCATTGACGGTCTCATGCGCAGAGGATGGCTGCCCCGTACCTTCCGGTTCTGATGCCGCCATAGCCAAGATCCAAGACTTGGTACACACATGCTTAGAAGATGATGCCGTTTAGTACTATTGTGCCTCTCCAGAAGAGCCAATTCTACCGATAAGAGTCATTGACAATGGTCTTGCGGATGGAATTATCAAACCAACGGCAGGAGAGCGAAGTACATCACCTTGAACCATTGCTCAGGGCAGCGTCCATAATTACTACAACCAAATCAACACTTCCACAATGGAAATCGGGCACTCCCATGAACGCCCTCTCGAATACCTTTTGAGATGCCGTGGTTCTAGCGAGGCAAGTTGCAAGGCCCAGCCTTGGCGGCCGTCATCCGAGAGCCAACTCGGAAGGAAGGCAGGTGGCAGGCGCGAAATCCAACCCACATGGTTTAGAAGGCGCGTTTAACTTCGAGCTCAAGTCGTGCCTGCCGCTTTATCTTGGTTCTTCTTAATATTAGTAATATTAACGTGAATCACGAACCCTCAATGCTCATGTCATGTGAGGAAGGAAGGGACAAGGCGTTTCCCTCCTGTGTCAACGTCGCCCTCATCTACCACCAAAAACGAACCCCGAAGTTCTTGAGATCAAATTTCTTCCCAGCAATCATTTTTTTCTTTACTTTCGAGAGCTACAGAAAATGGAGCCCTCAAACAAGAAAGTCCCCTTGTCGGAAGACTTTAAACAAGCCTACGGACGAAATCCGGGGATAATCGACGATACCCTCCGTGCCATCGCCAAGGATCCAGTCTACGCAGAGCCTACAACGGATTATATCACCGATCTTAAATTAAGACGGGAGAGCTGTTTGCGGAAATCCAAATTTTCTTGAGAGGGAATTCTCATCTTTCCCCAATTAACTGCGCTGCACTGGCAGTCTTGATGGTTGCTCCGATCGAACACCTTTCGAGAGACCTGGAACGAACTGAAAGCGGATGAGAACTGCTGGGCCAAAATGGAGCAATGGATAAGAACGTTAATAGAGTACTCGCCGGCCGCGATCAAGGATTGTATGTCATAGCCATCGTAAGCCATTACGATCTACCTTGCTAGCCTTTCAAGACTGACTCCTTCTGGATTCTTTAGTTGTCGTTCGAGGTGGACGGAGCTCAGGAGCGGAACCGCCAGGCCCTGCACAAGTATCATGGGCTAGCGCAGGGGCTCGTGAAGCCTCCGAAGCGAAGCGTGTATATACATCCGCCCAATGGCTTAATTGTGTGCGGTTCGCTGATGTCTGTTAGTGCAAAGGTGTGTGTTGTGGAGCCGAGGAGGCTTGCGCAAAGGATTGTGGCAGCGTGGGGGTCACCGATTTTATCCCGGTCCGGTCCATCGGAAGGGGCCGTCTGATCCTATAATCTCCGATAATGACGGATGCGTGCTAATGGGGCGAGGACTCAATCAATGCACAGACGTCGATGGAGAGGTCGGCCAGGGTGTACGAATTTATTACGTTGATCCTCGGCATTGGGGACGAACGGATGTTGTTGCCAAGAGTTGATCCACAGACTTGAGACAATAAGAACAATTCTCCCAATTTTACTTCACGAGCTTTGAATGAAACACGATGCATGTTCTGCAGTGACATTACAGCTCCCACGGCCCACGGGCCTTTCCATCTGTGCAAGTATGGACGCTTGACCTGCTGCCAACGACCTCCACGGATGTATGCCAAGAAATTGACCAGACTTCTTCTGCGCCAGTCCTACAACCACGACCTGTCAGAGAAGGGACTCCAGGGATAGCGCCTGCTGAAATCGACATCGACTCATCTTGATGGCCACTGTTTCTGGTTGCTCCTAGAGTGTTTCGGTTTGGGCCGTTGCTGCGGCCGTCGGGAAGATACGGGACGTTTTGTGGTTCCTCCAGGAGAAGCCCATGGAAGGCCAGTATTCGTGGGTTAATGACCGTTCACCATCAATTCCAGCAATATTGGAAGCCGAAGCAGTCCATAGGAGTATATTCGCTCCCAGGTTATGGGAGGTCGCTCCACTGTTTGTCATTTCGTGCGTTCGCGAGTTCCGCGAACCCCCAAATTTTGTAATCGGACCTGCTCTCGAGGGTGCCACTTTAGTTCTACTTTAATTCTACTTCGAATAGCCATCTCAGAACGTGGGAGGGTTTCCGATGAAGGAGAATGGAGGAAGTTATTTGTTTTTTCCTTTCTCTTTTGAAGCCCGCTCGTTGGCTGTTCCTTTTCGAACCACCTTCATCATGAAGTCTCCATGTTTCCAAGCCCTGGAAGCACGCCGCGAAGACTAGAGAACACTTAAAACAAAAGATAATTGAAAGTGGTAATGAGGTAAAAGGTTTTGGGATTATTTACAGCCTCGTGAGGATACTATCTACCTGAATTGGAAATTTGTTCATACATCCCATCGTACCGACGACCAAGCTAGGATGAGGCCATCAAATTGATGTATGCAGCGAGGCACAACCTGTGCGCCTGACAACGACCCTGCGAAACAATAAGAGACCACAGAGTGGATTGCAGCTACGCTTGCCAGAACTTGCCAGAACTTGCCAGAATTGCTGAAGTAGTTCGGGAAAAAGAATGTCGGTCCACTAGAACTCCTCTAGTCTGTCTGCTCAACGGCGAAGCAGCCTATGATGCTCGTTAGCCATGCCAGCTTTTCCACCAGCTAATAGGGAGAAGGTCGAATCTTACCTCCGAAAGGTCCAGCAAGTGCATTGTTTCGGCAACGGACAGTGCAGATGTTTCCCGTCGAACCTTGATAATAAGTTAGCTCACTATCTCCGAAGCAATACAGCTACAGCGAAGAACGACGAACCGTCAGTACAGGTGAAGCTTGTCGGCATTTGTACAGTTACGTTGAAGGCCTTAAACTTGGCCTGAGATAGACCATTGAAACCTGGCACATCATTCGTAACGGCCAACCTTTGACCAGTAGTAGTGCTCGAGTTGGAAAATAGCTCGCATGTGTAAGGGCCAGCACCTATGCAACACCAGATGTCAGTGACTGTTACTGCCAAGAAATGGATTGCCACTTACCATCCTGGTTCACTTGGTGTATAGTCACTGTCAAGGTAGTGCCAGCCTGGACTTGAGCCACCTGGTTGTTGCTAATTGCGTTCTCGATGTTACTGTTGACATCGATGTTCCCTTCAATTTCCGTCCGTCCACAGAGACCGGTAATGTTTTGGCTGATCTCGACATCCCGGATGATGGTGGTGTCCTGCTGGCAAGGGCTGATACCGGAGCAGTTTCGCGCAATGGAACTATCGACTATTGAGAGACATGTGAGCGAATATCCTACACCTTCAGAAGACTTTACTAGACAAACCTAGGAACCCAACTGATGAGGGTGATCCTGCTTCTCCAAAGGCGGCAAGGATCACGCTGTGCCCTTGCACCAAGGAGAATAGAGCCAGCGACAAGACTGAAACGAACTTCATGGTGGAAACGAAATGTGGTGCACTGCACGAGGAAAATACAATAAACGGTGGTGCTCAGCACTGGAAAGTAAAAGAAAAGAAGTCTTGCCAAAAAGAGCTGGCTCGAGAAGAAGAAAGAAAATCCGTTGAGCAATAGAAAAACCCTGTCCTCATAGTCGAAAAATCTAGAAACGAAGAAATCGGATTATCATGTCCCTATATACGACCCGCTTTCAATTGGACCCGCTGACCATCATTGCTTCTTGACATCCTTTCATCCTTTCGTCAAACAAGCCCCTCTGCATAATTGGGATCATCTCACAATAACCATCCAATGTGTGAGAGATGGCCGACATTGTTTCGTCGCGGCTCCGCTCGAGATACGACCGTTTCGCAGATTTTCCCCTGGGGCATGAACGTCCACGTTCCCAATTCCAGGATTCGGAGGCGGTGAAACGGGGCATAACCTACTCGGCGGGGGCTGATCGGCGCACCTTGGTAGATCGGAGATCATTGATCGGCCCATCTACAGGCTTGGCGGACCCTCTATTCGAACTTCTTGACACAAGGGGGGGTCCACGAACCAGGAGCGCCTGTGGGTCATCAACCCGAAGCCAAAACGAAACTAATAAATCCAATACACCAAGGGTCCAAGTAGCTAGTTAAAAATAAGCGAAGGCCAGTTGAAGTAGTAGCGAATTGGTTGCGTCTCCATCGTTTCTGACATCCCTATTGGATCACCCTCGTTAGAAGCTGAGCCTCAGCCAAGACCTCTGCGACAATTGGACATCAGATTGATTGATACGCGCCCTGGCCTACTTAGAAGGTCTCTTCTTAATTTTTTTTTCTCCTTTTAACGAATACGCGTGGATATCAGGGTCGTAGGCGCATCAATCAACATCGTATGACGTGGTGGTCAGAATGATACTCAAGGACGCATCGGTCTCGGGGTTGACGTAGAGCCTATCTAGATTTGGGGCGTCCTATGTTTGGGGCTTATCAACAACTACGTCGTGTGCAAAGTGGATCAGTAGCCACCCAAGCCATCACCAATGGACTCTCCTTCAACAGCATTTTATATAATCCCCGATGCCCAGATGACTGAAGGCCGATTTGGTTGTCGGAACACCACCCCCATAGGCTTCTTTTCTCTTCTTGCTTTAACCTACTTTCGGTTAAGTCTTTTTACCTTCTTTGCTGGTCAATTCTTTTCAATCGTACCTATATTCTTTTCATTCCTTTACATTTTTTTCTTTCCCCTCTGACCTTCCTTTTTCCTTTACTCTACCCGTTCTGCTCAACACGTCTTACACAATGCATTCACTTGCGCGGGCTCTCCTGGCTTCGGCAACTCTCGCGTTCGCTCGCCCCCAGGGCGTCATCATCAGCGCAAAGGGGACTCTCGGAACTAGTGTTGGCATGGCCGGTAAGCGCCCGATACCCTCTCGTCCCATGTCGCATGACGAAAGATGTTTGCGCAAAGTATTGCAACATGGTCTCTAATACAAGGCGTTCCCAGTTGACATTAACAACCCGGCCGACGCGAATTTCATCTCCCAGGAAGAGACCGTGCGCAATGTCGTGAACGCGTGCGGACGAACCCTCCTGAAGGGCGGCATCAGCCAATCTGGTGAAACCGAGAAGATTATCGCCGCAGGCACCTTCACCAGGGTGGAGAAGGGCGGCGACCTTACCGTCACCATCAGCCAACGCACCGCCGAGGGCTCTGGTCCCTTTACCTGCGACCTTGACGAAGCCAGTAATGTTCTCGGTGTCTCGGGGCAAACACCTCTTACCGTCCAACAAGACAGCGCCGAGTTCGGAACTGGCAACTTGACGTTGACGGTTACAATGCCTGCCAACTTGACTTGCATCGGAGGTGAGCACCTTTACCAACATTCCCCGCCCCTTCCGGACAGATTCCTAACCTATTAAAAACAGGGTCGACCGGAAACTTCTGTACCGTTCGTTGCCGAAACGAACAGAACTTCGGAGGATGCATTGCCGTTCAGCAAACCGATGTCACTCCCAATGTGAACGTCCCCGATGAAATCGTCAGCGCAGAGTTCGAGGACGACATCAATGCCCAGATCGAGCAGAATAAAAAGGACTTGGCAGCTGCTCAAGCCGGTCTTGCATCAGCAGCCACTACTGACGAGCAGGGAATTGAGATCGCCAAAGCCATTCTGGGATCCGCCGTTAATGTTGGTGGAGCAGCCGCCACAACTACTTCGGCTACCGCCACTCCGACGGGTAGGAGAGGCCGCAACCGCAACAGGCTTGGCAATGGCAGATCTGGACGAAATAGGAATAATAGGTTCAACTGACGGGGTTACTATAGCCGGGGGTAAGTAGTAAAGCCATTGGTTGAGGAGGGGGCTTCCCAACAGATGGTTCCATGACCACATCGTTTCGCAAGAAGCTGTGCACCCCGTTCATATAGGCGTGGCCACGGGTGGCTGGCCTAGGACAATCAAGAAGACTCAATTCTATTTGTTGAAGTAGGCCAAGCATCCCATTGAATATTCCTGCAAAAATGTACCTGTAGTAAGACCGTAGGTTTGGGAATATTTGAGGTGGAGACTCCGCTAGGAGGAGAGCAAAACAGAACAGGCAGAGGGGAACAGACAGAGTGGCTAAATATTGTCGAGTCAGTTTGTGAGAAAGTGTGTGCATGTGCCTTAGCCCCATCCGTTGATCTTACAAATGCACAGCTATCCGTAAGGTGCAAGTGAAAATCAGAAAACACAACGGGCTTTGCAGAGATCAAATGCATCAAGTATCACGGACGTAGCGATTGTTGGTAGATATCCGGACTGAACAGAGAATGGAGTACACGGCCAGTATCCCTTTTTCACTCGACGTCATGTGAAACCCTTAGTTCGTGGTACAGATCCAAGACTACGGTGAACTGGAGGGCAAGTTAAGAGAGGAAGCGTAAAGCGTACGAAGGAATCCGAGTGCTTAAAGTCGGGCATGAGAACCATCTTTATAAATGATATCACTGTAATAAAAAATATAAAAGATAAAAAAGAAAAAAAAAATTAAAAAATAAAATAAAAAAATAGTGATACATGCCGAGCAGAAACTAGAAGAACAGTTGAAACGCTACAAAACGAGTGCTCGCAAGCTGTGGAGGGGGTTCTTGGCACCTCATTGAACAATACTCCCCCAGTCATCGCAAAAGTCTGGCCGATAATTGAACCTAGCCCTGCCATGCACCTCCTTGTCCGTATCCATGTTCATGAAATGGGTTTTGCAAACCTCCTCAGCAATGGGACAAAAGAAATCCTCACCCATGAACCATCCACACTTGGTGTGCGGACGCATCAGTCCGTCCTTGACTAGTGGGGTGCAGAAGTCGTCAGTTTCCCCATCCAGCCAACGTCTTAAGGCATGCATCGAGAAATTCTCTGAGATCCAGGGGTCATTATCCTTGAGGCGTCGATAAGTCAGAATCTCGGCCTGTATGGCTGCCCATAAAACTCCAAGATCAGAATTGCCCCCTGGAATCTGCACCCACGTTGTATGAACTTGCCAGTCATCGTCCAATTGACAGCATTCATAGTCATCGTCATTGTCCTCATCGTCCTCATCGTCGTCATCGTCCACATTTTCAACGCCCATGTACTCGTTATGAAAAACGGGCGAGCGAGCTTCTGGTCTTGGTTTCGGCGTAATGAACTCGTGGATCACGTCTCGAGGGTTTCTGTCGGTGTAGGACTTGTCAATGGACCCCTTCTCGGCGAGGAGAAGTGTTTGGGACAGGCACCGCCATCCAGTCTGACACTCTGCCGTCCATCTGGAGACCGCGTGAGGAGGGACAGCCTCCATCAGCTGACGAGCGGTCTGGCTGACATGATTGCATCGACTTGGATCTGCCACTCCAAGAATGTCGTCGGCAGATACCGATACAGAAAAATTTGCGTCGGCTCTAAGTCGGAGAAGACACACGAGGACCGCCAGTGGCCCAAAGAGAGTCTCCCCCACCATTCCCTTTTCCGCCAAATAAAAAGATGTGACCACAATAGCATGGAGCGGTCCAAGCTTGAGCTCAGTACCGCAATGTGCGCAACGGCGAACGAAAAGACCATTCGTAGCGTTAACTTTGGGGTGTATTGGTGAGCCAAAAAGTCCAATTGTGGCGTGGCACACGGCCTGGACGGCTGTGTGACAGAATGGGTGCTTCCACCCAACCGGTATGCGGGCATAGCCGTGTTGGAATAGCTCGCGGACGGCCGGAGTATCGACGTCCCATCTACCGCAGATGTCCTTCTCTTCCCCGGAGAACCGGGTGGATGATCCAAGCTGGAGACTAACCTGATCTGGAGTAATTGCCGTATGAGATCGTAGGACTGCGATCAGCAAAGTATCCAGAACCGTGTGTCCAAGGCCATCAACGGGATTCCTGAAGCGATATCCCGGTCCCAGCATGTAGCAAAGCGTACTGAATACCCCGCAACATGACTTTCCGCCATTTAGATAGTTTGCAGCGAGGTGAAGAGGATAGATATCAACTAGGGAGTCTGGCACTTCTTCGTCGTTCTTATTGAACATGTCCTGGAGGAGGTCCACATTTTCAGCAATGATTGCAAATTTCCAGGCGTCAATCTCCAGTGCCGTGGAGTCCTTCTCGAGCGACTGAGACACAGCCGAGATGGAAATGGGCAAATCCTCAGGAGCCACAGAGGTGAAAGTGCTCTCCATTATGGAAGACCTCATTGAATCTGCGAAAGACGACGCGTTTATCTCCTCATCTGTCCATGAGCTCCATGATGAAGTATTTGTGACGTCAAATTCCACTTGTGGCTCAGGTGATGGCTCGGGAATGGCTTCGTACGACGTTCGGTTGACGTGGATAACCCATCGACAGAATGGATCCGGTGGCTGGAATTTCAGACGAGGGTCTCGCGCCGCCGATGGGTAATGGGCTGCGGGGCCGTCCACGATCGATGCAGGGGTATGTGGCCCTTCCTCGTTCAGTATGCCGAGTGTCAAGGCAGACACCATGCCGCCTGTCCAGGCTTTTGGGCCGTGGCCCCAGTGCTTTGCTGCCACGAAGGACTGCATGTAGAATTCATGAAGGTAGTTGGTCAAGATGCTAATCTTGGTTGTTAACGGAATAGTCACAAGACTAAGACATCTTCTAATTGAAAACGTACATGCGGTCTTCTTTTCCGCAATTCTGGAGAAGTTCCTCATGGCGGCCTTGACAAAAAAGGCCCGACTTGTCACGAAGGAGAGCTTCTCTGACCAGTTGCATTGGAGGGGATGGTCCAGCGTTTTGCCGACCAGGTGTTGTGGCAGAGGGGCTGTTGACAACCAAATAGCCCGGTGTCGCTGCTGCAATTCCAAAAGGTGATGGCTTGTCCGGAGCCTTGGAAATGGACTTTGTGAGTGCTGCATATGGGAGGTTCCAAGATGAAAGACTGAAAAACCGTTATCAGATTCATGACCCTCTTTCCCGTGATCGCCCCGTAGTTACTTACACTCCCACGGCTACGGTTTGCAGCTGATCCTTGCGAACCTGGTCCCGTAGATACCTCTTAAGCTGTTTCGTGTCGACTCTTTTTTCACCGCTGCCTTACTGAATCAGGACATTTGATGTACTTGTATCCTCGCGCTTGCGTCTACCGAGGGCTTGGACGATATCTTTCTTCTCGTCGCCAATGATTCGCTTGCGGACATTCCATTTGCTGAACCATCTCTTGTATTGGCTCTCCCTAGTCGGTTATTAATTAGCATAAAGCCTTAGAGACCGTCCTGTGTCCTATTTAGCTTGTTGGAACTTACGCAGCATGAAATGAATAGTGGACTTTCATGAACTGTGCGACTTGACTGATAGTGAGGGATCTACCATTCGGCCCGTGGCGGCCCATGTAAAGTTGAACGATGACGGGCTTCAGCCTCTCCCAACGATCGTCATAAGGAAGATTGAGGAATTTGTCTTCCTCCGAACGAGGATGCAAGTCAGCAACGCTCGTGGCTGCTTATAGTGAGACGTGACAGTGAAATACGGGGGGTATGAGGGTTTGAGGGCATATGGTTGTGAAGATCAAGATGACGAGGGAGTTTTCTGGAGCTACGAAGCCAGTGATTGTGGAAACTGAGCGGTCGACGGTTCTTAAATAGATTTTGGCATTCAGGTATGCAAGCCTGGTCGAATGGTTGGCAAACGCACCACATTCTAAGGCGTCCAAGGCGTGCAGGAGCTGAGACATGAGTTTGCCTGAACACGGAACAAAAGGCCATGAACCAATCACCACCACCTTAAAATCCCGTCCTCCCCGCTTTTTTTCCTTGATGGGGTCCTTCGATTGCTGGGTGCAGGTGAGTGATACAACAGCTATGACCCTGACAGGGGGGAGTGTGGACAAAACGTCATAGGCCAATTAGAATCAAACAAGAACCATACATCCATAGCCCCACTTTTTTTTACCAACTTTGAAAGTTGGTAAAAAAAAGTGGGGCCATCGCTCTCTCAATCCCCGCCCTTCGTTCAGCCCATTCCGCTTTCCGAAGGCGAAGCATTTGATGCGCCGTTTTATTCTGCGCCGTTTTATTCCCCATTATGAAGGCCTCCCCTGATTACTGACACTCGGCAATCTGGGCGACAATGCATACATACATCGACGGAGTGAAATACATATGCAAGGCTCCCCCGAGATGCACCTTCATCTCGATCTCGATCGTCTCTGCATCGACCAGGCTGGCATGGTAGGACCAAGCAAAACATCTTTGCCCGCGTGCGTCCGCCTTATTGTTCGCGCACGATCAATTATTTGTGTCCCTGTACTGAGCTGCACTTACAGCACACACTGCACACTCCCGATGCCACACCCAAGTCAAATGATCGAGCCCATTGTGGCCTTCGTCGCCGTACAGCTCATATGCGTCTCTACATCAAATCCGTGAGAAGCACCAGTATCTATTGATGACCCCGGTTCTTTGGTGCCCTGCTCATGGATTCATCGTTATCTGTATTTCGAGCTCAAAGATGGCCCAGGAGTCACATTTACAGTCCTTGAATGCTTGGGCTATCAACACGAAAGTCCAGTGTACATCTATGATGCAGATACACCCAGGAGAAGCGTTAGTAGACGAGACTTGCGAGACCCGCTATTCCAAACGAGCCTCATCTACCCGGTGACTCTGGTTATGTCCCCCGATTTTTCATTGATATAAACCACAAGTTGCCCCTTGGCCCGAGTCCATGAATACTTCATCATCTTCTACAATATCCACGGCTCTCCCCCTTTCCCCAACAAGACTTCGTGAAGCCTATCCATCAATTATTATTGGCTAGGAGGTCAGGCTCCCTGACCTAATCTACTGGGAAAATGTCCAAAAGGTATCTTACGACTCAATTTCCTCTGTCCAGCTGAGCTGCCCTTCCTTCAATGACCACCATTTCATCCTATTCGGCTCATGTTTTTGACAATTCTGCTCTTACACACCTGCAAACATGTGTCTCTTTACCTCAAGCACTGCCCATTTTCACGTCGTAGCCCCCCTCCCGGTGGACACATGATACAAGATCTGCTTGTTATGTGTACGCTGAGTCCGGCTCCATGCTGTCTTTCCTTTATCCTTTATTGTTTACGCGCATCTCAGTTGTCGACACCTTGGCTTCCCCCTCAACATCGCCCCAGAGTCCTCCCGCTGCCTGGGGAAGCATGAGTATCTCGAGCCACTACTCACATTCTCATAGCCATAAATTCGACACTGCCAGCACGACTGCCCGCAAAGGCTCGCCGGAACCATCGCCGGCGAAGTCTGGAAAGAAAGAGCGAAAAAGTTCTGCCAAGAGCACTTCTAAAGCCAAGCCGAAGACAACAAAGGAAAGTCATACTGTCGATCTCATCGGCATAGGGACCCAGTTTACGAAACAGCAGTAAGCCACTACGTGATGCCTATTTTACCGATGGCCTCCGTGAAAAATGCACTAATGATATCTAGATGCAACAGACATCACCCCGAGATGCACATGCAGCTTTAGTCAATCTGGGTAACGATACAACGAATTGAGCTTGGAAATGTCGCAGTGATGGCCTGTTTCACAAACTTTCAAGCTTTCTAATAGTATGGTATTGTGTGTTGAGGTGCTTTTTGCAGAAAAGAGTCTATTGGTGTTGATTCATAGCAATTTCGTCTGGAATTCTTTTGCAGTTTCTAATGAACCCTGGCAAAGCTCAAGGTGATTTTCAATGAGGCCATGACGTCTATTAGCATAGCCATACCAGGTATCCGCTGTGGGCATGCCGTCGATTATCTGCGCATATATTACCCCGGTCGTGTTGGTAGATAGAATGTTGGAGAGGGCACTGGTAAATGCGGTATAATAGTAGTCGACGTCAAGGTCTCTTGTTGGGCATTTAATCATGGCTTTCTTTGACATGTTGTTTGTAGCCAAAAGTGCACTATGTAGTTGTCGCCGTTGTCGGTGCTATGGTTTGGTTTGTCTACGCGCGACAGTAGTTAAGGACGACTACATTTAATGAGCTCTCGCAACGGAGGGTGTCAAAATGCTGGGCACCTTAGGTGAGCACCGGTTACATTATTAGCAGAAAAGGCCGGTCTTCCGATACCGTACTATTTTTAGCACAACTTTGACCTACTCTTAGGCGCCGGAGGATGAAACCGCCGGTCAGGCAACCAGAATATATAAATAGAGCTTTTATTTGAAGACATGTCAAAAAAGGGCTTTTTGAATATAGATGGACAATAGGAACGGCTGATTCGTAAACGAACTCAGTATAGCGGTCAGAGATGATGGTAAGCCCTACGGTAGATACGTGTATTCTTTCGTCCTCCTAGTTTAGACTAGCTATAGGTATTTGGCAGGACAAACAGGCTCATGAAGTCGTCAAAGTTGATAGTTTGCGTCACACCCACACTATCGCCCCTGGCCTCGCTGAGTGTGAAGCCATTACCCAAGTACGCGAAGCGATTCGCCGCTGAAGGCTCTCTTGTCATGTGAAAGTCCTCCCAACGCGGGTGTTTGAGAGCCTCCATGAAGTGAAACGTGGTGCCGCCATACACGGCGGTCACGGGCCCGTCAATCGTGCCGTTCTTATACCAGCTTCGGCAGTTCCGCGTCCACACCGTACGCTCTAGATAGGCCTGTATGTGCTGATTGAAGTCTTCATTGGCGTCACTGCGTACCTCAACGGACCGAAGCATTTCCGTCTGTATCTTCTCGATCCATCTATATATATAAACTGCAGTCATTTGGATTCCAAGGACCAAGGATCCGTTGTTGATAACACTGTTCGGACCAATAAAGCAGAAGTAATTCGGAAAATCAGGTACCGTAAGGCTGAAATACGCTTTTGGCACCTCTTCGGTCCATTTGTCAGTGAGAGATACCTTATTGCGACCGATGATTGGAAAGGAAGGTTTGAAGGATGTATCAAAGCCGGTAGCGCAGACGATAACATCGTACTTCTTTTCGCCTGACTTGGTGAGTATCCCTCTGCGTGTGATCTGGCTGATATCATCCCAGCGCAGATCGACGTTGTCTCTGGTCAAGGCCTCTAGGAATCCAGGCCCTGGGGTAGGCCTTCGACATCCGACCGGAAATGAGGGCAAAAGGCATTCAGCGGCCTTACGACCCTTTTCGCTGTCGCCAAGCCTCTGTTTCATGGTGGCACGGAAGAGCTCCACGGCCTCTGCTTGCTCGTCACTATCAGCTATCCAACGCTTGTAGTTGACGTTGCGACGATCAATCATGGCTGCGCGATAATCGCGAAGAATTTGGGGGTCTTTGAACAGCTCGAGCGCCGCTTCCGAAAAGTTGTACTCCGAGTCCATGTCGGGATCGTTGGCAGTAGGCTCATTGATGCCAGGACCAGGAGAGATCCACGTCTGGCTGCGGATAAAGAGGTCCAGAGAGTCGCAGATAGTAGCGAGCTGCGGCGCAATTTGGATACCGGAAGATCCGACGCCAATAATGGCTACTCGCTTTCCGCTGAAGTCGTACTCTGTATCCCATCGAGCCGAATGCACCAGCTTCCCTTCAAAGGTCTCCAGACCTTGAATATTGGGCCACTTCCAGTTGCTATATCAGTTCAGTTAGCCTCGAGTGAAATACTCGATAGTACGCCTGGAAACATACTTCAGAACGCCTCCAGCGTTGATGAAGATGTCGACCTCGTCTACGAATGTAAGACGTTGGGGTGACTTTTCAATAGTGACCTGCCATTTAGCCTTACTTTCGTCCCACACGGCGGACTTGATGCTGTGATTATATTTGATATACTTGTTGCAGTCATACTGGTCGGCTACGCTATGCATGTACTGGTGGATCTGCTCGGATGTAGCGTAGTAGTTGGGCCAGTCGGGCTTGGGAGCGAAGCTAAAGGCGTAGTTATGGGCTGGGATATCGCATTTGCATCCGGGGTACCTAAATCTTGACCTTGAGAATGGAGCTTGCTTTCGAAAATCAACCAATATAAAGATAGGAGAAAGCTCTGGGCAAGCAGTCGTGGGGAAAGAATGAGAGAAGATGATAGAGACTAACCTATTTTCTAGCCACGTCCCACCCAGGTCCTCATTGCGCTCGTAAATAACAAACTCGGCATTTTTGCCCTGGAGGCGCTGGCTAAAGACGATGGCCATCATGAGGCCCGAGTATCCAGCGCCCAAGCAAGCGATGCGGATGTGGCGTCGCTGGCCGAGTGGTTTCTCGATGATCTTGTAGAACTGTTCGACGTGGGCACCAGCCGCCTTCACCGTTGCGTCGTCAACCTCGCCGAAGGGACCAACACCGTTTTGATGGTTATTCTGGTAGGCGACCTTGCCTCCAGCTTTGATCATCTCGGGCTGGCCAGTGGCCATTGCTCTTGCGGCGGTTTGCTCTAGAGTCGCGGCGGTCATGATCGAGGTAAGGGTACAGGTTCGAGTGATGCAAAGTTTGACAAAGTGACACGTTCATGACTATCGGACTGGGATACAAATGCTCATCGACTGCCTATATACATACACAAACATTGCCCTTACTTTCCAGTTATCGTACGCTGAAACGGGCTTCTCATTGACAGTTGACACGACATCGGTGCCGCCTCGATGTAGCGGCATTTGTACACTTACCTTGTTGGCGGACTTTAAAGTCCGGGCGAAGGCTGGCTGCCAGATGAGTAAACCTAAACCAGCAGAGATGCGGGGGGGATGGTAGACTAACCCCGGATATTGAGTCCCGTTAGTTATGCATAGCGTCCTAAACTAGTAAGCTGTCTGGGGTAGCTTGACTACAAAGGATAATACTAGTATTATTTATTACCGAGGCGATAAGTTATTCCTTTTAGATCCAGGCTTATTATAGATCTACTTTTATACTTTTAGGTATTATTACACGCATTTTATATAAAGATGTACTTACATGGCTAACTTTTCTATAAGTCGATTTTATACAAGTCGGACGCTTGCTACAGGAGTCGAATAAAAGGACGAAAGCTCTGTATAACTAAACTAATTACTAAAATTCGCCGTTTTAGAGAGCACTCTGCATTACAGTTTGATGATTACCCCGCATGATCCTTGTACCCTTACAGCCCGGGTTCTCGGGGCAGATCTCCTTGATCTGGCAGATTCTAATGTATCCCCTTCGTGATCACCCTGCCTCAAGGCACGATCACCCACCCGCCATAGAGCAATTCTATCTCGACTACAATCGCGACGTCTACAGCGCCGTTGCAGCATAGTAAAATGGCAAGAATGACCGCAACTGGTAGAAAACCAGGCCAGACCGGTGTAGGCCAAAAGACGACTTCGGCGATCAAAACTTGCAAAACCTGCGCATCCTGCCGCCTAAAAAAGGTCAGATGCTCCGGGAGCCAACCCAAGTGCGCCGAGTGCATCGTTGATGAGCTCGAGTGTGTGTACCCCCAGGATGCGCGAAAGGAGCCGCGGCCGTCGAGAGCCCGCGTCAGGAGGCTCGAGACTACCGTCGCGGCTATGTTAGACCGTATGAAGGCCGCTGGGCTTGCTCCCATGGACACGAGCACGGAAGAGTGGATCTCGAGCGCCGTCGCTGGAAGTGGCGAATCTTTGTCGCCGCGAGGACAAGCTGAACACCAACTCGAGCGGCCCCGGAGCCATGATGATGAGGCGAACTCCGCACCAGGCATCACCAACACGGCAACGGCAACGATGCCCCAACAAGGAGTCCTCATCGTATCACCTCCGTTACCATCTCGGCACGTGGACTCGTCCACAGAGACTACCATAGACAAATGTGCAATGGATTGCCCAGACCCGGGACCGACTACAAGTGTCGATAACAATAACAGCACCAGTCAACACCTGACCCCAAGTAGCACATCCACCGACATCATGGCCGCCTCACAAACACAGCCGCTGGCAGAAGCAGCCGAGTCAGACTTGAACGATCGTAGCCGAGAGGGAAAGGACCGCCTCTCTGGCCTTTCTCCCGGCGAAGCGCACGTCGCGGGCGTATCCCATGAACACGGCTGCGTTTCGTCCGTCCACGGCCTGGCTAGCCCGATGAACAATCGCTCTGGAAGGCATAAGGACATAACGGCTGTTGCCGGGATGTGGCAGGAGGACGAAGCTCGGACTGCCGCTTCGAAGGCGCGGCTGATCAGCTACGCGGCGCTCCAGAGCCAACGCGAGGCCTGGGTGTACAACCAGCCGCAGATCACTATTGACCTAGACGGGTGCGATGTTGACCTAGCAAAGCACCTGATAGAGCTTCACTTCAGCATGCAGCACTATGTCTATCTCATTTCCTATCGCCCAGCCATCATGGACAGCTTGGCTAGCGGTGGGGGCCCCTGGGTTAACAAGCTGCTGTTGAATGCCATATACTACTCCAGCTCCCTCTACAGCAACCGGCCGTGTCTCCAGCAAGATCCAAGGGACCCCCAGAGTATCGGCTCTCGCTTCTACGCCCGGTTCTGTCAGCTACTGGGCGGCGAGATCGCCCAGCCGAGTATCCCCTCTGCAGTGGCGCTACTCCTCATGAGTGCCTCTCTGGTGTCCCACGGCCGTCCAAGTGCCGGATGGAACCTATCGGGACTCGCGTACCGGATGGTCATCGATCTGGGGTGCCATCTCACGCCCGGGCTCGATTGTCAGGCGCAGGCGATTATGCACTCTAGCGCAAGAAGCGCCCTTAGCCAGGACCTCGAGCAGGAGATGCGTAAGAGGCTGTACTGGGGAGCATTTGCGACAGACGCTACACAGTCTCTCTACCTCGGTCGGCCTTGTATGCTTGCTCCGGTCGAGGCCAGGGTGCCGCTCTGTTTCCTGGACACATTTGAGGAGCTGGCAAAGTGGGAGCCGTACGTTGATGCTCAAACGCCGCAATACTGCCCGCCGCCATACGCCCCGCAGCCAGCCCACGCCGTGTCGACCTTTGGTGCGGTTGCCCGGCTTTTGCAGATTTCCACAAGGATTACCAAGATGTACGGCATTGACGCCATCAAAGGTCAGGCACAGGATATGCAGAGGGAACTGACAGACATTGAGCATAACCTCCAGCACTGGAGTGCCTCGCTACCTAGCCACCTCCGTTTCGACCCAGAAGGGCCCTTTATACCCCCTCCTCATAAGATCACACCTCAGTACGTTGACCATTCCCGAGCGCCCTCCCCCTATCCGTAGCTGCCTCGACAACTCTAACAGGTTACGCCATAGCACCACCTTCCATGCCCTCAATATCTTACTACATCGGGCCTTTTTGGAAGACGGGCACCTGTACCACCATTCAGACAGCGGCGTGACGACTCGTAGTGAGGAAGCCTGTCTTCACAGCGCACTCATGATTGAAAAGCTGCTACGGTCGTTCCGAGACACATTTACGCTGCGCGGTGCACCGTTTCTGCTGTGCTATGCCACCTACTCCGCCGTTAGTGTTGTCCTCCGCCATGAACGACATCACAGGGGCCGGTTTATGGAGCATATATCCTTTTTTTGGACGTGCCTGAGCGACATGCAGAGAGGCTGCAATTTTGGCATGAAGAAGCCGCTGGCTATCCTCAAGGAAATGGTTCGGGAGTATAATATCAGCATCAAGCAGAGCGGTATAGCGACCATGGCGTCGGACGACGCCGGTGGCGGTGACAAATATGTACAGGCCGGCCTGGACGAGAGCTTCTTTGAGTTCCCGTTGCCGGCGCACCCCTCCGTCGGCGACGCCACGTCAGAAGTGATGCACATCCCCAACGACGATGGCTTCATTTTGAATCACTCTGGCGTTGGCGATAGTCGCATGTCTGTGGTGGGCTCTGACTACTACTCCTATGACACCTCTATGGCCGGCCTCATGACGTATCTCGATGAGCAGGAACAGCAGATCTGGCAAGATACGCTCTACGGCCTGTTCACCTCATCGATGCAGTTTGGTTAGAGACAACGGGAAACAAAGCATTGCAAAGCAGACACGTGACAAAGTTGTAATTATATTCGTTCTTGTGCTACCTTCAACTATGCCTGGCTGGTTTCGAGGACCCTCCACACGCGGCGAAGATTCGGCTTACTAGCATTGCCCCGGACCTTTTCTGTCCAAGCCGTCATGCTCGCCTGCCACTCGGGCCCGCCAAGACCATTCTCCGCGTCGTAGTAGTTCCAGCCGTAATAGGTCGCCGTGTCCGTTTCGCCGTACGTCTTGACGTGGCGATAGCGACGGCAGTTGTTCCAACCGGGCACCAAGCTCAGTAGGGCGCTGTGCTCGAGGCTGTACCAGTCGTTATAATCCTGCTCCCAGCCAGGCCCCGGGGTGCCGCCGTTGCTGACCATTGTTGAGTCTACGGCTGGTGGTTTGGGTAGGAGGTGTGGCTGCGACGAGAGCTCCTTGGCCTCGATGGTGTCGCGGCCGTGCATGAAGGCACACACCTCCCATGTGAGCGACGCGAGGTAGTTCGCGTTCGCCTCGACATCATTGTCGTAGTAGGCCGACGAGTCTAACACGGGGCGAATGTCGCTGAGGAAGTAGGTAGTGTTGTATCGCGGGGCCAGGTCATCCCGGCCCTCAAAGATATAAAACCCCTCCACGTTGGGGCACGGCGCCGGAGGTGCCAGGATAGATTGGGGGGGCTTGGGTTGCGCGTCGTGAGGCTGAGCCATGCGCATGATGATTCCGGGGACGGCCATTGTCCCAAGTGCTGGTGTGATTACGGTGTTGGGTGGGAAGTTGAACGTGCAGATGGTCTCCGCCTCAAAATAGAAGAATCACAGCTTAAGATTTGTGCAAAATATTTATCAATCACAAGGAAGAAAGGAGGAAGAAAGGAAGAAAAATGACGAGAGGGGGTGGGCGGTCCATCGCCTTAATATTAAGTCTAACCGCGGATTAAGATCTTGAAGTACAGCGGCAAGCAGTCATTCAGGTTGCGCACCCAGCTACAACGCTTGAGCCATCAAGTCTATGGTTGTTCATCCAAAATCCCGAAGCGCAATCTGGTACTTAGTGCCATGGACTTTGAATTCCGACACAGAGTCCGGAGAGTCGTGCGGGGACGTACATTCGAGGTTGCGACTAAAATGCGGAGTGGAGGGTGTGATCGAAACTAGCTAGACACTTATCAGGTATGGAGTACTATCTAGGCAAGGCTCACCTCGGTAAGCAGACAAGGAACAAATAATTAGTGCCATCGAACAGTCTCTACTATGGACCTCCTTGTTCTTCTGCTTCCTTCTTCTATATTCAGGAGTGTGACCTTCAAACCCGAATCGTACACCCTCTCGCTGCCATAGCTATATACCAGCCCATCCGAGAATACCATACCCATCACAGTAGCCGAGTTGAATCTTGCCCATGGCGCCACCAGCGAATCCCATCCCTACCATTGACAAGCTTCCCTTGCGAGAGGGCGACCCCGCCTACTCGGCCTGGGGACTCTGGGGCAACGGGCCTGACAGCGCATTGGGTAGCCTCAACTATTTGACGGATGAGGTTGTCCTTAAAACCATCAAGGAGGAAGTGAAAACCGGCGAGCGGGTCGGGCTCAAGTAGGTCGCCACCCGGTATAACGACATGGGCCATAGTGCAGACCAGACTTGAGAAGGTCTTTACATGGTCATATTTGCTGACTGGAAGCGTGCGGCGCCGGTAGCCTTCCTTTGGATCTCATCAACCCCCCTCTCCTCGGCCGAGTTGGCTTCGAACAGAAAGTTATCGACAAAGCCCCCCGGGTCATCAATGATGACGTAGTAAGATCTTTGTTGCCAGTGTCCAGAGATGATTACTGACAGGACCTCTGTTGGAAGATCACCTTCAACACCCAGGGCAGCTCGCAATGGGATAGCCTTCGCCACTTTGCATATCAAAAAGACAAGAAATTCTACAATGGGTTGGGAACCTACACCTACCTTATACAATTTGCTCGGTTATATGAAAGACCTGCTGACTCTTCTCGTTGCTAGAACAACCCAGGAACAGATTCACTCTGCCCCTCGCACCGATTACAATAGTTTGCAGCCATGGACGAAGCGCAATCTTGCTGGCCGCGGCGTTCTCATCGACTACGCCTCACATGCCAAGCGACAAGGCATCTCCTATGAGGCATTCTCCGGCCATCCCATCACCGTGGCAGACATTGAGGCCATCGCCAAGGAGCAAGGCGTCACCTTTAATGCGGGCGACGTTCTCTTCATAAGGACAGGCTACGTCGCTGCCTACAAGGCCGCGGACGAGGCGAGACGCAAGCTGGCGGCTGAAGGCAAATGGGTCGGCTTGTCACAAGGGAAAGAGACGGTGGAATGGCTATGGGCCAAGCAGTTCGCGGCCCTTGCGGCTGACTGTCCTGGGTTCGAAATGCTCCGTGAGTTCTTCCAGTTGATAGGGTGATTTTCTCCTTTACTTACTTCTGTGATCGACTAGCACCGGCGGACCACGACTGGTTCCTCCACCCCATTGTGCTTTCGGGCTGGGGCACACCCCTTGGGGAGCTCTTTGACTTGGAAGGGCTTGCAGCCTTGTGCGAAAAGAACAAGAGATGGTCCTTTTTCTTCACCTCGTCTCCATTGAACTATGCCGGGGCTGTGGCATCGCCGCCAAACGCGACCGCCATCATGTAAAGGGCACAATGAAATTGCCGGAAACTTAAATGAATCACTACCTAGATTTTTATATAAGAGCATTACAACTATAACCGAATGTTACTCTACGTTATTAGTAGCTGACGCGACGTGGGATTCGATCCCGCTCCAGTTGAGAAACGCACTCCCAACTCCGAGACCAACGTCCCACGAACAGTGAATGAGTGTATGCCTTCTTCCTTATCTCGACAGGTAGTAACGGTTTCTGTAATATTCATTCCCATGCCCAAAATACTGACAATTTTTTTCCAGTCTCCTATGCGGACTACTGGAATGAACTACGTGAGAATGCTATTTCCAAGTACCTTGACACTCGGGATTTATTTTTAACTGACCACAACCTCTCAATGAGAACATTGTGTCATCAGTCATCTACCTTCCTAAGAATCCAATGCCAGCCTCGGTCCACGTCGTCGTCAGTGCCGCCTGACAGAGATCACCGACAGTTTTCCAAGTCTGCCCGGCATCCGTAGCCATAAATGCTTCGTAGCTGTTCTTGCAATCGAATCTTGCAAATACTATCACATCATCACCATCCTCCTTGTTTTCCCGTTCGAGAACCCAAAAGCTGCCAACACTGGAAACGCTCTCAACGGAGTTGACCACGGACCCAAGGGTGTCCAGCACCTTGCTCTTTGCGCCTTGCTTGGGAGACAAATCCTGCACTATAATGTACTGGTTCTTCGTCGCTTCACGGTCCGCCATCATGTTGATTGGGGCACGCGTCAGGAACCCCACCCCAGTAGCACGCCAGAATCGCATATCGGGATATCCATTAAGCAAGCCTTCTGCGGCAACGGCAGCGCGGAATTCCCGGTACGCCTCGCCGGCACGGTGCGTCTCTCGATTAGCCTCCTGGGTTTCATAGCTGGTGCATTTACCATCATTAGCTCTATTGTAGTTCATTTTTGACTATTTAATGAACGGAATAACCAACACTTCTATGCCGCGGACCCAGTGACCAGGCACCGCGTCGGTGTCCTCGGCGTTTCGAAACCAGGCGTACGCGCGACATTCGGGTTCACTCCGGGCCGTAAAAGGTGCGATTCGCGCAATTAATTCGAGAAGCTGTCGAGCGAAAGACTTTAGTCCGGAGACATGAATGCTGGACGCTGCGGGTATACTTACCCGATCGCTCTTCTCCCGGGACGGGACGTCGCACAGTGGAACAAGGACAAACATGATGACGAACGGGTGAACTCTGTGGCTGACGATTCAGTTGGGGTGCAGTGGTGTCCCTGGGTTTTCCTCTCCGCCGGCGTCTGGGATGTACAAGTAATGAACAAAATCGCCGAGATAGCTCCACTGCTAAGCGACCGTAGTACGTCACGAACGGGTCTAACCCTGTTCGCGGACTTTCAACTCCAACAGCCCCTCACTCCCCACCAACCCACAATTCCCCGTCTTCGTGTACACGACTTGCATTCCGTGGTAGACGATCCCCTGAGTAGTCGTGGACATATGATGTCGTTGCAGCAGCCAACTTGAGCTTTCGCCATGATCAGGTTCACTGGGAGTATTATTTCTATCATCATTTTTTGACCCAGCTTTGTGACGCGATATTAGCCACAATGCCACCGCCAACTCCAGTACTCCCGGACTCATTTTTTGCCCCGGTCCTTGCCATAGGGGATAGAGATCTCAAGATTCGATGGTACATGTGCGTCATCATCAATCTTTCGTCCCTCAATTACGCCGATGTTATTCCCCAGGTGTATTCGCACCTCGACTCCAGTCTCCTGTCTCAGCTCTCCCACAATGACCGCTTCGAGGCTGTTCATCGAATTCGCGAGGGCCTTACAAAATCTCTTGGTATTGCCGGGGCGGCTAGAACGGGAAATGCTATTCGCATCATTTCCCACTGTACGCCCGAAGACTTGAGGCTGAAGAGCTCGCCGAGATCGCTAGAAACCGAGGAAACCGCCATCCAGAGGGGCAACGAGTTTTTCGGCAGGATCTATGACGGCAATCCACTCTTCGACGTGCGTGACACTGAGAGAGCCAGCCCTGACTATCTCTTCCTCGTCAAAGGTATAAGTTTTATTATTGAAGACGTAAAGAGGAAACATTTTGGCTGATTACGGCATCAGATATTGTATACGGGAGACTCTTCTCATATGACGCGATCATCGATGACACGACCTCCTCGTATGCCATGGTGTCGGCACTATATGGGATGAACAGTCCAGGCCAGATGCGTAACCACATGATTGGCATGTTGCTGAACGGTGCCAGCAGGGACGAACTGATAGAGCTTCAGAAGTTACTTCTTGGGCTGGCAGAGATCCTTGGGGTCACGTTTAGATTCGAGCCCGTTCCAGTTCCCACGCTTCCTGTAGAAAAGAACTGAGAGAATCCAATTTAATCCCACATGTCTATTCATACTCGTGCCATCCTGGCATTGACAGCCCCTGTGCTTCGTCTAGCTCTAGTACCCAACGGATAAGGTCCATTGTTTTCTCATCGGACTGCTTTGCGCATGGCAAGTTTGGCCAGCGTCGAAATCCGTGAGGAACACCCGCAAACACGTGAACACTTGTTGTCGTCCTGCGCGGTGCCTATTTGTCAGTACAGACCAACATTCAGGAGGAAGTTGCGCTGCTTACCCAGACGCTTTGAGCCTTTTGGCAAAGATCAACCCGTCATCCCTCAAAGGGTCCATACCCGCGATCACGAATCCTGTCTTCGGCCATCCCTTCAGCTCAGAATCGGGGCGGAGGGCTGCGTTAAGCCTCGGATCTGTGATATCCTCGGCAGCCAGTAGGTCGCTGAACAGTTTAAGCCGCGGCCATGGAATGACGGGCGCGTCGCGGCACTGAACGCTGGAAGCCTTTTCGGGCGACTCGAACAGGTGCAGCGGGACATTCTCGATGTGCATCAGCCAGGGGATTGAAAGAACGGCCCCAGCGACCAACGGCCTGTGCGACAGGCTTGTCTTCGAAAGCTTCAAGTCGTGTTGGACGAATTCCGCGGCGAGACTCGCCCCAGCAGAAATACCAAGCACAGCAAGTCCAGCGACTGGTGAGACTCCGTAGGCAGAGGTGTTTTTCAGAATGTGGTCGTACACGTCCAGGGCATCGTCGTGGGCCATAGGATGCACGTATTGGGGTGTATGGCTGTAAATCACACTCAAGACAGTGATACCCACGCCCAACGCAATCTCGGCGCACAGAGAATCTTCCGTCGCCTCGGAGCCGAACAAGAAGCCCCCGCCGTGGAAATACACCAGCACTCGCTCCGCAACATTCCCCTGGCGGCCTTTAGACGTATAACGTCGAATGGGGATCTGATGATGCTGATATCTTGACGGCACTGACGTTGTCGAGATGTCGACCTTGCTGTCCAAGCCTGACTTTGCGAGCAACTCCGCGCCGGCCGTGGCCCTTGTCTGATTTGCCGTTTCCTGAAGCTGGATAGCTTCCGATGGATTGTTTCCACTGAAGCCATCCTGTGCGGCGCTGGGGTTTGTGGTGAGGAACTCGCGCCACTGCGCACTCGCATAGCCGTATTTTGAAAAGTCCATGTTGTAGTTCGATTGTCAACTGTCCGGGGGAGAATGCTGCGAATTTTTTGCGGCCCGGCTTGCGCAGAACTGGGATATGGTTAGTAGTGTTAGTTAAGGGGGGAATCAATCATGTACTAGTTGGGATGTTTCGTAAATTCAAGATTTATATTGTGCTTTCAACGGCCTTGCTTTGTAACTTGGACGGGAATTTACAACCTCCCGAGGTTGATCAAATTTGAATCGACCTACCGAGTATTTTTTTCCTCTCTTTTTCAAAAGTTTTGTCCTCGAGACCTGTAATTTTTAATGTATTCACTACATTATCCGTATAGCATGTACCTCCCTGTTAGATTCAGGGAATACCCTCTACGACAGCCTTACTTTTAGAGCGTTATCTACTATAATTATAGAAGGCCCATGACTATATTATGGCTAGAGGCACGCTATCAATTTAGTAGTATAACATCGGTACTTTATACTTTAAGCCAACATATGATTTACAGTACCCTGGCAAGATTAATTCTAATGAGCTACATGTATACATTTTTGGGGAAGTAGAGAGGACAAAAAATAATCCCTCGGTATTGCATAGGTCTGCCGAGAAATCCGACTTATGCCACTCTTTTTTTACTGCCTCCTCTCGGGAACCGGCATGCTTTCGGATATTAAAAACCGAGTGTGAGAACCGCGTAATCCCAATAATCATAAAGAAGTCATCCGGCGGGATCGGCAACAACCGAGCGAGTCTGATCAATCGGAGGTACCATAGTCAATTCTGCACTTCTAAGCCTCTTCGAGGGTTGTATGCGTTAGTACGAGAAATCAACGGCACCACCCGACTTAACCCACGTCACGTACCATACAAGTATTATTTCTAATATTATATATATTATAATACTTTTCCGAGACAAAATCTGAAAGTGGTTAATATATGACGAGCTAACGTTTAAACCCCTGGAATAGGATTACAAGGAGACCCCCTTATACTAGACGATCATAGACTTTGTTCACTTGCCAGGTCAAGACAACCGTGCAATCCGAATGCGACTGACACAAGACGAGCGAGCCAATAATAGCGACATTAAGCGTTGCGAGCTGTTGCCTTGCGACTTCCCATACCGATCTCTCGAGCACAATTTGCACCTAGTACATGTATCGCCAAGTGATGGCTCTATCGCCCAAGAATGAGAGTTGCTCCTCGGTGAAGTCGGCCCTGCGCCCATTCCTCAGGGCTTGCCCCCTCTTCCTGTTCATCAGGTAATAAGTCGTTACTAGACCGGATGCAGTGATGATGCCCGCGACGACAAAGCCCATCGCCAGGGAATGGCCTAGGATGTATCGGGGCATGTCCTGAGCACGGTAGAAATTGGAGGCCATGGCACCTCCCAGGTTGCCCACTGAAATTTGAAGGGCCATGCCCGTGCTCCGCTTGTAGCTACCACTAAGGTTGTTGGCGAGCCAGGTAATGGTGCCAGGCGTGGCAGCGTACACGCCGATAACAGCCAGGACCAGGCCTGAGTAGACGACTCTGCGGCTTGCGGAACCGAGACACCTGGCAGTTGGAGATTGGTTAGCAGGCAGGACATGACTATAGGGCACGTACGGTGGGTGCGTACATTGCTAATCCCACCACCGTCAAAGTTAGACACCCGATGATAAATGGACTTCGAAGTTTGGCTCGATCAGAAAAGTAAGCGACGGCAATTGAGGCGAACGAGGCTGCAACGTAGATGGGGATCGTCATGAGCTGGGATGTCGAACGTTCGTAGCCCATATCCTTGATGATAGTAGGCAGCGATAAGGTGATACCGAAAATAGGGCATACGACCTTGCGCATGACAAGGTTATTGGCTGCGAGTTCATGAGGGTCAAGAAATAGCGGCTTTACTTACCGCCCAGTAACATATGACCATAGCCCAGGCCTGGAAAGCTTTGAAGGCTTGCCGGACATATGCCCACTTGAACTCTTGAGCTTCTTGCACGCTGGGCCCAACATCTTCGCTCAATGCATCTCGCATGCTACCTTGGTATCGAAGGCGGGACATAACATACTCTCTCTCGTCCTGGGTCAGAAAGCTCGCGGTTTCAGGGAAGTCGAATAAGGTCCAGAACGCGAGAATGGCCACAAGGACAGTCGCTATACCCTCGAGGATGAAAATCCAACGCCAGCCGGCCAGACCGCCCACCCCGTCCATCTTGGCAATGGCGAAGGCGAGCAGGCCACTAAATGCCCCTGCGGCGGACGCAGCAGAAAAGAAGAGAGCCTGTCGGATTTGCAATTCGTGACGGCAATACCACATGGTAAGGTAGAACTACAGATGCGAGGCGATTAACGAGACAAGACCAAGCCGAAAACATGTACGGGGTTTTATCAATGCACACTTACAGCAACGCCTGGGTAAAGCCCAGCCTCGGCCACGCCGAGAAAGATTCGAGAAATAATCAGGCCGTGATAGTTTTGCACAATGCCTGTCAGGGTCATGACCACGCCCCAGGCAACCATAATAGTCGGCAACCATCTGCTCGGCCGAATTTTCTTGAGAACCAGGTTGCTAGGGACCTCAAAGGCCGAATAGGTAAAAAAGAAGACGGTCAAGCACCAGTTGTACTGGTTGGGTGTCAGATTCAAGTCCTCTGCAAGGCCCTCGATCTTGGCATTTCCGATACTTCCGCCTTTGGCAGCATGTCAGGCCGTGCTAAACGAGAGCCCTAGTTGGATAACTCACGGTCTAAGTAAGATAGGAGATAGAGAAGCGTCAACATGGGGATGATATGCAGGTCCATCTTGCGCAAAATCTTCTTCTCGTCGAGGTGGTTAAATGACCTTAAGGTGACTTCGTTGGCCTCAGAGCTCGTCTGGGCGGCGGCAGCCCCCATTTTCTCTGTCGCATGTTCTGTCTCGTCGACGTGGATCTTGACCGAGCCAGAGGACCGGGTGTTCTGCTCCAAGTCGATCGCCATGTTAAACAAAGTATGTGTATGTAGATGCAGAGTAGAATTACTAATGCTAAAGGAAATGAATCCCCCGTGGAGGAAGAAAAGACAGAACAGGCGGAGTTATCGTGGAAGTCGTGATATGCGATCAATCATATAGACCACATTGGAGTGATGTCCGAATACCTAACGACGCCCTAAGCCGACAATCAAAGTCCGGCGGCAGAGTTAGTCCAATTTGCCATCATGCAAGACAGTGGGGCTGAACGGCCTCGCCCCGCCTCCGCATGCGGGGAAGCCTGGGGTTGTGGATCAAGGTTCGATCTAACCTGGGGTTAGATCCTATGCTTCGCATCCCCTTTCCTCCACACTATTCATTAGCAACGCTGAGGACAATGCATTCCCTCGTATAGGTCCGGGCTTGAATCAGGCAGGGGTGAGGTAAGCTTACCATAAAATTTCCGCCCTTCGCGCCACATTTTTTTTCACGGTGGTGAAACCTCCATCGTAGTCACACTTTTACTCACAGCTATTCCGGAATAGGGCGACGATGATGACGATGGTGATGACGATGGCGGCGTTTGTCCATTTGATCCGTCGGTTCCGATAGACAACGATACTCCCGACAGCGGAGGGTCCGTTCCCATTGTCGGACCACCCGGATCCGGGTGCGAAAATGGCTGCTCTCCCGACCAGTTCTCCACTGTCACGGCCTCGCCGCCAACCGCGACCTCGACCTCGAGCCAGACACCAGGTCCAACACCACCTGCTGACCCGGACCTTCCCGTTGTACCTCCCGCCACTGCACCGTACTGCTTCGGCGAGCACAACGAGGACGGCCGGTGGCGGCTCTTCTCGCAGGATCAGGCCAACGACATCCTGGATGACATATGCAACGTCGGCGACGTCCTACCGCCCTCCAATACCTTCGGATACGCCTTCCGCGGCGACGGCGGCATCCTGGCATCCGTCACCTGGGTCGACGATCAGTCAGGCTGCCAGCCGAAAACGGACGTACCCATTAGGTGGGACAATTGGTGCCTCGACACCTTTCGCGAACTCTTGCAGACCTGTGATCCTTTCCCCGGAGATACAGGCGCCCGCGGTAGTGCTTTCATAGATAACTCGCAGTACGGGTGCGTGCGCTGGTGGATCGCGTCCGACTCGTTGGAGAATCTGAGGCTGCGCTTGAGCCGCGCTGCTGTGCGTAGAGCAGTGACAATGGTGGTGGGAGTGGAAGTGGAGGCGGTTAAGGCAGAGTTGGATGCGATAGAGCCGGCGCTGCCGAGATGGGACAGGCGGCCCAGCGTAGACGGTAGAAATTAGTTCACCTGGGTAGCTCTTCTTTCGAGGTATATATATGAACGACAGATAGATTCTATACCAGCTTTGAAAAAATCGAAGAGTAGCATCTGATCTTTTTCATTTTCTCCTGTCTATGTATTGTTGCGGAGGTACTCTCTGGGCTTCCGGCACGATTCTTCGCACAACATCTGCCTTGACACCCCAGCAGGATCGCCATCTTGCATCCAGCCAGTGCCCGCCACATTTTGATCAGGGTACTTTAAAGAGGCCTCGGACATGCTCAGAGAATCTCTAGGATACAGTAGAAGGTAGAGAACACCACAAGCGGCGAACCCGGTTGCGTATGTAGAACAAGTTTAGTGACGTCTTCATCACTATACTTATACCGACCCCTATAGGCCCCAGTACCCTCTGCTGATGACTTCTGTTTCGGACTGCTTCCCTAATCGAAACTATACCCGCGAAGCTCCTCTCCCAATGCGGAACATGGGAGAGCCAGACAAAACTATCGACTAACTATATGGGTGGACCGCAACAATCTGGGTCGGTTGGAAAATTTACAAGTTCATACATAGACGTCTTCGAGCACCCCCACATCTACAGCGCGGAATTTCACTGGTTTAGGCTGTATGCCGACCATTGCCATGCTGACTTGGCAGTACGTTGTTGAGCCATTGGGCGAGGGGAAGATCGCCCAATGCTGGTTACATAGCCGGCAGCCACGGCCTTGACTGTTGGCCACCTGCATCATTACCGAAAGTGTTTCATCAGCCACCCCCTGACGGCCAAGTGTGCGGGCCGGGAATTTTACCGCTGTATCTTATAATTGCTTGTATTTAACTGTGTTAGTCGTGGAGTCGTTGGTTGCTGCCTAAACCCGCAACCCTGGTCTATCGTCGCTTGAAAGAGCTCTCTTCAAAAGCCGTCTTCTTCGCAGAGGATCAACCGTTAAGGCTTCTTCGCTTTAAAACTAGATCACTACGCGATCAAAGGATGGCGAGCGACCAAACTCCCACAATGGAAAGGCCTATACAGCCTGTTCTTCGTTTGAGACCAAGGGCCCCAACGGAGCTAGTTCGACCTCGTCAGAAAATCAAGCAACCTGACGGACCATGGATCGCGCATCCCGGACTGATCAACGAAGACTACCAGGCACCCAATCCCGCCAAATATCAATATGCGCCGGACGTTACAGTAAACGCCTACCGAGATATGTGGCGAGACAGCGAAGTGGAAAAAAAGGAAGAACTCAGGGGAGCAAAGCCCGAGGACCTGTACATAGACTCTGTTATCACCATGGCACCTGCAATCGATATACAGAAAATGAAGGGTATGACAGATCACGAAATAGCATCAGCTTCCGAGAAATTTTATGTAAATGCACATCAGTAAGTCAGTCTACCCTACGCCAAAATATCAACATGACTCACTGAGAAAAGGTACTTGTTCCCTGGCGCGTTTATGCCTCCGTCCCTAATCGAGCGGTGGGGTGCGGATTGGGGTATGAATGCCCGCGGTATCTATTATCGTCACCATTACTCGCCTGGGTGGGTTACGGCCGGGCATGATCTCTGGCTGCCCTCACTCGATGCTGTGGATTGGATGGATCCTACTGAAAAGGGCCGTCGCCGAAGGGCCAGGGTATTTGTGAAACATGTGCTGGAAAATGAAAAGTGGAATAAGAGTGAATACGCCTGGGAGGCTGACGCTTGGCATGATGTCTTTGGCCAGATGAGAAACGACCCGGTTCTGGCAGTGTACGGCTAGCTCTCTCCCCTCCTCCTCTAACGAACTCATCGCTAACTGCTTAACTTCTATAGCGATAAACACGAGTACAATACCATCAGAGAGAAGAGGCACCCCGTATCCTGCCTCCTGGCAGGGGAGCCAAAATTTATGAAGAGAATTCCAGACCTAACCTTTGGCCTTGCAACTTTCGAACCTAAAGACTACACTTCTGCATGGGCAGAATTCGACTTGGATCGCGAACGCCTTGAAGCGTTACTCCTCCATCAACACTGCGGCCTCATATCTGACCCTCGATGGGGCGACACAAACCTAGTGTTTCCCTTTGCCGTGTACGAAGCCAAAGGTTGGAGCGGTGACCCTCGCGAGGCACGCAGACAGGCATGTTCTGCAGGAGCAGCCTATCTAGATATACTGGATAGGCTGACGCGACATCCTGGGAAGATTGGCGAGAAAGATGGTGCCTACCAAACACCACACAGCAACAACACTCAAGTATTCGCCTTGACCTCGTTTGGTGCTCATTGGCATATCCTGGTGGGCTACAAAAGACCAAGGCTCAAGAGAGAATTTGCAGGGCATCATGGTATGAGCAAGTCCGTATATGTACGTTGCGACTGTATCCACCTTCGAGCAATACTAGTGCCAGGCTGATTCTTGGCTATCAGGTCTTCCAGAGAATTTGGAGTGGTCGAGTCACCACGGAAAGGAGGGCTTGGGAACTGTTACACTTCGTTGATCAAATACACCTCTGGGGAGTTACTGATTTTAGAGACTTTGTAACTCGACACCTGAAACCATGGCATGAATTTGCCAAAAAGTGTTACGTCAATGATGTCGACTTCATGCACTCAATCCCAAAAACGGGCCTTACAACTATCAACGGCAGCCCAGCTTACAAGATTCCTAAGCCTTGTGTACGTCTACCTAAGTGGACGGCTCACATGGGAGAGGAAGCCCGAAATAACTTGGAACAGAAGTTAGCGACCCACATGGGAAACGCCTATGCCAAATATCAAATCGACATTCGAGAGAAAAGAGACGAATTCCAGAAAAGTTATTCTTGCCTAATAGACGAATGCGGCTCGGTAGGAACTGCTGGATATCCGCTAGCGGGCTTAGAGGAGGCTGCGCTACATCTCCGAGAGATCCATGGAGCGGACGATGCGGACTTGACTGTCCCTCCCGATCACCCTTGGCACGCAGCGGTTGAATTTACTCGTCCAGATTCCGCTCGGACGACACAGACGATTAACCTCGGACGTCGACGAAATCGAGATGACATAGACGAAGGGTGGGACAACCGTAAGAGAGTCAAGAGGTAAACTAGTTAACTTGCCGAAGGTGGAGAAGTATACTGTTTGACGAATAGCCCAGCTTGAGGTACTAGGCGTTTCGGGAGGCCGACACATCGCTCAAACACACTTGATATGAAGAGGCAGATATGTTCCCGTTCTAGGGGATAATAATCAAGCTGACGACCTGGTGACTGCTGAGACGTGGAACTCTGCGTCGCTTTAACCTTCTAGAGCACCAGACGCCTTAGCTTTTGTATCCACTTTCTAGATTTCCGCTTCTAAGGGGGGGCGCAAAATCTCGTGAAGTGCAAGGTGATCCGATTAAGGGATAGGAAAGACCAAGTGTCATCAAAGATGATAACTAATCTAGGTTATAACATAGCTATAGGAGCAATCATGAGGGCCAATCCTTCCGTGACTTTCTCGATCTCCATCATAAAGGCATCACCAAAGTAGAGAGCGAACCTCCACTCCGCCACGAATAAGTATTCAGTCCGACTTCGTACCGTGGACCGTCCGGGCAAGTTTAGCAGGTATTGTTCAAGAGACAATCGATAGTCAATCCAGCCTTTTCCAGAAACTGCTCCGTCAGCTGCACATTGGGACGCTCCACAATCTTTTCAATCATTTTTCCATCAAGAGTCATGGTAAGGTCAATGGTGTACGCATTGCGGTACTCGGTCCCATCCCACTCATTGTCCGTGACCAAAGTACCAGACCCGCCTAGGGTCAGGGTGACCACCGGGGATCCCCCATAAATTATCATCGGTTGTGTTTGTGTCAAGGTGAACCCGCTAATGTACTGACGGATGACGCCGCTAAATTCAAGGTACTTGGCGTTGTTGATAGGGGGGATTCCGAGCGTGTCAGGTTCGAAGTGATGTAGACACCCATCGGTACGATATGCGATTACACCACGGAGGTCGGGGCCGGGGTTATTGAAGCTGTCGATGTAGCCGGTGGCCGTGGTTCTCAGGACATCGCCGATTGATTGCCGTGGCCGTATGGCTTGGGGATCAGCGTGGCACTGGCTGAATAAGAAAAGAGAGGCCGTAATAGCAAGCCTTGTGGCTGTGAACTGGGAAATAAGCATTGCGTTTCTCGAAGTAGAGAAAGGGAGTATATGAGGCGATACAGTAGAGGATTGTGATGGAAGTGAATGTTATCCTTGGGTAGGAATGAAAAAGACCAAGAAACCGAGATGGCACTGGTTATGTACTTGTCGACATGAGCTGATGGCGAGTCTATCTCGCCAACATTCTACGAATGGACAACGTGTGTATCTCGACGTACGAAATTAATATCCGATCCTTTTATTGATGCGCCTATTAGTTTAGACAGATCAATGTTAAGCATCTGTCGATTCAATGTGTATCTTCCGTATCAACTTGATTGCACCTGGGCTCTGCCACAGAATATGGCGCCCGGAGACCGATGAAAATAGTAAAGAAACATGGATAAGTGAATAGCCTCTTTAACGCGAGGTCTCTACGGCCGAATGCTGGCCTTTGTCGCACGATGGGTAGCAACCGTTCGTCCTATCATCACTCAGCATCTCGAACTCGCATTCATCAAACGCCTCCATTCAAAAGAAATTGGGTTCTCAGGAAGACAATCTTGAATTCTAGTCCAGCTAAAGCCATAGGGACTGTCGGGAATCATTATGAGCCGCTCTATTTTAGGTGACTTTCGCTTGACCTAGATCTTCTAAAATTAGTCACACCCGGGATCCGAGAGGCTATCTGGGGCGAATTGGGATCTTGATCTCACTGACCTGGGCCTGACACTCTCATTAACCATGTGACGCCACGAAACCTCCGGACCTACATCCAGATACGCATTTTGACATCAGAGGCGCTTGTGGCGGGTCCAATTTATAATGATGCTAACATTGCAGTCTGTAGAGAAAAAGGAGAGAGTTCAAGTGAAGAGGGTCGTAACGTAGACGCGCGGGGTTTGGGTTCAGGTTTAAGTATCCTCCGTCGGAACATGAGGCTCCCGGAAATTCGTGGAAAGGAATACGCGGGTCGACCTGGAATCTTTATCGTCCGGATCATGTCTCTCAAGCAGCATGCCATGATCTACTATTGCTAACAGCTCACTGACCAGCTTGAATTGTCGGAGTAGTTCAGAGCACATGCAAATGTTGAAGGTGCTATCATCCTCCTCTATAGAGGCTTCCTGCCGCCCTTCGAGGTGTGGTAGCGAACTCCCACATCACAATTTAGATTGATAACGTTTGATCCTTGCCCCTAAACCGCCTATAAATATGGGGTGAGGGCCCATGCGGACGAGGACGCGGGCCAGTAGCAGGTCACAGGTTTGAGGTTCATCTTTTAAAATCCAAGCCTGGCAATTGAGACATCGAGGTTTCCACTAACAAACAGCTCATTTAAAACGGCCGTGATGTCCGCTACCACTAGATGAATAACTTCCCACCGTATAAATCGTGGGCGGTTCTCAGGAAAGGCAAAAATTTTGGATACAGCAGTCTATTCTTCCAATTCTTCCTTCTAGGCTCTGTCATTCGCAAAATCCCGGATAGTATCCTTGCCGATCATTTGTCTGGCTGACTCGCTGGGGATGGCGGGCGAGGACACTGAGGTTTCAAAGTCAATCTCCTCCTTCCGTCTCCTCAAGAATAACGTAGTCCCTGGGTCTGTCAAGAAAGTCATTCCATAGTTCACAGGCTTTGGGTAGAATCCGTCTGGGAGTCGCCAGTCGTACTTCAATAGAAGATGGCACAGCGCAATCTTGATGTCGTTGGCCGCAAAGAATCGTCCAGGGCAGGCGTGAAGCCCATGCCCGAAGCCCAGATGGCTGCTGCTAGTGCTCACTAGCCGGGTGTTCTTGTCCTCCCCTGGAGTCTCGCGCATTCTCAGAAAGCGATACCCGTCATACTTTTCCGGGTTTTGATAATATTCTGAACCCCACATATGGCTACTATCAATTACAATCCTCGTGCCCTTCTTGATAGTGTATCCATTGGTGAGTCTGATATCTGCAGTTGCTTGGCGCCGAAAGCTTCCTAGTAAGTGCGACCTGTATTAGCATAAGTCGGTCGGAGCCTGCAACATTAAAGAAAAAAAAATGAAGGCATACCAAGGAGGGAGGGTTTCAGCCGTTGGCTTTCTTTCAGCACGCTATCCATCAGCTTCAGATTGTAAAATGAAGTCTTCTTGAGACCATGTGAGCCAAGCACTCGAATCACTTCTTCTCGGAGCGGCTCAAAAAGTTCCGGCTGCAGTGCGATATCCGTCATTGTCTGGTGGAGCAGATCGGTTGGAGTGCGGATGGCCACAACGGAGAGGGTAATCTGACTGATGGTAATGTGGTGGGGTCTCCCGCAATACTCCGCCTCAAACCATTCAATAGAGTCGTCGAAGACCCTTTTTTTGGCCTCGCGCTCTAGCCTCGGCTGCTATTTCTCTGCGCCACTCAATGTGAGGTTGCAAAACACTTCGACACTCGGCGAGCTTATCCCGTAGCTCCTGGCAGGATGGTATAAACCAATGGAAGATCGGCCTCAGTGGTCGAGGAACCAATCTCAATTTGTCGCCGAGGCTGAAGGCCACGCTCGTATACTCCGTGGACCTTGATCCATTCAGAGTTTGAACACATGTGCGGACCCAGAAATACTCGTGTTGACATTCGGGCTACAATTTGGAGGAGGGCGGCCGAAGGCGTAATCTCATGCCAGTCTAGTTATACACAGACCGCAAATCAGCTCTGCTTCGTCTTACTTTTCGTAGACCTTTATCAATATGGCCATATTATTACTTACCGCATTCATTTGTAAGACAGTCCCGGATTGCGTTTGAGGCTTCCTTAAAGAGTGGTGCAGTGACCTTGTCTGTTCAAGTGTAAGGAAACCGTCCCACCTTATCATCATCGGGGTAGCTCGCGAAAGGTATTCACTTACTAAGGGCTTTAGTTAGATATTTTATAACAACTTTGTTGATGACGGGGTCAGACCCAAACGGCTCAAAACCGGGTATGTACGCATGGGAGTCCTTTACGTCTTGTCAGAAATTCATTCCATTTGCCGCGTAGGATTTGAAACTGACATCCGTGACCGGTGTTGTAAAGTACATCCGTGGGTCGCTTCTCAGTTCATCGACACATTCAGGGGGCAGGACAACCATCCGTCCCCATTCTGACATGACTTTGTAGGGCTTGTCCTTGAATCGTACGCGGCCATTCTGCAGTATAGTTTTGCTATTCCGTATGAAATCGAGAATCCGGCGTCGATCTGTGAGCTCTGGGGGCATCCGCGGGTTGAGTTCGGGCAAGTCATCTTGTTCTGGTCGAAGCCAAAAAGTAAGGAGTAAGACGACCACAGCAGCGTAAAGTGGAAACTGCGGAGCACCAAATATATGCTCAATTAGCACCGAGAAGCTTTGTACGATAGCCATGGTTGGACTTCAAGCTGTTGGGAGTGTGCTGGCGGATACTGCGTAGCGAACATGCTCCGACAGGTGATGTCTAACCTTTCAAGAGCAACTTAGAAACGCGCTTATATAGATCATCTCCTCTCGGGGCACGGAGTCATTTCGTTCACCGGTGTTCATGTCGGGAGCCCCGGCAAGGACAGGACCGGCAACGAAACTCGTAGAAATGATCGACAGTCGCTTGTGGTTATACCACGTCGTTTAGCTGAGCCGTGCATGGAAGCTCGGGTTCGCTCTGCCGCGTCCTTGGCCCGGTTCGCTGCTTTCTCGGCTGCTGCAGCTGCTTTCTCTCTCGCGAGCATTTCCTTGGCTGACGGCGGCTCCCAATACGCGTCCTGGTCGCTATAAATGATACGATACATCAGCCATCAGACTAGATCTTACGGAACTCATAACACACGTACCTAATGCCCAAATGGCCAAAGCGCGGTCCGGTCCGTCCGGTGGCGCCGTGCCAAAAGCAGTGATCCCACATGGGGAGCGCTACCCCGATGAGTCTCTCGACCGTCTTGTAGATGTCCGCGTACTTGGTCGGGTGCAGGTTGTTGATATAACTAGTGAAATGCACGCCGCCATCGGCCGTAAACTTGAGATTCGCTGGGAGCCACTGGTAGGTAGTCGACCAGTAGGGATCTTTCTTCGCATCTCTTCCCTCGTCCCCTTCTGCGGGACGGGGAATCACTTCCCCCTTCCCGGCCCACTTATCTACGGCGTCTTCCACCCCGACAACTTCGTCTGGAGAAAGAGCGGGCGGCCGTAGACCAGCGGGTACATGGACGGATGGACGAGGTCCAGCACCGTTTCGTTCGTCCAGGGATGCCAGTCCGGCCGAGACGAGCTGTCCGCCTGCAGCCGCGCAAAGGCTTCGCGCAACGCGGCCTGTAGCACCTGAGGCACGAGGGTGTCTGACTTAGCGATGGTGAAGGTCGCGTCCAGCGTGGGGGTGATCCCCGGCTGCCGAAAGTACTCGGCTTTATCCCGCAGTTCAAGGATGAACTGCTCGACTGGTAAGCAGGGCGCGACGGCATGCCGGTGTGCAATGACAGGCTCGGTACTCGTTGGGGAGAACTCACAAAGTCGACGGATTCCCTATCCAAGATACCCGGGGGGCAGGAGCCGCTCGGGGCGAACCGACTACTCAAGGCGTGGTCGGACCAACCAAGAGCTTCCTGGCGCCACTTCTCGGCGATGTCGTCGTCAAACACCTTGACATGCCAGTCGGGCTTGTCCGTGAGGAGGTCCATGACCATCATCATGGCTGCCTCGCGCACACTTAGAATCGCCGAGCAGCAGCTGTAGGAGTGGAAATCCCCCAAAAACGTGACGGTTCCCCTCCGGGCAGTGTGCCGAAGATCCAGACCCCAGCCAGGATACTCGGGCATATTTGCGGCGTTGTGTGCGGCTGTCTGGGGATCGATGATCTTGGAGTTGGGAGGTACTAAGGAGGGAGTGATTTAACATCAATTTGGATGTTGACGTGAGTTCCAGAGATTTAGTTCTGTGAACGTGGCTCGGAGTAATACCCCGCCGCCCACATTTGAGATTGCTAAAAGCTTGAGCCCGAGCCAAACCATTTTAGGTACCTAGTTCCAGACGCACTAGCATACCGAGGTACCTTTCGAGCATCCGTAGCTACCGACCTAGGTGACCGGCTCGCGTGCCTGGCGCGCTTGGTCGTTGGCTCCCTTATATGTTTTACTTGCTCATTAAATAAGTGAGTTCAAGTCTTGGGCGTCGACTTTGTCATGAATCGTTTCGGCACACTAAATGTCTCTCTTCCGTCTACTTAATTAGTGAACGGCCTGGCTGTACACTGCCTTGAGTCCTTGATATGGACGGGTATCCAGACCAACTACGCGGAAAGAGCCCGGATTCCACAAGACAGCTCCTCCAAGACAGCTAGTTAGCGTGTAGCGTTGGGATTGATATGTTATGGTGTATGGGAGGGCCTTCTGGAGTGAGGGTACGTAGCCTGCCGTCCACTCTGGCTTGTAGTATGTCTGTCGAGATGTTTACTAGTTCTATCAGAACCCGTCTCCTTCCAGGGAAACCCGCTTTCGAGGAGCAGCAATTTTAAATTACATCTATTCAAAGTGTCACACGAGTTATATAATACAATTGCTACTTCGCTTTTATGATAAAATCCACGCCAGACCTCAGACTCGATTGCAACTAGTTACAATCCAATCAGATCTACATCTACCAATCCGACAACGCAGGCTCAACAAGACATATAATGATCTACATTTCTAAGTACAAACCGCCTCATGTCACGGCCACAGATGATCAAGACCTGTGGCCAGGAAGTCAAACCCGGCAGAAAAGGGTAAACTACGGAAGTCCAAGAGGATCACAGGAAGTATGGATCACCCGTACTCACAGTGAGCCACAAGTGATCCGAATCAAAGAGGATCACAGTGAGCCAAGGTGATCTAGGGAGAGTTTGGAAGGGAAATGTCTATATAAGTTATGGAAATCCCCATGTATCTAGTTTGTCTTTCAAAACTCTCCAGTAGTCAATTCAAACACAACTACACCCCTACACTTGAATACGCACTTCTCACCAATATCTTGTGAATACTGTTTGACTGCCTCACTTATCCATTAACAGACAACCACCTTGACCCCGACACCAGCAGTACCCACCTGATATACTGAGAGCCAGTGTTAGGATCGTAACACCAGGGAGGTCGGGGAGCTTAATATAGTCAGTAAATTCTAGTGCGATACCTGTAGGGTGGGGGTGGAGGAGGAGGAAGCAATAAATAAGGTAGGCTATACTGTACCTAAAAGTGCTTTTTAGGGCTTATCAGGAGCGGTTTTCTCGACCTAAGATGCCTGAACATAGTACTTCACAGCTGGCAGCCCAGCAATCACCGTAGCCACTACCGTGGCCTAAGCCGCACCTATACCCATCATCCAATCGATTACGATAAATTTCTTGAGGTTTTCTAGGAGCAGCTAGAATAGTCATTAGACGATAGGATCACGCCGTTGGCTCCTAGTTCCTCCATCTTCTGGCACAAAGTCCCACGAACCGTCTGATTGGGTCGAATTTTTTTACTATTACATCGACATTCGTTCCTTCGCTATCTCAAGGATGGCTTCAAGATCATGAGTCCGTGGGCGAGTAATGAAACGTCCTGACTTGAACATGGCAGTGCAGATAAGGAAAGGGGAATAGTACTTGCTCTTTTCATCTCTGTATCTTATAACCTTCCCAATACATAACCCCACTCCAATAGCGAAGCTCCTAATGTAAACTTGACCCAGGTGAGTAAGTGGCGAAACCCGACGATCCTACAATATTCCAGGCATCAGGCCATCCAGGAGAAACGGAGATGAGACGCCTACTCTCATTGAGCACATAGCGATATAGGTCTGGGCAGCCAAAGGCACTGGGATCATGTGTGGAAGTGCTTTTTGCAGAAAAGAGTCTAATCGTGTTGATTCATAGCAATTGAAAGAGTGTCAAGGTGTGTGTCACAGAGTGAAGAAGAACAGTAGTAGAACTAGTGGACTCAAGTAAGATTGATGTCTTGTGCTTAATATTATTAGGCATCATGCTGTGCAGCAGCCGAACCCCAATGTATGACATTCTCCCAACTCCCCGTTCAGACAACTCTTCTAGGCATGTATTCATAAACTTTCTCAACCGCGCGGAATTCACAGCGTCTTATTCTCTGCAAGCAACTCTATAAACTGGTCAATTCTCTTCTTCCTTGTCTCCGGCCTCTTAGCGGTCGCTATCCGCCACAGAAACGCATATCGCTGAGACTTCCCCAACCCCTCAAAGAACCTCTTGGCCTTCTTATTCTTATCCAGCGCCGTTTGAAACTCGGGAGTCACTTGAATCGTGCTCGACCCAGCGTACGCCTGCTCCCACCGCCCATCCGCCTTCGCAGCTTCAACTTCAGCCCGACCCCGAGCCCTCATACGCCCCGCCTCAGTCAGCACGACGACCCGGTCGATATTCTTCTTGGACCAGATGCTACGCTTCCGACGCGGGGTGAAACGCTGGATGAAGTGAAATTCATCGTGGGACCTGCGCTGGCCGTCGATCCAGCCGTAGCAGAGGGCAAGGTCGACGAGTTCGTCGTAGGTGACGGAGGGGATGCCGGAGGATTTCTTGGCGAGCTTCACCCAGATCCCTTGAGTTCGCGTGGTGTGGTTTGCTGCGAGCCAGGTTTCTAGGGCACCTGGGCTTTCGAAAGCGAGGGTTTCTAGGGCGCTGGCTTCTGGCGTTGCCGTCTTAGATTTCGAAACCGGCCCTGGTACCGAAAGCGGACCATTCGACGGGATTTCTACCTCGATATCCTTTTTGGAGGCCGACCTTGTCTGTCTCATTGCAATTGCATGCGCGCAGTAGTAGAAGTGGGGAAATGGAAGATTAAGTTTGGGGACGCGGTGTGAAGGAATGGGGCAGGAAGCGGCGATGCGCTGGCTGGACGTGAATTCGCCCAGCGTAGGGACACCACGGATTTCACGTGTCGCTTTTTGTATCGAACTGTGTGCAGTTAGGGGCCAGATACAGGAAAAATTTTGGATTGAATCGAAAAACATAAGGTAAATATGTCCCAGGCTATTTTTTAAGCTGGTCAGGTCAATACCATCATCAATTGATGCCTCACCGACTGTCAAAAACACTGGACGAAATATGTGGCAGAAATGCTCAAAACGGGGATGCGTCAATGTTGATTGTTGAGGTGATCTTTCCAGTCCCTCTTTCCCATTTCGCCCTCAACATTTCGTGCCAAGGTTTACCCGATCGCCAGGTCAGAATCATGATGTCAATTGACCTGCTTCTTTGGCTCAGCACTCCCAACCCTCTTCATATCGCCAACTCGACTCTTTGCGTCCCACGGTCGCCATTAGATCAGCCAACCAAACACGGATCTGACGTACTGAGCTATCCCACGCACCGGATAACAGATCATCGACCATGGCCGAGCAACTTCCCTGCCCTTCATGGATTTGGTCCAATAATTCCAATGTCCAGTAAGTATCATGACCACCCTCTTCCAAGATGACCGCCGCCAAGTCATACGCACCCCCTCGTCCATCTGTAGTCTATGACATACCGTCCGTTGGTAAATCCCAGGCCCAATTGAAGTCTCAGCTAACGTCTAACCCATTTCAGCGCCGCTAAGGATCGGTCGTGGTTTGGCGCCGACTACACACCTATCAATTCCACGGTCGGCTCCTTGATCGGAGGGCCCGAGATCGCCGTCGTAGGGATCGGCACGGTCGATCTTCCTGTCAAACGAGACCCAAATGCTACCGGACCGCAATCCCACGGCATCCTTCGACTCCACAACGTCCTTCACATCCCAACAATCTTTTGTAACGTCATTGGAAATCCGATTTCCAAGGAATATGGTATCCTGACGGGAGGACCTGGCACGGAAAACACGAGTGGAGTGATCTTCGACAAGCAGCATAGGACCGTCGCCTACTTTGACCCCCAGGCCGTACTCTTCGAGGTCAAGTTGAGCGATCCACCGGTTGGGCCCGCGGTTGGCCCCTCGCCCTTTGTTCGGGGGGCAGCATACTACATCAACGTGCGATGGGCCGATAGCGAGCGGGAAAAATGGGAGGCATCGCGTGCGGCCAATGCAGCCGAGTCCACGGAGGTGCCTCCCCTCTCGGATGAGGAAAAGCAGTGGCTCAAGAAACACTGGGACGGCGAATTCAAGTTCCTAGCGAGCCACGGCCTCAGCATCTACAAGGATGAGGATCGCGAAGAGGGTCGCATTATCCTTCGGGCCATCATGGCCCACGACCGCGACGGTAATCACAACGACCGGGATTAGCTCCCTGGGAGGCAGTTCTGCCTGACCCAGATTTCCACGCCGACGAGCTAAAGTTCATGGGGGCCCAGTGCGGTGATTCGGTAGCATTCATATGCAGCTTTGGGCTGAAGTTCGGTGAACCCGACGACTGCGAAGATGCTCAAAATCTCATTGTTTAAGGAAGGGGTTGAGCAGGGGTCCTATTGATTCAATATGTTAGTGCTGATTCGGATGTTGACATTAGGGCAAGGTGAAAGGGGGCAAGAGGCTTTTAGGTGTGGTGGACAGCCTCTATGAGTACTAGATGTTAGATTCGCTACTTCGCGAGAAGCATTCTAATTCACGACTACACGGACGAGACGGGCATGAGAAGTTGAAATGCGGCAGGAAAATGTGATTGAAACGTGACTTAAACTGGCGCTGTTGTCTTTTTCGTTTTGCCATCCGCGTTGACGCTGGTGCTGGAACATTGGGGCCAATTTCCATTCCAATTCCCGTTTTCGAGGCTACCTTATTAGTCTCATTATACGTAACAAGGGTCATGAAACAGAAGATTAAACTTGGCGACGTGCAAAAGGGAGTGGCGGGAAAGGGTGTTGCATTGGTCGTGAATTCGTTGCGGGTACAGGCAATCACTGCGTGTAACGACGCGGCGTCGGCTAAATCCCCGAGGTAATTGTCTGGGCGGATGATCTACTCTTTGTCAAAAGGAACAGCCCCTTAAAATATCATTTTTGATTTTAGATGTACCTTTCCAGACAGAAAAGGGCCGGTGGGTACCTGCCTGAATCCTTGGTTGGGCAACTATGCAGGAACTTGTCCTGGCAGAGCCGACGAAGCACTAATAATGTCTTCTAAGGCGATACTTCAGAGTATCAGTCCTCCGCATCCCGCAGACTAGAGTTTTATATTTCAAGAAAGCACGACTAGCCGAGCCATTTAGCAAGGTGAGAAGTAGAGTAGACGTAGGTAGGACTGAGGAAGATTCAAATTGTCATACATGACACCAGGTGAGAACGGGATGTGAGAGTCAGCGGCGTTGAAATTAAGGCAAAACAACAAAACCCCCCAACGGGCGCAATATGAATTATGGCCGCCTTTATACCGATACCCGGCACAAGTCGGCGGAAAGAAGAGAAGAGAGATAGATACAATAAGAAGTGAACGACATAGGAAAAAACAAGATTTTTATGGAGCACTAGCAAAGGACAGAGTCTCCCGCAAGCAAACCCCAATGATTAGGAGCATCGCCGTCATAGTTCAACATTGCGAGCTCCAGCCTTCCCGAGTTCCGAAGTTTCCTAGGCTCTTTCAGCCTGATCCCCGACGGGACGTTTAAACCTTGACGTGAATGTAGTTGAAGGTGCTCTTGGGAACGGTTCGGGTGCCGTAGCGCTCCTTGCCACCGTAGTTGTACTCCTCGACAGTCACCTTGTCACCAGAGACCTTAGTGACCCAGGCGACATGTCCCCATTTACCCGCATTGCTCTGAGCGATGCAACCAGGGACGGGGTTCTTATCAACCTTGACGCCAGTCTTCCTGGCAGCCTCGTCCCAGGAGTTGGCATTGCCCCAGTGGGCACCCTTGTACCGGTTGTGGAATTTGAGACCAAGTCGCTTGTTGACACGCCAAGCAACAAAGCTGGTGCATTGGCACTTGTAGTAGTTCCAGGGGTCGACACCGCCGCAGCTGCCCTTGTAGGGGTAGTCATCCTTGGCGGGTCCGGGAATACCAGTGCCTGGGTTCGAGCCGCCACTAGAGCACTTCTTGGTGACGTAGCCATTGGTGCCAGTCTTGACGTAGTAGTCCGCTACGTAGCAGCCATCACCAGTCTTGTCCCAGATGTTGTTTCCGTTGACGCTGGTGCCTGAGGTCTGGCAGGAAATGGTGACCTTGGTACCCTTGGAGTAGGACTTCTTGACGGAGTAGCTGGTGCCAGGCCCAGAGCGGCAGTTGACAGTGCTGCCGGTGATGGGGTACGAGGCCGCGCTGGCCAAGGAGGAGAAGGCGAGGACGAGGGTGGTGAAAGCAGTGGCGAGCTTCATTGTGGAAATGCTGACGGAGGCACGGCTATGTGTAGATCTAGCTGAGAGCGGCTGGCAAGAAGAAAGGAGTAGTTGAGTGGATGAGTAGGGGAGTAGGCTTGGTGAATGTATGGATGAAGGTGAGGAGTTGATCAGATTGTTGGGATGAAGCTGAGGTCTTTATATAAATGCGTGAAGCAGGAAAGTCAATCCCGAAATTCCGGCTGTGGTTTGTTCAATCTGAAAGGAGAAGTTCGCAATATTCCGAGCTGAACATGACGGGGCTGGAGATTGGGGGACAATACACGCGCCAGTGGCATTCGTCGGAGCAAGAATTTGACGATATTACTCTCAGTACTCTCTCAGTATTCTCCAGCGATCTCTATTCTTAGTAGCTTCAGAGGATATCTGACCTCCGTAAGTACTACTTCGTAGAGAAGATGCCCCGTACATACACTAATCCAGCCTCCCATACCGAGGCAGCCACGACCGAGTTCCAAATTTGTTATGTGCTTCAAAGGAGGTCGGACAATCGACTTTGGACCTTACGATCAGAATAGATGCTGACAGCCGAATCCGTCCACATTAGCAAGGGGAAAATCCTAGCGGAGACCAATCCCAGACGCACGTGTTAAGTAATCTTAAACGACTGCGACAATTCACACCCTGTGCGCTACATTGTGGTATCGTCGCAACCTAATATAGATCTACTAATCCGAATCCGGGGCAGCCGCGGCACAGCCACCTTAACCTTGGCACTTGGCAGGGGAAATAAACCAGGACAAGGTTGTTTGCAGAATGCTGCGCTTATTACGGACACTCTCACCAGCAGGGTGGCACACCTTCTTCATGCTCCATGGAAAGACCAAGCGGGTGGCTGCAAGACTAGAAGGTAATCGCACGACGCTGCACAGTTTATCAAGCGTTAACCAAGCCATCAACAAGGTAACCAGCAACCCGTTGCACGTTCTGCAAATCATTAGAGCTGCTTTCTCCACCTCCGTATCATCATCAAGCTAGCCTACACGCGAGCCAAGTCTCCTCCGACCACGAATGCCACACTGGTGGCGTTTACATTAGATGCAGTCCAGACCCAGGCGTGGCGGCGGCAGCCACGATCTTCACTTCACGTGTAGTTATTCTTTGCTTCGAATTGATCCGTGCATACATGCCCCTTATAGCCTGCAGATGATTTGCCCCTGCATTGGGAAGTCATGCAAAGCCTCGTGCTCTTGGTTTCTGGTCCTGCCCAAATTAGCCATGCAGAAATCGTCCAATAAAGCCTGACTTGGTCCGTGGTATGAACTTCATAATCACCCCCGCCCTTGCCCCTCACCCCGGAGTCCCCGACGGAGCCAGCTGAGCAGCCCGGTCCCGACTGGTGGGTCCAGCCGTAATCCGGGGCAATATTCCTCCCCTCCCTCTCCCGTTTGCCTTTTTGGAGCTTCTTCACTGGAATTTCTTCCCTTCAATGAGCAGTCTCTCCCCTCGCTCCTATTCGACAATGCTTGCCCCCTGATTCTCTACAACTCCATAGCCATAAAAAAGAAGCTGCCTCGTATAGAACGGTTTATCATTAAAACTTGTTGATGGATGAGAATAAGAGACCATGGAGGCCCTATTCACTTTGGGATAGTAAGTTCGGAGGAAGTGGTCGATGGACTATTTTAAGTAATGCGGATCAAGGCGAGCAGAGTGGTATTGCGGTGGGAGAACCGCGCTCTTGTCCCCTTCACTTTCTAGGCAGTTAGAGAAGATGTCTACGATAGCTCTGATGGGTCTTTCATGCTGGCTAATCATGAACATTATTCTCGCCTTGACTTTTGATCCACATTATCAAACCAAGTATCGCTCTCTTGTGGATCGCTCTACACCATGTACGTCGACCGACTAAGTTTCGCGTCCCTGGAACTAATATTTCACTCGTCGAGGTGAAGCTGCTCGTGGATATCGCCCCAAGTAGCATCGAGAGTGTACCGAAGCCGAGATTCTGCAGCTCGTCCAATTCTGTCACCGACAATCCATTTCCAAGAAAATGCTCACGCAGGATTTGAGGTGCTTCGCGGCGGTAGAGAAGGCTGTGATCCAAGAGTTTAACCTTCCGAGCCGGCTTGAGGAGAGGGAGGCTATGGCCTTCTTTGTCCCAGAACAAACATCCCACATCCTGAACCACGTTTCTGCCGCGAGAGTTCTTCTAGGCCCGCTATGAGAAAACTCTGTGAGTTGGTGCGTGTATAGACTGCGGTTTGGGATCATTCTTGCCGAACGAAAGGCTCGTCGACCTGGAGAGGCTGATTCACTTCTTCTTACATTGGGAAATGTAGACTAGCCGCGTCTGCCACGGGTGACTCTCGAGTGTGTGCGACTTTTGTCGGTCTTGCTTGACATGCTTGACTCTTCTAACCTCAATTTGAATGTGTTATCCTGTTTCTTTTCTGGAATAGGCAGGCGAAGAACCTCTCCTTCCCGTGATTCCGTTTTCTCCTCTTTGGCAATTGGTATACTGAGCCCCCTCACGATTGTTAAATGAACCGCATTGCACTTCTTCAGTGACGCCAGAATTGCCTCTTTCTCCGGCCGCCTTAAGAAATGTGTTGTTGCCCTGGCGGCCTGCCAAGATGCGATCGGCAGCAGTGGGGGAGCTTCATAGCCCCGCTATCTATAAATATCAAACTCATTAAAAACTTCGGTGATCTAGATGACCCGATTCTGCACGAGGGCCGTTGGCATCCAAGTGTGACAGAGTTTTTCCGTGCCAGACTTGGTCGGTGGATTGTCCTCATTAGAGCAACCTCGGGCACTCCGTACTCCTTCAAAGTTCGCGAGCGGGTGGGCTTCGTGGAAGCCAAGACTGAGGTGGACAGATGCTCTCTGGATGGTGGTTCGACTTGATATTGATCCAGTATCGAACATCACACATTGTGAGTTGCCACGTTTAACCCATTTACGGCTGAGCCAAATGGCAGCAAAAAGATGCCACAAGTGACTCGGCCAGCGCCACTTGACTGGAAGTAGTCGTGTATAGCCACTGAACCAGCTGCCTTATTATAAATCCGCGCCTACCCCCTTGTTCCTGTCCGGACTTATGACACAAGTACGGCATTGGTGTTTCCCGTTTCTTTTGCTACTTCTACATTATACACTATACTTAGTCTGTAGTCCTGTGATGCGAAGCCAAGATACGTGGTGGGAAAGTACGAACCGCCTAGTCTTGTGTTGAAAATGCTGCAACCTAAAGAGTACGGCGCACCATGCCGCAGCCCCAGGCTGCTTTGATTCCATTTCCAGCCGCACTAGGCCGCGGAGGAGTCGAATTCGCCACTGTCCTTGAAGGGTAGTTGAAGTCTAGGTCGATAAGCCTATTTAAAATACCGCCTTGCACTTCGAAAAGGAGTATTTTAAGTCTGGTCTTCTGACGTACAATATTTTGTCTCGAACGAAGTCACCAGTTCGTTGACAAATACATACATAGCACATAGATCCACTACGAAGCGAGATGCAATTCTAAGGCTCTGCAGACTTATTGCATGCTGGCATTTTCAGGGGTAACGGACGTAGAAGTAATTTTAGTTCCATTTAGATTCCATAGCAATCCCACGGACCAGACACCCCTTAAATCCCCTTTTTTCTACTATCCTCTCTACTGTCTTCGAATAGCTTCTGGACCCTGCTTCTGAATCACTCCCCATTCCGCCGAGGGCCTGGATGGCAGTTTGTAGAGGCATTGCGGCTGAGGCAGCTCCGTATATTCCCAGTTTTCCCTGGGTCCAAAATTCCATGCTTTGTATAATCTGGGTGGACAGCTGGATAATTTCCCCAGTTACTTCGACCCCGTCTATGGATTTCCCGTCTATACTTATTGCCTGCAGCAGTAAACTTGGAGATTCCCTTCTTAATTGTATAACGTTCGTAAGGCAGATAATTCTGAAGGCCCAGAGGTTGACGAGGCAGCTGGCCACTTCAAGGTTCCGGAACCAGAGGTATATCTCACCATCGGCCGTGGTCACTGTCCACCACAGGGGGCTCTGATAGGCAGACAACTCCGCCTTTTCCCATTGCTCAAGGCGATTCACTACCTGGATTAATTTAGACGTCGACTCTAAAACTTTCAGGTCCCGGCTCTGTGGATCGCTTTTTGCGTTATCGAGGTTTTCAAATATAGCGGATATCATGGCAGCCTCACTCATGAGAGCTTGAACTGGAGTTGCTGAGAAAATACCGAATGGTTCACTCTTCCAGTCGTCATCTGCCAGGAATGTGGACTTGCGATTCAGGAAAGCATGAAGCATCTGCGAGAGTTAGTCAGGCTGGTGGATTCAAGTTTGGGCTGTCTTGATATACGAAAAAGCAGTGAAGCCTACAAGAGTTGGCCGGAATCCAACAAAGAGTTTGTGCGGTACCCCAAAGGAGTAGAAGGAGGGCTGATTAACTCGAATCAAGTCACCAATGCCCCTTTCGTGGATCACGGAGCTCATAGCTGAGGTTGGTAGCAGCATCTACCAATAGGGATGGTTAGTTTGATCATGCATCCAAGACGAGATCATTGAACTATCATGCAATTTTACCTCTGATACGAACAAGCACATTATAGTAGCCGCCAGTTCGTTCGAAGGCGAAACGGTATTATCGCGGATGGCGGACTGCAAAGTACCAATGGCGGCACATTGAGCCTCAAGGGCATCCGGAATTGGTGCTCTAGTTGTCTGGCTGAAGGCGGCCAGTGTGACACCAAGAGCCTTGATGGCAGATGGCAAGGGCTCGGCGTCACCCCCAATCGCCAACTCCGGAAGCGCCTCTACCCAGGCTCCGCACATCTGCGGGCGGGGTCTCCGCGGATAATCAGAGAGCAACGGGTGTTCGGGAACAGGGACGAAATTCTGCACGCAAAACGAGATGACATCACGAAGAGGCCAGCTCAGCAGGCGAATAGGAGGTAACATTGGTGCAGCCATAGCGGATGAAGGTCCGCCAGGGCTTGAAAGCGGCGGCAGCTGCTTTCGGTCCACTCGGCGCTTGGAAGTGGTCGCATTTTGCCGCCTTCGATGTAAAGGTATTGGTCCAGGAGAGCTAGGTACTAGCAAGGGGGGCCGGAAAATGAAATCGGTCGGGTATCCGGGGCACTGCCTTCCAGAATGAAGACACTGGGAACATGCCGGCCGTTTGCCGTCGCACTAGAACGTTTGTCAGGTCTCCTCCGCTCACTCAAGGGCGGGCTTGTAGACGACGTACACCTAGTTTCCGTGACCTGCAGGTATTACATACTGTGAATTGTCGAACCTTCATCTTTCTATGGTCGGTTGACGGACGATGGCATGTTCCTCTTCCGTTCGAGCCTAGTTTTGGCAAGTGACTGCCAGGGCTTGATATAAACTCGGCTTGGCGGGTAGTACTTCCACAACCGGCTTAGGTTGCTCTTGGACATTCGTAAACCTCGACATGATGTGCTTGGGGTGTTGCTAAACCTGATTAGGAAATAAAAATCGCCAAGACTTTGGAATGAAACGTTGAGTTGGAGGCGGGAGATCCTGATTATCAATCCCCCGCATTTGATTTTTCATGATGAATGTGCGATCTAGGAATACAATTGTAAATCACCGCCTTTATCGACGATTCACCGTTAGTTTAGTAGGCCGAGCGGTGGTTCTCGACTCCCGCCTGGTGGCTCAGCATGGACGGAAACTCTGAGACTTGACCCACCGGGTTATATTTCCCAATGTGTCGGCATGGCTGCCTCATTGCGTGATAACGTCTCACCAGCGGGAGACTGAAGGTCTCCCAGACACTCATGTCACTCATGTTACTTTTGGAAATATAAACTTAGACTACAACCCAGAACCCCGTACTCAAATCTCTCGCCGTCTTCAGTTTTGAAAATTGTTTCATTGTTGGTCAATTGAATTGTGACACTACTAGCACTAGCCCTCACCCAGATCGTTCACTTCTCTCACCATGCAGATTACTGTTGCTCCAGCATCAGCCCAAACCTTACGGGCCGCGGTTGAGAAACTGCTCAACGACGAGACGCGTCCGACCGTCATCGGCATCTATCGAAACCTGAACAAGGTACCGGCTGAGTTCAAATCTCACCCCAACTTCAAAGCTGTGCAAGCCGATCTCAGTGATGCTGGAAGCCTGGACTTCACAGGCTCGGATGCGGTTTTGGCCTTGACTCCGCCCAAGTACGACGGCTCCGACTTCATCGCCGAGACAAAGAAAGCCGCTACCAACGTGCGCAACGCGATCGAGAGGTCCGGCACGGTTCGGCGGCTTGTTTATATTTCCAGCATGGGCGCGCAACATGCGGAAGGTGTCGTATGTAGTCGTCTTCTGTCTATATCGGTGATCCAGGTACTAAACTAGCTTTTTATTTGGATAGGGAGAGGTTCGGACTAACCACGAAAGTGAGGAAATATTCCGGTCGGCGGCGCCGGAAGTCGTGTTTATTAGGAATGGCTATTTCATGGAGAATTGGGCCTCCGCTCTGGAAACCATCCGGGCAGATCCGCCTTTCTTCTATTCAACCATCACCCCGATTGACTATAAGCTTCCGATGGTATGACCATAAGTATCCATTAGACTGAATAGTGTACTTGCTAACATGTCTTCTGTTTAGATATCGGCCCGTGACATTGGGAGAACTGCCGCGACTGAGCTACTCGCGACGGGGTCCCCATTGAAGGCAAACCCGTACATCTTCAACCTCCACGGCCCGAAGTCGTACTCGACCTTGGATGTGCAGCGTGCATTCGAAGAAGTCACTGGGAAGAAGATCGAAGTCAAGCTAATCGAGAAAGATCAGCTTACTTCCTTCTACACCAATATCCTTCCCCCTAACATTGTTGGTGCTTTCGTCGAGATGACACTCTCCTTCTTGCCGGGAGGCATTCAAGAGGAGGAGATGAATAGTTCAGAGAACATGAGACGTGGTCAGGATACGTTGGTCGATGCGTTCAAGGCCCTGCTCCAGAAATCCTAGATTTTATCCTGGGACTTTGTTAATACAGTCGACAAGTGAATATATATTTAGTTTCTGAAGAAGACCCACGCATAGGATCCGCTATTTCAAAGTCATCCATGAGTACAGAGGCATGTGCAACCAGCATCTCAATACACAATGGCCCCCTTTTTGAGAAGGATCCGTCTTACATTTACGCACCTTTTGACCACCGTCGGTGCCACACTCGGAGCAATAATGAGGCTTCAGGGCAGGGCATGTATGCCTACGTAGTCGGCAATTGCTGAGTGAGAGAGCCATGTAGACTTGACTTGGCATGGTACTTCTTTACTGACAGCCTAACGGCCATGCAGACGTTAAGAAATTTTATTCCTGCACCTTGGAATCCGTACATTATCCAGGTTTTGATTGAAGCCTAGGGATGCAGCGTGTCTGAGAATCTACTTGGAAAAGTTCTGCTAAAAGTTCTGCTAAAAGTTACTGCAAAGGCAAGCTTCCGTCGGCTAATGTCAGGCCCGGGTCCATCGAGCCTAGAATGATGTCTGGGACGAGCTAGGCGTACACTTTGCAGTCAAAGAGAGCTGGATGGCAAATACCTCCAAGAACCACCACGGGAGCTATGAGATCTTATTACCGCTGGAGACAATTCGGATACGGACCAGTGAGAGATTGACATGTGTATTGAGGAGATACATTATCCATGCATAAAATATTCTAGGAACAGCCAGCGAATTCCCACGCAAGATGAGCACGCCGAAAATAACATTACGGCACTTCAGGCAGCTCTTGCCATCAACGGACAATCGCCAACTCCCTTGTGGAGCCCGTCCCCGTCTCAGCATCCACATGCAGTCCTGTGAAAGAGTGGCTTTGCATGGCAAGGGCGCTTAGATTGGCCCAATCAGCGGCTGACGAGTCGAGGGCAGGGTCTTCCTCCCCGTGAAATTTCCAGCGTTTCTTGGCCTCGATAATAAAACTTTTCCCGTCATCTTATCTTGTGTTTCTTGATTTCCCTGGGATTAACTGACGATTTCCAAATTCAATGGAGCTGAAAAACGGATTGAACGAAGTTTACACGCCTGCCTCGGATGTGAAAAGCATTGCGATGTGAGCCCCACTGTGATGGCTAGTCTCCAGGCAGAGACGGCGGCTCTTGGGATATGTTTCACCTACCACGAAGCTGACACGCTTTCCGACTTTACAGAATAATCTTCGTTCACGGCCTCTTCGGCCACCCGCAGAAAACGTGGACAGGTAAATGCCGAAACCGCTCAAAATCGTCATTGCGCAGAGAATCTGGGACCAAACCAGCTCTCAACGGTCCTCAAGGAGAAACATTACCCATTCCCACATCCAGGAGCAGGAATAACTCCGAATTCGTGTTCTGGCCAAAGGACCTACTCCCAGACGCCCTTCCCAATGTCCGGATCTATAGCTGGGGCTACGATGCCGATATCTGGAAACTCATGTCCTCCGTCGGCCTCAACACAGTTCACCGACATGCCCGAAATCTCTTAAACGATCTCGCTGCCCTTCGAGACGAGCTAGAGGACCGGAAGCTCCCCCTGATATTTGTCGCGCATAACCTGGGCGGTCTAGTGGTTAAGGATGCGTTAAATCAGTCTGCTGGTGAGGTAGGCAACAAGCGTCTGGGCGACATCCTACCGGCTACTTTTGGCGTCTGCTTTCTAGGAACGCCTCATAGAGGGTCTAAAGCTGCATCGATACTTCGAAAGGTGTGCCGCGTAACAGAAATATTCGCAGGTCAGCGAGCCAACACCCAGCTCCTGCGGGCACTTGAGAAGAACTCCGAAACGCTTGAACGTCTCACCAAGGGCTTCTATGATACTCTTAAGAAACACGAGGGCTTGCAGATCTTCTCCTTCTTGGAAGAGAGGGAGGTGCGCAAGTTCGGCGTGATTAGTATAGTTATTGTCGATCCAGACTCGGCCCAAGTCGGCCACGGCAGCGAAGAAACGGGCTCGATCCCGGCAAACAATTGGGAAATGGTGAGGTTTACGTCCACTCGGGATACCGGGTTTGTTAGAATAAAGAACGTTCTTAATCGCTGGGTGGGAGAGATTCAATCGGCCGCTACTCGTAAGTTTTGATCCTCTTCTCAGTTGATGGCTGTCATGTGTTTTCGAGGCACTGAATGTCCCGCACGCTCTACGTGCCGGGGCTGGCTGGCTCCATTTGATACCCCCTAGCAGAAGACATCTGTTATGTACCTGACAAGGAAATTAGCATGACTTCATTAGGCCGAGGTGAGCTGGGTTTAGACTACGCTCCTATGACGTTACGGATCATCACAGGCCCGTCAGTGGTTGATCCCTCTTGGATTTTGACTCGACACTTAAGAGGGAATGAGATTAAACCAACACATATCTTCACTTTACGATCCTGTTTTATCATTGCCCTATTGGGAATAATCTCAGCTTGTGGAGGATACCGTTAATATGTTTAAACCCATCAAGTGGGGGCTCCATTATTCCTCCTGGTACAAATGTCTAGCAGAGATTGGAGGAATGTCTCCGGGGAGAATGCTCGGGAGAAAACTCCATTGGATATAGACTTCTTCTGTAACCTACAGATGATTTTGCTAGGACCAGTGAAGGCAGAATGTGAAAGAGTTGATACCCCGAGTTTGCTGTAGGAGCCTACAGGCTTCACAGAGCCAACCAGGCAATACCCCTTGATCCCTAAGAGCGCTCCAGCAGAGACATGTGGAAAGGGATAGTGCGGCGAGAGTTCACATCACTAAAAAGTCGAAAAATCGCTTGTGGCCATGCGCAAACCTCGGAATGAAAGTTGTGTGGTGCCTCATTGACACTTAATATTTCATAGCTTATTTTCCTTGCCTTGTGGTATGTCGACGACGACCTTGCCCCAAGTCTCCCTACCTCCCAAAGCGATCAATGCATCAGGAACTGCCTCAAGTCCCACAAAACTCTTATCCGAGAAAACCGTCCCCTTGAATTTGCCCTCATCAATCAACCTCATGATGCCCTCCCAAACAATGGGCACGGTCTCCTTCTCATGGTTGGCGTACTGGCCCCAGTGAATGCCAACAAGGCTAATATTCTTCAATAACACTTTGTTCATGGCCACCTTCTCAATAGTTCCTGCGGCGAAGCCAACGACAAGGATCTTTCCATTCCACGCAATGCACTTAGTACTTTTATCCACCAGGCCCACGGGGTCATAGACAATGTCGACACCCCTGCCCTTGGTTAGCTTCTTCACAATCTCCGGCCACTTGTCGTCCCGGTAATCCACGACATGATCGGCCCCATAGCGCTGAGCCACCTGGCGCTTACGCTCCGTGCCAGCGGTTGCAATGACAGTAGCACCAAATGCCTTTGCGATCTGCACAGCAGCTAGCCCGACACCGCCAGCCGCAGCGTGGACAAGGACGTAGTCTCCGGCCTTAACATCCGCGCGTAGGACCAAGGCAGCGTAGGAGGTAGGAGCGGTCACGAACAGGCCGGCTGCGTCGCGGAAAGACCAGCCTCGGGGCACGGGAAGAAGTTGTTCTTCCTTCGCGACGACCTTGGTGGCGTACGAGCCTTGAGATGCGCCGAAGACGCGGGAGCCCACGGGAAACTTGGGAGATTTGGAGGAGGAGGGCGTGGCCATGACCACACCGGCGAATTCGGCTCCAGCTACCCAGGGGAAGGCTATCGAAAAAGATAGTTAATACATGCCCACCTGGACGGCTGTAAGAGAGACAAAGCAAAACTGGGGGGACTTACGTGGTTGATGCTGATATTTACCCTGAATTTGCAGGATGTCGAAGAAGTTCGTGGCTGCGGCATGGATTTCGATTACATATTGGTCAGAATTGGGCTTTGGTTCAGCGAGATCCGAAATTTCGAGCTCTCGAGGCCCCTGAGGCGAAAAGTCAATCCCCGATGTTCTCATGGTTTCTTGGGCTTGGTCTCGGGCTCACCTTGACGTATTTGGAGACTTGAATGCCACGCATCGTAGGCTCGATAGGGTGGTTGGCTTTAAACGATGAGAAAATAAATGACGGGAGACGAGAATGTCCTCGCTCAGGGTCGTGGCGATTAGATATTTTCGGCGACATGTATAGTTGAAATGAAATTGGACGGGGAAGTAATTACGGATCACTGAGCTGGAGGCCCGGATTGGATTCGAGTTGATGTCTTTGTCGTCACCGGAGATAAGAGTTCACAATTAGAATGCCGAGGTTCGCTTGAATTGAGTTTAGTGTTATCGGATAATTTGATTCCCCACACCGGCAAATCTGCTTGCTGCCTCGATAATTGCACAATGCGTCGGGTAATGAATGCAAAGGTAAGTCCGTCGCGACTAAGGACCGCATTCGGACAACCCCAGCTGGGGCAGCCTTGAAATGGAGGCAGAGAAAAGGGAACATCCTCAGCGCCGAGGGTTCTACCAACGCCACGATCCATAGTGATCAACAGAACCATTCTGTGGGACGCGGCTGTCTATTCCCACTGCGACGTCCAGGCAATGCATGAGAATCTCCTTTTCCACTGCATCCTTACTCCCTTTCTCGCTTACTCCAAGAAGGGTTAACCGAAAAACGGCGCTTGTTCGAAGTTCTGCTGCTCTGTGCTTCTTCCATCAAATCTCTTAAATACACCTGCTCAACCGTATCATGAATAAATCGACATCATTCACATCTGGGTTCGCTTGATAACAGTCAATGAATGCAAATCCTATGTTGGAAACCGCTCAAACCATCTCTGAAACTCTGTTGCAAAAAAGTGGCCGAGTTCAAGCTCATCCTCAAACCCAGTAGCGGATTTTTCAAAAAGCAGCGGCATGCCGGCCAGTAAGTCCGGATTCATTTCTCCGTCGCCCTGAAGAGTATCTAGTTCTAGGTGTTCATTCTGTAGTCCCGCTGGGGTAGGACCATTGAATTGAATTGTCCGAGGAGACGAGGGATCTGTTGAGGAACAAAAAACAGCGTTAGTGGCTACGGGATATGTTGCATCAAGAGTCAATTGTTGAAGCTGAAACCTACTCCAGGTAGTGATGAGCCCTGTAAGCTGTCTGAGATAATCTATACATCGGTTTAGAACAGCATTCTGGGTATCAAGTCTCGTAAGAGCCTCAATGGCCTTTTCTAGAAACCGTTTTCTACGATCTCTGTGATCTACCCTGGAAGCAGGGTCCACTGCCCTGTCATCGCTCGGCAGAAGAAGACTCCCGAAAATTGCCAGGGCGGCGTTGAAGGCTACGGCCTCTGTCAGCGACATTGCGGAGCTTGCGAATGATGGTAGTTGACGGGGACGGACAGCGGACTTACTGTAATATAGCGTGAACCACCATGCTCCAATTAACTGCCGTCCAAGGCCAGGCCTTGTCAGAACAACGTGAATGATTTCAATAATATCCTCCGCTACTCGCACACATGTACGATTAAAGTTGACCTGCATTTGATTTACAGTTTTCCCTTGTCGAGCTGACGCATTCGACTCCATGGTAAAGTCACCCAGCGATTTGACGAGGCTAGGTCTGTGGAGAAGGAGTTGGACATTAAGATATCGAAGACTTAGAATTAATCTAAATCGTTCGGCGATTATATCCCCGGCATCGCCTTCTGTCGGCAGATTAGACGATGACCTTAGGAAGAGAGGTGGTGGAAGCGAATTCTGCCAGTCGACTAGCTCCTGCTCTAATTGGAAAATCTGAGTTATCATTGACGTTTCGGACGGCGACTCGTTGAACCCCAAGTTGTGCCCGTAAAGTGTCGCCATTATCTTCCACATGACTCGGTATAAGTTTCTGTTGAAGGTGACGTCAGACCTCGCTTGCCAGGGCATACTCCTAGGAAACTCACATCGTAGCATTGAAGAAGACGACACTAGTGCCCTCAGTGACACTGAGTTGTCCATCACAGGATGGGATCGGTGTTGGGAGATCTATCTTAACATAATCTTCGGGTATTGCACTCGGTCGACCGAAGGTCATGCTCAAACTCCTGAATCAAGGTAAGAAAATGTTTTAACTTTGCAATCCAAAAAGAACGGGGAAGTAAAGTACCCCTCGAGACATCGAACAAGGGGAATAATTACCTGTCTAGTAGTATACAGCCAAACCAAGTTCTTTTCCTCATTTCTTGTTCTATTGGAGGAAATTTGGCCATTGCGTCCGCAGAATGCAGGCCGATTGACAGAGCAGCTTTAACTGCCAAGCCGTGCGTTGTCCATGTCTGCACTGACTTCTGAGTCCCTTGGAGATACTGGCTAGTAAGTAAGAGATACTGCACTGTTCCAGAGTTAACGCTTGCTGACCTCCAAATGCTAAAACTGTTCCCGTTGAGGAACGAACTCTTACCTGTTTCAAGAGTGGTTCCCCTCAGCATCTGCGTCTTGCAAAGTTCCCTCGCTCGACGGTAGAAGACATCTGACTGTTCCGCTCGATACTCCGTGGCATCTTCTGCCCAACCAGTAGTACAGACAGCCATGGCGAGGATCATGTTGAGAAGACCCAGCCAGACGCGCCTCACGTTAGTACGGAAATTTTGCGATTTCATACTCTCATAAACAGCAAGAAAGCTCTCTTGGTGGATGAACGGAAAGAGGAGGCCTGTGTTCGAGAAGTACGCTCTGATAAGTTTCTCAGTCTCACAGTGCGGAGGGAGAAGATTAGCCCCCGTCGCGTCTGCCTGGGCGGTAGGATGAGCAGGGTTTAAAGTGGGCGTTGTGGGGGAAATTGGCCGAGAGACGCTGATGATGCCTGCTTCGTACAGACCGATGTTCGATGTTGAGAGCGGAGAGAGACCGTCATGTAATGCCTTACTTCTCCTAGTCATAGCACGAAAGATGTGACGCATAAAGGCAATGTTGGAAGTAGGGCCTGCTTTATATCAGTCGATTGCCCCTTGGAAATGAAGGAGATGGAATGGTTGGTCCTCTCACCAAAAAACCCACAATCCTGTTCATCGACGAAGGATATGGCCATGCCGTCGGTCATGCTATGATCTGTTGGTAAATCTTGGTTGCCTTCGACATTCACCACCACGGTTCCCGGGATATTAAGTCTAGGCTCTAGAGCTAGGCCGGGCACCGAGCCACTCTTGTTTGGTCGATCATTTTCTACTACGGTCAAGCGATCGCCATGCTGCTTAATGACGGTCTCGAGAAGTCTGACTCTGTCCTCGAGAGCAGAGAAGAGGCTGCGTTCCGGCCAGCCGTGTCAGTATATACGGGCTCTTCAATGTCGGGGTTCAGAACTACGGGATAGAACGCTCACTCCTTTGGCACGAGGAGGTTGGCCGATGTTTCAGGCAGTTCGTAAATGCATTCGAAACCCAGTCTTTCGCAGGGCTCACACTTAGGTCTTACACCATTACACTGTCAATTAAGAACTAGTTAGCAATGGCATGAAGGGCACGGACTACTAGAGAAGGAGTGCTGACGCGTGATTTCCGTATCCGACACGCAGAGCAGGCCAGGGCAATCCGACGGCGTTTTGGAGGTTGAGAGGCCGACTCGGCGCCGTCCGGACCAGGCCTATATTCGGCGGGTACAACGGTACCGGCTGCCGAACTTTCGTCGTCATTCCCCATCGACGCAAGTCCGATCCCGGAGACGGAACTGCCAAATTATGCGGGACAAATGAGCTAGTGGGGACGGGACTCGGAATGTGAGTACGGAGTAATCGACATGCGTGCTTGTTTTGGGAAGAGTGGTTCGATCTACCGGGGAAACGCTGGGATTGAAGCCGACCATATATGGAGGCGGCGACGAGGATGATGCGCACTCTCGAGATCAAATGGTTCAAGCAAGACTAAATTCTGCACGTCACGGTCCCCCACCCCCCTTTTTCCTCCACATTCCGCTAGTCCCCACTTCCCCGCAACTTTGGTTCTACCCTCTCGGCATGCACCACAACACCCACTAGGCATCCCTGACCAGATTTGATGCATCTCGCCAAAGTAATCGGGTTTGCCAAGGACATGATTGGAGCCTGTTGGGTGGTGTGGAGCCTGCCCACCCAATACAAATTAGCTCTCCTTTGGGAACCAAGAGCCAATTTATTTGGCTACCCTCGGTCAGAGTAGAAAAGATCCGGGGAACCATCGGCTAGGTTCCGGGCTCCGCGTTCCGCCTTCCGTGGTTGACCTCGTAACCGAATTCGTCCCATAAACCGACCACCTCGACATGACGGGAAAACAATCTGTCTATTTCTGTCAAAAAATATCTAACCTGCAAAGGTAATCGGTTCTGTGAGATCTGACATCAAGCAGCAAGCTTTAACCCAGCTCAGAATTTATACCAAAACTTAGACATGAAGGTCGTCTGGGAACGTTTGATACGCTTCGTGGCCACAGATGGACGGACACTATATGGGGAGCCCGTCCTTCCCAGTCCAGACTTCGACATCGGCAGTACAACTGCGGAAACAGGTCTAAAGGCCAAGGTTATCCAAGGCGACCCTTATGGCGAAGCGCCGTCGACCAAGGTGACCGACGAGATCGCCACGGTGAGGAAGCTGCTCGGTCCCCTTGCGCCTGGGGACGTCCCGATATTGCGTTGCGTGGGGCTGAATTACGCGACTCACAGTGAGTTTGTCCTGCCGCCAAATTCGAGATTGCGAGTGGGAGGGGCCAACTGACAATCGAATGTTTTTGAAAGTCCGCGAGGCTGGCCGAACGCAGCCCCCATTCCCGTCCATCTTCTTCAAGCCATCGACTACCGTAGCGGACCACGATACCAACGTAGTTATTCCAAAGATTGCTCAAGATGACCAGGCGGATTACGAAGGAGAATTGGTAATCTGAGAAACTCCATTTTATCCCCGTCCTCATGCGACTAGAGGCTAATAGAGACTGCATATTCACAGGTTGTCGTCATAGGAAAAGACGCGAAGGACGTATCGGAGTCAGAAGCGCTCGATTATGTCGCCGCGTACACCGCGGGAAACGACATCTCCTCGCGAAAATGGCAGCGAAGTCCAGCCCTAGCAGGTGGTGTGCCTCAGTGGGGGTTCTCCAAAGGATTTGATACTTACGCGCCCATGGGACCGGTTCTCGTCTCTCGCAGTCTCATCCCAGATCCCGCTGAACTCCACCTGCAGACCATTGTTGATGGAGAACTCCGGCAAGACGCTGGTTTGGACGATTTGGTCTTCTCTGTGCCGCGCCTCATCGCGCACCTCTCGTCTGGAACAACATTGCAGAAAGGCAGTGTTATTATGACGGGAACACCTGGAGGTATCTACTCGCCCATATCCCCTTCATGACTTACTACGTAAGAATATACTAATAGGCTGTGTCGATGAAAAGGAGTGGGTGCTGGGTTGAAGCCACCAAAGTATCTTGTGCCTGGAACAATGATGGAAGTGAAGATCTCTAAGATTGGAACTTTGAGGAATGGAGTAGAATTTGCTCCATAATTACTTGAGTATTTCGCCGCAGGTAGAACATGGGACTCCAGGCCATATAAATAAACGGAGAAACGTATCGGATTTCGAAGGTCAAATGACTGGTGATTCACAATTGCTCTCACATTTCTAAATATAACCTAAGAACAACAGCCCAGGAACGTCCTGCCGTTCATTTCTAAAGAGTGCTAATATGTCTAATTCAGAACTACTGTCGAGAGGTGATGTTGCCCTACGTCAATGGTAACGACACGCGCCCTTCGAATACGGTTGAACAATAAGATACGGGGACCTTTTCCAACTGGGAAGCAACAGTCAAGTCGAGCTAGAGACTAGAATAGTTCTGGTACATGTAGAGCACTTGAGAGGTAAAAAAGAATCTCTATATGGGAAATTGTACTGTCTAGGTATTAATCTTTAGCAGACACTGACAATGTTCTCTTTCACAAGCGCGACTCCTTCATTCCCATTTCAGCGTACCACAACCTCCTTACGGCCTCTTCCGCATCATACCCGTATGCCCACATCTGCGTCACAGGGTCGCTCCATTGGTTGGTGCTCTCAAGGAAATGCTTTCCTTCCACCTCAGCCCTCATCCCGCGGTCTCGAGCCTGCTGCTCCGGCCCGTCGGGGAAATGCCACAGCTTTCCGTTCACGAGGCTGGCCGACTGCATTCCTCCACTCCGTTTCATTCTCTCTTTTTCAAAGAGCCGGAAAGCATCGGGGATTTGCTTTTTCGACTGGATCAGAGAGAGCAACTCGGCCAATGCGGCACCATCCTCGACAGCCATGGCGGCCCCTTGCGACATGTATGGAACCATGGCGTGTGCCGCGTCACCAAGCAGGACGATTTTCTGACTTTTCGAAATCCAAGTAGGGAGAGGAGTGCCGCTTAAGAGTGGCCACTTGATCGTTTCTTTGATTAAGTCGATCACCTTTCTCAACCTGGACATTGTCAGCGATGATATTCAATCTGTATGTATGATTTTCCACTGGCCAAGGGAGTAGTTACTTCGGATCCCAGTTATTGAAGTACTCCTTCATATCTCGAATGGCATTCTCCGGTTTCCAAGTGGAGGGGTCGCTATGGTCAACGTGGGACAAGACCATGTTGAAGGCCTTCCCGCCCGCAATGCAATAGGTCATGACATGTCGGTCCTCGCCAATCCTATTTCGTCTTAGTCAATCATAGCTATATGGCCGAATCTAAGCCTACCAGATATTGAGCTGAGGTTTCTCAAGTAGCCACGCCGTATCAGGATCATTCATCATCTCGTCAGTGTTGACAACGGCACGATATGCCGCGAATCCGGTCTTCTGCGCAGGCTTGTCCTGTCCGCCGAGTACCATTGGCCGCGCAACTGACTTCACTCCATCGGCGGCAACAACTATGTCAGCCGAGTATTCTCGGCCGTCCGAAGTCTTTACCGACGGAAGGGCCTCATCGTAGCTGACAACTTTGCTATTTGTGATAATTTCCACACCAAGCTGAGATGCCAGGCGGCACAGGGCACTGTGAAAATCTGCGCGATGGATGACCAGGAACGACGCCCCGTATGTCTCCTCGAAATCTGGGACTAGTTTCGTGTACCCAATTGCCTCTCCGTTCTGCCACCTGCGAAATGTCATCCCTTCTGGTGCAACGACGCGACCATCAAAGTAAGGACCAATTCCCCAGGAGAGGAGGAGACGGGCAGAGTTGGAAGGGATTTGGATTCCAGCCCCAACCTGGTCGCGGGTCGTGTTATCAGCATAGATTCAATAAACAATGGTTCCGGTTCCGCCATACTTCTCCAAGGATAGGGGCCTGCTCTAGGACGGTTACTTCATGTCCTCGACGTGCGAGTGCGACTGCGGTGGCCAGTCCACCAAGTCCTGCGCCGACGACCAGGACACGTAATGGAACATTGGCTTTGAAGTTGGCACCATTCTGAGAACTGCTCGTCTTCGTTAATCTTTCGAGAAGTTTTGTGGACCGAGAGGGATATTCGAAAGACTTGATGCCATAGCAGAGAACAATTAGATAAGACATCAATACGACTTTGTGGAATGGGGATTCCGAGGGAAAGGTACCCACCGGCTCAAAGCGACCTATGCCATTAAGCCCCATCCTGCTTCCGTCCATGGTACAATAGAGACACACAGAATATTTGGGGACTAAATTATGAGGCTCAATAAGACTGTTACGCGCTACCTAATTGTCATCTTGAATTAATCTGTCACGGTGAATTTGTACGATGGCAGGAGTATTGCTTGAGATCCACTTCTCGGGAACGTTCCGATACATCCCCGGAGGCAGCCGAGGTGAACCGTTTGCTGGAAATCGGAAGCCGGAGTGCCACAAATTAGCCAATGAACTCATGTCATTCAGATCCGGGGGTAGGTCGGAATGTGGGCGGGACAGGTAACCTCTAACTCAAGTAGTATGGGATGTTATGCATACCATGAAAATACTTGATATTAATGTATGAAAATTCAGGACAGGGGAAGATGTGTTTGTCCAAAAAATAACCTTTGGTAGACAACCTCCGTGTAGTCCCCCACTAGCATTTGATTTGGACGTATTGGACAATATCCGAAAACCGCGACAATGACACACGCAAACGGATTGGGCGAAAACGGCCTGTACACCAATGGACACAACAACAAGGCAGAGTCAATCAAGACGGCCAAGCAACTTGTGGAGGCGATTAAGGCTACGAACATGGCCCCTCTCTGGGCACAGATGCAACGGCTGAACCCCCCGGCCCCGAATCCACAGACAGTGCCATACCTTTGGTCCTATGATGATGTCCGGCCCTATTTGTTACGCGCCGGAGATCTGATTACTGAGAAACAAGCCGAACGACGCGTTCTGATGCTCGCTAATCCTGCCCGAGGTACTACTTTGTCTCAACCCCTTAATAATCCCCAAGACACAGGAAGAACCTTGTTAACCTCTGAATAAAGCTGCACCTTACACAACCGACACTCTCTACGCCGGCCTCCAACTTGTTCAGCCGCACGAGACTGCCCCTGCCCACCGGCACACGGCCTTTGCCTGTCGCTTCATTATTGAGGGTCAGGGAGGTTTCACCGCTGTCCATGGCCAACGCGTGGCCATGAGACCCCGAGACGTGATCGTGACTCCGACCTGGAACTGGCACGACCACGGTAAGAAGGGGGCTGACGAAGAAGGTGGAGACGATAAACCGGTTATTTGGCTCGATGGGCTTGATCTGCCTAATTTTATCCACTTTCCGATACACTTTGTCGAGCACTTCGCATCATCTCGATATCCGGCCGAGGATGTCGATGATTCGCCCATAGTATTCCCGTGGGCCGAGATGCAGGGGAAACTTGATGCGAAGAATGAGAACTGGGCTTCTGAGCCGTATTTGAAGAAGGATGGCCGAGAGAGTAAGTCCTACACGCTTAACTGGCCCATATTTCGCTTTTGTTTTTTTCTCAAACTCTTCGGCCAGTAACTATTCATGTCCTTCGACGCTGACACAATTTATAGTTAGTCGAGTCATCGGCGCCTCTGCGGAGAGGCTAAGCGCAGGAGCGCACTCGCCAGCTGTCTGTGAAACTGCATCCTCGGTTTACCATGTCATAGAGGGGTCGGGCAGCACAAGCATTGGTGATACGACGCTCAAGTGGAAGCAGGGCGATACGTTTTGCATCCCGGCCTGGCACCGCTACCAGCATTCCGCTAACAGGAATGAGAGGGTGTACTTGTACCGTTTTGATGACAAGCCCATGCTTAAAGCCCTCGGCTTTTATCGTGTCGAAGGCGTAGATGTTGAGAAGTATGTCTCGGATTAAACTCACAACTTGGGCGCTAGGGACGATGTCATCAGACCTATTATCTAGTTGTAACATATTATCTTAGTTCCCCCCTCGAGTTAGAGTCAAAGATTTTTTTTCCTTGGTGAGAAATAATGCTTGTGAAGTAGGCACAGGTCTTTTAAGTCCTGGAACAGTCAAAAGCTGGCGAGCCTGCTTGGCGTTGCCAGTACCGATGCACTGCTTCTGCCACGAAATTTCATTTAGAGAGTAACTGGAAACAGATTATGATAGATGAATGTCAAAGTCTTAGAAATCCTAAAGAAATTTTCGCGATAGTCGGCGGAATCTATTCTATCCGGCTTTTCTTGGAGGCAAAGAAGTGGGTGAAGGAGCGGACACCAGATATGGCTACCAAGAATTCGTAAATATCAGGAGCAGAATTGTCAATTGTCAATTTGACCTCGATAATCTCAACTAATAACACCACCGGAAGCACCTAAACCAGGCCTCCGTAGCATCCCGAGCAACCTCACTCCGCAGCAAACTCTTTAGCGTCAACCCAGTTGCCATGCAGACCAGCTCTCAGCCTGAGGTTAAGCAGGACAATAGCCTTCGCGGATGAAAAGTCCTGCGTGTCCACAATGTGCAGCTCGCTCGACATGGTAGCATAATTACTGACCAGGACTACCAAGAACCCGTCACCTTCCGGTGCGTCCGTCGAGCGTGGCACAAACACCGGTTCCTGTACCATGTGTGTCGGACCGGGGAAATAGACTTCAAGCTTGCCAGTTTCGTGGTCAAGGTGGCCGAGGGAATTGTAAAGTGGGTGCCCGCCACCGAGAACTGGCGCGATCACCCCGAAGTCCGTGCCTAGCTTGGGGTCCATCATATCAAAGAAGCTGTGGCGGTGACGTGTCATTGCCACTCTATCATCAATCCGCGGGAACTCCATATCACTTTGGAGGATCACCTCCGGAGTCGGCAGCTCGAGGTCGGTTGCCTTTGGATCTATGGTAAATCGGACATACTCGGCCTTGATGCTTTCAGGGTCTGGGGCATTGCCTTCGGCATCTGGCCACCAGAAAAAGACGTTCTTATCTGTCAGGGGTAGGTCAAATATGACTTTCCCGTCCGGTGTTTCGTATGCGTTGGTGCTGTGGCCAGGGAAAGCATTCGGTGCTCGAAACCACTGCGTTTGGTAAGAAGATGTTAGCGTTTGGCAGTTTCAACGTAATTTTGATGGACTAATCTTACCTTGACGTCACTTCCCTTGGCTCCTCGGCGCGGTAAGACACCTAGGTAGACGGGCACTTTCGGGTCCCACTGCCAATGCTCTCCCCCTTGCTTGAGCCGGTCAATATCGCAGATCTGTGGGATGATAGGGAACAAGACCTATTGCTGTTCAGCGGCCGCGCCATCGAAAATCTTAACAGTAGAATTTCAGAGCAAAACGCACCCAGTTTTCAGTCACGGCAAAGTCGTGTATGAGCCCAACAACAGGGGCGACAATCCACACGACTTCGGTAAACTTGCCATCTGGACTGATCGTGTAGTAGCAGACATCTGGAGTGCCGTCTCCTCTGGCCTCGTAGCCGAAGGCGACCAGCTCTTTGGTGATGGGATCGACCTTTGGATGAGCCGTGAACGTCAAGCTGGGCAACTGACCGTCGAAATCACAGAGCCCTATTGTCTCAAGTGTCACAGGGTCGAGTGCATACGGTGGAGCATCTTCCTTGATGGCAAGAAGAACTTTGTTGAAGTAGAAGATGTTGGTGTTGGCTGTCGTACGAATCTTGAACTCCACAGCATCCGTGTACTTGTTCCGATATTTACCTAAGGCGGTTTAGCTGGCATTGCTTTACAAACATGACGAATAACGTACCGCCAAGAGCGCGTTGTGCTTCTCTCTCACGAATAAATTTCTCGGTTCGTACGTACTTCTGCTGGAAGTTCACATTTCCATTGTGAAAGCGAAAGGCACTAATGCTACCGTCGCCATTGAACCACTGTTGTTGCCCGAATCAGCTACACACGGAGAGCTCCACGCTGGCCCGAGAGACTATGTAGCTCGCTTGCAGATGGAAAATCAATTGGCCAAATGGCAACACTGGGCACTTACCGGGTCGTTGTCGACGAATGGCGGGAACTGTGGGTCAGGCATGACCCTGTAGAACGTGCCATCCAGTTCAGGGGGTATTGTGCCTCGAACCTCGAGATGGTGGACCTCGCCCTCAAAACGACATGGCTTCATGAAACCCGAGAATTGAGGCAGGCTAGGGAAGGACTTGCTTGCTGGCGGTAGCGTACCACGGAAGTGCCCGGCCATTTTGTTGACAATGCTGAAAACCACACTGATAAATCTTTGGGGCAAATATGGCTAGTGCTACTACATTATGGATTACAATTATACAGGGGTCGAGGGGAAATCGCGTCCTTCATATCTTCTCCTACCTCCATCAGTGTCGCTGGTCAAGAAACCTGTCGGCGACGACCCGATATAGCCCCGTCCCGTCCCCGAGTCCCGACCGAATGATACCAGCCTCGTATCTTACGACCAGGGCGTTTCAGGACTCGAGGTCTGTGCGCAGGATCCGGCAGAGCCTTGAGAAACACGTCAGCTAAGGATATTTTCTCATGCAGGAATCTCCGTCCAAGAGCAAAGACCATGACAGCGACACTGGGACAAACGACAAGAGATCATCTGAGATCTCTCCCGAAATTGCCGCCATTACCCCGTGGGGAAGAAATAACCCTGCTTAAGACTAGTCTCTAACCAGTCTAGCGTCTCTTCACTTCCAACCCATATATCGCGTTGACCAGCCAACTTTAATTGTGACAATTCCGAGTAAATTTGCTCTTCAAGCCTCAACTAGACACTACACGCAGAAACAACCGACATTGTCGTTTCTCTTCAACCTTACACGGCAATGGCGCAGAATCAGATTGCGTTCGTTCCCGAACAGGTCGCGGTTGATGTCTCGTCGAAGCATCACCACGGCCTGGGTTTCTGGCCACCACCGTCAAGCGATCCGAAGGATCCGTTGCGCTGGCCGCGTTGGGTCAAGATTCTCGCCCTGCTGTCAATGGCTCTCTTCAACTTCGTCGCAAACTTTGCGGGAGCTGGCCTTTCCGTGGCAACCGTCTTACTGCAGGCCCAGTTTCAAAAATCCGAGCAACAAGTAAATGCTCTGTTGACGGTAGGCCCCCACTAGATTTCCTGTAACTTGTGTTTAACGAGTCTCGGCTTGCCAGTGGGTCTGAAGGTGTTAATCGTGGGATTGACCGCAGTTTAATTTCCTCCTCCTCGGCGTCGGAAACATGGTGTGGGTACCATTGTCAGTCAAGTATGGCAAGAGACCTGTTATGATCATCTCAATGGCCATCGTGTTTGCAGTTCTTGTCTGGACAGCCAAGGCCAGGACTTTCACAGAACTCCTTGCTGCACGATGCATCTCCGGATTCGCCTCGGCGGCGGGGGAGGTAAGTCGACTGAGGTGGGAAGAAGTTGCGTGAAGATCCGGACAACATGATTGACCCATTACTATTATTTCTGTTTTAGAGCATTGTCCCGGGTGTAGTCTCTGACATATTCTTTCTCCACGAACGAGGAGCGATGATGTCCATGTATGTGTCTACCTTCAGTTGATCGCATTGCCACTTACATGTCATCGGCTGAGTCCTGGCTGACCAATGTTCGGTGGCACCAGATATGTCATACTTATTTCCTCCGGGTCAGCTGTCGGTCCTCTCATCGCTGGATTCATGATTGAAAACACCCCTGAGACATGGCGAGATTTTGTCTGGCTGTGCGCAGCCCTCGCCGGATTCAATCTTCTCACCATCTTCTTCTTGTATCCTGAATCCTCTTACAATCGTCCACCATTGCCAACCCCTCGCTCTCCCAGCCAAGAAGGCGCGCCGAGTATAAATAAAGATGAGGGAGACGCCACCTGCGAAAAGCTTGAGGATGCCTCCCAGCCGATCCATATTACCTACAATGAAGATTGGGTCGTCAAAGTCTCCTATCCTCGAGTTTGGAGGTCTTTCTTCCAGCCTAACCATAGAGTTGACCTACTGAGGGCTTTTGCGGTGCCCTTTGTCTTCCTCCTCTCGGCTCCAGTCCTCTGGACAGTCTTTGTTTACGGATGTTCCCTTGCGTCTCAGATCATAATGATGTATGTCCAACCTCCCATTTCATTTCTTTTCCCTCAACTATACCGGCTTATCTTGAATGGTGACCAATTCGCTAACTAAAACCCGACTGCTTTAGTTTTGCTTTCCCGTCCGTCTTACTTGCTCCACCGTATCTACTTCCCCCCAGCAGCGTTGGCCTTATGCAAATAGCTGCTATCATCGGCTTCACAATTGCTTGCTACGGTGGAGGTTACATCTGCGATGTGATCACGGCCCGTCTGATCATTCGAAACCACGGCATCTTCTCGCCCGAAAAGCGACTGATCTCCTTAGCACCGGGGTGTCTGATTGCACCAGCGGGTTGCATTCTTCTTGCGTTTGCTTGCCAGAATCAGCTTCACTGGGCAGCTCTAGCTGTTGGATTCGGTATGGGTATGTTAATCTTGAGACTCAACACTTCCATTTACCGCAAGACTCAATGGCCTAACGAATGCTCAATCCCAGTTTCCTTTGGCACCGTGTACGCCCCAAATATCGCAATGACGTACCTTCTTGATTGCTATCCTGCCTTTGCACAGGAGATTCTAGTCGCTGTCAATGTTATCAAGAACCTTGTGGCATTTATGTTTCTTTACGTTGCTGTTAACTGGGTCAACTCTCAAGGCTGGATCCAGGTCTACATGATTATGTTCATGGTGGTCGCGTTATCGATGCTGTTGGCGGTTCCCCTCTACTTTCTTGGCGCGAAAGCACGGAAGAGTTTTGAGGGGACCCTTGTCCGGATCATTAGCCCTCTGGATGATATCAGTTCTTGAACAATGGTGCTGCTCAGTGAATTCATATCTAGCCGATTTGTTTCTCAAAGTGTTACCCCCGAGGCCAGTAACTATAATGCATCAATTGATGGCTTACAATAAACTCAACGGGATATTTCACGTGCTTATTTGATGTAACTATGAATATAGATCTTAATTGCCTTTGTGGCAAAAGGTGCTACCGTTTGTGCTCCCCAACATCGTGCTTTCAACACTGAAATTCAAGTTCAGGTATTATTTGATATCTCTTCCCCGAAGTTGCCCACCCTATTTCAGGACATAAGTATTCACACCTAAAGCTGCCCCAAACGCATTCCGATAAATCAAGAATTTTCTTTCCCTTTCCCTTCTCCCTCTCTCTCTCTCTTTTTTATTTTATTTTTATTTTTCCTCTGAAGCCAGCCCAGTGACCAATAACTACAAATATACCTACGCATGGCAATAAACACAGCAAGTAAAGCATTCTATATTCCCATCTGTCCGATGCCGATGCCTAACAACCTTTCCCCCAACATATTGCTATTTTATTTCCTTCCCCATTGAAGTCCGGACGGATAGCCATCTCCTGACCTACAGGGGATTCGCTCGACTTGAGTCTTGCATTGGAAGCGCCCCCTGCCAGTCTTCTCCATACACAACAGTTCTGGGTCAAGATTCTAATAAATTGTCGAGAATCGTGACTGGTTTAACAATGCCTGACCAAAGGGAGCTTCGGGGTACATCCCTGGACTAGACAGCGACGCGTAGACCCTATTGTGAATAAACGGCTGCACCTGGCATGGTCGAAGTTAGAGCACTGACAACGTGCACTTCTTTTCACGACTCTTGCGCGACGCGGGCCCGCTTTGCAGCCGTAGCGGGACGCCAGGGAACATCGCTTTCTTGGACGACGGCCATTTGTAGACGATGAAGAGTAGCCCTTTAACAATTACAGCAGGAATCGGAATTGACCTAGAGACACACAAGGCAGGATTTATTTGCACACAGCAGCGCTCCAGATCATTGATCACAATTTCCCAGTCCCTTCTGGGTCGCAGTACCAGAAAATTTGCGGGCCGAGTTACCTAAACCTATATCGGGATCTTAAACATTAGCGTGGGAGATCAGATCAACCATCTGACATATCTCATAACAAGTAGTGGATAGGTGTTTTAAAACATAAATTGTTAAAATATATACCAAGTCAACACTTGATCTAAGATATGTTAGGTGTAGCAATGATCTCTCGCACTAACGTTTAACACCCCTGTATAGGTTTACAAGTACAAAAAATCCAGGTGGCATGGCTGGTCAGCCAATTAACTTTTCAGGGCTGAATCCTTACCCTTGTGTTGACGGATCCGGGGACCAGTGTGTGGGGACCAGCGTCTGGGGACTGTTTTGATCTCTGGGGACCAAGGAAGCTGATCCCAAAGCTGTCAGTACTCCTATTAACCTAACCTCCTCCCAGGAAATTTAAGAAATAACCCCATTCTCAAGAAGCAAAACTCTTCAATACTTGCCATTCACCTATAAATCACCATTCGATTTTTCCGTTGTCGAAATGATTGGCGAACATTATCCACTCGACTTGCTGGATTGGGTTGACCAATGTACCCCAATCTTCATCCGAAGGGCCTATGCTGATGCCATGTTCAATGGAATGATTACAGGTTTTGAAGTCCTAGATGAGCTGGAGCCCGAGGGCTCTATCGTCTTGGATACATCGCAGTCCGAGGAAGATGGAAGCTCTATACACTTTCATGATTCGATCTGGGAAGGTGACTCTCCTGACCCCGTGGTGGGACGCACGTCTTTCCCGACCATTGGCCAAAGACACTCGGAATTTTCCCAGCGTGAGAGTATCCATAAGGAACTCTTCGCCTGCTGGGGCGACTCTTCTGATGCTCCCGCAGTTCCTACAGTTGCAGTGGAACCTTCCACCTGCTCTCATGAAGCAACCTTCTCCGCTGATGCGGAACAGCAAGTACAGGACGATTCCCAGCGCCCTCATCCTGACCCTGCCGAACACATATCAGCTGTTAGGAGGATAGCGTCGAATTTTAAAGAATCATTTGAAACCGCCTGGAACGACTTGAGGTCCCTTCGACACTATTTTGTGCGTGAATACAGGAAAATGAGGCGTATTGCCAGAAAGTTCACTTCACCGGCACTTTCCCGGGTTTTGAGCACCCTTCGGGGACCGAAAGATCTCAGGAACCGCGGGATCTTAACATTCAAGGATGTTATTCGTGGAGTGGTGACAGATGACCTCACTAACATCTTTGCACTGTTGACCATGTCGTATGCTATGTCGAAGGTTCTTGTCGCCAAAGAGAAGATTAAACCGGCGGATGTTCTATCCGGGTTGAATCTCTGGAGGGATATCGTTTGTGATCACGAGCGGGAGGACTTTTCTCGGCTTGCTGAGAGCCTATGGCCTGAAGCGAAGAGTCAACTCCAGACTCAGAAAAGCCCAGACGGTCCTGACTTCGACATTACATCTGGTGTTGGTTTTGGCTCAGTTGCTGATATTTTTCGTGTTGACCTTGGCTCGATCACCAATGCTTTCGCAAAATCTCAAATTTTGGAATCCACGATGGGTCAAGCTGGCGTTTGGGCTGAGAATTTTCGCTTTCAGAACCTCTCTGCTGAGAACTACTCTCCTCCACGGGCGACCCCTATTGGAGGAAATCTCCGCAGCACACAGGCATTTAGTACAGGCCCTGGATATACCGTCCCACCGAACCTTTTGAAATCGGTATGGTACAATGGCGATGAGACCGAGCACTGCATCGATCCGCAACTCCTCTCGTCGATAGAACCGCCAATGGCGGCGGCAAAACAGAATATCCACCGGCCCTCGATCGAGGCACTGCATGAAACATCCATCTTTCGGGTCGTGTATGCCTTTGCACAGGGCGAAATTTTCGACTTGTTATTTATTCTTTCCGGAAAGGGGGCAACAGTCAGGTATTACCGACGTGGATTTTCCACAGATCAGGACCAACGGGTGTTCGAGACGAAGGTCACAGAGGGAGCCTTTGCGCGGCTTCGGACTGGTGACAGTCGTGAAATACCGGGCCTTCAGGCTCTTGTCTCAGCCGCCGAGACATTCGTGAGGCTGGCTTGTCTCAGATCTCTAGATCACGTCCGAGAATTCGTCTTAGAAGTGGCCCAGGTATTATTAAGCTGCATCACCTCGCCCCACGAGCTATATTATGGCGGCGTGGGAATGCTAACAATATCTATTAACAGATCTTCGCACACGATGAGACGTATAGGTCATTGACGTCTTGTTTGCGCGAGAACTTCACTTCCCCTTTGTCTCATCCCTCAGAGGTAGTGTTGGATAGTAAAGGCGAAACGCAAACTCGAAGGCGAACTCGGACTACCGGGCCTTCCAGTGTCGATATTCTAAGCAATCCCTCTCCATCCAGGGTCAATAAGCAGTTGAGTTTCCTCGTCACTCCATCGTATATTGGGCTGTTCTAACTCTGGGTCTAACTCTGGCTCCCTGCACCCAGGAAGGTCTACCTATGCCGCGCCCCTGGATGCTCGAAAACATGTCAGTCCTCGTCTGCCCTTCGCAAGCACAGAATCACCAAGCATCGTGATCTGTACCCCTCATCCGAGAATTTGTGCTCCATATGCGGTTACTCCACTCGGCGACTTGACCATTTCCGCCGGCATATGAAAACGTTACATAACGGCGTGGAAGTTTCGCCGGGACTGACAGTGTGAAGGGGATATTTCTCGCGGAGACGGCTTGAGGTTTTAGGGGAGGTAGGAGGCTATTGAACATTAGTTTAGTGACGGATTTAGGTCTTGGCGTTGAACAGTCCCTTATAAATGTGTACTCCTCTTATTCCCGATCAGAAAATGTACTTCATCCCCGGCTGCCCCAAACTAATGATATCTTCCTTTAAACTCAGCTATCCCACTCCAGCGTCCAGAGCCACTGCTACCCCAAATATCCCCATTCGGGAGCGTCGGCTTGGTATACGCCATTTGTCTGTTGATATTGCAACTACCCGCCCTAACAAGCCTGGCACTCTCCATCGCCCTGATGACATCTTGGGAAAACACGCTGGTGCATATCGAAACCTCACTCTCGTTGGCCAGCTCTATGCCTCATCCTCAGTATCGCACTGTAGTCGTATCATGGCTACCCTCAAGGACTCCTAGTAGTAGAGATTCATATCCCCGATCACCACCTCGAGGACATGGAAAGTCTAGTTCCGTCTAGTATTGCTATTCTGAGATTGGAGTCGCTGTGGCTCACACCGGCTTAATACCTCAACACGCAATACCCTCAGACCTAGCTGGTACTTGTGTACCGATTGTAGGGTCATAGCACAACACTGCCTGATGCACAGCCTCGCCAATACTGTTATTAGGTTGGCTTTTCAAAGTAAAATTAGGGGAAAGAGAGATCTTAAACTTAGTGGATTTAGAATACCTAACTATACTAAGATTGATCAGGAAGAAACGTTTCTTTAATAATATTTGATCGCGTAGATTCCTTCTTTAGATGTCTTGCTCGAGGATGACGAGCTCCAGATACCGGACTTCCCAGGCGAGACAATCCCATTGGGGTCAAGGGCGTTCTTCAATGTAGCTAGGAATCGGGGAAGAGCAGACTGATTAAAATTGAGCTTCCCAGATACCTTATCCATAAACTTCACGTGGATTCGGTACCCCATATATCCCTGCCGCGCCGCATCTTGCAGGAGCTCCTCGTAGAGATCCATAGCAGCCTTCTCCTCAGGCAGTTTATAGATCATGAGCTCAATGCCGATGATGTATCGGGGAAAGACGTGAAAGTCCGCAAAGAAGTCAAATTTTGCCTCAAGTGTGCGCTGCTTGGCGCCGAGATACCATTCGTATAGCTCCCGGCCTGAAGGCGGCAAGATAGGTGAGAAGCAGGTGTGAGCACCTCCATCCTCGGAGACACGTGTATTGACAATTCCGAGTGGGGCAAGTGTCGGAATACCGTTGTGTGGAATCTCCTCCTGGCCGATTTCTGATGCCCGGATGTACTGGCCCTCTACCCCGCGATGTTCTTTCCAGCGGATCTGCACACCTGCGATAGTGTTGAATGCGCGTTGTGTGGTCTTCAGCAGGGCAGGCAACAGCTCGACGGAGCCGTAAAGGGAGAAGTATGCTCGCCAGAAGCCCCATTCGTTTTGCACCCGGATCTCCTCCAAAACAACGTAAGGTACACAGGAACCAGGTCTCATATACTTAGCCAAGTTCGCCTGTACTTCGGGAAGGTTGGAAGTTAGTGCGATGCGGAAGATGTTGGCGATAGATGGAGAGTTGAGGATGATGGAGCGACGCATGAGGTCGGAGAGCGTTCCAACAAGGGGGACTAGATCTTCTTCGCGCGGGACATCGATTTCGATCGTGGCATATGCCTGTGGCGCAGGAGTGATGTGGATACCGAGTTTGGTAACGATGCCTAATTCTTATGTTAGACGCTTATCATCATGAAAGGTGTTTGCGGGAGAGGCCCAGCTGCGAAGTGCATGACTGAAAAGAGGCTCACCTAAATTTGACTGATAGAACAGTCCGTCAACGCTTGGACCGAACCCTCTGATTGACAGTCATGCGTTAGCGTACCTGATTCGCCCCCTCCACCATGAAGAAGATGCATTGTGGAGGCTCTAAACATACCCTTTGTAGAGAGGAAACGTTTTATTGTCTTCCATGGCTCCAGATCCGGTTCGAAGAAGCTCACCGTTGGGCAAAACAACCTCCATCCCACACTGAAACTGCGAGTGCTCTCCATTTGGCGTGTAGCCGAATCCCCGATCCAAGGTATTACCCAGGACAGAGCCCCATCCAATTGCCGGAACCGAGGGCCACAAGTTGAGTCCCAGCTGCTGGATTTCTTCGTACAAGTCGAAAAAGGAGACACCAGGCTCTACTATAGCGTATCCATACTCCTCATTAATCTCGACAACCTTGTTCATACGTTGGAGGTCCAAAACCACAGTGCCCTTGACGACTGGTGCTGACCCGCCATAGCCTAGATTTTTGCCCCGGGAGATGGTCCATAGGGCTACCCTATGTTTGTTGGCGAGCCTCACAACATTTTGGACTTCTTTGACGCTGCTGGGTCTGACTGCGCCGCTAGGTTGATGATCTTCAGTTGGCGAATATGGATCGCCGTAGGAATATTGGCCGTGAGGTCCCTTCAACGCACCAGATTGGTGATCTCGTGAGATGTTGGCTTCTCCAAGGATGGCACTAGCATCATCAAAGAAACGACCCAGTTTGCCCTCCCCGGCAGTTTCGGTGGTTGATGTTTGAGGCATTGCGGGTACCTGGGCTGCTATGAGGATGCACTATGCTTTGAAATGGCTGTTGTGAGGTTGTAAGAATGCTCCCAAGGTGTATCTGGATAAATGTCTTACAGCGGAAATGGTCTTGTAAATGTACAAGTGGGAAAGTACCAAGTCTATAAATAAGTAAACCCGTTCGTGCCCTTTCCATCTATGTAATCCATCGCTAGAAAATTCCAATTGCCGATATTATTGGACCTACGATTGTCATCAGTACAGAAGCTTCGGCTTGCGTCCGGGGAGTCCGGGGAAGCCGGGGAAGCCGGAAGGCTGGAGACTGAAGCACTGAAGCGGGGAACTGTCGGAAAGAACGTTCCGGGCTGGGACTCTCGTGAGATATTGGCTTCTCCAAAGACGACACTGGTATTATCAAAAAAACGACCCAGTTTTCCCTCCTCGGCGGTTTCGGTGGTTGATGTTTGAGGCATAGCGGGTATCTGGGCTGCTATGGGGATGTACTATGCTTTGTAATGGCTGTTGCGAGTTTACAAGAATGCTCCTAAGGTGTATCTGGATAAATGTCTTACAGCGGTCTTCAGCTTTCTGTTAGCGGAGCGGATCTCGTCGGGGTCGTAACCACTTTAAATCACGAGTGGACTGGTGCATGGCTCACTACGTAGGTTTAGGAGATTATACCTATACCGGCATTGTTGCGGAAAAGGGGACCTCCCTTGACTGTTTCTATCAACGGGCTTCTGCATGGCCTTCACGGGGTCAGCATGGCGGACACAGACACATCAATGCGGAAATGTCGCGGAGTCGGCATAGAGCATTTGTCGATCGCTCAGCTGCAGAAGCACATGACGGATGGCACATTCACCTCGAGGGACCTGACGGAGTGCTACCTGGAGAGGATCAGACGGGTGAATCCGGTTCTGAAGTGGGTGGATGGCCAATTGAAACGAACTAAGCCCTTTTGGCGGGCGCATCACGCTAAATAGGGTGGCAGGGCGGTGATTGAAGTCAACCCGGATGCGCTAAGCATCGCTGACAAGTACGACGGGGAACAGAAGGAGGGGAATGTCAGGGGACCGCTACAAGGTATCCCCTTTGTGGCCAAGGATGTAGGGCACTCCGACAAACGATTGAGCACTGTCAATGAGATATCAAGCACTAACGCGACCAGCTTGTAGAACATTTGCACGAAGGATAAGATGCAAAGTACTGCGGTTCCCGATGTACGGAACTATAAGGAAACTTGGTGCTAGAATCTGCTAACCTCTCTTCAGTCCTGATTGGAACGAGAGTCGCAGACGACGCGCTCGTCATTAAGAAACTCCGCCGCGGCGGTGCGTACTCCTGGAGCACTCGAACCTTTCAGAATGGGCATGCATGCGATCTCCATACTCGTATGACACCAACCCAGACGATCCTCGTTTGATAATATGGGGACGGACATCAGCTAACCTCATCGTGGTCTATAGTGCGGAAGGATACTCAAGCCACGGCGGGCAATGCCGAAACCCTCATAACCTCGCTGAACACCTCGGCGGATCCAGCTGCGGAAGCGCAGTCGCCGCATCTGTATCAATGTGCGCTTTCCCTATCGGTACAGAGACGGACGGAAGCGTCACGCACCCAGCCGACCACAACGGAGTGGTGGGTCTGAAACCGAGTCTTGGAACGACTGTCTGTCGGGGAGTCATTCCAGAATCCAGGAGTCTCGATGTCGTGGGAGCGTTTGGAAAGACAGTAGAAGATGCAGCTGCGGCGGTGACCCCAATCGCTGGGGACGATGAGAAGAATTACTGGGTATGGTGCAACGGTGGTCTACGGCTAAGGCACGTACTGTCCGGTTCAGAAACACCTTACGAATCGTTAGTCTCAAAAATGGATTCCCCCAAAGGAGCCAGGTTCGGCATGCCTTGGAAACAGGTATGGGAGTCGGCATCGGAAAAGGAATATCCATATAACATGCTTATGAAGATGCTCGATCAAATCAGACAAGCTGGAGCTGAAGTTTATGAGCATACTGACTTCCCTAGCGCGGAGGAGATAATATCGCCTGGCCTCTGGGGTTGATATGTCGGTGCCCAGACAAGGTATGACGAAGCTAACTGGCGTTAAGGGGCTACCCTGGCGAGGCGAATAATCCGAACTTACAGTCGTCAAGGTTGACTTTTACAACGACCTCAAGGCGTACCTCGCCTCACTAGCGGAGAACCCCATGAATCTGAAGAGCCTGGAAGACATTATCGAGCTCAACAAGAAGCATGCAGAGGAAGAAGGCGGTTTACTCGGGCTACACGGCGCTTGGCCGACTGGCCAAGACACGTTCGATCACGTCGCTGAGACTCTCGGATTAGGAGATGAAATCTACCAGTCAGCCCTCAAGTACATTCGACAGAAGAGTAGAGGAGAGGGCATTGATGCCGTGTTGACGTCAAAAGGGAGAGCCACTAGACGGAATCCTTGTGCGCATACAAGCAGATAGTGGCGTCGCACACCAACTAGCCGCCAAGGAGGGTTCGCCTGCTCGCCCTTGGCTGCCTCGAATGCATACTGATCTTCGACGCAGACTATCCTGTGATAACAATTCCAGTGGCGGAGAACAGGAACGGTAAGCACGTGAAGAGCGCCGTCGAGTCTAGCGCGGATACTGATAGAATATAGTACAGACGTCCAATTTGATCTCGCCATCATTCAAACTTCAGGAAGAGAAGACTTGTTGGTGAAATACGGCTCCGCAATGGTGGACCTGATGCGGGGTAGGTCACCCGCGAGGTTCCTAAATCTTGACGCGAACAACTACATGTACGTTGGCGGACCACCAGAGGATTGATTTGCCGCGGCCACATGAACGCATGAGGGGTGGGGAGAGTCCGCACAACTAACCAAAACAAGATTGCATGAGACCAACGCTACATGTATCGCCTAACTATATCTCCAATGACTTCACATCTTCAAACAGTTCCCGGGGGACCCCCTCAGCCTGCTCCGTTACTGCCTCGCCAACGGCTGCGAGGTTGCCCTCCGGAGTCTCAGCCCAGAGCGACCACGTATTGTCTCCCGTTTGACGTCCAGATAGCTTGACGGGCTCTCCGTCAAATAGAGGTGAGGTGTTCCTGTACTTTATGCTCTTGATTGCCGTGTACCCAGACGTAGAAGAATCCTGGATCAAGTGGTTCTTGAGCAAAGCCGTAAGGAGAGTTAGAGTAAGCGGGCCGTGGAAGACAAGCCCCTTCAACCCTTCAAACTTCTTGCAAAACTCAGGGTCGAGGTGGATAGCATGTGTGTTGTAGGTCAGCGCACTGTACCTAAATAGCAGCTTCGAGTTGGACACAAGCGTATGGCTGAAGTCCTCCTTTCCTTGGTGATCGGGGACCTGCTTCCTCGGCTTGGGGACAGGCGCACCAAGCTTCGTGGGCTTCATGAACACGACATTTCTAAGTTCTTTGACCGCCACCTCTGAGTCATCGGAGAACCGTTCTCGAACGGCGGCATCAGACTCGCCTTCCCTAACGGAGCCCATGCGCCTCTCAATCGAGACAAAGACCAGGGGATTTTCGGTCTCTGCCTTCTTGACATTCACATCCACGATACTCTCAATGCACGCCGCGCGAGAGTTATCCAAATTAAGCCGTTTCGCAGGAGAATTGTTAAAATGAACCTCACCTCCCGCCCACATGCGTCGCGAGAACGGCTGGCCGGGCGCTTGCCGAGGATCGGTCCCGTCCGGTGCTGTCTGTCCATCCCGCATCATCGGCGAGAAATAAATGAGATGGTGGGTGGGTTGAAGGGCAAACTTGTCTGATGTGGAGGGTAGACGCGGTTCGGTGTATGTCGTATCTTGTGTAGGGGATTTGGGGAGGTAGCCGGCCAGAGTCATGTTGAGGAGGTATGACGGTCGCGGACTCATGTAGTCGTAGGTGATGGGGATTTGCCGGGCCTTCATCTCCGCCGCGAGCTCCTGCGACGAGAAGGCGCGAGAAAGTGGCAACGCCATGGAGCGGCAGCCCCGTTCCAGGAGCTGGGGACGTCGAACTGAAGCCAGAGAGGATCGTATAGAGGCACTCATTTTGCGTAGGGACCGCAAATGGGAGTCAATTGATGTTCCTCCACTAGTCTGTAACCGCAGGGTTTAAGTCCAGAGCTTGGAGGTAGCACCGAGATTTGAGTCGGATTACTTAAACCTCCGAACGAGCTAAGCTAGCTCTGAGCACACGAGTGGGTTGGCTCAAAGGGCGCCGGGCCATATAGCCGACTTCCTTTTTGCGGGGCGGTCCAGTCTCGGCTATGCGCTCCGACCAGGGGTTTGAAGCCAGCCCGCCGCAACAATCCCCCCGGTCCGAGTAACGACGCGTGAGAGAGTACCCGGGGGAAATGAGCCATCACTTGGCTGGATATTTCTATTCCTTAGTGGTTCCGAAATGTAGCAGGCAAGTGGATTCGGGTGTCGGATGATGAAGCCGTAGAATGCCCGTACCTCGAGCAAGCAGGTGGCATCTACCTTGCAGCTTCATTCCCAATATACATGATAACTTCCTCAGTAGCATTCATCCTCAGTATCTGTAGTCGAAGGCTCACCTGGTGAAGGGATGAAATATGGCAGCGAATCAAGTTCTTCGGCGAGCAATGCTCTACAGTAAGCTGTCGCCACGATTATAAGTCGAAATCTTTGCTGACTCGGCGACTAGTTCCGGCCTCATCAAGGAAAATGCTCGATAAGTCTATGGGACTCACCGTCGACTGCGCGGCCTACGATGTTGAAGACTCCGTTACGCCCGATCTGAAACAGAGCGCGCGACATGGACTCCGTGATTTTCTCAATACGACGCGGCCAAAGGGCATCAGTGAGGTGGCGGTTCGAATCAATTCTGTCCACAGTAAATATGTGCTGGATGATTTGGTGGAAGTGGTGAGCAGGCTCTGAAAGATATGCAGTCGACAAGAGAGACTGATCGATGAATCAACAGTTGAAATCCCCGCACGTTGATACGATCGTAGTTCCAAAGGCACAATCTGCGTCTGACCTGCGGCTCGTCCACTAGTGACAGGGCTGGCCTTTGCCGCCGAGGACTTTTGCCTGGATCTGTCAGTTACGAGGACCCCTGGCCTTACTGAGTTATTATTCGCCCGAAGCACCATCGTGACGGCAGCGAGGGCTCATAAACTACCCTCCGCGATTGATCTCGTCTGTACTGCTTTCAAGGGCAAAGAGGGACAGAACAGGCTAAGAGAAGAATCCGAAAGCGGAAAAGGACTCGGGTTCATATGCACCCCTAATTATACCTGCCCTGCTAACTGTATATCCACCCACGTTACAAATTACGGAGAGCGAATTCGACCGTTGTTTTACAGTTAATGTGAAGGGAATCTACTACGGAACTGCTGCGTTGATGCCTCGACTCTTGAAACAAGGCCAGGGCGGTGTCATGCTCAACGTTGCCTCCGTGGGGGCGACAAGACCTCGTCCAGGCCTGGTCTGGTACAACGCTTCCAAAGGAGCAGTTTGGAATGTGACGAAGGGTCTTGCGGCTGAATTTGGACCGCACAAGATTCGCGTCAACTCTGTAAGTCCACTACTGGGAGCCACTGGACTGTAAGTATTACTACCCATCCACGATCATTATGAAAAACGAGCTCTAACGGTGGGAAGATTCGAGGCATTCTCTGGAGTCCCCGACACGCCGCCAGAGAACAGGCAAAAATTCCTGGACAACGTTCCACTCAGGCGACTTTGCGAAGCTGAAGATGTGGCCAATGCTTGTGTGTACTTGGCATCAGACGAGGCCAGCTTCATCACCGGTATTAATCTCGAGGTTGACGGAGGCCGAGCGGTTTGATTGTAGCACTAGTCTAGCACCCAGAATATACCGAACTATTCTTTGTTCATTGTTCAAAACTTTTTATGCCATTGTCAATCTTGGGAGCGCAGTGTAGCTTTTCGCCTACCCCCCCCCCCCCCCCCCCCCCCCCCCCCAAAAAAAAAAAAAACCCAAAACGCCTAGGTAGAGAGAGCTTCATCCAGGTTCCCATTCTGGATTTAGTGGCGCTTGGTGCCCCGAAACCGAGGATCTACTTGTTCGAAGACTGTTGATCAATCTCGAGTCGCTCTGAACCCCACTAAAGTGGGCAGGAGCAGGGGTGACCTGCGGACCCACATCATATAGCCGAGTCGACCATGGGTGTCGGCAACAACTTCGACGATCGAAATGCCTGCCCCCATCACGGACCCTTCAACCCGGGTACTCGCCTCAATTCATGGTACGGAAGCTCCAGGCTCTGGCTACTGCCTGCCCTGTCCCGTGCTTGGAGCTTACCATAAACTTGACCGAGACCCTGAAATTTGACCGTGGCTGCGTAAAAAGAAGCACTGCATTTTCCCTTCCAAACCACACGACCATACACAATGTCCTCCAACAATCTACCCATGACGCTGTTAAGGCGCCATTTCAGAGCGACGAGGGTATGTCTGTGGCTTTTCGCAATACTAGTATGTCTAGCGATCTGTAGGCCGCATTATTACTGACTTGAGCGTACCACAGCTTGCACAGCTACAGCAACTCAGGCGACTGAGCCTCTACGAGTACCAGTCTCAGGAAATTCTACGCAAAGTAAGCGAACGAAACAAGGTGATACGTAAGGTTTTAGATGTGGACTGATATGTATCCTCGTATAGGCTGGGATTCCTGTTCCTCGAGGGCGGGTAGCAGAAACACCAGCGCAGGTTCGGGATATTGCAAAAGAACTCGGTATATTAATCGAAGGAGCACCCAAACATTCTTGAAGCTAATATCTATCAATTCAGGAGGATCATGCGTCGTAAAGTCCCAGATCCTCAAAGGCGGCCGTGGCAAGGGCACGTTTGATAGCGGCCTCAAGGGCGGTATCCACATCGTCAATAACCCCGAAGAAGGCGAGAAAATTGCGGCGCAAATGCTCGGTCATAAGCTCAATACAAATCAAACCTCGGGAGACGGACTGAAGGTGAACAAGCTTCTCGTCGCCGAAGCTATTAAATACAGTGACGAGTGGTACCTTGCCATGACCATAGATCGCGAGGCGTACTTGCCAGCGATTATCCTCTCCAAGAATGGCGGCGTGGATATTGAGACGACGGCGAAGCAGACGCCAGAGCAGCTTCACTCCTTCCACTTCAAGTTATCGGACGGTATTACACCTGAGCTCATGGAGAAGGTTTCTTCGACTCTAGGCACATCCCAAGTAGAGACGAACAACCTTAAGGATATCCTTGAACGTCTCTATAAAATCTTCGCCGAGAAGGACGCTACGCTGCTTGAAATAAACCCTCTCGTGCGCAGCGCCAACGGGTCATTTACTGGTGTGGACGCAAAGTTCTCCTTCGACAAGGCTGCCGAGAGGAGACAGAAGGAGCTCTTTGCTCTGAGGGACTCTGCCCAGGAAGTCCCGGAGGAAGTCGAGGCGGAGCAGTATGGTCTCATCTACGTCCGCATGGACGGGAACATTGGTAATGTTGTCAACGGCGCTGGTCTAGCCATGGCGACGAATGATGCGATCGCCCACCATGGTGGCTCGAGCGCCAACTTCCTCGATGCCGGCGGCCAAGCTACCAAGGAGACGATGCAGAAGGCCTTCGAAATAATCCTGCGAGATCCGCGGGTGAAGACCATCTTGGTCAATATTTATGGAGGCATCATCAGATGCGACATGATCGCAGAGTCCATCATCGGTGCTGCCAAGGAACTTGGCCCCTTCCGTGTTCCTGTTGTCGTTCGCCTCCAGGGGACCAACTCCGTCAAGGGATTGAGATTGGTAAGTACTTGAACGGTCGATTTATTTTACAGAAGCTGATCATTCACTGTATAGCTGGAGGAGGCGAACCTTGGTCTCCATACCGAGGCCGAATTTGGTGAAGCCGCTAGGAAGGCGGTTGAGCTGGCAGGGGCTACGGAGCATTCGACCTAAGCTTCATTCGAGGGAATGCAGGCGGCAGAAGCGTAGGAGGGTACATCTTAGCACGGGAACAGGATCGATGCGTTTCCGTAATTTGATAGAAAATGACTTTTGTTTGCTTCAATACCTCCAGCTGGCCATCGTATTGCCGATGGTGTTTGCAAGTAAGTTGGCCGTCACGGATTTAACAGCGCATATTTCGAAACATCGACACGTACGGCAGAGCCGAACGGAGGAAATAGAAATCTGTAGGTGTCTGGCTTGACGGGGTCTGCCATTGACCAACGATGCTCAAATTTAGGTGCGCGCCTGAAAAGAAAAAAAAATTTAAACCGGAGTAAAATAAAATAAAATAATGGCATTGAAATTTTTGGCAACTGCACTGTATATAATAAACCGGCCTAAAATCTAAGCTCCAAGCAGTCTCTTCATCTCAACGCCCATTACTCCAGGGTGAGGTACGACAAGCGCTCCGGCCTCCTCAAGCGCCTTTGCCTTGGCATCTGCTGACACGTCTCTGGGCGAAAGTAGGGCTCCCGCATGACCCATCGTCTTACCAGGTGGCGCCGTCCTGCCGGCCACCATGGCAATTATGGGCTTGGGGTTCGGCGTGTTCCTCCGATACTCGTTGATCAATTCTGCGGCCTTAAGCTCCGCCTCCCCTCCAATTTCCCCAATAACGATTATGCCCTCCGTATCGTCATGTTCGAAAAACAATTTCAGCCCTTCCACAAGGGTGGTTCCCGGGAGCATATCTCCACCCATTCCGACCACGATACTCTGTCCAAGACCGGCTTTTGTCGTAGCACCGACCGCTTCGTAGCTCAGCGTGCCACTCTTCGAGACGATGCCTACTCTGCCTTTTGAATATTGCCCGTACGGCATGATGCCAATTCTGCACTGCTCGGGGGCAATGATACCGGGGCAGTTAGGACCGACGAGACGAGTCTTTGTCTGCGTCCTGAGCGCTTCTTGTACGCGCAGCATATCGTGCACCGGAATGTGCTCGGCGACGGATACAACCAGAGGAACCTCGGCTTCTATGGCCTCGAGGATGGCCTTGGCTGCAAAAGGCGCGGGTACGAAGACGGATGTCGCGTGAGGCTTTACCCGCTCCATGGCCTGGTAAACACAATGGTCAATCATCTCGTCTCTCACTGAATGTCACCGAAGCTTGAACCCACCTCTCGAACGGTGTTGAACACAGGTCGGTCGAGGTGTATCTGGCCGCCCTTTCCGGGTGAAACACCGCCCACGATATTCGTCCCATAGGCAATTGTGTCTTTCGCATTCGCGGTGGCCTGTGAGGTAAATGCGAAAAAAAAAAATTAGCGAGCGAAGAAAGATGCATTATTATCTGTTCGATGCTTACCGCTTTTCCTGTGAACCCTTCACGCCCAAGTTAGCTTCCTGTCATGACGAGAAGAACGATGGACTCACCTTGGTAAATTACTCGGGTATTCTTGCCTATCCGGAGATTCTGGATTGTCGATTCTTCATACGGCGACGCTTTTCGCAAAAATGCGGATGCGGATATGCTTCTCCTCGTGGCTTGACCACTGAGCCGCAGAATCAGCCCGGGCAGCTTCCAGACGCGTTGTGAATGCATGGTTGAGAGAGGAGTGTGATGCAATGCGAATGGGACAAGTAAAAAAACAATGAGACGAGCTCTATTGTTCGCTGTCGGGCCAATTCGTCGGCATATTTGGGAGCAGAATCTCGGAGCTTCTCCACGTCATTGCTTCTCCGACATCGAAGCCGCACGTTTGGAGCTGCTCGATCCGGATACTCCGCTCCAGTTACTTGCCACAGGTACCTCAAAGAGCAGATCTTCAAGTCGGCTATCTAACCCCAGCACTGGCGGCTCCATGATGTGACTAAGCATCGGCCACAGTGGGGCCGGGAACGAAGCCCTCACGGAGATTCCGTCCCCGTTGTCCTCGTTCCGCTACATGCTACTGTACTTAGACAATCAGATGCCGAGTCGCTCTTCTGAAGCATTGGCTCCAGAGTGAGTTGAGATGCACGGGGTGTGAGCCCTCCAGCTTCCCAGATTTCCCGAGATCCCCAGCGACCCTGGGTCAAGTCTCACCACTGAGCAAGCGCACGTGACTGCCTGCGGTCCCCACATCCCCTGGAACCGGCATTTCATCCACTGAATTCCCCTTCCGCTCCCCACCGAGTTACCGGCTCGGCTTTTTACCCTTTCCTTTCCCTAAAATTCCAAGTCGCCGAACTAGTAACTAATTTGAAATTGCGAGGTGCCGCGCCAGTCACACCGCACAGCAGAATGACGGGACCACCGCCGCGGAAACGGGCGAGACAGGCCTGTGTCACTTGCAATGCTAGGAGGGTAAGATGCGATGCCACTGAGAGGATGCCATGCTCCAATTGCGCTACGGCGGAGACGCCTTGTGAAATTCGGGAATCGAGACGAGGGAAGCACCCAAGGCATTCATCGAGTCATTCCAAGGCGTCAATATCGCCTTGCGAGGTGCCTGAGTTTGCGGAGGCTACACCAAGATTGCCGGCAGTTATTGTACCGCCGGCTCAGGTTAATGAGCATGTCGCCGCATCCCAGGCCCTAGCTACTTTACGCCGAAATGGGAGCGGCAATACGGACAGTGACCCCAGTCCTCAGCAAGAAGGGACTCCGGCCACTGATTCTCGGTCGCCAACTACACTTCCCCAGCACACCGTCTCTCGGCCGGATGATGAGCAGTCTGTGTTCCTGGGCGAATCAACCTCAATCCGCTACCTAAGCGAACCATCTCCCCCCGCAGCTGGCCCCTCTCCACCACAAAGCATACGTTTCCTACACTCAGTACCCAATGTAATCAAGGCCGCGAGCATCATTCCCCAATGGGAAGCCGAGAGACGCCAAGCTAAGATCGAGGCGCTACGCGCGGAAGGCGTCTTTTCATACCCGCCCAAGGTTGTTGTCAAGGAGCTACTCAAGGGCTACTTCCAATGGTTCCATCCTTGCTTCGCCATAGTAGATGAGCTTGACATATGGAACCAATACGAAGACGGGACAATACCCCATCTGCTACTACAGTCCATGCTTTTCATTGGATGTCTACATTGCGACGAAGATTATTTACAACAGGTTGGACTAGGGAGTCGCCGTCGCGCCAAGTACCGCTTCTATAACCGTGCGAAAGATATCTACGATATCGGCTATGAAGAAAAGAGGCTCGTCGTCATCCAATCCTTATTCCTATTAAGCTTCTGGAGGGACGGCGCCCTATTTGAAAAAGACGTGCGTCACTGGCTTGGCGCGACGATTAGTCTTGCGCAAACAAAAGGATTCCACAGAAATGCTGGAACGGGAGAGACAAAAGCAGATAAACTGAGGCGGCGGATGTGGTGGTCCATATACACCAGGGAAAGACAATGTGCAGCTGCTCTGGGTCTACCAAATCGTTTTCGCGACGAGGACTGTGATGTGGGAGTTCTTACGAAGGCTGACTTTGAGTCCGCCTTCCACCCCTCAACGCCGCCACATAAAGTTGACGAGTATGTGTCATACTCCATTGGCATGTGCCATCTCTCTAAGACGCTGGGTCAAATCTGCCATTGTGGATATCTCCCTAGCAAGGTCCTGTCCTCCAGCGATAGGAACCGAATGAGGGAGGAGCTGATCAAATGGAAAGAGAAATTACCCAGGGTCATGCAACTCTCCAATAGTGACTTTGATGCACCGCCCAGCTTCTACGCCAACATGCTGCACCTGTCCTACAACAACCTCCTCATACTACTCTACCGCGCCGGGTATATCGGTGGGCCGGGAAGCAGCGAAGTTGATGGGACAGTGGCATTACAAGCTGCTTCCCGCAACTCTCGAATAGTCGAAGATATGCTTCCTGAGGGGGACTTGCGACATGCTCATGTTCATGTCATCACGAATCTATTCAACACGCTCTGCGTCCATACCTTTTGCTTACGCGAGGCGAAGAAGGGAACTGCAAAAGCCATCGCAGAATACAGAGCTAAGCTGTGCCTGATCGGATTACAAGAGCTGCAGAAGACGTGGGAAGTCCAAAACTGGGTTCTACAACTCTTCTTTCATTACCTGGACCGTCAAACAGCTGCAAGACTACAAGTGCAAGATGATTCTATGGCGTTATCCAACGGCATGGGATCTCGAGGGGCGGCCCACGCCCAGAGAACGGGGGTGGCTACGCCGAACACACTGCCCATGTACCCCATTCATGAGGCTGACACGCGGATGAGTGCGGCAGCCAGTGCTGACACACCGTGGTCTTGGTCGACCGAAGAAGCAAACCAATTTCTGTTCTCCCAGATCGAGAGCGAGTTTGCGTTTGGAGAAGGAGGCTTGCATATGATGAGCCTAGAGGAAGATTTTAATATGGACATGTTTTCAATGATGGAGAATAATCAACCCATGACGGATGCGCTGGAATAAGTTGATCCACTAATTACTTTTACGAACGTATTATCGCGTCACTTTTGAAATATGATCTCCATGTCAGTGCACCACGATTCTCGGTACCAGAGAGATATATTTAGAACCTAACGTGCTAACTCATTAGTTCATGTGTGGCTTCCTGAACGCTCCACATTGGGACGATGAAGGGAGGCGATCCAGGTCAGCGCAGGTGAACTTTTGCCGGAGATGGCATGCAGTCACGCGTTCTTTATTTCTTAAAGCCCTCTGGGCTCTAGCGTCACGCCGCGTCGTAATAGAAACTAATTCTGCTTGGCGCTCGCTGCCGCTTGAAGTAGCGGCTGGAATCCTCCGCTAGCTGGGAGCGGAGAACCAGAAGAGTTATCGCTTACCTTGCCGTCACTTCAACAGCCAAGCGCTCAGCTCGGCTTTGCCTCATTCTTTCTACCGCAAGACGACAAATCTCGAAGCAGAAAGTCTGTCCTCGCTTGAAGCTTTCGCCCGGAATGATTTCTTCGGTCCAATGGTTCGCATTCTACGTATAGTGGCTGAAAGCAAGACCACACTCACCAAATCGTCGGAGGCAACAGCTTCTCCACCTCCATGCCGTCCTCCACCTTCGACCCGCGCAGGAGTCCACCTGTACGAGCTGCAACTTCCTCGAGGACAACTCAAACTACTGGACGCCCATCCTATACTTCCAGGCTCGTAACAGCTCCTTCAAGCGCTTTATTCTTCGAGGGGCAGCTTGACAATGAGTACTTTCCCATTGAGTCTACCCCGTCCGGTGCCCTCTACAACAAGGGTCTCTCGGCTACCACCCAGGTCATCGCCCTCATGGCTCGTCTCGGCCGCCACCAGGATCTTGCCAACGCTACGCTCCACGGTCCTGACCCAGTTGCCATGGCTGGGCCCCTTCTTGCTGAGTGCAAGTTCCCCGATGTCCTTGTCGCTAAGGCGTACAGCCACGATGGCAAGTCTCTCGACCTTGTCCTCTACAACGGCAAGGCCCCCGGCAAGCACTCTCTCACCTTTGGGCGTCTTACTCCCAACACCACCTACCAGCTCGGCAACGGTCAGACCCTCAGCGCGGACAGCAAGGGTAGGGCTATTGTTGAGGTCAACCTCAACGGTAGGACTCCCTTCAAGCTCTCTCCTGCTTAAGTGGAGGGTCACGAAAGATACCGGGGCGTAGAAGATGTGGGGTGTATCTAAATACAAGTACCGTCGGACTATGCCTGGCCGCAATATCGAGAAGAGAACTTGAGGATTTCTTTTGTCTACTGCAGGAAAACATGAGGAGGTTAATAAGCATATGGGGTTGAAAATGATTGTAACTGCTCGACGGCCATTACCGAATGTGATACACAGCTACTATTCCAATGTGAAGAATGCCTTACAGCGTACTGCCTTGAACTTCTTGTAACTATCACGTATATATACGAAATCACTCATCTATACCCACACGTTTCCTCGGCCATTCCGGAAATGCATCCCACGGCTCTGTAGCTATTGAAGAAACTTCGAATATCGGCGGCCTTGTCCATCTCCTCCCCACCGCCTGTCCTCAAGAGCATATAACACGGCATTCCAATGCGCAAGTACCGTGAGTGCATCATAGTTTCTTGGCCTGGCCTCTTCGAGGAAGGCCTCGGGCACCGGCCAGGCGATTACCAGCTCTCAATCCTTGATAGAGAATCATAAGGTCAATGTGCTCTAGTGTGCCGTTATGAATGGCGATAATGCTCTGGTTAAGCTGCTCCTTAGCTGTAGAGCTAATATTAAAGAGAAAATCAAGGATAATAAAACTATATACTACCTCTAAGGGGCATGGATCGATAGTTTGGCTGCTTCTAATAAAGGGTGCTAATAGAGAGGCCAAGGACAGGTTTAACAAATCACTTCTAATATATATAGCTAAGCAGAAGAATATATGTCTAGTAAGCATCTTATGGGAGGCTAGGTCTAGTCCTAGTATATTAAATAAGACCTGAAGGCTAGGGGATTGAAGTACTAAATTGGGAAGCTATTGGAAAGAACGTCCTAGGCTGGGGCTACCTAGAAACAGTCTCCTAGGATAAGTCCCGGCATCCGGTCCTCTCACGCGGCAACACCCGCCGGGTTAACATAATAACACATTAGTAGCGATTGACAGCATTTTGTAGAGGCGCTCATATCCCCTAACCTATATAGAGCCGGTATAACCGGGCTTGATGCTTCAGACCACAGTCAGGGATGAAATCCACGTCCGCCACTCTCCCCCACTTAAGTAACAATACCACCCACGGTCTTCGCCTTTTCGGGAATGTCACATTGCGCCCCCAACAACAGCGACATTGGCATGATGGACGGAAGCCAAGCCAGCAAGAAATAAACAGCACAGGATTCTTGATCTCTCTCTCACCTGGCTATATCACGCTCAAGTTCACGGGTTTACTAACCTGTTCCCCCGGTGAATGGACCGGGCGCAAGAGGGAAACCAAATCCACCGAATATCTTAGGCTCCTGACCCTCACCCCCATCTCGTCCAGCGATTCCATCAGCGTTTTATTACTTTTCTTTGCAACCCGAGTGGAGTCGCTTTATCAGGCATCCCATAAACTTACCAGACTATGCTAGTCCCGCCCTTCAGTACAACTGTACGACTCGAGCCTGACCCACATGTCAGCCAGTTGCATATTTTGTCTCCACCCCGTAACTTGAGGCAGACGGGAGTCAGCCACCTGCATTAGTGATTCTATCTCATGATGGCACAAAATGATCAGGAAACAAGATCATTCACAAATCGCCGTGTCTACCGAGCACGCAACTTCACTTGACTGTTGACCCTATAAATTCCGCCTTTTTCTTACTCGATCCAAAGATGGCAATTGGTTCATATCTATTCAAAACACCTCGAATTTTTAGAAAACATGGCACCTACATTTGACGCTACCTCTACTGCACCCCAGCTCGTCGCGGCCCTCGCCAATGAGATCAGGGGCAAGACTATTCTTACAACGGGTGTTTCCCCAGGAGGTATCGGTGCTGCTTTCGTAGAGGCCATCGCTATCGCCCAGCCATCCACATTGATCCTCGCCGGTCGCAATGCCGCCAAGGTCCAAGCCACGGCTGATGCCATTACCAAAGCCAACTCTGGTGTAAAGATTCGAACGCTTCAATTAGATTTGAGGTCCCTGGGCGCCGTGAGAGCCGCTGCCGCCGAGGTTTTGTCCTGGAATGATGTATCGGTGATTGATGTCTTGGTCAATAATGCGGGGATCATGGCGGTTGATTTCGCGCTCACCGTGGATGGGTTTGAAAGCCAGTTGGCGTCGAACCATCTTGGGCCCTTCCTATCCACCAACCTCATCATGGACAAGATCAGTGCATCCAAGTCTCCTAGGGTCGTCAACGTTAGTAGCGATGGTCATCGGCTACATCCGATTCGGTTTGCCGACTACAACTTTGATGTGAGTAAATCTCTGGAATCCCAGATAATCTCTCTAACAGGATTTTGCTATGCTAACTGTATTGGGCGGGCCGCCTTTTAAGAACGGAACCTTGTGCAACAAATGGTTCGCGTACGGGCAGTCAAAGACAGCCAATATTCTGACGGCACTCTGGCTTGCCGAGAAGCTCGGGCCCAAGTACGGTCTCCATGCGTTCAGCCTACATCCAGGTGTAATCGGGACGAACCTCGGTAATCACTTGAACTGGGATGTGGAAATGACAGGACTGCGTATGTTCTGCACGCCTAAAGAAATAGGAGATCTTCTAATCTGATTATTTATAGGGGATGCGGACAAAACCTTGGGTAATAGGGAGGGCTGGGAAGACTTCAAATTCAAGACACTGGAGCAGGGTGCCGCGACTACGGTATATGCAGCATTTGATCCCGCTCTCAAAGGTAAGAACCTTGAGCAGCCGTAAATTCATGGACTATCTATCGACTGACAAAACCACTTAGCCCACAATGGCGCTTATCTACAGGATTGCCACGTGGCTGATCCCTGGACGGACACAGTGAAACCTTGGGCCACGAGTTCGGTCGAGTCGGAAAGGCTTTGGAAGTTGAGCGAGAAACTAGTAGGACAGGAGTTTACGTACTGATATCGCATTGAGAGTACAATGGGTCAATGCCCAGTTTGAATACCGCGGAATTTTGCTCGCCAGATCGCGCAAAAACCGCCGAAGGGCGAAGAGTGAATGGGGAGAAGCGCAGCTGTGATTAGCATTTGCCAATAATTTTAGAATATAATCCGGAAGAACAAAGTTGATGGTAATATCCGCCAATAATGGCGGGGGAAAGGTGGCAGATTAAGAAATATCTCTCTCACCAGCTCATAACGTAAAAGGAAGGGGGTTGATTCAGGTATTACCTACTTATCAAGGGTTGTGCTTCCTTCCATATCTTGTCGAGGGCGCCAGGATATTACCCAACGAAAGAGCGAACTAACTGACGATGGACTGATGTACTGCTGCTGGCCAGGATAGCAGAGATATGACCCCAACGTTCAGCGTAATCGGAAAGCTCAAAGTCAGTGGAGGGGAACCCCTACGCTTGGGGAGAGCCTGCAGAGCAAGTCGGTCATGATCATGAAACAACACCATATTACGGATATCAACGTGCACATCTCTCCAAAATAATGATTTGAAGCATTCTTCTACATATTGAATACAATGCTGTATCCTGTTTGAGGAAATGGCGCCATGTCTGAGGCGGCTGCCGTTTGCACGTTCATTCGTCCAAAAGTTGGGGGAAGTTGGGCATGTCTAGGGCCTGCATGAAGATATGATACGGCCGACCTAACTCCTCCCATATCCCAGCGCCCAGGGACCTAAGAATTGACGCGTAGGTGTTTATCTAGTCTGCGAGCCTTTGTGCTACGCAGTCATGACGAAGGTGTCCGTCGGTAGGGAAGTTGGGAACTTGGGAGAGAGGAAGGGGGGAGAAGGAAAGAGAAGAAGAAGGAGAAGAAGAAAAAGGAGGAAGAGAAGAAAAGGGAAGGGGAATCAGAAAGAGAAGACGAAACCGCTTATCGGATGGTGAGGTTCTGGCCGTTCAACTCATTGTTCGCAGTATCTCGAAGAATGAGACAACCATCGAAATACTTCTGCAGCTGGTCAAAGTCCTCCAACTCACCAACCCAGCCAACATATTGATCGGGCCTGACGGCTACCACGCATCCTCTCTTCCTGTCGACGCCGTAATTCTTGTACGCCTCGCCATAGCCCTCGTGGTAACTCTCACCATCGACAAACACCTTGTTGTAGTCCCAGCCGGCATGCTTGTCGAAGGGGTGGAGGATGTCAGGGAAATCCCTGAGCAATTCCGTCTCCGTGCGGGGAGACGAGTGGATGGTCAGCACCTCGATAACGCTATCGATCGGCGCGTCGGCCGGGGTAGCGGCATGGAGGAAGCTTTCAGGTGCGTCCAGGGCATCGCAGAACTTTTGGACACGGGCCTTCTGCTCCGGGTCCAAAATGTCTCCGGCAAAGAGGACGACGCGGAATCGTCCATCGGCCTTGAGTCTTTCTTGGAAATGCCAGGGGCGTGCGCATGCCTGGTTGAGGACCTTGAAGCTGTTGAAACGCATACCGACAGGTAGGCCGGTGGCGAGAGCCTGCTTCTTTTCAAACACCTCCGGAGTCAGATCCTTCACCAGATCAGAGGTGGCAGGCGTGCTTCCGTCGCCCTGCTCAGCAGCGTCGCCAGACTTGGCTACAAGGGTGCTAGGCCCATAGTTCACGCTCAGGCCCGAAGCGAACAGGTTACCCTTGAGGAAGGCATCTTTGAACACCTCCATACTGACGCCCTCGGTGTCCATGACGTCCTGGGCTGGCCTGCCGGAGAAGAGCCTGCTGAAGCGGTGATCAAAGTTGATGAGGTCCTGAGCCACGCGGCGGCGCTCGCTCTGGTACGTGGTGAGGATGCTCCGCTTAGCGATGCCCTTGGCAACGAGAGCGACCTTCCAGCCGAGATTGTAGCAATCCTGCATAGACACGTTCATCCCCTGGCCTGCCTTGGGGGAGTGTGTGTGGACGGCGTCGCCGGCAAGGAAGACTCGGCTGTGGGAGTCGAAGCTCGTGCCTACCCTCTGGCCAATCTGGTAGGCGGTCCACCAGTCGCAGTACTCATAGTCGATCTTGTAAGGGCTCAAGATTTTCTGCGCGGCGCCGAAAATGAAGTCGGGCGTGATCTTGGACCTGTCCGCGCGACCGGAGGCATCCGGTGTCACCTCCACCAACTGGATGTAGAGACGAACGAGCTTGTTCTCCCTGGGGATGACCATGAGACTGCCGCTCTCGGCGGAGTGAATTGCGCAACGCATTCGGATATCCGCTGTGGTAGAAACGTAAAAACGTCAGCAATCACAGAACGAGTATATCACATCAATGTATGGTTGCACTAAGAAAATCTGCTCACGGAAATCAGTGATGGGAATTATGTCCATCACTCCCCAAATGAAATCAGTAGCTTCGCCTTGCAGTTCAAATCCCAACGCCCGTCGGGTCCAGCTGCGGGCGCCATCGCAACCAATCACATACTTGGCGTGGACTGTCTCCGCCGTTCCCTCTCGGGCCCGACTCTTCCGGATCAAGTCGTCCTCATCGTCTTCGTAGATGAGATTGCTGCGGAAAATGCCATCGCCGGCTTTGCCGACTTTGCTACCACTAACTTCCTGCCTGGGCGTGGCTTCTTCCTCGGAGAGGTGGCGCAGCTTGACTGTCACTGGGTACGCCGAGTTGTCCTCAACCTTCGAAACATCGATCTCGAGAGACTCGGGCAAGATGCCACGCTCGACCTTAATGGTGTCTTTGGAGAACTTCCTGATGTTGTCGAGGAAGAAACGCTCGATGCGGCCCTGGTGAAGGACGATTTGCTGGAAGCGGGAGAGGCCGACGATGGTGTCGGGGATTCGGTCGGAGCGCCGAATCACGCCGTCCGGGCCGGGGTTCTAAGACCCTAGGTAAGAAAAAGCACACACACGCATGCACACCCACACGCACTAGAAGGAAATGAAATAATAAAAAGAAGGAAAAAAGAACAAATTCCCTTAAGCTGTGTAACACGACACAGTCCCTCAGAGTGAATGGCGAATAATACGTACCCACATGCAAATCTGTGACGCGGTGCGGTGAAAAGCAAGTCAGCTTCATCCGGGCGGGTCTCGGGTCGATCTCTCTCGGCGCTACATGCAGGGTGCTGCTCACCTCAATCATATGGTTCGCTTCCTTCCACGCTCTGTCGCCAAAGCCGAGGCTATCGAAGATTTCTAGACTTCGACATTGCAAGCCATCCGCCTGGCCGCAAAATATTTTGGCGTTTCGCTTGTCGATAATTCGTGCTTTGACCCCGCAGTGCGCCATCCAGCACGCCGCCATGAGTCTGAGCCCATCCAATGTTAGTTAGCCTCCGAAGGATGGTGGAGTTATTTAACTCGAGTCTAAATAAAGTCAAATTTCCCTTACCCAGCAGGACCTGCGCCGATGATGAGCCTATGAGTACTCCATTGTTAGCCAACCAAATCCTCTCTCTCTCCTCTTGAGATGGTGTGAAAGTTGGTGCGGTGTTTCTGCCTACACATCGACGTTGGATTCAGGGGTTTCGGGAGCGGCCATTGCGTGTCAAGATCTTCGGTTAATGGATTGGGAATCTTAGTTGGAGCAGTTATTAATACCAAACAATGAGGAACGGCAAGTTGGAATGTGTGAAGAGAGGGACGACACGGCCAAGATTTGGGGGGAGAACGGGAGAACTGCCATGCTTAAGAAACAGGAACACGCCCGTGTCCTGCGTCCTACCCTCCCCCTTTTCTCCTCCTTTCGCCCTACATTTCCCCTCCTGTTTCTACCTATAATTCCAGCAGTAGGGATTCCTACCCGCACTGGAGAAAACTCCCGATATCGTATGTTGCGAACCAACAGGTTGGAACCGGGAGTATGCAGTCCCTTTCCCCGACGGAAAACAAGAACAATTCTTGCCTTCCCGAGGATGGAGAGCTCCAGTGCCCCTCACTGCGGTTCCGAGGCCAGGTCTGGGTGGCCAGTCCGTGTCCACCAACGGCTTTTTAGTACGCGGGAGCTATCCGAGAAAAAGTGACCGGTAACAATAGAAAGCTCCATCAATCCCGGTCGACCATCCATTTCCATCCCGCTTCCTTGTCGACGTTGCACCCTGCACGACCAACAGAACAAAGTTTTTCTTTTTCGTTCTTTTCTCGGGGTAACCCAATACCTCGTTTCTGACAGGAAGCACTTGGCATTTTCGCTACGGTGGAGGTGGGATCATCCCCTGGGCGCAGGAATCGACAATCCTTCGAACCGCATTGGTGTTTGGTTCCCTGCACACTGCACGCAGCAGGATGTGTCGTGTCGTTTTGCTTGTGAGAAACGAAAAAAGGCCTTTTGCGAGTGCACGGACGAGCCGGGGAGGATGCAGGCTGCATTGCAGGCAATCTCTCCCATACAACCCAACCTCGGACACTTCCCCTGACCCGTGAGATGAAGCGTTTCTAAAGCATGTTGGAGATTTGACGCCAGTCCCTTTCAGCCATAGTGCAAATCACTGCAATGTACCTCGTAATTACTTTCGAATGGTTCGACATGGACACGGCACGAATGCAAAGCAGAGAAACGTTCCGGAAGACATGACTGGCCCATCTAAGTTTGCAAGTCCAAAGACGCTAATGCAATTGCTCAACAACCATGTCCCCAGCCTTTTCACACGTGAAATCGATGAGGAGCCCAGCCATCTCGTCGTGCACTAGTGCGCTTCCTACTTGGTGCTAGTTGTGGAGATTTAGTGCTGGGGCTGAATGATAGATCGCAGGAAAAATGGAGCCAAGGGTCAAACAGGGTCAACATACGTGGGGATAGTACCAGGCATACCCCTGCAAGACCGCGGTTTCCCCTCATGCTTTGTCTTGATGAGGAATCGAGTCTCGTCCACCGTCCTGTGCTTTTCTTGGGCTTTTCCATGACGATCGACGTGATTTTACTAGTTTAGAAGATGTCATTTTGGAAGCGAGAATGAAGGGCTCTGGCCCCTTTTTTGTTTTTGCAGCGGCTCGGCATTAATACTACCGACCCTGTCCACAATTCAGTTCGACAGGCTACTCGCTCCACCTCGAACACTTATCCCTTCCCCCACGGCTGGATAGATGGCCAAAGAATGAGGTAGACAAGCGAACCCAGATTTACCCAGATTACGCACGTTACACAGCCTGGCCCAGTGACAGTCAGTCAGTGACAGTACTTTCGTACAGTCGACAGGCAGGGCTGGTGACTCTGAGACCGCCACCGATATTTAGAGACCGAGGTTGCCATGTCCTCCTCTTTTGTTGCCATGATCATAGATCGAAGCCAAACATCACCCTCCACCTTTCCTCGAGGTGAAATTGGTGCACCAATCATGGCCAGCGATGGGCAGGCTTTCCTCCGCGAAGTCTGGGCCCTCCAGGCGACCGCATACGTAATTGTCAGCTTGCGGTACTATCAAAGAATCTCGACTCTCGGATGGCACAAGCTCGCCTGGGACGATGCCTTTATGGTTCTGGCAACTGTGAGTGAAAGGAAAATCCTCACATCTTCCCCCATTCCCCAAGCAGTCAATTATCTAGTGTCTACCTCTCCTAATCTTCTTCCTCCACTTCTTCTTTCTCCATATCTCTCCATGGCAAACAATCAATTAATGTTTATTGGAACTAGCTTGTCTACACTGCCGAATCCGTCGCCGCACACTTCGTGATCGCCTACTGGAAGGGCTTCGCGAACAATGCAATGACAGAGGAGCAGCGGGCCGCCCTCGACCCGAATTCCGAGGAGTGGAGGCTTAGAGTCAATGGCTCCAAGACGCATGTCATTGGCCTGCTCCTGTACACCACTCTCCTCTGGATACTGAAAGCTTGCTGGCTTGTTTACTACTTTCGCTTGACCGAGGGAATTCGCAAGATGCGCAAACTTGTCCGCTACGGCGTGATTATTATGCCCTTGACATACATTTCCTGCCTTCTCGTCGCCTTCTTGAAGTGTATTCCATTCGACCATCAGTGGCAAATCTACCCCATCCCGCCAAGTGAGTGGAGTCAAACTTTGTGCGTATTTCATGATCTTCATTACTCACTAGCCTCAAAGATCGCTGCATGCCAGCCATCTCCTTCATCCAGACCATCTACGTCATGGTCATGAATACTGTCACGGACTTTTATCTTATGGCTATTCCCATTCCAATCGTGTGGGGATCTCAATTGCCATGGAAGAAGAAGGTCAGGCTGGTCATTATGTTCAGCGGTGCTTTTCTGGAAATGACATTCGGCATTCTCCGATGCGTGTCAATCTTGACGGTACGTTCTCCTCAGACTTATCCTACCAATATTCTCATTTGGCCGCCAACATCTGGTCTCTTAAAATACAAGATCAATTACTAACAGCTCCATCGTAGGTCGGCGACAAGGATCCGGCACAGTCCGGGTATTGGTCTGTCCGTGAATCATTCGTCTCCTTCACCCTAACAAACCTGCCGATGATCTACCCCATCATCAAGAAGTATATTGATAAGGGCACGACCAAGGGCTCATCAAACATGAACAGTCACCCACTCGGCCAGTATCCCCGCAGCGCGATGATCTCCAGTGGACCGCGCTCGAGGCCCAACGACACGGCGTGGGACTCTGAGGAGCATATTGTCGTCAGCTCGGACCAGAAGATGGCCTCGAGTGAGGACGGGTCCGCCAAAGGCGTGGAAATATCCTCAGACCGCAGGACGTCCGGAGCGCGGCAAGGGGGCCAGTCCGGAAGGCACATCGTTGTTACTACCGAGGTCACTGTTCAGGAGTCAGCAGCGAAGCATGACGATCGTATGCGTAATATCGATCACTTCTAGACTCTTCTTTCTGTTTTGTTTCTTTCATCATCGGTGGACCATTGTAACATAGGTGTCTCGGGACAATTTTTGGTATAGGCGGCAGCGGATTTGATATCCGCTTCGTGACTAAAAAGCAAATATTTAGAGAAAAAATTAATGTTCTTGTATAGTTGTATTTTAGGATTTAGAACAATAATTAATTTCCCTTCCCCTGTTTGAAGATTGGGTGCCTTCGGTCGTACTTCGTACTTCATGAGTTCTGTCGTTCCCTCGGCAAGTTCACTGCTACGGTTTCATCAGTACAGGGGCCGACCTGGGTCGAGGGTGGCAGGGCGTGGATGCCAAGAATGCTTCATCATCTTGGAAAGGAGAAAGGAAAAACCGTGTACTTTTCATTCACCGAGTTCGACGTTGGTCAGAAGAAGTCTACATCAGGTTGTGACACCGAAGACTGTCCTGACTTTGGCCGAGGTAAGAACGGTCGTGAATAGACCTGGCGCTAGCCCAAGGCCAAGAGCACATCTCGACAACGTCGATCAAACGGCGACCGTTCCGAAGGTGTTGCTTTGTACTACCACTAGTCCCCCGGATCCGGTGAATTGCCATCCCTATTAAGTGTTACTAGTGGTCGATGACGGAGGGCGTACGCAGTCTCAGCTCTTACTCCAGCAAAGTGAGAAGCTCCCAATTAGTAACAGCACCGTGGTGGTCTCCATATACGAAAGGTATGTCGATAAATAATAGCACACATCGTCAATATTATAAGATCCGGTATTATATCCCTGCCATTGCACCAGGATATGGCGTCAATGATCATCATTCATTACAACAACGCCCTTGGCTTGTTCACCCTCATGAGGTCGCTGGGGTTCTGTGGTAGAAGCCTCTCTTGCTTGAACGGTCGCCTGCGCGTTCTCGAGTAATTGTCGGATTCTAGCCCGCTCTGCTTTCTCCGAACGGTAGCAGGCTCTGCACATATAACAGCACGACAAAATACCCAAAAGGAACTGAGTGGGGCTGTTACAATTCTGTCAGCGAGCGACGGCAGAGGCCAAGGGCGAGAGAGGTACACCTACATGCAGATAAGCATACTAAGAAAGGGGATGGACGCCCACGGGCCTGAAAGCTCGCCTTCGGCCTTTGCGCGAGTTTCGGGTGTCCATGGTGTTCCATCCGGCTGCTCGCTTCCGTATTCAAAACCGTACCCAATGAACAGGAAGAAAATGAGGCCGGGGATACCCCAAGCAACGGCACCAAAGTGTAAGCATGCGAGGCAAGGTGGAGCGGTGCGACCACAGCGTCTCGATTTTTCTCTGGTGTCGAGGAGACCTATCACATCGAAAGTGCTGAGGAAAATGATCCAGATACACTGAACCGCCAAGGAAGAGATTAGCTATGGTTCCTAGTGTCATAGTCTTGGAGGCCAACCCTGATGAGGCCTGCGTGTCCAAGGACGTACCGCTATATACGCTGCCCAAACGTACTCGGCGGTTTTTCTATAGACGACTTCTTTTGACGTCCAGATTAATCCCACAATGGCTGCACAGGCGGCCCCTATCGATAATAGATGCAGGAGCACCTGGAGGATGCCGATCACTGAAGGAACTCGGGACCGCATCGTAGCCCGTCATCGACACGATGGTTGGGTGTCGACGAACAAGAAGAAGATTGTTTCCCAGTACGGTCCCGCGGATGTGATGATGTTTATACTGCATCGACTCCATCGAGGGAGGATTTCCATATGCAGGGTGCAGACAGCGCACGTGGGCATCGACTTCAAAAAAAAATACGAGCGATGTAACAACCCGTTTTCACGATAGGGAGCGGCGCGGCTGTGGCGCAGCAGAGGTTTGGTTGTATTGCTCAAGCGAAAGCAGGTGGCATTAATTACTGTTTCCGTTTCATCGTGGCGCAGCTGTGGCATCGCCATTCCGTATCAACCGATAAGAAACAAAAGGTCCATCGATACGATGGATAAAATGTAGTTTATGATCGTTCTTGCGCGTTTGGTTCCATCGATCTCGCCTTTGATCTATTTAGCCGCGACGTGCATTCGAACGAAAGAGGCTCATGTCCAGTCCAACAAAGATGTTCAAGTTAGAGGCTGTGTAACTTCGGGGAGATGATCGAAAAGTGACGTGGCAGCCACAAGTCGCGTCGATACCGTCGAAATCCCAAAGTATTGACATCTTCCGACTCTGGGAGGTGGACGAGCATATTGTCTTACGCCTGGCATCCATAAGAGCGCGGGGCCTGGAAAATGACGGTGTTTCGGCCCAGCTACCTGCCCCTATGAAAGTTGATTATCAGCCTGTCCGCCTCCTTATCCGAAGTTCCCTTGGAGGTATTCATTCTTGTTCCGCATCTGAATGAAAGGGACTGCAGTGTATGCCATGCTTATCGGAACGTGGGGGTAAATAAACTTCCCCGTAGGAGGATGTACGGGATCTGGAGACGATCGTTGGTGGTTCGGCTGACTCCCGATCCCGCTTCTGCGTTTATCCCATTTCCCGGGGCTACCAAAACCCGGTTTTGATGCGGCTTTTTCCTCCTGGCCTAACTCTCGGAGTAGCAATGGTTTGGCATAAGCAGCGGCTGGAAATGGCCCTCGAAGGGAGTTCGCAAATGCAACGTGAAGCCAAGCTCCACCTCAATCGCCCGATCACGACGGTGGCAAATCGACGGAGACTCAGAGTTCATCAGGAAAACATTATCAGGAACCGTCGACGGCACGAGACAATTTCAGCGAGCGGAGAACGGCAACATGAAGATCTCTCATCGGACTCCGCGATTCCCGTCCCTTAGATTTGCCATGCTCTCCTGCGATTACAACTTCTCCTATGTCCGCTTGCTTTGAGGCCGGCGGCGGACCTCGGTAAGGGTCCAGAGCAGCGTCCAGAGCGGGGCCGGAGTCCTAAGATCACCGACGGACGGCCTAAATTTCGCGTCGATCTGCTCCGCGTTTGCCATTTCTGGCAGCAGAAAGCGACTAGTTTAGCAACCTCCTGAGTGAAAACGGATTGATCAATCGCATGGACATCTCTTCCCGCCGCCATCCCTCGCGTTAGTGTCTGTGACAATGCGGTACGACGCGGAGAGAAAAGACCTTCATTCGAAGCAAAAATGCGGGGAAGCCCCATCGTCCGTCCAGATTCGGGCGACGCCCCAAGCACTAATGTCGATACCCGAGGCATGGTTTAATTACATGTGACCTTTTATCGAACGATTCACCAAGTTTAAGGAGTTGCTTGAACTGGGGACAATTGCTCAACATAAGTTGCCCACGTATAAAGTACAGCTTCATTTAAGAACTAATCACACTTCTCCTCCCGCTTAGCATGTCGAGGGAATGATTTGGTTCGTTCTTCGTGCTTGGAAACCTGCCGCCATTACTTGTCCTAGCCAACCACGCGCAGCTTGTACACAATCATGGCTTCAACACAAGATCCAAAGAACGCGACTTACAGTCAGTTTGCTTGTATCGGAGCCGGTGTCTCGGGAATTGCCCTTGGCGCAACGCTACAGAGGTGGTATGGCATCACAGATATCCGCCTATTCGAGCGGCATCATGACGTTGGAGGGACATGGCTAGCGAACGAATACCCAGGTGCGTGATTCCGCCGGCCGGCAATGGGTTTGCCTAATGATGCCATGTTCAGGCTGCGCATGCGATATACCGAGTGCCCTATATAGCTTCTCGTTCGAACCGAAGGCGGACTGGACCCGAGTTCTCCCATCCAATGAGGAGCTCTGGCTGTATATTAAAGGCGTTGCTGAAAAGTACGATTTACTGACCAAGACGTCCTTCTGTTCCACCGTCGAGAGGTGTGAATGGATACAAGACACCAACCGCTGGCGCCTTCACGTCCGGCACGAAGCCGGCCAACTTTTCAATCATGAATGCCAGTTCCTATTCAGCGGTTCCGGCATACTCGTCCATCCGCGAAAGCTAGACGTCCCAGGCGCCGAGACTTTCAAGGGACCTATTTTCCACTCGTCCCAGTGGCGGAAAGACGTGGACCTCACCGACAAGAATGTGGTGCTCTTCGGAAACGGGTGTACCGGCGCGCAGATTGTTCCTGCTATCGTCAAGTCAACTAAACACCTCACACAGATTGTCCGATCGAAGCATTGGATCTTCCCTCCCATAGACGGACTCAATTCGAGGTTAATAACCCTCGTAAATAAGCTTATACCCGGAAGCATGCTTCTCCAACGGTTCGCGGTCTTTTTAGTAGCTGAAAATTCTCTGCGAGGGTTCGCCATGACGAAAGCAGGCACCCGGTTCCGGAAGAAAAAGCAAGCCAAAGCTGAAAAGTACATGCGATCAACGGCACCCGGAAAGTACCACGACATTCTGATCCCGGACTTTGAGGTCGGTTGCAAGCGGCGAATCTTCGACTCCGGATACCTCGAAAGCCTACACGAGCCAAACCTGCTCTTGACGGATGAGCCCGTTCTAGAAATTGTTCCAGAGGGCGTCCGAACGAAGGACCGTGTCATCAAAGCCGACGTTATCGTTCTCGCCAACGGCTTCGATACTAATAACCCGTTGGCCGGTGTTGAAATTGTTGGTCGCGACGGCGTAGAAATTCGGCAGCATTGGGATTCCTTCGGCGGAAGCGAGGCGTACCAGTGCTCGGTGCTTAATGAATTCCCAAATTTCTTCCTAATTCTCGGTACGTTTGAAGGAGATAGTCCTTTTATTTTTATTTTTATTTTTATTTTATTTTTATTTTTATTTTTATTTTTGTTTTTATTTTTTACTTTTTTTTTATTATATCTATAACGTCAGTAGTGAAGTGATGCTAATGAGTGGACTCTACTTAGGCCCTAACTCCGCCACGGGACATACCTCGGCGATAATGGCAGCAGAAAACTCCATCAACTACGCTCTTCGTGTCATTAAGCCGGCGCTTGAAGGAAAGTGCAGCACTGCTGAGGTGAAGATGGAAGCAGAAAAAGCGTGGGTGAGCCGAGTCCATTCGGCCTTGCGAGAGACAGTTTGGTTCTCCGGCTGCCATAGCTGGTACATTAAGGATGACGAGAAAACTGGTGAACGTTGGAACGCCATGAGTTACCCGTATTCACAGGCGTATTTCTGGTACGAGAGCTTGTTCCCCAAATATCGTGACTGGACTTATACGGTAAGTTTCCGATGTAGTTGAAACATGAACCCCTGATGACTTGAGCTAGGATAGCCACGTGTGCTAACCGAAATGTAGGGTCCATCATCCACATCGTCCATCCGACGCAAGACCCATTGGAAAAAGCTGGCATTGCTCCTGGCGATAGGTCTGGGAATTGGCTGGTCCAAGAGAGCGTTACTTTTGAAGGTATACCTCGGGTGGCGCCAACAGGGGCTCTCATCGGTCTTGTCTTCCATTCGCCAACAATAATTATGAACGGCGATGACCTCGACGTCTGATACAGTTTTGAAGGAGTCGGATCAGATATCAACCTACCATATTCTTTGTGACATACCCCAAATGTATTTACTACATTCCGCGGCTTGGCCTTGTTCAGAGCAAGCCACGACGTAATATCATCCGTGTATATAAGATCAAGCCTGGCCAGTCTGAATTTTACTAGCCCCATTCTCCCCAGTAATCAACATGACCTCTGTACATGATTTGTAGAATACTGTCACTCCTATAATTCGACGTCAAGCGAGCTGTCTAATTGTAGTGAATAGGAAATGCTGCCCATGTTTTAGTATCGGGGCTGGGATATATTAGTCTCACTCCTATTCATCATCATTCCTAGCTCTGTGAGTGTTGAGTGTACGGGGAAACTTCTGAGGCATTCCTTCCCCTGGTGTATAATTACGAGGTAGCAACTACCAAGGCAATCACTCAACTCCGTACTCATGTCCCCGACGATCAATGCAGCTGGAAGCAGAAGAGGACGAAATGAAGGACGCGATAGACGAACAAGTCGAGGGTATTTTGGGTCAAGTAAATAAAATATGCAATTAGTTAAGATAAGCTTCTGAAATAAACGGGCAAATAGCTTAGTGCGAGAGCTTCGCCTGTTAAAAACCTGTCATCGCCAGTTCTCTAATAATAAAGATACTCAGGTCCCTTTCTAGCGGTTCCCCCTTCTCACGTATTAGTTCGATTCTTCCAGATTTGCAGTGAGAGGGTCACGGGCGATAATTTATTGGCGGTACGAGCCAAGTGGGTGGCGGGAAAGCGAAGGCGAGATTTATGGTCATGATGTTGACATGGATAAGTAAAAAAATGAAAAGGGGGGGGGGGGGGGGGGGTTGATGGAATTTGCTTTCCCTAGTGTTTTTTCTTGTTTGCAAGAAACGGCTCTTGAGGGGAAAGGGGATTTTAGATCTGTTTTACTGTTTACATCTCCACCAGGCTTCGGCTCTTGACACGGCCAGTCGAACTGGAGGGGATCGGCCTACGAAGGTAGATATGAATATATTGTGCGGACCTTCCTCCCGGTTTTTCCGTGCTGCGTCGCCGAACCGAGTTATCATGATCGCCAACGACGCTCACGTGCCATGTGATACGCCAATAGCTTCGGAAATCTCTCGGGGAGTCCAGAAAGGGCTTTCTGCTCTCCACTTAGATGTTGGCAATGTAGCAGGACGGGTACTGCCCCTGGGATTTGACATGCTGGGGCGACAGCCGTTTTTAAGTCCCGAGAAGAAAACAGGGTTGAAACTCAATCGAAGACAAGATAAATCCTATGGATTTGCTGCAGAGCAAGGGGTGCGCGAGGGACAGTGGGGAACCAATAACGCGAAGCCTCGGCACTAGTCTACTTGCCGACTTTTAGAGCCGCTTAGGGTGGCTGCGCCAAAAGGTGTGTGAGATCCTACGCAATCCAGCACATAAGAAATCTGCGAGTCTGCGGGGTGCACTAGCGCCGTGACTCGGACCCAAACATTGGAGGGCTAAAGGAAAGCAAACAATGAAAAGACGCGGAGAGGCGATGCCCGGTGAGAGGGGGAAGCTGGGGTCCTTGTTGGGGGTCCTGGGGTACTGCCGGGGTACGTACCAGGGAACTGGGGTACTGGGTCGGGGTCGGGATTTTCTGGCCTTATCGCAAAGTACTTAAACTCGACCAACTCTCTCTCATAAACAGAGAGAAAGAGAAGGATTATCTCTGTTGTGCAGAGCCCCCAATTGATTGCCATTCAACTCCAGGAATACAACGGGTTAATTCAATCGCAGACAATGGCTATCGCAGAATTGCTCGTCTCCCCGTGGGCGCCCGCGGGGTTGGTCGCCGCGGTGCTGGCCTACTACATCATTCCATATTTCGCCACATTCGGGGACCTTCGAGACATACCGGCGCCGTTCCCTGCGCAATTCACCAATCTCTGGTTGCTCTCCGTAGTGAGGCGAGGCAACAGATACGAGGTTGTCGATAAGATGCACAAGAAGTTCGGCAAGGTCGTCCGCATCGCCCCCAACCACGTGAGCATCGCCGATGTCAGCGCCATCCACTCCATCTACGGCCACGGAAATGGCTTCCTCAAGTCGTAAGTGCCTTTGATTCTATTCGCTACACTATGTGGCAAAAAGTTTGCAACCCCCCCTGCCCAAGTCTCGGTTTTTACTGGTTAGCCTGGTTGCGTTCTTCCTCCAGCCTTGCAAAATGTTGCAAGGGGGGTTGCAAACTTTTTGCCCCCCACTGTACATCCGGTTGAGGTCGCTAATGTGCGGCCAGCGATTTCTACGATACCTTCGTCTCGATTCGACGGGGTCTCTTCAACACGCGCAACAGGGCCGAGCATACCCGCAAGAGGAAGCTCGTCTCCCACACCTTTGCTCCTAAATCCGTCCTCGAATTCGAGCCCTATATCCACAACAACCTCGAGCTCTTCGTGAAGCAATGGGATAGGATTGCCGCTACGCCTGCCGCTGATGGTGCCGGCAAGTTGGATTGCCTGTCATGGTGTTCGTTTATCACCTGCCAGCCTTTACAACTCCCACTCTAATTGGATTTTACTGACGATATGGGTCAATGCAGTCAACTACCTGGCATTTGATGTAATTGCAGATCTCGCCTTCGGAAAGCCATTTGGTATGTCAAGTGTGAAAGGGGGAGAAAAATTTTTCCATCCTGAAGCACCAAGTGACATCAGCTGACGATCTTCCTTTTAGGCATGCTCGCCTCTGGTGCAGACATCGCCGAAGTCAAGGCGAGCCCGAACAGCCCCGCCATCTACGCCCCTGCCGTTGAGATTATGAACCGCCGCGGAGAAGTTTCGGCCACTCTTGGCTGTCTCCCCCAGTTGAAGCCCTATGCCAAGTGGCTCCCCGACCCTTTCTTCAGCAAGGGTCTTCAGGCGGTTGAAAATTTGGCTGGTATTGCCATTGCGCGGGTCAGCGAGCGGCTTGAGCGTGGCGCCCCACCGGATCGGAAGGACCTTCTCGCCCGCCTGATGCAGGGTCGCGATGAAAAGGGAGAGCCTCTTGGTCGGGACGAGCTAACCGCCGAGGCCTTGACCCAGCTGATCGCCGGTAGTGACACGACATCGAACTCCTCGTGCGCCCTCCTCTACAACGTCGTTAGAACTCCCGGTGTCTTGGAAAGGCTCCAAAAGGAGGTTGACGAAGCCATTCCCGACGGTGTTGCTGTCCCCACCTATGAATCTGTCAAGAACCTTCCTTATCTTGGCATGGTCATCAACGAAACCCTACGATTCCACTCTCCCTCCGGCATTGGTCTTCCCCGTGAAATCCCTCCCAACTCCCGCGGAGTCACCATCCTCGGACGTCACTACGGACCTGGCACTGTCCTCAGCGTTCCAACCTACACGATCCACCACGATCATGATATCTGGGGACCCGACGCCGACGAATACAGACCCGAGAGGTGGGAGTCGGTCACCGAAGCTCAAAAGGCGGCATTCATCCCCTTCAGCTATGGTCCGCGCGCCTGTGTCGGAAGGAACCTTGCCGAAATGCAGATGAGGATGTTTGCGGCGACGTGGGTTAAGCGCTATGGCGTCTTCCTCCGACAGCCCGTCATGGAGACCCGAGAGGGATTCTTGCGTAAGCCAATGGGGCTCTCGGTGGGAATTACGAGGCGCTAAAGGGTGTCGCGGGGGATGAGGAAAGGCTGCGGTTGGCAGGGGGGAGATTGTACAGTCCAGTTGGAGAAATTGGTGAATTGGTGTACCAAAACAATTATCAATGGATGGAGTTATCTTTACGCGATATCTCTGGATCGCCACTTTCGATAACACGATGTAATTATGAGGCAATATAATGAAATCTGATGTTGGGACGTTCATTGATCTCTCCACCTGTGAATGGCGACCGGTTGCCTCGCCCAACTCCTCCCCAATTAACAAATTCCAACCACGATCAATATTGAGACTTTGAACTGTGGGGGGGTTCTCCAATAATGGGGCAATCAATCAATGCATCAATTGACGTTCTGTACTGTCTGTCCACCACCCTAAACCTCCTTCCTGTTGCGTCTAGTGAGAAAAAAGCCTGATGTCTCCCGATTTCATGAGCCGGTCCACACCTCCTTCGGTGCGGCGACCTGTGCGACCCTGCACCTGCACAAGGATTAACGCAATTGATTTGACTTGGCTCCTTTCCTAGTGGTTCGCCTCCACCAACACGACGCTTTGCACCCCGCATCCGCCTCGACGGGCATAATTCGGACTTTAGCCAAGAACACTAACAGAATGGACTAGTCTACCTCTCCCTGCATCGGAGATCTTAACTTGGACTTTTGACGTAGTGAAGGACAGTAAGACCGGCGCTAAAAGGGGTCGGCGGCAATTTTTGTCGGGAAGTGAGTCTATTTTAATACAGTTCTTGCTATAAAATACAAGTCTTCGGTCATGGCGTCTTAATCCGGCGGTCCCGCCGAGCCGGGGCTTCTGTTTCGTTCATTCATTTTATCGCTCACGGAAGACGATGTTCGGAAGCCTTTTCGGCATGCAGATACGGACTGTGCGGAGAGAATACATTGCCGCATGGTCTTACCGGCCAGATGCCAGGGCCAAACCACCAGACACAAAGGTGCGTGTAGAGGTGTGTTGCGTTTGGTTATTATCTTGAATTGCATACAACGCGATACAGCTTAGTACACCAATCCTTACTACTCAATCCTTTGAAAGAATATCGAGATGTACACCGGGCCAGTTTGAAACAACGCTCTTTCCAGCAGGGAGAGCTAATTGCTCCTTCGAAGCTATCCCACTTCCCAATATTGTGTTAATATTCCCTTAAAATGTCAAATTTACTTAATATTCTGTGATACATTAAATTCTATTTCTTGTTTATCGTTTCACTGTCGTATTTCGCTTGGAATGCGGTCATAGTATCTTGTTGCTCAAGGTCGAGCCGTTTCTTGTTGATCGACCACCAGGACTGGCGGAATGATGATCGTATAGCCTCGGGATTATTTACCCAAGAAGATATGAATGATACGTGAAAGATAATTCAAGCCGTGGGGTTTGTGTTGAAAATTCGGGCATGAGAACGGACCGGTGGAACTTGATCGGGAGGGATGCATCCGACACCATATCCGAGCCGAAGAACCGGCTTCGGCTCCGAGAGAGAGCTTCAATCTTGAAATCAAGGGTACATTTCGGAGGAAAAATAAGGCAATTGCTTGATAGAATCGATCTACATTTTGGTAGAAACATTCAATGAGCATCTCATGTCATCCCTATGTCACCAAGACCTAACTAAATGATGCCGGAACTGGATGGCGGGATATTTCGCCCATGTCACGCACTTTCATATCCGTGGGTGGCATTCCTTCTCAAATCCAACATGAAGCTGCACTCCAATCATGGACAATAACAATGCAGTGCATAGTATCATTCATGTATCCCTTCCCGATAACTTTAGCAGTGATGCAATTTGACGCTCAAGACCCCACTTGTGAGCACCAATCTGCGGGAATCAATAAATCCGTTCATTACTTCGTACTGACGACTTAATGCATCAGATAAAGGAGCTTCCACTCGATTTTTCTCGAGTCCACTAGAAGTTCACTCATCCAAGGAAAACGGACCTCTCCAGCCCAACCATACGTCATCATTATCGCTGCCCGGACGAGATAGATTATCTGTCCAATCGTCACAGGCTGACCTCCATAAACCGCATTTAATGCGGTGTGCTGCAGTCCCCGAGAAAGCACAGAGTATTCCATAAGAAGGACAAGATTGGATTAGCGAATCGTCTGTTGGTCAATATTCGTGCGGTCTGAGCTAAACTATCCAACGAGGAGAGAAGATCGTCCAACAAACCATTAAACCGACTTATATTTTGTGTTAGCTACTTGGCATGCCCTCGAACACTTCTGCCTGCCTCATCAACCGCTGTTCTTAAGCCCGGAAGTAGTGGCGCTGAAATGCATTCACTCTTCGTCTATAACTGCTTCTTTCCAGACACCGACGCAGCCACGGTCGTCCTAGTAGGCGATTACGCATATGAATGTCCTGGGAGAAGACACGCCTCACGTATGTCACGGTGTATGCCGCGATGCGTGGGTGGCGCCTTCTTGACATTACATGGCGGTTGATGAATCTAGGCACGCGGCGCTATTAGGCGAATAGCTTCTGTCAAGCTTTCTACCATTGGCCACCGGCGTCAAAGAATTGTGTCTATACCCGGTCGTTTTTTGCACGAATCGTTATCGATTCTCTTGCGCCACATCCAACCAGGCGGAGGGAGACGAGGTTGGGAAGGTCGCTTGTCTTTCGTTTGGCAACCCTGAGGCAAGTTTCCCTCGGGTCAGGGTGCACTCTATCTGTAGCCAGAAGGAAGAAACTGGAGGACTTGCCAAGTGCACTCTCCAACGAGGAGCTGTCGAGGCTCAAGGCGATCGAACGTGAGTATCTCGGACTTCCCCAGGAGGCGAGGCCACTGTTCACAGACAAAACCAGTCAGAATACCCAAGCTTCGAAACCTGGCCGCAACATTCGCTGAGATCCTACTTTCCTCAAATCTACTGAAACTAGTAGATTTCTGATAAGGGCTGTCCTTCGGGGCCACCTTGTTGTCGACGATTCAAAGATATCCCCACCCTCAAAAAGCCCGCGATGAGTCCTTCCAAGATTGCTGCCGCGTTCTGCGTCCGGCCAGCGGTGTTCAGGGAAAGTATCGCATTGTGTTTAAATCGTCGTTCCCTTTAATCGGCGTTTTTTCTGCACGGGGCTGATTGTTATACTTAGCACCAAGGCTGTCGTGTCTCGATGCCCATCTCGCAGCAGTGTTCCGGCGCTAGTGAACATGGATTGGGCTTATAAGACCAATCTAGACACACAGCTAGTACATACGACCATAGCTCGCAGAGAACTGAGGGTCCCGTTCGCTCCCCTGTACATAAGCTGCGAAGCGCCAGACTAGTAGTTGGGTCGGTGACGACCAGCGAATCCCTGGTGTTGTATGTTTTTTTGCCATCTCATTGTTTTTTCTTCTTTCGTTTTTTGCCCTTCTTTGCTGAGTACACTTGTGAATGTAGCCAGAAAACGAGACGCCGCGCCAAACTCGAAGGTTCTCGGAGGAGTGTGACGCTGTCCCCAATGCGCGGCTGAGTGGGTATCTTAGCCATCACGTCGGGACATGTTTCCCGGCGCCTGGTCGGAGTGTTCGGAGTTACCCATTGGATATGGTTTGCGTTGTTATCCTAATGGCATTAGCAGGCAGACTCGTAGACGGTGGCTTTTTTTGCACCATGGTTGAGTTGAGAGTCCTTTGTATCACAGAGGCGTTGAAGAGTGGCGATGCCAGTTTCACTAGAAGAGGCTGATCAGGTTCTTGTACTTGGCTATGGAGAGGATTCCATCCTTGTATTTTCTGGCTCGATCATGAAAGCCCGTTTGGCTCTTCTTTAGCCTTCAATGAATCAATACATTCTTCGACCATTTTTTTTTTCCACTCGCTATTCTTACACATACATGGCACCCTCGTGGAAAGGCCCATAGATAGGACGCACCTATTTGGTTACTTTCTTCGCAAACTGGCTATCGGTGACCAGCCAGGTCTCGAAGTCTTTGAGCCCTGGGTGAATTTTCCTGACCTCCTCAATATTGGCCGCATAACCAATATCGTAGAACCAACTGAACATGTACCCCATATCCTTCACAGCCCAGGTCAGAAGAGAGCAGATAAACTGGTAGGTCCATGGAAGATCCTCTCCAGTGTGCTTCTTGAAAATCTCACCGGCCTGGTCAATAGTCAACTCATCGCCCGCAAGGGAGATGGCACGATTCTTCCACTGGTCCGGGCGAAGGAACGCCTGAGCTGCGACGGCACCAATGTCATCAACAGAAATCAACTGAAGTGGCTTTTCCTTGACGGCCATCTTCCAAGTCGTCACGAAGAATCTGCCGAAGAAGTTGTCCGTGAAATTCTTCATGAAAGCGACAGGGCGAAGAATGGTCCATGTCATCTCGCCATTCTTGGTGCTGTCAATTAAGTGTTTTTCGATCTTGTGCTTGCTGATAAAATGGGGAACATTGGTTGGGTTGTCGATGGATGCATCTCCGTGGCGGTCAACGGAGGTGTAGACGAAGTGCTTGACGCCGGCTTTGAGAGCCGCGTCGACAAGGTCTCGTCCTTGCGTGTATTCAGCGTCTGCTCCGCTGGTAAAGCCCATTACAACCTATATTATGTAGACTATTTAATGTTCGTCCGGGATTTGGGAGGAGTGAAAATCATTGGAGATTGGATATACCTGGACAGAAAAGACACCCCAGACCGGACCTCCGGCAACTGCTTCCGCCGCGTCAAAGATTTTTGTTGGATCCGCCAAGTCTCCTTGGATGAGTTTGATGTTTGGAGACTTTTGTACTAGGCGCTGGGCGGACGGTGATTTCTCGTCCCGAGTAAGGGCTAAAATTTCAAAGTCCGCGTTCTCTCGGATCAACTGGTTGATGAGTGCGCCCCCTTGCTTGCCAGTGGCACCACAGACTAGAATTGCTGGGGCCATCGTGAAACTGGGGTTTTGCGATGAAGAAATAACGAAAGACGTGCTCTCCGCGGTAGCGAATAGGATTAGATGTTAGGGAGAATCTTTAAATACGAGATAGTGTAGAAACCTGCATCTAGTGAAGGACTGCGTTTTATGTCGTCGTTGATGTGGCGTGCCTCTCTAGAAGGCGAAATGGGACCGTCGATGTCGAATTGAATTGATGAATCAGATCATGGTCAGACACATAGAGCTGGTGTGTCTGGGATTGGTAAGCCTTATTGACCAGTTGGAGATCACAATTGAAGCGCGTCGGAGTTCCGCCAACCAGACGGTCACTGGCTTCGCGTTCGAATTAGCCTCTTTCCTCAGGCTGATCCCGCCCAGCTAATGAGCCATCGGTCATGTTCTTGAAACTACTCGCCTAATCTTAGTTCACAAAGGAAATCTATCGAGGCTTCAATGTTCCTTTCGATGCTGGCAATTGAGCGTTCGGATGTGTAGGATGAGGCTCGATATCCAACCGAGCAGAATTGAAAAACTCAAATTCAGGTTGGAGAAAGCGTTCATGGCCGACTTCCAGGCTATATCTCGCGTTACTAAATACGACCAACCCGTCACATATTAGACAATCGAACTAAGATCTTGAGCGGTATCCATGCTAAGGGAAAGTTAATCTCCGCTCTAGCCAGCTGCCGCGGACTCAAACCAGCGTGTAGATTGCCGCGGCGTCTTAGGCGGCTGGATATCATATTCTGATCTCCAGTGCTCGAAATAACTCGGAATTCGACGGGCCACTGTAGTGACTGCATTGATATTTCATCATCCTGACGATATACACGTTCCCGAGGTTGTGGTTTCTGCAACCCGCCTTTGTGAGTTGGCAAAGGACCCTGGTTATCAAATTCGAGTCTAGAGTTGACCTTACGCATGTCTCAATCGAATGGAAGGGTGTTGCCGTTTCGTTTTGCTAAGAACGACCTCTGTGAGCTCTCTTGATATAATGCTTAACTTCCATTGAGTATTGTTGGTGGGATTATGATATCGTTAGTGGAGGTAACCATATTTACCAGAGGTAACCGTATGAACCGTGGTTCCTTTCGCAAATCCGTGTCCCCGTGAGTCGATAACTTCGGTCTTGAAAGTAGTTCGGCCACAAGTCTCACCACATATGCCTGCAGAGGTGCTCGTGGAAAACTTCAATGTTGGTGGATATGATATACCTCTTCGGGTAGCCACTTTACGGCAGGACAACACAAACCCCCGCGGTTGGTGGTATCAAAACGGAGATGTTGCCAGGCAGTGTTAAAGAGTCTGCGTTTCACTCGCTAATCTGGAGGGTGGTTGGAATTGGTGCGCTAATGTGCTGCCCGCATCGACCGATACGAGATGAATGCCACGCAAGCTTTTCGCCCCGGAAACGTCGCATTATATGAACACGGCTTCTTCTTGGCATCTGCATTCTCCGGTTATGGATAACCCTGCTTTCGGTCGCCCCTTATTTTCCCTCGAGTTAGTTACCCTCATCGGCCCAGACCCATTTTCCCTCCAACCAACAATCTCGGTGCAATTGCGGATGGCGTATTGACCCCTGCACTGGAACTTAAGGCGAGGATGCGGTTCCACTACTGAGACACCGATCATATGTTGCCGATTTATATTCCGTTTCGGCCTGGTGGCCCTTACTTCCGCCAAGAAAATCCCAGACGACATCACACGAAATCAAAGAGTTAGGATGGCCCACCTATAAATTACAGAACCTTTCTTTGATGGAAGGTGGTGGCATAACCAGGCTCTTATGCCACAAATACATATCATTTTGGGCCAAACAGGAAGATTACCATGGCAAGATTTTCAGTATTCGCCGCTGTGGTCGCGATTGCCTCCCTTGTCCATGGACAATGTGGCTCGGGAACTCCCGACGCCAAGGTAACGGGCTCTGGTAATTCGTTCACGGCCACAAAGGGATCCAGCACAGTCTACACGGGCTCCGACTATCGCGCCGCTATCCAGGCCGCCCTCGATTCTATTAGCAGTGGCCAGCGTGTCTCCGTTATTGCATCAGGATCCATTGGCGCCAACACTATCTCTATTAGCAGCGGCAAGATTTTCGAGGGCTGTGGTACCATCAACGTGGGCAATAAGTCTGGTCGCGGTGCTATCGAGTCCCTGAATACCGCGGATGTTCAGATCCCGTACTTGACTATGACGGGCAATCCGTACTTTGGCTTACGGTTCTACGGCACGCGCAACCTCTCGCTTGGTAAAATCAACATGAATCTGAGCGGTGGTCTCGGCATCCGTTTCGACCGCGACCAAGCTGCCAACTCCAATGTGAAGATGGATGTCATTACCGTGACCGGGGCTGGTAGTCACGCAGTCGAGACCTGGAACATTGACGGCCTCAACATTAACCAAGTCATAGCGCGAAACGTTGGCGAGTCTGGATTGCTGCTCCAGAAAACCACAAACGCTTGGGTGGGGCTCGTCGACGGCGATAACGTTACTACTGGCACCGGATACGCGACTTTCCGCATGGCGAATAACAATGGGCAGAACTCCAACGGCAATTACAATACCAACGTCTATATCGATAAGGTTATTTCCCGCGGTGGCGGCCGAGGCGTTTTCTGCGTCTCACAATCTGGTGGTGTCGTAATTCAGAGTGTCGACCTGCAGAACAACGGCAACAACGCTATCCTCATCGAGAACTGCTATAACGTGTCTATTCGCGGCGGAACTGTTAATGGGGGAGGAGAAGTTCGGCTCGCGGCACGATCGGAGTTCCCCAACAACCGGGATATCTGGATTACATTGACGGTCAACAATAACTCGGTTAAAGAGTCTCCTTGTGGCACAAACATCAACTGGTCTCTCTCTGGAAATGCGAGCAAGAACATTTGCTAGGAAGTACCGTCCTACGCCCTGGCTCCGTTTGCCCTGTACTTCGCCGTCCCGGTTGCAGAAACGGATCTGTTTGGGAAGATTTCGGTGATGGGGGTAACTTACGCTTTATACTTCACTCTCTCTAGCTGTCCCATCATTTTTTTCATGCTGGGGATTTCTTTTGATAAAGGGCCAATTTCATACCTAACCTCTTTCGCTTTCCTCCAAGTTTCTTCATAACCAAAGACGCCTGGAGCCCTGGACTGTTTTACCAGATGTGATGTCTCCGCTACGGTGTTGGTTTTGAGGCTGTCTCGCTCTAATATGAAGAAGAAATACCTATTCTACTGTTACAAGATTCGCCCTTAGATGTTGACCTTGGTTCCGAAGACAAGGTGTCGAATCTGGCACTGCCCATGAGACGAGCGGCAATGAAATGGCAGGGGCTTGTTTAGTGCTTCATATTCAGAAATTCCAAAGGGAGTCTTGCCATCTATGTCTTCACAGCCACGGCCGATCTCGGGCTATGATTTGAAAATTAAGTCAGGAGTCTTTAAACATAGATCAAGTGAGGATTCGTAAAAGAAGAATTGCGTAAGGTACACCAGCAAAAACTGACAAATTTAGGTCTGCATTTTTCGGCGACTGTTGTCTCTGACTCAGAGATTTCTTCCTTTCAAGCGATTTGACTTTGAGTGGAGAGGCTCCCCCACCATTGCATATGCCAAGGCTCTGATACCCGCTCAGTTCACGGGGTGTTGGAAACTGATGCTCAACCAAAAACATCAATATCTTGGACGAGCAATTTTTTTCTATTGGCTTCGTGGAATGTGACCCGTGGCTGTCACGTACCCAGTTCGCTGCATCTGGCTTGCCCATCTCAATGTTGTAGTCATAACAACCTGGTGCATCAGGCATCAGGCAGCAGTGGCTGTCTGTTGGTCCCACTTTCCCGAGAAAATTCACAATCTGCCAAATCCAGTCCACGGAGCGACTCAATCTATCTTCAGCCATACACTAATTCAAGAAGAGAAGGGTCTGGATATAACATAGTAAGACTCATACCTTCTGCGAGACACTGCCAAGCAAATGGCTGATTCTTCCAGGGATATGACTACGTATCCTGTCTTCTTGGTGGAGTCTCTTGGGGCTCCGCGAAATCATCAATCCCTTCTCGTTGAGATTCATTCGAAGAGGGGGGCCATATTCCATGTCACAGGAAATATTCAAGAGGGCATGGTGTTCGAGGTCAAAGATACGGACACTCCCGAGCAGTGTTCGCCGACATTCATCTCGAGGTCCGAAATAGGAAAAATCTCGAGCAGCAAATTGAGTCTTTTCCAGCAAATCTGCGAGGGGAATCCTCCCCCCACCAAGCAATTTAACGGCCCCAGGCGGCTAGACCCGACCAAACCCCTCCGCCGCTGCCAGGAGTGGACCCTGGAGACGATCAACGCGCTGAGAGCGCAGGGTGTCCTCGAATAAGGCGTTTGCATGCTCTGGTTGACCTGGCACCTCTAGTCACTAAATCTACTCCACTTACAAGCTCAGCGCCCCGGAGTTCGATGGCATTTAGTCAACTGAATATTCATTGAAAGCCCCGGATGCTGGGCGGCAGGGCAGGTTTGTGCATGAGGGTTCCATTCTCGTGCTCTCACAGCTACCGCTAGTTTCTAGGATTTCCTGGCTTTGGATGTAGACCAAGTGCGCTCAAACCCGAAAATACCAAGTTCTCAAAGTCCATATTTCTACTCTAGCTCCATGCGATATTCCGTGAAGATAGTTTTCGCCACCGTGTCATACAATGCTCGGGCACGAGCATTGGTGTGCTTTGTGACCCAGTGGACGCGAGCGAAGTCGTTGTTTTTGGCCACGTCGCCAACCGCCTGTATCAGTTTGCGTCCCAGGCCCTTTCGACGAACCGACGGATCAACATATAAATCTTCGCGGAGGAGTCAGATCAGCTTGCCACCTCCGGTAGGTGGATGTTTTGCATAAGTCGCGCTTTCATCCAAACACCAATCTTCGCAAGATCGTGAGAAGAACTTACCATCAAGGAACAGAATCTTCTTTTCAATCCAAGTCGATTCCATAGGAAGGAAATGAGCAAAGCCAACGATTCTCGTTTTATCGTCTGAAACTTCCCTCATGACCAATGCTCCGAGGCCATTGGTCTTGTTGACGAGGCGGTTAAAGGTCTTTGTATACTGCTCATCGGGGAGGGAGGATTCGTAGAAGTCGATGTAGGCCCGAAACAAGGCGTTCCACTCCGCAAAATCGGAAGGGGTCAGATCGGTAATCTTGTATTCTGGAGTCGACGACATGTTTGATTGACAGGAGATGGGATTGATGATTGATGATGATGCCTGATTTCCGAGAGACAAGCTCTCGCAAGGTGGTCCTTATATAGTGAGTGCGAGAGGGATGCGGGGTGGATGAGGGAGGCCGATTTGAGTCACGATAACGCGTCGCTTTCAGCTCAGGCTTGGGATAGCCTTTAATGCCCCGAGTTGGATCTAGTGGGAAAGCACTTGCGTTATCTGCAAAGCACATGGACTAGCTTAGGAGGTGCAGGTGAAGGGGGCGGAGCGAGACCAGACGGGTACGGACTTCACAATGACAGCGCCACGCCCTATTGACATAATTCCGTCCCAAATAGGTTATAATCGCTCTAGCGCTTTTGGTGAAGCGGGGCCATGCTGGAACAGGAAGGTTTTTCCTTCACAACAAGAGAGTCTTTGGAGGGACAGACTCACCCTCCTTATCTCTGTTCGACTTCCCAGTCCTGCAATATATGCTCATCCTTCTGTCGGAGGGGCGGAGTGCCTGACTTGCAATTGTATTTCAATAGTATGTTCCAGGTGCTTGTCCGACACCTTTGTATAGCAAACGTAGGACAATGCAAGAGACGACCTGCTCACCCTCTCATTTGTGTTTGCACGGAATAAAGGCATCTTGTTTCTGTATGGAAGGTATATTATCGGTTGAAGATTCTATTTGAATATAATACAGATGGCCCCTCCTAGCGACGTCCCCAAGCGCCATGAAGAAGCCAAAATTTAGTATCAACAAGTCGGACACTGTCTCCAAAGAATGAAGTCAAGTGCATGGGTGACGAAAGCAGTGGAGGCTTCTAGGAGAAATGTCTAACACGATGTCCAGCAGCCCATACCCTATTTACCGGAAGACCGCTGGGTGAATGCTTCGCTTTGACACGAGCTGGTCCTCGAGCTCTCCACGTCTGTCCTCTCCGTCTTCCGCGCTCTGAGCTCGACCGATTTCCAAGGAATAAAAAGCAGCGCAAGAATGGTGGCAGCAGACAGGACCATGCCGATGAAGAAAAGCTTGCGGACCCCGGAAGTGATCGTTTCTATTGCGTATTGGTGTTCCTCAGGCGATGCTCTCTTCATAAAAGCGAAACTCTTCTTCGTAACGCTTGGTTCGAATTCGGTCGCTGGGTCGGATAAGGCAAGGAGCTCACTGTTGAAGAGTCTCTGGAACACAAAAATGAAAATGGAACTACCAATGGCATTCAGTGATAGCACCGACGAGATGCTATTGGCAACGTCAGCCGGGCTCACGGCCAACTGGGCACCGACGATTGCTAGTTGACCACCCATTCCCAAGCCAAGACCGTAGAGGGCTAAGTATCCGATCCACTCCAGCATAGGCATTTCTGATTCTAGGGTGAAGAGCATTCCGGCTCCTACGGATGCCAGGACTGTGGCCGTTATGACAAGTGGTGGCATGTAATGGAGACCCCAGACTCCCAAAACCGCTACTATGCTGGCAACGATAATAGCGCCAGTGATGGAGAGCATTCGTATCCCAGAATCCAAAATCGGGACGCCTTGTACAATTTGGAACCACATGGGCATCTACGAGGAGAAGTCAGCAAAGGAATAATCCGAGGTCAAGTCAAGCTTTGAGACCGTGGGGAGCTCGCCAGCTTACGTAGTAGAGGGCAAGTGATTGAGCGCTTGCAAAGCAGATGCAAATGAATAGGTAGGCAGTGACATGTTTCATCTTCTTCAGCCTCACGGGGAGAACGGCCGCATCTCCCTTGTTCGACTGCTGGATAAGCGCGTAAAGGAAGCTGGCTCCGAAGGCGATTAGGAGGACAATGATCCTTATATCACTCCATTTCCACCTCTCGCCTCCCCACTGAAGGGCAAGAAACAAACAAGTCAGACTCCCAGCGATGACGGAGCCGCCGAATAGATCGCACTGGTATAACTTGTCCCTGAAGCTCATGTCGTCCAATTCCTCCCTCGACTTCCAAGACAGGGAGAGCGGAAGACGTAGCGGGAAGAGCAGAATGAGAAAGGCCAGGGCGCCAGCCGGAGGATTTATCCAGAAACACCAACGCCATCCGAGGCGGCTTGTGATTGCACCACCGATGACTGGTCCAGCAGCTGTTGCCACGACCTCCAAGAGTAGCAATATGCTGCAGTAGAGGGATTTTTGATGGACGGGCGCTACCGAACCCATGATTCTTGGTCAGGAAGATACCGTTAGCGCTAGAAGAAATGAATGAAAAGCCGGGAAAAAAATGATCTCGACACCACTCACACCATCGCACCAGACATAATCCCGCCGCTTCCAAGGCCAGATACTGCTCTTCCTCCAACAAAAGTAAGCGAGTTGCGAGATATGGCACAGATCACAGAGCCCCCGGCAAAAATCAGTACCGATATGAACAAGGCGATTTTTGAAAATACGCCAGCGGCGTTCCCGAGAGCGGGCTGAGTGGCACCCATCACAAGGAGACTGGCTTCAGCGTTAATCGTCGCTCCTGATAAACAGGGACCTAGGCTGAGATTCGACTTACTATATAGAACCATACCAGGCAGCCTCCCGCAAAGAGTCAAACTCATCAACGAGGGTGGGCATGAGTGTGCCAATGATGGTACCATTCTTCATTTCCCAACAGACTGTTAGTGAAATTACATACTCTTATGAACCAGAGGCCATAGGCCTAGGTTTAGCTACCCGCGGGTGGTTGGCTCACCACACTAGCCGCAAGCACGGCCACAGCCAGGCCGCTCAGTGTTGTTATCCGAACAATGATGGATGGTTCTCGCGGTTCCAGGGATCTGGCTGTGATGGATCCGGTCGTTTCTTCCGATACTGGCGAGTGTAACGTGCTCCTGGAGTCATACCGCTGAGAGCGGATGCGAGCTCGGGAATCCTTCATCCCCATGGCTAGCGACCGAAAGTCCACCTGGCGTTGCAAATTAAAAGAGGCGGTGCATGAAGAAAATTCAAAATTGATTCGACTTTGAAGGCTTATATTATACTCTGCTCTGAAACGATCACGTTCTTCTCGACTCGGAGGGAACTGTGAGACATATCGAGCTCCACGCCGCGGCCTTTTCGCTCACACTGATGTCTCACACACTGGAGCATGAAATTTCCCACAACCATTAGCATGTTGACTTGAAATCGATTCATGGTTTCAGATGTGTTAAGTTCCATTGGCTACTGTCAGTGTTCACTTTCATAATATGCCCCCGGAGATCCGAACTTTTCCCCCGATAGATCAGGATACGCTCTTGGCATCCTACGCGGAGCTTTGCTCTATGCTTTTCACTCCGGCTACCCTTAAGAGGCCCCCACCCAGCGTTTATATCCTATCCACCTCGCCTCTCTTCTATGGCACCTCCAGAAGGCCGTCAGACCTCCACGTGTGCTTCCACGCCCTCGAAGGGTATGCCGCGGGACGAAAGAGACTGAGCCACTGTCGTACCATTGACACTTTTGTACGCAACAAGTGCTGTTGAGGCTTTCTTCATGTGTTCGTAAGAGCCAAGGGCCCCGCTTCCCAGGGCCCCACCCCGAATACGAAACGGAAAATACAAACTCTTTCCTTTCTAGTGTTTACTGCTGCATGCACTCCACTCCGTCTCGGTTGCGGCGAAAACGAAAAAGAAACGTCGGGCCAAGATGAACATGCCTGAACTGCCTCGGGTTTTATAAGCAAGGCCGAGAGATATATAGCTCATGAGTCCCGATCGGCACAATGGAGAGAAACCTCCCTTCAGAGGTTTTCTCGGACATAGGCAAGCATAGAAACAACGGAGACGAGAGTTACTAGGAATCGCTGCTCAGCCTATAAGGCTTTTATTCCTCAAGTTAGCCTTGGATAACAAGCGCTTTCCGAGGACGCGGGTGCAGTTTGATTCCATTCCTTACTCTCTTTCGATACATTCTACGTCTTTCAATTCTCATGTGGATCCCGCGAGTGATGTGGCTGTGCTGATCCCTGAATACGTGACCCTCTTTCGCACATCTCTCATAACAAGATGCTGGGGCGCGCGTGTGCCAAGTAGATGCCGACATCATCTGCCCGTGGACTGATCCGTTCTATGGTCTACCTATCGGCATTCCTCACTTCTCAGTCTCAAGGTCCCGTCGGGTCGACCTACTGGTCTTCGCCTGGTATCCAAGGCTTTCGAGGCGATCTCTGCCCTAGGAGGCCTACCCCTGGCAGTTTGGAGAGTCCGGCGTTACACAAGATCGGAGATCTTTGGATTGGCGCTGGAACCTGACGAGGGTCTCGTTCTGGGACGACCAATAGACGGGCGCAAGCCGTGTGAATTTATCAAGACTCCATTCTATACGCCTCCGCAACAAGTAGTGTATCTGGATATGCCGTGGTCATCGCAGGGTCACACTGGAAGTCGTATTTGTGACGGGGCGGCGATTTAGGAACTGAGGAGCTTCATGGGACTCCATTGGGCTTCATGCTAGGGGCCGTAGCCGTGCAAGGGTATATCGGCATTCCAAATGGAGATTGGTGAGATTGTTTAATATTGGGTGATGAGATACTATTCAAAAAGGAAGGCATCATTGTCCTTGGACATGCGGGCGGACCTTCAAGGAGCACACAGAATTTCTTAAAAACAAATAGAGACTATATTTAGGATGGGCGTGCGAACCTGGTGCCCGAGGAAGTCAAATCGCCATCTTCGAGGACGAAGAAGGGAATTGCATGCCTAATGTCTCTCTGCATTTACCACTTCTCGACTAATCGCTGTTTTCTTGGTCTCCTTCGAAGGGGTAACTAAATTCCCTCGCAATCCTGTCCATCTCGCTCTCCAGAAGCTGGACACCTCGTAATCGCTCCTCAACACTTGTCTGCCTTATCCACCTACAGGAGTTCCACCTTTCAGAAGCATCTCTTGCAGATTCCAGGTTCTTCTTCACAGACGGGATTTCAATTCGCTGTGCATCCCAGAAGACATACCCCATCTCCCGGAGAAGTTCATACACTGGGTGGCCAAAGGAGTCGCAGATCTGGGAGTAAACCGTCCGGCCAGAA